ATTTGTCGTCGACGACCGGACCCGGGAGCGCCCTCGCCAAGCGCCAAGTAACCCCTGCCAAGCGTCTGAAGGCGTTCTCCGAGCTTGGCAACTCTAGATAGGTATCTTACTATCAGCTTCAACGAGTATCATGACGCTCCCTTCGTACTACCCGGATAGCAAAGCATCCGATGGTGCTAGGCGATGTGGAAACCCCTCTTTACATCCCCAACTTATATATTTGGCGGTATCCTGCTGAATTGAACGAAATTGCTCATTATCAAAGCAAACCCCAATCTCCCGCACTTAACAATCGAAGTTCTTCTCCACGATGACTCTCTTCATCAAGGTACTTCTGCTTCAAAAACGTACATTATTACGCACCTACTTATCAAGTACGCAGGCTACTATCCTCGGCCTCTTGGCCGCGACTGTTTTCGCTAGCCCGGTGGCCATGAACGATGATATCCTATCCAAACGTCAAGGTACTCCGCCCGCAGCCGGATGCCCTGGCGACAATGCAAACGAATGTCAAAAAGCCCTATCATTTCCATGTGGTCCCGGCTGTGCTATGCAAGACTTAGGCTGTCTGCATACCTGTCTGGGAAACGCGGCCATTCAATGCGCAAAATGTGAATTCTAGACTGCATGTTCGCAGTTGCGCAGCATTATGTCATAACAAAGGCTAGAGAGGTATGTGACAGCCTGGTCAATATCGGATGGGATCGATGTATGTAATTGCGAGGTCTTGGATGCTTGATGCTCTACAATGGTTCTATTCTCTACTGGTTTATGGTATGCAACGTTTTCTTTCGATGAGAGGACCTCAGTTTCTCTCGCACAGACGTATCTTTCCATTCAGGCATGACAAAGACACGAACATCTAGGCTAAGACTCGCCGTGAACGTTGGTGCTGTAATCCGGCTTGCCTTTGGAGTTTGGGCGTCCTTGGAGCTCGCTGTGGGCCAGTCACGTAACCAGGAGTGTTTGCTATGAGACGGGCGTGCTGGAGATCAACATAAGTAGCTGGAATTGACTTGCGGTGTGCAATGTTCACTGAGTCACAATTGCATGGCTAGCCTTGCTCATATCAAGGTCTTTCCACTTTCGTATGTACTTCTCAACTTGCTCCTCGGACTTGACATAGGCAGAGAAGTAAAAGAGAAGTAATTGGAAAATGGCCGAGAGACTGGCGTAAAATAGGTGAGAGCTGATTAAAGTCAAATATTTTAGATTTCGATTGAAAATGGGAGAGCCTATATATCCTAAGGGGCCGATAAGGTGGTATAGGAGACTGAATTTTTATATTTAGTGACATTTTCTCAACTCAGAAAAGTGGTCTAAAGCAAGACGTGACTCCTAATCCAATGAAGTAGCAAGTAGGATTCAAAGCTATTTCAACTATTTGGCTTGTTTGCTCGCGCTCTAGTGACAGCCAAGTTATACTGAAGTTAGTTCAGATGCCCAACTGTTTCGCATTTTGATATTCTATCTCACCCACTATGGTATATCCTTACTGTTCATGAGATCGCCCCTATTACATGTATTAGCTAGAAGCAGGATAAAAGGACCATACAAGTTGATAAGATGTAGACCAGCGTAGACGGCAAAATATATGTTCAGGCGAATGATAGAATGTATATATAGAATCGACGCCAAAGTATGAAAGCAGGGTATAAATAGGACAGGCGAAGGCATCGTCTGAATGAATGCACATAAACAGATCAAAAAAAGTGCTGGTTAACTGCTTGTACATGGTGCATGAGCGGGTATCAAATGGTTACAGCTTGGCGTCCGTTGCAATTGCCTTCCGGCGCATTTGACGCGAGGAGATATCCGCAGGTGCCGGTGCTGCGGCGTTCAAGAATAGCTGACGTCCAACGAGATCGGACATGGTCAGAACGCGAGAGGAAACAGTTGCACCGTCGCGGCGATTTTTGCTGCTCAAAGTTAGTTATCAATTTGCAAACAGACGGATAGTTGAAGACTTACCCCTCGCGACGGGACTGGGCGATCAGTTCCGTAAAGTCCCACAGTCGTCCACCCTCCATCACTTTCCCGGTGTTAGGATCGCGGTGCGGAGCCCATTCAGGTGCGAGTCTTAGAGACGGGCCGACCCGTGATTCTTTGTTCTTCGAAACCAGAATGATGCCCTCTTCTTCGAATCGTTGATAGGAGTTCTTGAGGGTCTCTTTGTTGACAGCTTCGAAGTAAGAAAGATCCCCTTGGTGATATAATGTTTTACCAAGCTGAGATTGTCAGTAAGTACGACTTCTTTTGATAAAAAACTGGAAAAACTTACGATCTGCGCACTGTCCTGTGCTTTTTTCGAATCAATCCAGATCTCCTTTGGACTATCCAGAGGCGGTGTCAGCCCAAGGAGAGACACTGCACCAAGCCAAGAGGCCTCAATGAAAGGCCAGATCAGGAAACAGTAGAAGTCATAGTTCTCACGACCGCAAAGCCGTTCAGCCTCGCTCAACTCTACGTAGAGTGGCGTGCTAGACTCATCCCGGGTGATCTTAATCACATTGTCCTTCTCCAACCCACGCAGGGTCTTGTCGAAATTGGCAGCCAGACCTTCAGGCGGGAAAATAAATTCACCGCGGAAAAGCTGGGAAAGGAACGAAACTTGGGTTTTCAAAGCCTCGTAAGTGATTCTTTGGTTGGCAGGTCCTCCACCTTGCTTGATCTTCGTATACATTGCCACAGAGACCAACGCCTCAGTGATAAAGAGGTGAATAACCATGTTGCGATAGAAGGAAAGCTGGAAGCGATCTACCGCGTAATAGGTAGGTTCGACCAGTCCCGAGATCACACCAACAAGCTTGGGCCCCAGAACGTCCAGGGCACGATCGACAACCATTTCTGTCGGTGAACGATAAAAGTGTGCAACCCTGCCACCTTTGGCCCGGACTCGTTCGCAGAGCCAGTCCAATCTCCGTACCAGTTCTCCCTTTCCGACTCCACGGCCACGCAGAGTTAGGAGCACAGTTCCCACGAGAGCGGTTGGCATCATGACGGAGACATCGTTGATTTCAGATAGAACCCGGTAGCCAAAGGTCCTAAGGATACGACCATGGTCCGCGTAACTGAGTGTGTTATTGATGTTAGTGCTACGCAAATCCAGGCGCGTAAGCTGTTGACCAATGAATTCTCGAAGACTCCATGGCTCGTGGAACCTGACATCGACTCGGCCAAGTTTCAGGGACAAGACGGAGGACGAGGATAGAAGATCGGCTAGGTTTTCCTTCGCCTTCGGCTGGCCAAGCAGCTCACTGATGTATGACCTGGGGAAGTTGTCAGCGTCAATTTCAAGTTGTCAGTGGGGTGCCATACTCAGTCTCAATGACTTTGTCGTATTGTGTGCTGACAGGACAGATGATCGTGTCTTCAACTCGACCTGATAGCAAGCTGTCCATAATGAAACTCAAGATTCCGAACTTGGGTGAAAGCAGTTTGCCAGTTCTAGAACGGCCACCTTCAATAAAGCATTCAAAGTTGAACCCTTGTTGAAGTAGAGTGTCGATGTAGGCCTGTACAACAGTATTGTACAATGGGTCATTTCCAAAGCTCCGACGGATCCACATAGCGCCTATAAGAGTCAATAAAGCCCAATGCTTAGAATGTCTGCGCTCAACTGACCTGCGTGTTGCAAGAATGGGCCCAGCAAAGGAATATTCAGATTATCGCCTGCGACCACAACTGGCAGGGCAATTCCAAGACGGTAGCAAATAAGTTGCAATGAAACATAGTCCACATGCGACTTGTGGCACGGTAGGAAGACGATCGATTGTTTCTTCTTTGCGGCAGCATCGGCCACCGATCTCAGACGCAAAACTTCCTCGCTGGACACATGAATGCCTATAGACCTGGCTTAGTATTCCGTCCAAAGGAAAGTAGACATAGCGCAAGCAACTTACCTTGATGGTAAGCCCGAGTCAATAGTTGGGTGCACATGTAATAAGCACCCCGAATGAACTTCTTGCTTTCCATCTTGCAGATCATGTTGTCCATCATCGTGTCCACAACTTCCCGAAGGTTGCCTTCAAGCTCAGTCCTCCGACGAGCGCGCTTGTCGTCGAGTGTTGCGCCATCCTTGATTGCCAGCAACCCTTCCTTCTCTTCTACCGTAAGCCGACGATTCGCTAGCTCGGTGACCTTGTTCTGTAGGAGCGGACTGGCCAAAATAGAGGACTTCATTCTTTCGGAAAAGCCTGAATAGAATATCGGTTGGCCAATAGCATCGTCATAGGCACGCCAGCCTGTCCCAGACATGTACAAGCTCACTTCGCGGAGGAAATCGAAGGGGTTCTCGCGGAATCGCGCCATGTGGCGGACAAGATTGCGCTCGGTCATTTGACCATCTTGGGTTTCAGGGCCTCCGGTGAAGCCTGAGGGATGAATCGTTAACTGGTCCTTGACGATCTCTAGGTCCGGCGCCGAATGGTCATCGGCGACAGCCGGTTTAGGAGGCATCTTGTACGGGGGTATAACGCGGGGGAAGGTTCCTGGGTTCAAATCATAGAAGCGTCAACTCCATTGACAAGAAGATAAAGTAGAGGAATGAAGGGGAATCTCTCAAAAGCGGAGATATGGAAGAGGCCATAGCTAAGCTACCAACAATAAACGGCCGATCCCCGGATGTCTCATGTTCCCCATAGAGCCGAGGCAGGTCACGTGGTGAGCTCCAACTTACATGGGCTCGTACTTTTGAAGTTTGTGTGTCTTCGTCAATCTTCAAGGGAGGGACCACACTCAATTCCCTCCAAGATGTCTCGTCTGGTCAATGGAGTGAAATCTTTCTCATGTATGTGTATTATAGCTTAAATTTCTAGCTCCATATAAGCTTACCTTCTTCCCCCACCAGCGACAGCTTCGTCCCTCCTTGCCGATGCAACTGCGGCTTCTCAAACCGCCCGCCAACCATCTTCGTTCCAAGTCTTCCGCGATGTCCCCTCGATCCGTGGGCTGCGACGCCAGTTGCTTAAAAGGACCGCACCGTGGGTTTTGTTCCCACCATGGGCGCTCTTCACGAGGGCCACCTTTCATTGATTCGGCAAGCAGCACGCGAGAACACAGACATTTTCGTGAGCATTTATGTCAATCCCACACAGTTCGGAGTGACGGAAGACTTGTCAAGCTACCCCCGTACCTGGGATACCGACGTGGAGAAGTTGGAGAAGCTGAACGAGGAGCTGGAACGCCTGGGAGAAAACAGTGCTAGCGCGGGACGTATCACAGCAATTTTCGCCCCGACATCCAAGGTGATATACCCCGGTTTGCCTCCCTCGTCCGAAGTCGATGGCCATGGTTCGTTTGTTACCATTACCCCACTCTCTACAAAATTGGAGGGTGGCTCTCGACCAGTGTTCTTCCGAGGTGTCGCAACTGTCTGCATGAAGCTTTTCAACATCACAACTCCCGACCGTGTCTATTTCGGACAGAAAGATGTGCAGCAGACCGTGGTCATCAAGCGCATGGTGGAGGATTTCCACGTGGGCACTGAGGTGCGCATTGTGGAAACCACCCGTGAATCTGATGGCCTGGCATTGAGCTCACGGAACGTGTATCTGGGAGACCGGAGGCGATCCATTGGACTCACTGTCTACAAGTCTCTTAAGGCTGCAGAAGATGCCTATCTGGCTGGTAAGACCAGCCGGGCAGATATCCTTGGAGCTGCAAACAGTGTGGCAGATTCTGTCCTCTCTCAGCAGCAAGGTCTGTCACCCTCTGAGAGGGCCCTCTATGAGGTCGATTACATCTCCCTTGCGGATCCCGACACCCTCGACGAGCTGGATATCGTCGACCCGGCTAAGGGAGCCGTCTTGAGCACTGCATTCAAGATGGCACCATTGGAAGAATCCAGGCCTGATGAGGACTGCGGATTGGGAGATGGCAAGGTCCCAGTGCGATTGATCGACAACCTCATTCTGCATCCTCGTGCTTGATCAATATCGAGCCCTTAGTACATATGTAGCATAGCGCAGGTCACCTTCACATAACGTAATTCACAAGCGAGCCGCCACCCCAAGCGAGCCGCCACCCTACCTAAAAACGCGTCGAAAATTAGCATTTAATTTATTCAACCACCTACCATGCCACCAATTCGTACCCAATCGCCCCGAAATCGTACAGAGCAAGAGGGTAGGATCTTATTAGCTATCCAGGCTATTAAGAACAAAGAAATAAGCTCTGTTGCTCACGCTGCTCGGACTTTTGAAGTGCCGCGTTCAACTCTACGCGACCGCCTCTCTGGCTGTACAGAACGTGCTACTGTACGCGCAAATTCACATAAATTGACCGAAATTGAGGAGGAAACACTTCAAAAATGGATTATCTCAATGGATTTACGTGGAGCAGCCCCTCGGCCGTCTACCGTACGAGAAATAGCAGATCTACTACTCGCGGCGCGTGGATCTACCTCCCCTCTTTCGGTCGGCGATAATTGGGTTACAAACTTCGTAAAAAGGCACCCAATCCTATCATCTCGGTTCTCAAAACGATACAATTTCGAGCGTGCGAAGTGTGAAGATCCAAAGATAATTGGAGATTGGTTTTCGCTTGTCCAAAAGACTATACTTCAATATGGTATTGACCCCGACGACATCTATAACTTTGACGAGACCGGTTTTGCTATGGGCTTAATCGCAACCGCGAAGGTTATTACGAGAAGGGAATATTACGGTCGGCGATCGGTTTTACAGCCCGGAAACCGCGCGTGGGTGACTACAATTGAATGTATAAATGCGTCGGGGTGGGCGCTTCCTCCTTGTATCATTTTTAAGGGCAAAGTCTTTATCGAATCTTGGTTCGACGGCCTTCCGGACGATTGGAGACTTGAGGTTAGTCCTAACGGATGGACCTCCGACGAAATTGGACTTCGGTGGCTTCAAAAGCTCTTTATTCCGTCTACTTCTTCGCGTACGAAGGGGAAGTATAGACTTTTGATACTCGACGGCCACGGAAGTCATTTAACCCCGAAATTCGACGAAATTTGCGAGAAAAACGATATTATCGCAATTTGTATGCCTCCGCACTCGTCTCACCTTTTACAGCCTCTTGATATCGGCTGTTTTGCGGTGTTAAAGCGTGGTTACGCTCGGCTTATCGAATCGAAAACGCGTGCTAGAATCAACCACATTGATAAGCTAGACTTCCTCGAAGCCTACCCGTCCGCGCGAATTGAGGCATTTAAATCGGAGACTATTAAGAATAGCTTTACCGCCGCCGGTTTAGTGCCTTATAGTCCGGATCGAGTGATCTCGAAGCTTAATATTCGCCTTCGAACCCCGACACCCCCCCGGAGCCAGGGAAGCGAGTGGGATCCAAAAACGCCTTCAAACTACGTACAATTACAAAAGCAAGCTTCCTCAATTAAAGCTTTGCTAAAAGCGCGTTCAAAAAGCCCACCAAGCCCGCTTAACTCCGCGATAAATCAGGTTTTAAAAGCCTGTCAAATCACAATGCAATCGGCAGCTATTCTCGAGAAAGAAGTAGGCGAATTACGCGCTGCAAACGAGACGAAGAAGCGAAAAAGGACTCGGTCTAAAAAGCAAATAGCTTCCGAAGAAGGTCTCTCAGTTTTAGAGGCCTCTACCTTAGTAGCGCAGCCAGAGCAAGCGGTTTTAGCACAAACCCCCCGTGAGGCAGAATCGGCTCCGGCACCTTCACAGCCACGTAAGAGAGCCTTACCAAAGTGCAGTATATGTGGAATTCAGGGTCATAAATTGACTACATGTCCTAATAGAACTAGTTTTTAGCTTATTGAATTTAATGGCGTTTTGGTTGAGAAAAATGCATTAAAAATAAATAGATACAGGTAGGGTGGCGGCTCGCTTGGGGTGGCGGCTCGCTTGTGAATTACGTTAGAATCTAAATAGTAGGCTTTACGTAACATAGAACAACGTGGCCCGCACGGCGATTCAATAACTATATTAAATCTCGCTGCGATAGATCTGTATCGTTATCGGTAGGATCTATGATGTACGAATGCCTATATGATAACAGCGCATCCTGGCGCCTATGAGATGGACCTATACGCTAAATTAGGAAAAAACAAAAAGTATTGAATCAAACAAAGTAAATAAAGTAAAGGAAACAAAAAGTAGCTAGGAATAAAAACAATAAAAAGGATAAACCTTCACACACGTTGCGTGTGAAAGTAAGGCCCGAACCGCGATTCGAACGCGGGGCCTCTCGCATAAGAGTATTTTACCATGAAAATTGTTCTGAAACAACTTCATAATTAAGCCCAAAGCGAGAATCATACCACTAGACCATCCGGGCGACGATGTATTGGACGTAAATAAATTTCTGCCATAATCATGCAAATGAAAATAAAATTCGCCTTGACCACGTAAAGTCTAGTGTACGACAGAACTTTACTTTCTATAGGCATGATTGTTTTTTTTTTTTAAAAAAAAATAATAAAAATAATAAAAGATTATCCTCGACTAGATTATCTAGTGGTCTATTCAGCTTATAACAAACAGTCTCGCTGTTTCTAATAGGGGGATATACTTTAGGTACACCTTATGTCTTAGAAAAAGCAAACATGGTAGGGTTTCTTAGTGCATATCTATAGATATAGATGATGCAGTCAAACATCGCTACAATAGGTCATAACTTGCATGGGGGGAGGGGGGGAGGTTGTCCGCTGTAGCGAGGATTATACACGGATATCCCTGCATATGTAAACTAGCATAGGTCATATACTTCAGCTACATCATTTGTTCTTTGTCTATATTTCAATTTTATCGCAGGATTTAATTCGAGGAGTCTATAGTAGAAATTTGATAAAGCCCGAGTAGCCATGAATTCGTTAGAGTATATGGCGAAGGATGTCTATACGGCCTAGTGTGTTTAACGTGTTAAATGGAGGAAGCCGCTGTCTTCGGGTACGCCGTAGCAAAGCTTTTCTGTTTCAATGACATTATTGAGCTCTAGTAAAACCAACAGAACTAAGCAAAAGAGGACACAATCCTTGTATCGCATCTCAAACATCTCTAGAAAGTAGGGCAGATCCTGAGGGTGGAGAAAATTTGCTGGAGCCGTGAAAGTCTTGGCGCGGAAAAAAAGTCTCAGCGTCAACCGCCTTAACCAAACCCTCCAACTCCCCCATTCTCAAGGAACTATCTTTCAAAATGGCTGACGATGGCATGCTTATGAACTTTAGCATTGCTGACACTGTCATTAAGCCCGAGGCAAAGTTCAAAGGTGGAACATGGCGAGACCGATTGGTAGCCAAGAAGCGTTTGGCGCATCGAGGCTCGGAGAAAGACCCCAAAGACGCAGCTGCACGCAACGCAGCTTCCAAAAACCCAAACCAAATCCAAATCGGCCCGCGGCCTGCTAAGCGCCAAAGGACCGAGGAGTCTTCTCATCGCTCCGGCGGCGATCGACGCCCACACCAGACCCCGCGAGACCCCCGTCACTTCGTTTCCTCGCTTTTCACTAGCAACCCCGAACCGCGCAATGCCGAAGAACCCAAGGCCGAGGGAGAGCAAGAAGATGCAAAGCCGACCAACGCTCCGCTGATCGACGGCCTGGACACTTTCACGAATCTGGGATTATCGGCCAATCTCGCGGCGCATCTGCTCACAAAGCTTGAGCTCAAGGCGCCGACGGCGATTCAAAAAAGCTCTATTGGGCAGTTGTTGAAGGAGGAAAGTGATGCGTTCATCCAGGCCGAGACAGGTTCCGGTAAGACGCTGGCTTATCTCCTTCCGCTCGTGCAACGAATTATGGATCTCTCGAAAGCCACAAAAGAACATAATGACAACCAAGTCCACCGGGACAGTGGGTTGTTTGCCATTGTACTGGCGCCTACTCGCGAACTGTGCAAGCAGATCTCCGTCGTGCTGGAGAACATTCTCCGTTGCGCGAACTGGCTGGTCTGTGGTACGGTAATTGGTGGAGAGAAGAAGAAATCGGAAAAGGCTCGTTTAAGGAAAGGATTGAACATCCTTGTTGCGACACCCGGTCGTTTGGCTGACCATCTCGACAACACGGAAGCTTTGGACGTCAGCAATGTGCGTTGGTTGGTGCTGGATGAGGGTGATCGCTTAATGGATATGGGTTTCGAGGAGGAATTACAGGGAATTGTTAAGAAACTCGACGCCAGACAAAGACCGAGTCGTGTTCCCGGTGTGCCTACGCGCAGAACTACGATCTTGTGTTCGGCGACATTGAAGATGAATGTGCAGAAATTGGGAGAAATCAGTTTGAAGGATGCGGTACACATCAAGGCGGATCCGGCGGACGAAGATGAGAATGCGCCAAAGAAGGATCAGGAGGACTCATTCCGCGTCCCGGCACAGTTGAAGCAGTCGTACGCGATTGTTGCACCGAAGCTACGTCTCGTTTCATTAACAGCCTACTTGAAGAGGACATTTATTCGAAAGGGATCGGTAATGAAGGCAATTGTCTTTATGTCTTGCGCCGATTCCGTCGACTTCCACTTCGAGCTATTTTCAAGGAACCAAGACCGAGAGCAACAAAAGAAGGACGAGGAGGAAGGAGACAAGGAAAAACCGGACGAAAAAGAGGAATTGTCACCCCACGGCACCATTGCTCCCGGTAGAGCCTTTTCCAATCCAGGAAATCCGGTCCTTTTACATCGTTTACACGGCTCCCTCCCCCAGAATGTTCGAACCGCCACACTTGGTTCCTTCTCTCGCAGCACGGAGGCCTGCGTCATGATCTGTACCGATGTGGCCGCACGTGGTCTTGATCTCCCCAATGTGGACTTGGTCGTTGAGTACGATCCAGCCTTCAGTTCGGATGACCACACTCACCGCATTGGTCGTACAGCTCGTGTCGGACGAGACGGTCGCGCCCTAATCTTCCTCCAGCCCGGCTGCGAAGAAAACTATGTCGAGATTCTCAAGCGCGGCTACCGTGATGGAGGCAAAGCTCTCACCCGGACTGATGCCAATGAGATTCTCAAGCGCGGCTTCGGAAGCAACGACTCCAGAAAGAAGAACTGGGAGGAGAAGACTACCGATTGGCAGATGGATGTAGAGCGTTGGGCTCTGGAGAACCCTGAATACCTGGAGATGGCCCGTCGGGCTTACCAATCTCATGTTCGCGCATACGCGACGCACGTTGCTGCTGAGCGGAGCATGTTTAACATCAAAGAGCTCCACTTGGGTCACCTTGCAAAGAGCTTCGCCCTGCGTGACCGACCAGGCAAAATCAACGTCCCTGGTCTACGTCCTGGGCAGGAAGACACCAAGAAGGACTTCAAGGCGGCGCGCAACGGTGCCGCAGGTACCAAGAGGAAGGCTGGCGCTGAGGACAAGGCTCCAGGCACGACGGATCTGGATGATGCTGCTCGCAAGATGAGAGCCAAGATGAGAGAGAACATGGCTGGAGCCAGCGAGTTCAACTTGGCTTGATCTGTTTCTGGCTTTGGCACCCCATTCGTCTCAAAAAAAGCATGGTTACATGGTTGTTTATAGCATTAGCATTTATCTCAGTAGATATCCCATAATGAAATCTTCCCATCCTTGGAACCTGCCGCTAGCCAATGAGTCTGCTGTACTTTCTGATTCCGTTGTTGCTGTACATTTGCGAGAGAGTAGTCGCGTGCAGCAACTGCCATTTGGCTTGCAGTTGTGGACTGCTTCTCTGTAGATCTTGTAGATAAAGATGTTTCAATCTCTCCAAATGTTATAGCATAACATCCATCTTTGTGCCACTTGAGCACAGCCAGTTCTTTCATTGTTTTCCCCGAGTACACCCGTACCCTGCTATCCCAACCGGCAGTAGCAAATACCTTCTCATCAGACCGGATGCGCAGACCCTGCTGACCCGAGTGTCTGGTGTTAACAACCTGCAAGGGAGATTCCTCCTTGTAGCCAGCCGTAGGAATGTAACCAGCAGACGGCAGACTGGGAATGGGATGTTTGACAATCAAAGCATCAGCAGAAGAAGAGATAAAGTGCGTGTACGAAGCCGAGACGTCAAGGGAAAGAACCGGCTGGGTATGAGGACGGCCAGCATAGAGCCTATCCCATTTCAAAGGATAGTTCTTAATATGTTCGATCTCAAAACTGGCCGTCTTCAAAGCACCACGATGAGCGTAAACCATAACATGGCCATCCTCATATGCCGAAACGACAAACAGATCCCCAACAGAAGTCACGAATATATTGACAGCCATCAGCATTCCAGTCTTCGTCGACGAATCAGATGGAATAGTGCTGATCCGGCGCTCGGATGGTAGGTGGAAGATATCGACGCCGCCAGAGTCCAAGGCATTGGGCACTGCAAACAATGTATTCTGTGGCTTTGCAGATTGCGATGGATAAACAGGAAGCCCGTCCACATTGACAAACGTCATAGAGAACGCGCAGAAATTGAGCGCATTCACGGGCATGGCATGTAGCAGCCATGGCTGAGTCTTACTTCCCCCTGAGCAGGACCACTCACGTCGACCGGAAGTGTCTTGTCTAAGAATGATTCATCCTCTGAACGAATCTTCCAGACGCAGAGCTTGTGGTCGCGGCCATGTCTGTCGTAGATGGGTTAATATGATGTGGTCAATCAAGACGTGCTGGATTGGGATAGGATAGGGTCATCTCACGTGTAAATCTCGGTTATGCCTGAGTCGAGGTTAAATCCTTTTACTTCTAGTACGGCACCTGCGTGCGCTTTCCAGACGGTCACTGGGCGTTTGGTGACCAGGTCCCAGATCACGATCCAGCCGTTGGCGTCGCCGGATACAAGGCGCAGGTTCTGGTTGTAGATGTGAAGCGCGTGTATCGGTGCACCGTGCCCGCGGAGGATGTAGATTGGAGTGGCCGGAGACTGAGCCTGGGCTGATTTATTCTCCATCGTAGTTTTTTTGGGCGTTGATGTTGATATCTATGAGCTAATGGTTTGCGGTTAAACGGGGAATTGCCCGTTCACACCGCCATCCTTGTGTGCCAAATTCTGTATCGTTGTCATTAATCATATACGATAATGTATTTACATATAGAATCTATTACAGCTTGTCAAGGCTGGTAACTGAAGGTATGGCTTTCAATTCGACCAAAGACATGGATATGTTGTGAGTTATAAATTTCGTGAGAGGTTCTACCATAGGCCCCCGGCTTGCATTCAGAAAACTACTTTTGAACACTCATGTTCTATTGACTAGGTAGCGGGAAAAAAACCAATAAAACATTTCATTATTCATCAAATGTCGGATCATCACATCAGATATGCACCATAGTCATACTGATCGAGTGCATGGTGATGGTGAGGTGGTACATAATATCCCTGATACGGATGATTCTCCATTGAAAAGTCCCCGGTTGTCGTGAGTGGGTTACATAGATCCGAAGATGAGCCAGATGCTTCGGAGATTGCTAGCGATGGATCGAGTTCGTAGTAGTGGTTGTGCATTTGGGCCGGGGTAACAGTGTCCGGGTGAGCATCGACCCAGCTCCAAATCTGCCTTAGATCATCTTTGATTGATTCAATGTTGGAAGTAGTAGTCTTGGCGATAGCATCAAAAATGCCGATCACTTCTTCTTGGGCCGAGCGGGCTTCTAGACATTCTGCAGCGATTGCAAGACAGCGTAGTGAGATATCGGAAAGACTTCTGGGTGATAATGCGTCAGCACAATTGATGTGAGTAGCGCGCAATGAGCCTTTGAACTAACCGGTCCTTGGTACATGCGATGAGGCCGCAAATTTCGTGTGCGTGGGTTCTTTGCATCCCACGCATGTCTCCATCGAATTCTGACTGCAGAGGGTTTGACTTGGATAGCAAAATTCGCGTCACATGGAAAAATAGCCGAGCAACGATTGCAGGTCGTTTAAGTATCCTGAAAGAGATCAGTCGGTGAACATATTATACCGAGTCCAAGATGAACGGGAACCTACATAACCTCCGGAAACGCGGATTTGGAGCTTGTCTGCCAGGGCTGCAAGTACCCAAGAGGAGCCATCGACTTGGGGGCCGATTTCTCCCACTGATCGCACCAGCTGTTGTAAAGACTCCATTCCTGGAATCGATCGTTGAGCTGAGCCCTAACTGCATCGTTGCTCAAACCCTGAGATTGACACAACGATGCTTGGAAGATCACGACCTTTGCACAGATATAGAGGATGCGATGAGACCATGAATCGTCGCTGCTCCCACCGGAAGTGTGGCAATGGTCCATGTCCATATCAATCCCCCAAGTGTTTGGATCCCAGGACAGACTCCAATTATATCGTACACAATTAAGTAGCTCTGCGCTGATGCTGATTCTGAAACACGCTCCACCGAGCCCTGGAGTTTTGGAAGTCCAGCCACATTCTCGAATCAAAGCTCGCGAGCCTGCGATATGGACTTTCCGATGTGAGGATAGCGATGACATTGTTTCAAAGAAGCCAAGAACCAGAGCCGCTACCGCACATAGAACAGAGTCACGATTAGAATCATGGACGGAGTTTAACAGATCCTGGGTAGCCTCGTCGTAGAGCTGCATGGCCTTTCCGTCCCCGTGAGAAGAATCTACAAGGGAAAGATGTCTAGCGCCGCACGCTAGGAGTGCCTTGAGCAGCATAGGTTCGTCGAGGGCGTAGTACGGAATAATATGGGTAAACTGTTCATCATTAGAAAATCACTCGAGACGATTTAGCAAGGGTGACAAACATGGTTCATTGCATCCATCGCATCCAGCCTGGGCCCAACGTGTTCGACAAAAGCACGGAAAAGAAGCATTCGGTCAGGATCTGCGATGAAGGAATGACTTCCCTCATTTTTTGCCAGTTTCCGTGCGAAGTTGGATGTCCCATGCGGAAGGAGTTCATCTCCTGGTACCAGATGAGACTGCTGCCAGACATCGGTTCCAAAATCTGCGTTGTCTGGGTTGGAAATATCAAAATCTAGCGGATCGAAAGAATGAGCAACAGATTGGAAAAGACTCGTCAGGTCATCAGGCCCCATAGCCTCGAAGCTATGGTGCAAAAGTCTTTGCTCTTCAGCAGGACTTTCCGGCTGAACGGGCGGGTATTTCTCGAACCCTCCAACGTATTCAGACGCGATCAAGCGCGAATCATCGCGAAATGTCACTTTGGCGCCATGGGGTCGAGCGACAACATGTGGAGGCGCCACATTTTGAATATCAATAAAGTTGAGGCGAACACCACGTCGACAGATGCGGTTCGACTTGCGACAATTATGACACCGTCCTAAGGCCTCGTCGCACTTGAGATGTCGTTCGCGACAAGTCAGGCAGCCCGTGCGCACCCTCTTCGCTTTGGTGTCTGCAATGCCCGTTGTCTTCTTCCGGCGCGGACGTAGTGTACTTTGTGAATCGCTTGTCTGGCTTTTTGGAGTCGATGTCTTCGAGTCGACAGTAGGTGATCGCGCCTGCGATTTCGCAGATGTCCGAAGATTCATTTCGATCTAGTTGATATTGGCGCCTTTTGATTTGAGCTCTGGTCCAGACCTGTCTCTAGTCTCCGGCTCCGACCTGGGTCCGAACCGAAAGAGGAGTCCCGAATACACAAAATGACCTTGTAGATTTCACTCGACTGGCCATGTTCGATAATGGCACTTGTAGTAATCGCGAGTGGGGAATTTGTCGAGAGGAAGGCGATCGTCGGAGCTTGCGATTCAAGGGCTTGAATCTAACAGCCAGCGTGCGCAAACAGGGAGGTGCTCGGCAGATAAATCGGGGGTCTAGGAAGTTCGTCAGCTCAAGGATATCCCCGAAGAAAAAAGAAAGTACTCACCAGCCGATGCCAGCACAAAGATATGTGTCGCGGGGAAGTGGATGTCAAGTCCGAAGAGAAAAAAGGCCGGCCCGCTTTGCCAAGATCCCGATGTATCTGGAGTACGCCGTGTTTGCCTACATACGTTTAAGTACACCTTATGATTATTATAACCGTCTTAAACTCAGGTTATCTTTATAAACCATCATTGCTTGCAAAGTAAGCAATAGATATTATCTACGCACTTTCCTCGCCAATCGAGGCAATTGGACTCGACACTGCAGAATCAATAGAACAGCCACACAAAGGGCCACATACATGAAAGTGAACGAAGAGCAGCGGCATACGAGTTGATGACTGGGGGGCCGTCAGAAAAAAATTATAAAGGGGTCGAGGGCAGTCAAGCATACTTTCCAACCGGTGAACTGGATCCAACTCCGCAATAGTCTGAATAGACTTGCGAACCAGGGCGACAATATGCCCTTCTCCATGCCTGTAACTCTATACTCGAGTTGATATCGAACAATACTTTGGAAAATCCAGCCGCTAACAGCCTCACCCATTACGCCGCCCAAATTCCGCCACAGTCCCATCGTAGTGAGTGCAACAGCTTGAAACGTTTTGCTCATTGGTAGCAAGCATTGACACCGCGATAGTTAGCCATGCAAGACCTTGTCCGAGGCTTACAAGCGAGAGCGAAACCATGGCGAGTGACTCTGGACTGTCGATTCCTAACGATGCAAAAGCTAATCCACCGGTCATTATGAGCAAGGAACCAGCAACAATGAAAGGCTGGAGGCGTAGACTGGTTTGCGACCGAAGGTATCAGTATCAGAGCAACACCCAAAAAGAGTCCTGAAGGCAGTTGAAGTTAGTAGGAATATAATCGATAGCCAGGAGACTGAGTTGGCGGCGTTGAAGTGGTGATGACCAGATGACTTGAAGACATGAGGTTGTGTCGAAGAAGCCCAGTATATATCCACATAAGACACCACCAAAATGACCCAGAATCTAGCGGAAGACGCCTATAAACCGTGCTGCATATTCTTCTTTATCGCTTGGAGTATCGGATTTGTTGTTTGGGAAGCTATCCCCAAAGTAAATGCCGTAGAAGTGGATCGACTTCGAGTCCTGCAGGTACCGAGCTAGAACTGGAGCGTCTGCGGATGCATACTTCCTCATCAGAAGCTTGATTGGTGACTGATTCGTAGCAGGACTAAAGATAACCCGTGTGTTGATAGGTGGATTCATCGCGTAAAAGAGAGTGTCTTCACAGGGACAGGATTGGTTCGATTGCCCCTGAATTGCGTCCGTTATCACAAAAGAAATGGATAAAAGAATGTATAAAGCCAAAAAATAAGAAAATATTTAAGAGAACAAAGCTCCTTCTAAACAAAATGTATCTCTTTAGAGCAGTGACAAGGAATGCTGAGTAGGCAAGGGAGTCTTTATACAAGCATTCGATCACTCGATCTGTAAGCACCCAATATCACGCAACACAACCTACTTGCTTAGCTGAACCTGTGCATGCAGAAAAACCCAACATGTATATGGATGATCTTCATAGATCCATCTACTGCAGGGCTGGTTTGTCATCGACCTCGGCCGATAAGAGATACTGTAGACACCCGTGAACCATACAGACTTCTTTACCTTTGCGCTACATGAACTCATGAACTCTGCATACATCTCTCTGCGACCCACACAATGCATTCACCCCTCCGTATTGCCGTGTTAGAATGCGACACTCCTCTTGACAGCATCAACCGCCGCTACAACGGATATGGCGGGGTATTCCGCGCCCTCCTCACAGCCAGCGCCAAAGCATTAAACCAACCAGAGAAACTCAACCCAGAGACCGGTTTGGAAATCACAGCATGGGACATTGTGAATGACGACAAATACCCAAAGCTAGAAGACGTCGATGCCGTGCTTCTAACAGGTTCAAGTGCGGAATGACTCAGACAACCCCATGAGCTCAAGCCTGTATACTAACAGCAATCGGACCCGAACAGAACATAATTCATTTGACGATATCCCCTGGATCAACCGCCTCGTCGAATTCACCCAACAAGTCCTCGCCCAGGACCGAGTGCGCCTACTCGGCATCTGCTTCGGGCACCAGATCGTTGGTCGCGCACTAGGCGCCAAGGTCGGACGAAGCGACCAAGGCTGGGAAATTGCCGTGTGCGATATGGACCTGACGGATAAAGGAAAGGAGCTATTTGGGCGGGAGAAGATCGTAAGTTCAATTCCTGTCTGTCCAGAAGTCATAGCAGGCTTCCGAAACATGCAGTGCAATGCCACGCAGAACGCTGACGGGCTGTGAACAAATAAACAGCGCATCCAGCAAATGCACCGGGACATTGTTTTCGAATACCCCCCAAATGTCACTCCGTTGGGTTCATCCCCGCGCTGTGCTGTGCAGGGCATGTATTCGCCGCGCCGCTTTGTTACTGTTCAGGGTCACCCCGAATTTACAGGGGACATGGTCACAGAAATTATTGGAAGCAGAACTAAGAGCGGTATATTCAAAGAGACCCAGGGTAAGGATGCATTGAGCAGGGCTCATAATGAGCATGATGGTGTTGCTATTGGTGCGGTGTTCTTGAAGTTCCTACTCGAGGACTAAAGCAGGAACAAACATCCGATGGGACAATAGGCGCTGTACCACTTTGGATCTCAATTTTGAATTCTGCCTGGTTCCGATTGTGTGATGGGCTCGTGGGGTTCTTCAGGAGGTTTGAGATTGAGATATTACATAGATCTAGCCTTTTGTACATATTTAGACTAGCATTGCCTTGGAGGTTAACGTAATGCGATTGAACCTACTTCAACTTCTTACTACCCTGTGCCTAGGAGATATCACCGACACCCAATACTGTCCTATGAGCGAACGATGAAACTGAACTGGGTATGCCTGTCATACAATAAAATGTGATTCAAGAGCAAGAGAAAAGAAGCCAAGTAGCAATCGGTATCATTGTCATAAGTGCATGTCATGTTCTATTGAGGAAATGCACCAGGCACCCTCATGCAAGTTTATGCCAGAAAGAAAGAAGAATAGAAAAAGGAACGCCCCGTTCCACAAAGCCACGCAGGCCGCTGAACCCGTAGGGAGATGCAAAGATGCCAACAAAATAGGCGAAAGGCCAAACGCTCCACCCACTAACGCCATTTCCATGCAAGTTTGAATCGCTGAAAATGCAAGGTCTGACCGGAGACAAGTAAGACAAGCAACAAACAAATAAATCAGAGTGGTCGGGATGCGGAAATTCGGCCGCTGCGACGCGGGTTTGCCTTTCCGTCTGAGTCCGATTGCTCCGGGGTTGTGTTACCAGGGAGGGAGAGGGGGTCTGAGTTCTGACCGTTTTCTGTTTCGGATTTCATCTATGAGCCATGAAGTGTTAGCAAAGAGTACAACGGAAGGAGGGAGATTGAGGTTATACGTGGATACTCACGCGAAGATTCAAAGAGACGAGCTCGTTTTGGTCATCTCTGAATGATATCCCAACTCCCAAGGTTAGGTTGGAAACAATTCGCCTCTTGGGTCGCGTTCGACGAGCTGGACGTGGATCCTCGGAGTCGTCACTGTCTTCTGCGGATCGCTTGCTCCCAGTGCTGAACGGGGAAGAAGACCGCGATGCCTGTAAGTTTTGCTTGATAGGAAGGCCTGGGGCAGCCTTCTTGTCGAATGGCACATCGGTATTTTCGTCAAGCAAGGCAGCGAATGCGCGGTCGATGTCACCTCGGCATTTTTGAAGCATGTCCACGATCGTCTCGCGGTCATAGCGGCCACCAAAGCACTCTTGGATGGATTTGATATCCCAGGGGGGATAGAGGTCCACGGCCAAGTCGGTGTCAGTGGTGTCAGTGGTGTCAGAGCCACTAGGAGCATTGCCCGCGATGACGGGTATGTCTTTACAGTCTTCTGCCAGTTTCCTGTCTACGTCGGGCTTGATGTCTTCGCTGAGTTGTGGGATGATATTCACGCCAGTGAGAAGCCCCTTGTGTGGGCCATTGATACGCCGCACGGAGGAGTAATGTTTAAAGTCCTATGGTTGTTAGCCCATAGCCCAAAGGCATCAAGAGAAAGCAGGACACGTACGTGGAAAGCGACGTGAAGTACATCTCGGGGTTGATCGGGAAGGGCATTGACATCTCGAAACACCTGGACCCCGTCCATGGTGTAAACATTCAGATCGACTTGGAAGACCTGACAGAATGCCTGGAGATGCTCCGAGCTAGCCCATTCTCCGTTCTTGCGAGTGGTCGCGATCATGTCCTCGAACCGACGCTCCTTGTCCTCAAGAGACGGGGTTAAAACATCGGCAGAACGCGTAGCATACGCGGATGCAGCTGCACGTTTAGGCCGACGGCGTTCCCCACCCTCTGCCACGACAAACTGCATGAAGTATTTCTTGTTGTTGGCCATGTGGGTGGCCAGGCGCTGGCGTATCTCGTCGGCATGATGGGTGATGCCGTACAATTGGTCGGAGAGGGAATAATAGAGGCAGTTGCCTATGATTTGACGCGTCAGAAAGGGCAAATATCCATTTGGCAGCTTGCAAAGAGAGCTCTAAAGCTTCAACGAGTGACAACAAGCGTGACTAGCTTACCATCTCCCTCGGTAGGTAGAGCAAACAGGCCACGTTCTTTCAAACAGGGCATTTCCAAGCTTGCGTGGTCCATGGTGGAGTTATTCTGTTGTGTTTTGGCCAGCAGCTCAGCCTGCTGGTCCTGCAGCGGGTCGGCCGTCTGGGGAAGCTCCTCTTGCACTTGGTGTTCATGACCCGTGAGTATGGGCACGATTCTGCCACCGTGAGTAAGGTGAGACATATTGAAGGTACTCGACTGAAAGTCGGCATTGGTCAATTCAGAAAGAAATCAATAAGGCTATCTAGGGAAAGATAAATCAAACCCGCAGAGGTGAATCGGGCGCCCTGCGGGTGGTTTGAAAAAGGAAATTCACCAATTCTCGCAGATTTGAGTGCCGATCGAGGCGGTGAATGCTGGTGGGTGGTGATTGGTCCCACGTGAGCAGTTGCCCACTATGACATAGGCGACTTCTGCTCTACACAATGGGCCTTTAGGGATTCAATTACTATTTATATCCTTTTACTTCTTTGTTCTTTGTTCCTCTCAGTTCCCCCTGACCATTGATGATATAATAAGAGTCAAGTGAGTGGGCGAGGAGTCAGATGTGATGGATACACTCACTATAGTGGAGTCTGGAGGGATGGAGAACGCGGGACTTTACGGAGTCTCCTTGCTGGGCCCAGATCCTGATACAGCATGGATTTATTGAATTGAATCAAAAGCAGGGGACTGTTGAGGCTTCAATATAACAAGAGACATTCTAGCAATTATATACAGAGCACACGGTACTGATTTACATGTACTTGTTTTGTCTATATTTCTATTGGATGGCGCCCTGTCATGCTTTTGAGATTAACGTCACTTGTATTAACAAGATTTACAAGGGCCGAGGGAAACCAGCTCAGTTCCAGTAGAATGCAAGTTATAGACTAGGGAATACGTACTTGAGAAACACAAAACATATAACGTTACTCGGTGCTCTATATACATGTACTGTAGCTGTAGCAAAAAGAACAGCAACCTTGGAATCGAAATAGTGCGGAGGCGTTTTTCATGTTACTATGTATCCACCGCATCTCCACCGAGAAAACTTAACTTGTTTGCTTTTTTAAGATATTTGGTTGGTTATATGCCCACACCGCCTGAAGCCTGACCATGAAATTACAACAATCAATAAATAATTAGGCCAGAGCCCTAATTCGGAACATGGGGCTGGGAATAATGTTCTTTGATCATATAGCCTAACTTTGGAGTATATTACTAATAATTGCCCGGATGGTCTAGTGGTATGATTCTCGCTTTGGGCTTAATCATGAAATAGTTTTCTGAACAATTTTCATGGTAAAATTCTCATCTGCGAGAGGCCCCGCGTTCGAATCGCGGTTCGGGCCCTTTCCCTTTTTTTTGTATTCTTTTTTCTTTTTAATTATCTTATTTTTATTTATTTACATTTTTACTTTACTCCGTGGATCGATCATTGAGAGAAATGACATAATCCAGATTACCCGTGATAACTTAGTAAAAGGTTGTAGCGGACAAAACCCCACAACCCCAACGTCTTATCAAAAGTCCCTGATAACGCCCCCTCACTCCCCGCCTTGACTTCCGATATTAAAGGGGAGGAGACTTTCTTTCTTATTTTAATGTCTTGACAACATATCAACATTGGGAAATCTAAGCGAAACACACAATGGCAACAAACAACATCGTGGTTTTGGGGTAAGACCCTCTAGCTCTGCAGCAAATGGTGCATTGAACCTCTCACTGACTTGTAAGTCAGGGCCGGTGTGTCTGGCTTGACAACTGCGTATCTACTCTCGCAGGACCCGGCCAACAAGATTACTGTGCTGGCAAAACACATGCCTGGAGACTATGATATTGAATATGCATCTCCGTGGGCCGGTGCCAACTACATGCCGTATGATATACATAGAACACCCCATCAATAATACACCTCCTTACTGATCTTGCTCCTGCACAGGGTCGGAAAAGAAGGAAGTGCTCACCATGCATGGGAGCGCGATACGTGGCCCGCATTGAAAGCAATTGCAGAGAAGTACCCAGAGGCTGGTATTCACTTCCGAGGTAAGTTCCCCGGGATCTAAAGAGCGTCCACATATCTGACATCCCAAGGCACTTTGATCTATAACCGAAAGAAAGATCAGGAATCTGCCACTGGGCAGTGGTTCTCGGAGTTGGTTCAGCCAAACCCGTGGTACAAGGATGTCGTGCCGGATGTAAGATATGATTGTTTAACCGACAAGATCATGGAATCCCCAGAGACTAACTCAATGTTCTAGTTCAAAAACATCCCCTCTGATCAGCTGGCGCCTGGGATTGACAACGCCCAAGAATTCACCTCCGTCTGCATCAACACACCCGTCTACTTGTCTTGGCTAGTGGGTCAATGTGTGAAGAACGGCGCGGTGTTCCAGCGCGCTGTTTTCAAGCATATCGCTGATGCAGCCAATGCCCATCATACAGGCCAGAAGGCTGATATCGTTATTAACTGCACTGGTCTATCATCCAAGACCCTTGGCGGAGTCCTCGATGAGAAGATGTATCCTGCTCGTGGCCAGATCGTCGTAGTCCGCAACGATCCAGGACCAATGGTCTCGGCATCTGGAACCGATGATGGAGAAGACGAAGCATTGTACATCATGACCCGAGCCGCAGGTAAGTTCATCCGTCTTTATCAACTGATTGAACCTCGCTTACCATGTGTAGGTGGGGGTACTATCCTCGGTGGATCTTATCAAAAGCACAACTGGGATGGAACGCCAGACATGAACCTTGCGAACCGTATCATGAAGCGTGCTATTGCGATCGCCCCGAGCCTCGTTAAGAAGGGACAAGGGATTGAAGGATTGGATATCATCCGACATGGCGTTGGCTTGCGGCCTCTGAGGGAGGGTGGTCCTCGCATTGAAAAAGAGAAAATCGACGGCGTCTCCGTTGTGCATAACTACGGCCATGGTGGCTTCGGCTACCAAGCTTCATTTGGCTGTGCAGATACCGCTGTGTCTTTAGTCAAGGAAGTCCTGCAGAACAAATCGCGGGCTAAGCTCTAAGTCGGCCTTTGTGGCTTCCTTGGAAAAGCATGTATATTGCCTTGCATGGCGATTGCTAGAAATCATCAGATGATAGAACATAGCGATCCACCCATATGTCACTATGACGTCAATTAATTGCTTTATTTCAACTCCATGAAGGCAGAGATAATCATTTAGTATCAAGCAACAATGTCCGAAGAAACAGCGCAAAAGATAAACCAAGTCTTAAACGACTTTGGTAGAGCTCCTCTCCACAATACGCCCCTTGAGAACTCCCTAGATGCCAGCCCAGGAATAATTCTAGCAATGGCGATGGATGCTCTAGTCAAAGCACGACCAATCTCACACGAATTGACACAGCGAACCATCAAAGCGCTCATCGACGCCGGCTACCATGACATCGACACACTATCAAACAGCTCGTGGGATGATCGAGTGGCTGTTCTGGCAGATGGGGGATACAACCGCTATCGTGAGCAATGCGCTACGAATCTTGGAGAATTGGCGGAGCTCATTTTGAATAAATATGGTCAGCATTTATCCCTGGATGCAGCTTCATCAAGTGGTGCAGTATTATGCCAGAATGTTTCTAACATGGCTTCAGATGGAGATCTTAATAACCTTTTGTATCAAGCGGATTTTAACAGAGATGAAGCTGGAGTCCTCATGAAAGAAATCAAGGGGATGGGGGATCTGGCTGTGGAGGTTTTCTTCAATAATGTGCAATCTGTTTGGCCGTGTATTGCTCCTTTTGTTGATTCGCGGAGTTTGAAAACTGCTATCGATGTCGGAATTGGGGATGACTTAGATCACATTTATCAGACTTTGCAGAAGGATCCGGTGCGAATGAGTTGGTTTGCTAATGGCCTTTCTGAAGTTAGATTGCAGAAAAAGCAAGATGTGATTTAGGAAGTTTCATAATTAAGAGAGTTTGGGGTCATTTGTATCTTGATGAGAGTTGTGAGTCGAAAGCAAAATAGACCGTAAAGCAGGCCTCGCAAATACAAGATTCAGGTTTATAAAACGTATCTAAATCCTTTGTTTTCGATCTCGGTTTTGTCCTAACATAGGTTAGCTTAAGCCGTCGAGTTTAGAGTGACATAACTTACCAGCATTCCATTCTCAACACCCTCAGCCTCAACTTCCTGGCCATCAACCGCTTCTCTGTCTCTGCGCTTATTCTCAAGATACATGTAAAAGTATAGAGCAACAATCGCAGCCAATTTCACAGCATATCCAGCGAGCATCCTATAAAGAGTCGTCAGTAACTGCAAGTCAAAGGTAATCAGTCAAATAATACGTACGCAATATAAGCACTGTGGTAACCAGGGGCTTCACTAGACTTAAAGGTCTGCGGTCCAATAATATTTCCAACACAGTAGCCAGTAAACAGCAAAGCAGACGTAACCTGCTTCTTCGTGTACCCAGCAATGTTAGAGCTGACAATAGTCAAACTCATGCTAAAGCCCAAGCCTTGGAAATAACACAACCAAAGCGCAACAAGACGACCCCATTTGTTGGAATTAGGAAGTGCGACAAGTAACGCTGAGCCAATGATACACACCGTGCAGGCAAATATCATGCATGCAAATCGCGAGTGGAATTTACCATCGAACTTAGTTGCGACATAACCACCAAGAAGGAGAGTGAGGAATTGAACGGCACCACCGGGAATTTGGAGGTACTGTGTTCCAAGGGTGTCGAATCCAAAGGTTCCAACGATAATGGAAGTGAACTATTTCTCTGTCAGTATATTCTAAATAAAAATATGTTAGAGCCGCGAGACATACACTTGTCAAAGCCGAATTTGGAACTTGCGCTCCAATTGCCATGACAAACAAAAGCCACGTCTTTGGGTCTTGCGCCGCTTGTCGGACCTGGTACCACTTGAAGTGATGATTCTTCACACCCTGCCGGTTAATCGCAACACGCTCCACCGCGATAGCTTTCTCACGCTCAGTGAGGAACTTGGCGGTTGATGGGAGATCCGGGAGGAAGATGAGAGCCGCAATACCCGTTGCGACAGAGAACGCTCCAAAGATGAGAAAAACATACATCCATCTTGGAAGTCCAGTGGTGATGTGTCCGACAGCGTATCCGATTAACCTATTTTTTTCAAGGTCAGGTGTTTGCCAGTATATATATCTCGTCCCTATGATATAGAGAACTCACCCTCCGAACATTGTCGCAATTCCATTGGTGCAGTACCATGCTTCCAGTCGTAGAGGTTGTTCCTCGGATGTATACCACATACCCATCATAAGGACAAATCCAGGACTAACGACTGCTTCTACCGCACCGAGAAGGAAGCGGTTGATGGCGATTCCGGCGAAATTATGGCATGCCGGCGTTGTCATGAGAAGACCTCCCCATACTAGGCTCGTTAGAATGTTTTATCATATTGATGGTTCCAACTTTATCTGTAGATCGCACCAAGAGTTGTTACAGAGAGGAATTTCCCAACGGGCAGCTTTTGCAGAGCTAACCCCGCAGGCCATTGTGCGATGAGGTACCCGAAATAGAAAATGGAGCCTAATTATATTAGTCTCTTTAGTCATTTCTCTCGTGGATGTATGAGACGTACTCAGCCATGAATATTGTTGTCCCTTGAGGTGAGTCCCCGTCTTCAAGCCGTATACCGAGGCAAAGTTGATACTGTTCTTGTCCAGATACTGAGGGGGTCAACACTTGAAATTTTGGAAATGAAAATGGACAGGGCTTACCTGAAGCATGTAGATCAAAAACAATAGCGGGATCAATCGCAGGTCAATCTTTCGAAGAACGCTTTTAGCTTCTTCTGGCGTATATTCCAGACCCTGATGCTGTTTGTAGAAATCATAGTTCTCATCTCTATCCGAGGAGCCTTCTGTCGAGAGGGGTGGCGATAAAGCTGCCTCGGCCTCTTTTATCGAAGACATTTTCTCGAAATCTGCGTCCGGCTGTTAGTGTTTCAGAGGAACAAGCAGGGTTTTATAAAAATCCCATCTCCTATACGCTTGACACGGTCCACGTGGGGAATTGCACAATAGAGTCCAGGGCCCCACAAGTCCTAGTAAGGAAGGTTCTATGGAGGGATATAAGATCTATAGCGTGTGTGGATGCTAGTTCCGGCCGGCGTTGAGTTCTGGCTTCTAACTTCCATATAGAGCATTGATGAGCGAGTCAGCTACAAATGTGTACTACTTGAGTGGTTAGAATGTCGCTTATTGCCTTTACTTTTGTGAGGCGACTGACGTCGAGGCGTTGAGGTTGAGCGACGCGGGTGGAGAAATCACGACATCACCGCAGCAATTGCGCGTTTGTCGAGCCATCTAAGCAAATCGCATCCCCAAACCCTCCCAACTTTGACGGAGATTTTCCGATGCCCCTGAATCATGAGAAAAGCTGGTTTCTCCGAGCTCAGCCCATCCTTTTCTCTGTTGCTGAGCTTATAATCAACCTAAAATGGCAGCTGATGGACTGTCAGATGCTCTGCAGCTCTTTTAGACTTTCTAAAGCAATAAGCTATGCTAAAATTCCAAGTCGCAAATCGATATCTCAAATCTTTTTTTTTTCTTTTCAGAATTATTTAAGATTATACTAAATTTGTGGCTTGATGTTGAAGAAAACGAAATTAAAGAATCTTGCGACTCATCGGAACCCCAGATCCAGATTAGGTAATACTTCTAAATCGACTTTCATGAATTTGATTGGCTGCCGTAGAAGTACAGAGATTCTAAATGTTTTGTTGCATTTCCATGTTATTTTGAATACATTATTCATCATCAGGTCCTTGAGGGGGGCGACTAGCAGCCATATTACACTGCCTGAACACCCGCACTTCATCCTCTCCGAAGGATCCAACAATGGAATGCATGACACCATGGTTATTGAAAAGTACCAGATCACCCTCTTCCCAATCATGAGTGTACAGATAACAAGGATCAATAGCCCGTCTCTGTAACTTATACAGACGCTCTCGAATGTCAGCAAGATCATTGAGCACCTCTCCGTTTCCAAGATGAATCTTCCGCGCGCATGTTGGGTAAACCATCATCGCAAACTTGCCAGTAACAGGATTCTTCCAAGCCATAGGATAAATCTTAATCTTGGAGGTTTTGAAGGGAGGCAGTTCATTCTCAGCAAGTTCAAGCCCCTCCGATATAACACCTAGCCCGTTAGAACGGGACTTTGCTTTGCTCATCCAGATGTATGGGTGGGGCGCATATTCAACCTTGCTTGTGCGGACAAAGTGTTTCTCTTCCTCGGACAACATATCGTACAATCGGTATCCACTAAAGAAGGCAGTTGTTCCAAGAGGAACATCTAGTGTAGCGTCTGTGCCATCATCATAGCGACAGATTTGACGACGACCCTTGGGAACCTTGACGGCCAACAGCGTGGTGACGAGTGGAGGGTCCAGGTTATACATGGCCGAATCGATGTGCCAACGATAGAAGTGTGTAAAGTCATGATCTTCCTCGGGTGAAATGGGATACTTGTGGAATGTCTTGTGGTGCGGGTGTCTCAGGCGAATGTCCTTCAACCCTTCGTACTCTTTGACCAGACCACTGCCAATGACTTGGACCTGGGGCTGGTGAGGAATGGTGGTCAGATCGGCATGGAGGACACTCCGCTTGTCAATTGATTTGCCATGGCTGTAAACCCCCGCAGAAGGGTCGAAACTTCGAGTGAGTTCGTATTGCGCTTGTGGGGAGAGCCCGGCCTGGCCTTTGAGCACCACGACTTGGTTTTCGTATAGAGTGCGGCGGAGAAAATCGAAGTCATTATCTAGAAAACATTCAGTGTTTTGATCAAAAGTGAACTGGTTTGGAGTAAACTTACCGCTCATTGTTTCAACATTGAAACCAGTGAGTTCTGCTCCAAAGTCTACCCGAGAGTCATCCGGTTTGCTCACGGGCTTACAGTAAAGTGTTATGGTAGACATTGTGAAGGAAATGGTAATTGATGGAGTAAATTTTGATTTAATATCGAGAAAATCAGTAGAGATAATACACGCGTTATATAGTCCTGTTATACAGGTTGCCACTGGCCAATCAGATCGGCGCGGGTGAGATTTAGCGACTTGCCCGCTCAAAAGGATAGAGCTCTGGTAAATGATAATTTGACGAACTCAGTCCATAATCATAGGAATAGTTACGTAGTGCATCAGGCGTAGGGGGATATCCTTATCAAGAATGGTGGTGCAAATGGGTGGACCCGCCCGCTCTGTGCGTTCGCCATTTATACTTATAAGGGAGCACTTATACAAAGTGAAAAGAACAAGCAAACAACCATACCTGGAAAAACTTTACTGAACACTAATCTTCATTTACAATTATGCCCGAGTCATCAGCTCTCAGCTTTGACCTCCTACCCGATGAGATCAGACAATCTTCCGCCATCGGCGCAGAAGTCCAGCTGCCCCCGGGAATGCCCCTGTTGGACCTCGATAGCCTAACTGAAAAGGACAAAGAAGTTCTCCAGGAAGAACTTTTCAGAAACCAGGTTATTGTCATCAGGGGACAGAAAGGTATCGACCCAACCGTCTTGCCTCGGCTCGCCAAAGTTTTCGATCCAAACGCGTCCGATATTCATTCGGCTGGAGAGAAAGCTGTGAGCGACCCAAGGAATATTTTGTCAGCATATAAAGCCGGCAGAATTCCAAGGGCTCCCCAAGTTGGAATAATCGGGTCGGGAAAATTCTGGGATTATGAAGGGTTAGACGAGTTGGAGGTGGTGCATCTTGTAAAGTCCTATTCCCATTATATATACCAACCCACTGACCATCGAGCTAGGATCACACCTCATTCCATGAAAAACCCCTCACCCAGGACGAACTGGATGATGGCTATACTCGTCCATACAGGTGGCACATGGATACCCCGTTCTATGAGCGACTTCCTGGAGAAGTTACCATCTTGCATTCAATTCGGATCCCCAATGTACCAGATCAGAAAATTAAGTTCCCAGACGGAAAGGAGAAGAGCATCGGTGCTGGGGCGACAGCATGTGAGTATCTTTAAGGAACCTGTATCAGAGGTATATTGTCTGATTCGAGATATAGTTTTCTCGGGCGCTCGTGCATTTGCACTTTTGACACCAGAAGAACAAGAGTTTGCACTCAATACCACAGTCACTTATGCACCTCAAGCATACGAATACATCCGCCAATGCAAAGCCTCTGATGATGGCCTCACTATTCCCACCTTGGGAAAAGAAGTACCGGTGGAGAAGTTATCTGAATGGGCTTGGGATAAAGTTGCAGAGCACCCAGTGAGCGATTTTCGAATCATGGAGGTGAAAACAAAACATGTGACTGACCATGCTTTCACAGATGGTTTGGCGAAGCCCAATGAATCCCGATCGGCCTTTCCTCCAGGTCCATGGTTGCTGTGTTTACAAGCTCACCACCAGAAACCCTATGACAGGGGAGGCCACGGTGGTGGATGACGTGGAGAAGGCCAGAGAGGTGGTATACAACATGCAAAAGAAGATTTATGCGGCCGAAAATATCTACGCTCACAGATGGCAAGAGGGAGATGTGGTTATCTTCCACAACCGTGGTGTCATGCATAGTATTACTGGTCAATTGGCGAAGTACAAGGAGGAGGAGGATAAGAAACGAATGTTGTGGCAATGCACGATGACAAGCACCACGCCTCCTAAGCCCTTCCGGGACTATGAGGGCGTGAATAACACAGGCTACGTGAGGGTATGACTTGGACATAGAATACAAGAAGGACTCCATAGAGCGGTGGTTCCAATCAACATCTGGACATAATATATGTTTCACAGCTGAAGAGGTCCCTGTAGAGAGTAAAAAGTCTCATTGAACCATGCATCGAAATCAATATCCTCTGCAGTCCCCCATGTAGGTCGCATCTCATCAAAATGAGCGCCAATCACATCCTGAGAATCAACAACCGGGATTCCGCCGGGAGATGCCTCGGTGCTAGGAGACCCAAGGTTCAATCGACTGAACGTAGAGAACTTGGCCAAGATTTGACCGAAATCCATCATTTTAGAACTCGTGCCTCCAGTATTCAGGTCCGAGCCCGCAGTAAAGATTGCATCAATCAGAGCAACACCTCGTTGAGCGAGCACATCAAGGTCCCGTGAAGCAAGACGGGCTCGAGCAGAAAGAATGGCCTCTTTGTAGCTCTGGGCACTCGCACTGAATGCACTCTCGGCGATTGCATTCACCTCGAAGCACATTATGACTGCGGCTGTAATTGCAAATGCGGTATGGGTCCAGATTGAGATATCCTCTTCCCGCACGATTGTTTCGTGTTCACGTAAAATAGTCATCGCTGCCGCGACAGAGGTACGCCTCGTGTAGCTATACGTTGGGTCATGGAAAGAGCGGAAGAGGAAGGGTCGATGAATCATGATGATCTTTTCTGCTGCCGTGATTGCTAAGCTCCGTCGGGCGATGCTAAGCCATGGGATTTGCTGTTCTTTCTCTTTGTCGGGACGCAGAAGAAATGGTGGTATATCTTTAACCACAGCTCTCATTTTCTGATCAACTTGCAGAATATGCTGGTATTGTTCACGGTGAGGCTTTCGGTTGTTCATTGGGCCAAGTCCATCAACTAGGCCGGGCATCAGCTCCGCCAGATTTACTAGCACGCGGACATAAGTGCTTGTAGTTGGTGTGCTGATTGGCATATCCATTAAGTCATAGTCCTCTGCGTTCATAGGGCGACCCGTAGAGAAGTGCATTGGGGATATGCTGTATGTGTCGGTAAATGGTATGGCGAAGTGGTCTTGAATGATCATTTGACACCAGACTCTCTTTCCGACTTCTCGCTCAACTCTTTCTTCCCAATCATCCTTATTCCGGACTGGCTTTGTCGAGTGATCCTGGATTTTGTGGACCCCAAGGCACTCGGCAATGCGCACTGCAGCGTTGAAAAGGGTCGCATTCAGCTGACTCAACCCGAGGTTATGAGCAACTTCTGTTGATATAACAATGGCCTGCACTGAGTATATTGAAAGATTGCTGAGGAAATGGCAGTCATACAGAGTTTGCACCATAGCAGAGAAGAGTTGCTGTGCAGATTGCATAGTGTGCAGATCAACATCAACCAAATCTCTCGCTTTCGGGCTATCCTGAATTGAACTGACGGTAGAGCTCAAGACAGAATAGTAAAGAGCTAGCCAGAGAGGATCATCATATCTTCCAGTTTCCCAGAACATCTCGCACTGTTCGAGAAATGTCGGGCCGTGGAAGCAATCATGATGCCATGCCACATGACAGATATGGAATTTGACTAGTTTCTGGGCATTTATTATTCTGGGGAGGTTGGGGTTTAGTCCCAGAGGAAGACCGTCACCTTGAATTGATCCGTTGCTGGATACCAACTGTTGGCCATTTTTGCGATATTGGCACGCGCAGTTCCTGTGAGGGAAGCACCCAGCAGAATTTCGACCCCAAGCAAGATGCTCGATTGCCGTGAGAAGTGACGAGTCGATCTGGTTTGAGGCAGATTCGGTAGAAGACGGTAATTTCCCAGGTATACGATCTTCAGTCAAAGTTATCTCCTGCTGTGCCGAGTCTATGTTGGACGCCTCAGATTGAGGGAGATCCTGGCCAGTTTGCAGCCGTGATATCCTATTTCTCACTTTTTGAATCACATGTGTGATTCCAGGCGAGGACGAAGAATCCAGATCCGCGAGAACTGTATTCAGAAACTCGATCTCTGAAGCATGTTGCACGGCGTTGCGCCTGAGCTGGACAACTTCTATTGAGCAATTAAGGTTCAGTCGTTTACACCTTGTGCAAGGAATCTGTTTGTCACATTTGCGCTTGCGCTTCGTGCACTCTGCAACGCGTCAGTCCTACACCCGACTCACGAGAAGAGATTTGGCCTTTACCTCTGCAGGCTTGTGGTTGACGCTGCGAGATACGGACAGAAGATGCTTTATCTGGTATGGCACTCATCGCCTGAAGAGATGGAGTACAGAGAGCCAATTATCCCATGCCTGTGTTTCCCGTTGATGCCGGAAGAAGTGGAATGCACGAGGGTGGAAAAAGACGGGGTTTGCCGAGGCTTGGCGCCCCAACGTCGATCTTGACTCTTCATTCCTTCTACGCATTCACCCATGCTTCATTCTTGAGATTTATGCCTTTTTTCTACTAGTTCTCCATGAGTATTCTTGCCCAGAAGGGCCTCTTAATCGACTATGGTCTCCTATGCAAGCAATGCGATCACCGTCATGCCTTTTGCTACATGCCGATTATCTCAATTCTCGTGCTGCAACCAATGGGCTCCCTTTAATAATTTTAGAAAAGTCGTGTGCATCCAAACATGCCTGCCTGGAGTTGCGTACGCTGGGCTCTGCACGCTTGAAGACGTCATTCTCGTAGGCGGCAAGGGAAGGTATCAAGGTATCTTGACCGAACGAGCTGGTGATTTGGAGAATACTAGTCAGTATACACCGACAAGGCCATGCTCAAGACAGGAAACAGAACCATACCGTGTCTGTCGCATGTCGACTCGGTTAACGAGATCCAAAACATCGACGATCGCATTGTTGGCGCCTTCTCCGCGGTCTAGACAAAGTCAGTAAAACGATATCCGCTGGTCCGCTCGAAAGGACCAACATATATCACGTACACATTGTCATTGTATGTGCTGAATCTCCCATCAAGACTGCCCGAGGATGAGCATGCGTCCTTCCTGGTTGAAACATCCAGTCTTCGATCCGGATGGAGCGCACTTCCACATCGTCTGGAAGTTTGTGAACCAGCGATCGGAATGGTTCAGACCAGCTGTCAGTCAGATTTTTCATCAGTGCAATGCGCTCCGCATTGTCTCCTGGGACTGATATCCCTTTAGAATCCGCCCAGGAAACAATTACCTGGCAGTGATAGCGATCCTTGCTACTGGTATCGAAGTTGCCAGGCGTATCCAAAACTACGGAATTAGTTATGGGTATCTTACGGAAGGTCTGGTAGACCTACAGCTGAAAAAGAGGAACACGTTTGAGTCGGGATGCGAGCCCTGGAAGATAAAGGGGTCAATGGACTCGGCGCCGCCCATCTCTTCTGCTGTATACAGCGTCGATGCACCAAGGATTTGTACGGGCAATGGGTTCATCTCCAAGTCAGGATACAAAATCTCGCGCGTGCGTGACCTTGAGCCATCGCAGGCAACAAGAAGTCGCCCAATGCATGAGGTACCATCCGCGAAATGAGCAGTGATTGTATCCCCAGAGGATTCGATATTTTGTAGATTTTTGCTCCACTACGCGTGTCGCATCAGCGTTCGTCGGAAGCAGAGAATAGCCAGCGCTCCAAAAAAGGTCCTCCGATAAGACAGTCGCGACGTACCTGAACATCAATCCCAGTAGTCAGTAACTGGCGCAAGCGAACGCGGCTTACCCGAATACGCTCAGCGGCAGGCACATCATACAAAGCAGCTCCTGACTTGAGATCAAAGAACTGGAAGCGCCCGGTATCTCCGAGCGCCGACGCCTTTTTGTTGACAAAAGTTTCCGGGAATCTCTCAACTAAATGTTCGGGTAACAGTTCGCGCAAGGCAGGGAGTGCCCAGTGCAGCGTCAATCCCCATCCACCGCTGCGGGCGTCGATCGCGGAGTCACGATCGAAGAGCTTAAAAGGAACACCATGGCGCTGGAGATACTGGGCCAAAACTAGGCCACTGATGCCCGCGCCGATGATCAGAATAGGGTGGTCGGACATGGTTAGGGTGCGTTTGATCCAGATACACAACACTCCAGCTTGATCTCCTTAATTTGCAATATCACTCGGTCCGCACTTCCGAGCTCACCCCTGTACTCAGTAGGCAGACGGGAAATAGGTTGCACTGCATATTCAAGCAATCATGCCACCCATGCCACCCATGTCGCCACGCCACCTGCTAATTGGAGAATCTTCGGAGAGAGTTTGTGTGGGGTCTACAATATGCCAAATGCTTCGATAAGGAGCCTATACTGCCCCACAAGAGACGTATAGTACATAAGATTTGACAAAGCCCAAATGAGTTGCGCCTTTCAGAACTAAGCGTTCATTTATATTGGTTGAAACGGATTTAGCTTTGCATTTACTTCCTGTTGTCTTACTTCGGGAGAATGAGGGTCCACCAGGACGGTGCTAGGCGGACTCCGGTGAAACCGGGCTGCCTGGAGCTATTTGATTGGTAGGTGGTTGGCGAGAATATTAACCTTGTAGCCCCTGGCGAATCCTACGCAATATATCATCCTGCAGGCCCACTCTCCGACCGGGATCATCTTGTGGATCTCGGTCCGTTAGGGCATTGATTGGAGGACTAGCCTAAACTGTAAGAGCAGACCCAGGCCTCAAATGGGAGATTCCAGGAAACCCAGCCACGCGGAAACTTACGAACATGTCGGATTATGTTTTATTTGCTAGAGTGTGGACTGGAGAATCTTGGAAGGACCGCAGGGGCTTGTTGCGCCGCGCAAGGGGTAAAACCTAGTACAAGACATTTCAAATGTATTGGGGGCGAGAAAGAAATATCTTAGCATGTTAACTAGTTTCACACATTGGTAATAATAATGTACATGAATTAAATCGCGCAAAACCTTCCGCCTTGTGGATCTTTAGGTATCATGCTTCGTCGACTTGTTCTCCAATGACACACTGTATTCCACTGTCATCTCAATACCTCCGTGGTCCCGATCCTGGCTCGACAAAATGAGTTCCTCACTTGGGGTCCGTTTCGGAGGTGCTGGCGCAGACACATTTGACTGCAACTGAGAACGCCCATCTCTCGACCAGTTCTCCATTGCATAGCTTCTGCCCCGGCTGTCATAATAATTGCCCTTCGTTTTGCCGCTATTAGATCGAAAGTCCCGCACTACTCCCTTTAACAGAGGCGCCAAGTAAGGAGCGCAGGTGACAATATTCTGACATAAATTAGCCATCAGGTTTCGCACCACTTGTTTCATTCCAAGACTTACTCCCACGTTAAATTCAATTGTTCCCCACAATACGAGCATTGTCGAATTACCGTCCCCAAAAGCCACGCGATGAATTTGTGTGAGTCGCAGAATGGAACAGACTGTCGTAAATAGGCCGAGGAGGAAAAGGCACACAACACCTGCCTTTTGCGCAGTCTTGATGTTCAGGCTGAGAAGGAGTGGAATAGGCAGCACAATGATAAGAACGTCGCAAATGATAGTGAAAATTGCGAGACCGTAAAACGTCGCTCCGACTGGAAGGCAGGTGCCTTCAATGCGAGAATTCCATGCTCGTCGAACCTATGGTACCGGAAATGTTGTTAGGTACCTATCACAGGGTGGGAGGTGCAAGTGCTTTGTTACCGGCGTGCAATTGAAGATCAGGACAAGGGCCCCAGCGATATGGCCCAGCGTACAGACGGCGATCACAATCCAAATGATAGTTCGATAGGTGATCTTGGAGGTTCCAGAGATCAGGCGTAGATAGCTAAGGCCAAGCGAAGCCTTGAACCCTGCAATACCGACCTGGTAGAAAGGACGCCCTGCATAGTTAAGCTATTTGCTTGCTTTGTGTTAGCTCGGTATTTATCAAAATTCAGAGGTCACACTATGCTAAGCGGTTCGCACCTTGCTGTATGTCGGGAAATCTGGCTTAGGACGATCCTTCAGCGGTAACCCGAGTCCATATCGACTCTCTGTAACTGTCAGCGTCGACTCAGTAGAGATGAGCGGGGTTGCAATTGCTCACGAGAGATGCAAAGAGCGCTATAGATAATACTGAATATCTGCTTGGGAGTAAGATACATCATCCCTTGTCTCGTGCATAGGTGCACTTACCATACTGCCAGCCATCACCCAGTCCGCCGCTGCCAGTCGACCTGATTGAGCCCGAACAAACAGTCGCAATGAGACGACAACAACCATCAGCACAGTCAAACTTAGACATACTCCTAATATGAGACGGTATTGCGACATTGCCTCCACCTCGGGGGTGGCATTATAAACCCAGCCCATTGTTGTGTATGGAATGCAACAAAGGTGAGGAGGGTAAAGAGATAAAGACCATAATTTCCTGGTCAGACACCGCAGAAATATGACCTGTTACAGTTTCCTCCGTAAAACCCTGATATTGTGTAGGGAACTTTCCACTTGCCTCATTGGACCTAGGACCGATAAGGCCATGCACTCCCATGCACCCCCTTCATAACTCAATCCTGCTAAACGCCCCGGCCCTCATGCAACGCAATCTATTCTCCCCACTTTGTTAACTTTAGGTAACTTGACTAGTTGACCGGTGAATATGATTTGGCGACAAAATCCTGTGCCCCTCCATGCAGGATGTACATGTATTCTCGGTCCCGCCGTGGTCTCGATGCAATTAACGTTAATGACTTGGTCGCTTTAGCCCATTCTTTTAGCTCCGATTATTTCCACCTTGCCCCTGTTAAACCCTCGTTGCCTTCCGGGTTCGTTTCTTTTTCTCTCTTATTAATTTAATTTTTGTTTCTGTGTTGTTCAATTCCTCTCTTTCTCCTTTTTGCCATGGGTGAGAAGCAACCTGAGGCAGCACCACAGATTGTGGGTGCAAATGGACTCGATGATGCTGTGGTGTATCTCGAGGGTCATGCAGGTGGGACAGACAGCCCACAAGTTGATCTGCGGGCTCTCCGCTGGAAGATCGATTGCCGGTTGATGCCCTACATGTTTTGCTGTTATGTTTTACAGTTCCTTGACAAGGTGATGCTGAACGTAAGTCACCCTATGTTTACAATTATGCTCAATCGCTTTCTTGTTTTAACATGGACTGCGTATGCATAGTATGCGGCTGTGATGGGAATCAAGAAAGATTTGAAGCTTGTTGGCAATGACTTTTCCAATACTGCCACTTGGTTTTTTATTGCCTACTTGATCGCTGAAGTTCCCAATGGTAATAATTTTTCTATCTCACGGTGCCTCCTTTTTTTCAAAGATTGCTAATACCTAAATAAAGTCTACTGTCTGCAAAAAGCACCACCAGCGAAATGGCTAGGGGGAAATGTGTTCCTCTGGGGAGTCGCAGCCGCCGCCTCATCCGGAGCACAGAGCTACAAAGGTCTCCTGGTAGCACGAATCTTCCTAGGAATCTTTGAAGCCACAATTGGTCCGTCGTTGATGCTGATTAGCAGCCAATACTACACTCGAAGTGAGCAAGCTCCTCGATTTACCGTGTGGTACATGGGCCTTGGTGTTGCCCAGATTCTTGGTGGTCTCATTTCCTTTGGCTTCCAGCATGTACACCATGCCTCGATGGAAGGCTGGCGAATCATGTTCCTCGTTCTTGGACTTATTACCTCTGTGGTCGGTGGTCTGACTTTTTCTTCATCCCGGATACGCCGATCAAGGCTACTTGGCTGTCTGAGAGCGAGAAGGTCGCCCTCCTAGAACATGTTAGCGAAAACCAGACTGGTGTTTGGAGCACCACCTTGAACTTGAGCCAGATTTGGGAGGCTGTGTGTGACGTTCAGTTGTGGCTCTTGACTGTGACAACTATTTTGGTACAATTCCATCCCTTCCTACCTGCCCGAGACTTAATTAAGCTAACACTGCCTGTTATCTCAGATCTCCGTATCTAGCGGTGTAGTGACCACCTATTCATCGACCTTGATCGCAGGATTTGGTTTCACGGGACCTATTTCGGCCCTTCTCAACACGCCGGGCGGCATCGTCAGTATCTTTTTCACCCTCCTCGTGGGATTCGGAATCCGTCATACCTCACACCGCTGGGCATGGAATGTGCTATGTACGATTCCCGGGATCATCGGTGGCGGCTTACTGTCCTTCCTCCCGAAGACCAACAAAGCCGGTGTGCTAATTGGTATCTATCTGGTCAACGCAATTGTCGCCACTCTTCCAATTCTTTACCAGTGGACTATGGCCAACTGTGCTGGACATACCAAGCGCGCATTTGCTAGTGCACTTGTTGCCGGATCTTTCTCGGTTGGAAATATCATTGGCCCGCAGACATTCCAGGCCCGTGATGCGCCGGAATACCACCCTGCTAAGATTGCTGTTCTTGCGACTCAGGCTGCTGCCGCAGTCCTGTCGGTTGTCCTGTTCCTCTATTATATGTGGGAGAATCGCCGTAGGGATCAAACCAAGGGAGAAGTTGACAGTACAATGGTTGATGAGACGAAGTGGGCTGGGCTCACTGATAAGCAAAACCCTTCTTTCCGCTATGTCTACTAGACATGTGAGGCTAATCGTTCGGTGTTGTGGTCAATGATTCCAAAGTGAACATGGAAGTTGTTGCGGACATCACTGGATGATACATGACCTGTACTATGTGGCAGTTTTGCTGTTGTCTCCGAAACCGCGAAATGTGGAAGAAAATGTAATTTATAAGAATGGAATATGAGTTCATATCACCCGAAAAAAAGTGGTAACTAGGGCAGACAGTCAAGGCCAAGATGTCACAGAATGGCGAGCCACAAGCTCATAGATAATGTTTGATTACCCAAACTGGCCAACTGTCTACGTCATTTGCTGCCTCTTTTCGGGTCTTTTTTGAATCTGAGCTCTGGATAGCGCCCAGCAATGTATTTTACGCGACCTAACTTGTTTCAGCTTTTTAAGGTCCTGAAAGGCCATCTGTGAGCCTCAATCCGGTAGGTGTTTCACATTAACCTATTTCGGCCTAGCCTTGCCATGAGGCCCTACCGCTATGCATGGAAACGTACTATAGCTTTTCTAGTCTTCACCCCACGCCATCAAGGTTGGTCCCTTTTGGAGGACGCGTTTCACAGACACATCCCTAACCTTTCAATCCAAATCCTTCCCGACGTAGCTGTTTGACTGGTTCGGTAATTGTGCACGACGCTCTTTCCCTTTGAGCACCCCGACAGGGCGCAATTGAGCAGAGACCCTCTTGCTGAATTCCAGGCTGAGCGGGACAAAAATAACCCACAGGCTGATCTGATTCCAATATTTTCTGAACATTTTCGCCAAGAGTACTGATATTCCCAGCAACGTCAGGCATCTTCTTAGACTGCGCAACCTAATCTTCAAGTCCTGCATGAGCTTGAAGATTTGGTCACAAATGAGCCGGAAGTCGATATGCATCTAAACTGCCAACTAGCTACAAATACAAGATTACCTTAGCGATTAGGCTGACAATCGTATCATTTCCCGATCCTGTCGCCTTAGCGGATCTACTGACGGGTAAATACATTTTGTGTGAATGTATATCTTATCACGATCCTTAGAGGAATGTTGTTTTCCTGTCTTGCTCGCTTGAGAGATGATCCAAGTCACCATCGACCCGCTCTTCTGTCACATTCCATTGCACATCTTTGACTATACGCGAATCACCTTGGATGCTCCCACCGTTTTCAGTAAGAGCGATCTCATCTTGTTGTCGAGAAGACCCAAGCTTCCAACGATTGTTTGAGACACTGCCGGTGTTAAAGTAACGGCGGGCGTTGCTGCTAGCCTCGCCGACCCATCCAGGGACATAGTGTCTCATAAATTGCCGTAAGGAGGGCAGGCAAGGACAAATTACAATCAGATTTGCTTCCACGTTGCTGAACAAAAATTCTGTTTAGCACAGTTCCATCAACATCGGATTGGAACAGAAGGACTTACATCCACACCTGGGGCCAAGCCAGTTGGTATGTCACATCTTCGGCAGTTAAGAAAGGAATCAAGGTCGTGAGACGGAGGATACTGGTAACAATCGTCCTGAGAAAAGGATTGTCAGCGGCCTGCGGAGTCTGCGCAATGGAGGTTGGACATACGCGCAACCGATGACGAAAATCAACACAAGATAGATCTTCTGGACCTTAGGCATCTGAAGGGACACCACTAGCGGTATAGGGAGGATGATTAGGGCGAAGTCAGTGACGATATTTGTCACAGCTGTTGCAATATACAGCCCGCTGCGGTTGATGCAAGACCCAGTTATAATGGTAGAATCCCAGGCTTTCTCAACAGGGTTACAGGCAAAGACCAAAGCGAATATAATGGCGATGCTGTATCCTACCACAATAGCGGAAATCAAGTGAAGAGCCCAGCTGTACCCTGCCTTTCTGTTTATGATGCGGTGATAGAGAAAGATGAGGCTCATCTTGGCAAATGCGAGGGCGGGAACGTATACGACGGCTGCAGCCAGGAGAACCTGTGACGATTTAATATCCCTATGTGTTCGTTGCGATATCGAATTCATTTATACCTTTTCATACACGTCCAACATCTCTGCAGTGACGTTCCACAAATGTATGCCAACTCCGCCGTATTGATATGCATCTGAGGTGAGGTGTTAGTACATGGCTAGACTTGAAATGAGGTTGGAGGACTTCACCCACAGATACACGTTATTTGAGTCCCAAGAGAGAACACCTGCGAGAACATCTATAAGATAACGGTCGTTATCTCCAATTCTTCAAAGCTTACCCATGCAAGAACGATGAAGGCTAATTGCGGAACGTCAGTAAACACGCCCTATTTTCATGTCTCGTCGAGTGTCCCTTACCGTCATCCCAGCCCAACTTGCCTAATAGACGGGACTTTGTGTATACACGAAGAACAAGACAAAGAAAGCTGAGTATCAGACCGACAGTAATGAGTGATATATTGGCATTCCATAGCCATGGGTGAGAGTAGTCGAAGTTGGCTGTCACTCCCACTGGAGGCGGCACCACTCCAACATGTTCGGGCATGTTGAAAAGGTTGTGTACAGCGAGATACTGACAAGTTCAACGTCAGGGATGTCCAATGTCAAAGGGCAAGAAAGCCCACATTGATTGAACATAATCTTCAACAGGGGCCATTATGCTATGGCCAACTCCTGAACCGCCTATTTTTGTAGTACAAGATGCATGGCTGACTTTTGAGACTATTGTATTGACAACCAAACACTACAGGCATTTGCTCATCATCGACCGGGCCAAGTGCCGTTACAATGTCAATACAATAATATTTCATGCTACTGTGACTAAAAGTGGTTCGAGCGGCCGAAACACGAGATTCGATTGCGATGGACAGTTCAACCCCCCACAGTGTGGGTCACGGATCGCCGACCCCGAGGCCAGGGCTGGTAACTGTACCCGCCCATCAAGAAGCGGTTGTTTCTGGTCAAAGCCCTAATGCGCCCGCAATCCTTCGGCCCCGCAAAACCAATATTTGGAATGTGCGGCTAATGGGACCGACCCACGAGTCTGCTTTTGGGGGGTTGGGAGCCCTATGCCTCAGGCGCAACTACAGGGATATAAAGTTTTTCCTGACAGGGATCACAAGCGAAAAAAGTTGAATACGCGCACATCAAGCCATACCTTCGGCTGCATGCTAAACGAGAGAAGATCGTCCCCTCCGACCGGAGGAATGCCGACGAAATCAAACGTCGAGACACATAGCTTACGATAGCATCTGTTTCGAGTAGGAAGTACGAAGGATTGGCCGTGTTAATACTCCCTCTAGCCAATTTCAACATATCTAACAGCAACTGTGCACGTTGAGGCTCGGGAGATACTGTAAGTTCACCAAAAGAGTTGGGGTGTAGATCCTCTTCAAACCTGCTAGGTATTGTGGCAATAGACTAGGACTATGCAGTGTTCTATATCAACTAGCCTTTTGATCTTTACAGCGCTGACTACAGCAAAAAACAGATACAGGAGAATCAACTGTGATGGGGGGGGGATCATAAGGCAGGGGTATAGCCGCCAAGAACGTTCACCATCATTCTCACAGTTGCTTTACTATAAGATTTCTCATGGTGACGTGTACTTAAATGAATTACAATTGTGGACTAATGGTGGAAAATACCGCTTAGGGGGGCCAAAAAAACCCTTTACATATTGTTACATATACATGTATGCGTGCGTCGATCAGTTCGTCGGTGATGCCCCGAGCACAAAAAGGCTCCACCACATGCATGTACATGTAGCTGCTAAGCGGAACAATTAATACTATTGTTCAAAGGAAGACTGACAAGATTCGCCAGTGCCAACTTTTTAATCGCTCACTGGTCCACCTGGCTTATTTTGAATCCGCCAGGTACCTGCTTCTGGAAAACACCCGCGTGGTCGTACTCCTTAGCAACACGACGGATAAAGTCCACGTTCTTGTGCCCGTAACTGCTCAGGGGATCTTGGGTACCATCGGCATAGTTCAAGTAGATATACTCATTGTCGCCTCCGACCAATTTTGCGTAGGCATTGAGTTCCTCAAGCGCGTCATTGGCCAGGTTGTTGAACAAGGCGTCATCGGCTTCGTCCTTCCATGAGTAGTCAAAGAGAACCTCTGTGGCTATTGTTAATTGCTGCACTTTCAGATCATGATAGTGTGGAAATTGATGACTCACGGAATAAATTGTCATCGAAACGCTCCAGACCCAGCACATTACCACCGTGCTCCTGGCTGTGCTCCGCAAAGAGAGTGGGCCATGGCTGGATGATCGTGTCCATAGTCCAGTCCGTGCTCTTGACACTAGCCTTGGCCTCCTCAATCTTCTCGTTATGGATTTCAATAGTGTGTTTGAGCATCTCGATTGTGTTGACAAATGTGCCGGTGAAGAAGGTGTCGCTGGAAGATGTCAGCCTTCGCTTCTCAGATGGAATGTATAATGTTTCTTACCGGTAGCCGGATGCCTGGACAAGCTCCTGAGTTAAGTTATACATATTGGCAAAGCGCATCGTGTCCGTGATATTGGGGATGTTGGTGAAGTCCTTCAATGCATCCGGGAATGCCACCGGAGAAGTGTACTCCAGAGCATTCGCGACAACGTTCGTGTCGGTCTTTGATGCATACTCCCACATACCAATCCAGGATGCATAATGATCCTTATGGATGTTGTTGATGAACTTATGTCCAGCGGCAAGCTGCTGCGAGGTGGTGCTGTTAGGATAGATAACGAGTCCACCCCACAGTTTGTCCTGGTCAATTGTCTTTAAGTCATACTTAGTGACAATTCCAAAGTTGATTGATCCTCCCTTCAGAGCCTTGTAGAGATCCGGATGACTCTCTTTGTTGGCGTTAACGATCTCTCCGTTGGCCAAAACGACCTCGAAATTTTCGACATTGTCGCAAGCGAATCCGACGCGTGCGGTGTGGAATGTGTTACCACCTAATTTGAAGCAAAACTATTAGAGATTTGTTCTCCAAGCAAGCATCCCTCAATCAATCTTACCACCGACCAAAAAGCCACCCACACCGACCGGACCTCCCCGACCACCAGGTACAGTCACATCATATGGTGCGAGTGTCTTGTATACAGACTGCCACCGAGCTCCAGGTAGGATAGAAGCAGTTCCAGCCTGCTTGTTGTAGACTGTACTGTTCATCATTGACAGATCAATAGTCACACCGTCGCTAATATCATTGGCCCCGGCCCAGGTGGTGTGGCCACCACTCCGGACAGCAAACTTGCAAGCTCCAGCGTCAGTGTCAACCAGGGTGCTAACAGCGCGGGAGACATCCTTGGCAGAGCGTGGCTGCACAATGCATGTCGGCTCAAGCTGAACATTTTCGGCCCAATATGATCCGACCGACTTCGTGTATGCAGTGCTGTTGGGGTAGACGACCTTGCCATGGAGACCGTTCGCTTCCAAAGCCGAACACTAATTAAGAAAATACATTGTTAGCTTCTCTTTCTCACTGATCCAATGGAACGACAGATGCTGGGATCACTTACACATGTTTCAGTGCGCTTAGCCGAGGCGACCTCAGGCAGGACACTAAGAAGCAACGATGCTAATACTGGAGTGATATGCATGGTGATATAGTGGTAAACAAGCGTAACTCTGCTACTTCCGAGCTCGAGAGCACGCAGGTCGGTCTTATATACCTAATTTTGAGCAAAGGCCAAAAGAGCTCTCGAAGTAGGCCGTTTTCCGGTGCCGGTATTCAACCGCGGCAGAGCTAGTTCCATATTGTCAAGTACAGTAGTCGATCAAGAACAGCCGACTAAATGAAACTCCACGAGGTGCACTAGGGGCTTGCGTACCGGGGCCGCGACCCATGGGTCCCCGTCGGTGGGGGCATCAAAGTGTAACAATTAGGGGCTCCGCTAGTGTTTTCAGCTGTACCTGTAATAATGTGGGGGCCACATTCTGTGGCCGTGGGGAATTGACGAGACCTGGATAAAATGCCGGTCTAAGAATAAATCAGGACGAAATACAACATTCCGCTTAAAAGATACTCAGACATGCGGGGGATGTATTGTAATTGTAGTTGGTGAAGAGATAAATCGTGCAGATGGGAGGTAGTAGAAGGGTGGGGGCGGCGGTGTGCGGCCTACGAGGGATTCCAACGTTTCTTTCGAATCTCTTCCTTTCTTTCCTCGCAATCTTCTGGAATTCACCATGGAAGCGAAATCTCCTCTGCCGTATTGACTCAACAAAAGCATACCTCGGACCACCCTCTGGGTCGTATATTGAACCCCCTTGGGTTCTACAGACTTCCAATCTTGTATGCCCCCTTTTCTAACGGTCTCATGCTTGCTACTATACCCCACTGTGGAGGTTCAAACTTTGTGTTTTCGCATCTTCTTTCTTCTTTCTATTTACTTTCGTTTGTCGTCAATACGGTGAGGCGGATGCTGCCGTTATCACCACCAGAACATGATATCTGCCTTACCGCTCTTTCTCTTCATTTACGAGGTATGGACTCAGGGCGTCAAAAAGCTTGGATGATCTCATTGCCATATAACCGGGTACAGCTTGAAAGCCTAGAGGCATCCTTGATACAGGAAGATTAGTTGTATCTTAGAGTAGACCGAGGCCTTTAATGAGTCTATACGGGAATAGAGACCTATGATTAGTAAAAACGTACCACCGTTTTGCTATATATCTTCTCGATGTATACATAGGCCGTCAAATTTTCGTCACAGTTGGTCCCAATTATGTCCCAAGGGGGATCAAAATGTAGCATACTAAATCTCTTTTCAATCTCAGCGTTATGTCATTTGTCTCAATATACATTTAGGAAGACTCTATGCATTCCACTTGTGAGCAAGGAAATCTGTTCCTTCTTTATTGTCAACTACCATCAAGTATAATTACAAGCATATGCACAGTTTCATGACAGATATCAGGTTGGAAAATCTAAGTGAAGCCTGCAATTTAGTCTAAAAACACATCCAAGCCGGCCAGCATTACAAGCTATATACAATGGTCTTTGTCAATTAAGCCGTAGGCATATTAAACCCATTATCGTCTCTGAATAGACAATGGGGAGCATGAAGTCGTAGAGGCTTTTTCTAGATAAGGGAAAGAAAAGAAAAGCCGAGCAAGTTCCTGCCAGGATTGTTTGGTAGGCCTTGGGAATACGAGGTCTCCGCAAGAATTGTTCTTCAAGGTAGACAATGGGAATTGTTTACATTGTCTGAAACCAACTCCAACTATCCATTGTTTCCTTATTGCACGTTTCATTCGTTTTGTGTTTTTATTAAGAGGCACGCGTCTGGGTATTAACTCTACACTGGTGACCATATTTCCTCTTACCTCAATCACTACCCCAAACCGCGTCTGTTCTCAACTCACCATGCTCTGGAGATATCTTATTACTATGGCGATCCAGCTTTGCTGGATAAATCTCGGTGTTTCTGAGCTTACGATTGTACGTTACTCCCACGGACCATGGCCTCAATTGCTAACCATAGACAGCCGATTCCCTGGGTTGGAGACGGGCCCGATTACTTCCAAGGCTATGGCGCCAATGCCCTTGGCTCGGTGAGTATGTTGTCTCTTTTCCAGAATAACTTTCTCACGATAAACACAGCATGGCGACGCGACTTCTTATGCGATCAACTGCCTTGCCACAGAAACTACCTGCGAGCCGTTTTCGCCCGATCTGACCGTTATTGCTGGACCTAGTAGTAAGTAACTACGCCAATTCCTGATCCGAATAAGGTACTGAACTCTTGTCTAGCATATGATATGATTGGCAGCGGCTTTGCGTTTGACATCAAATCCGGCTGCACGTTCACTGGTGATCCCACACCTACCCTCGCGACTTGTGTCCAAACAATCTCATACCACAACACTCCACTTGTGACTACGTCCTCGATTACTGTCACTGGAACCGGCAATCCGAGCACCGGGATCTACCCTGCGATGTTGCGCATGACTGATACTGGAAAGCCTACCACAACCAACCAGCCTGCCACAACCGATCAGCCTACCGCGACTGAAACCTGGAGCCTTCCCAGCATCCAAGACACCGCATCGACTGAACCCTTGACTGCTGCTAGGACTAGAACCCACATCTCGACAGCCACTGGCATCCAGATTCCCCCTCGTCCTGGTAATTCAACCAGTTACTCAAACGGCACTGAGACAGTGACAGTGACGCTGATTGTGACCGAGGCCCCCATCGCTGTTACTTGCAAGTGTGACTGTGAGTGCCCTACTCGTTCTCAGGCCGACGAACATGTGATTTCGAGCACCCCGCCCAACAATGCCATAGGAAAGCAGGTAGCTTTGTCGCTGATGGGTGCAATTCTCGCCGTTGTTGTCTTCTGCATGTGACTAGTCTTGTGGAAATAGATGAGATAAACTCCGACGTTCCAATCAGCCTGTAATAAGGTCAGAGGGATTTTCGTGAGAAGGAGACCGGAAGGGGCGAATAATAAGGAGATGACAGATATTCATGTATTGACAGACAGTCAAGAAGGGTCATCCTCTAGTTAGCAAACAATACAATCAAAAGCTGACCCCATGCCATATGTGCAGACATCAAATCGGTAGCTGTGTATATCTTTTTGCAAGAAGTATCTCTCTGAGATTGTATGAAAGCCATAAGCTCTGTTACAATAATCACAATGCATCAGTCTGCCAGAGGAAATTATTTTGACCACACCAAATCACAAACCCCGAAGAGCGGGCGAAAAATATATTGCAGGATGAGTGGGTTGAAGCTATCCATATCTTAAAAGCAACTGGCATAATCCATCATTGAGTAAATAATATTTAGGCATGCAAGGGGATCGGCACTGGCCCTCTCGGGCCAATGCTTCCACTGATATTTGCCTGATGCATTGACCTTGGACCCATGCGAATCGGGTAGTCAATAGCCGAATGAAAGACCCCATAATTATCCCAAATGACCATGTCTCCTTCTTCGGCTGGAGCCAACAAGACGTACTCCGGCTTCAAAACTCGATTTTGGATATCCAAGAGGAACTTCACGATTTCGGTAACATCTTCTATAATTCGAGGCTCCTCGTCCTGGGAGCTGCGTAGATAGAGCTTTCGAGCGCAATTACCATGTACCTGGAAGGCCTTTTCGCCTGTAAGGGGATTCACCCAGACCAAAGGGTACTGTTTTGTGAGTTTAGTAAATATAATATTGATTGAAAATGGAAAGTGAATCCGGTACCTTCTTTACTGCACTCGGATCGTATTCTCCCAGTTCTTCCAGCGTTAGACGTTCACCCCCTTCTGCCAGACCTAGACCATTGGAATTCCCTTTGCAGCGCTCGGTCCACTTGTATGGATATGGTGCATATTCGACCCAGCTATGGTCGACAAGTGCTTGCTCCTCAGGAGTTAACATTAGGTATAGCTGAGAAGTGCTAAAGTATGCAGTCTGGCCAGGCGGGGACTTAATAGTTCGGCCCGACCCGTCGGCCCACTCGACGGTGACATCAGGTCCTTTGGGAAGTGTAACGCATCGTAGAGTTGTGAACCATGCTGGATGTTTCCCGTATAGCGGAGCATCGATATGCCAGCGTTGAAAACGCGTGATGCCCTTTTCAAAGTCTTCCATGGATGGGGGAACAGCATGAAAGTCGTTGCTGAGTCCACGCTCAATAGTATGGTTTTCAATGCCAAAGTGGTTTTCTCCTTGGAAGCCCTTGCCGATCAGGCGCACGTTTTCCGCGCCAGGAATTCCAACAACCTCTCTCCCTTGCTGAAAGGGCTGGAGTTAGAACTTGACAAAAGTTATGAAGTTACCGAGTAGGAACACTTACTGCGAGAAGTCCCCCCTTCGCGCGGAATGTCTTTAGATCACCGTGGCTGTGGCCATCGCTTGCCTTTGGATCGAGCCGTGTCACCAATTCCCATTGCTTTTTAGGATCCAAATCGTGTTGAGCCTTGACGACGATAACCTTATGCCGCCAAACAGCAGCCTTGAGGCGATCAACATCCTCGTCTACATAATTTGTCAGAACGTAGCTCGTCACAATATGATACTATAATACTGGTTGTAAGACCCACCTGAGATGTTGTTTAAATCCACTCCGGTCACACGAGCTCCGAACTATCGAAACATTAACTTGGAATATCTCCTTCAAGATCAGGAAACAACCACTTACGTTGAATTTTTGCCCAGGGGTTCGCTCGACTGGGGCCACGGTAAAAGACGTAGTTCCATCCATTGTACAGACTTGGTTGCGTGTATTGAGCGAATTTTCCGAGCAGCGATGATGTTATTTATTCAGTTGATAGCCTCAATTACGGACCCGTTTCCCCAGAATTTGAGTAGCTGCTTATCAGTTACATTGTATTTGATTGGCTTAGCCTATCTGCACTTCGGCCGAGGTCGGCCGAGGTCGGGTGGCATTTCTGCAGATACTAAGGGGCACCATAGACTTTACGGGGGTTGTTATCACCTGCAGGTTGAATATATTTCTCAGGGATTGAATATTAACCACTATTGCGATTTCACACACCCCCGGATCGCCTGACGGATGTGCGGAGCGTGATTCAAGTCCAAACAGAATCATCCCGGCCGTTGAGATAAGGCGATGTTATCAACTGCTGATTACGCAGAATCTAGCCAGCCAAAAAAAAAAAAAAAAAAAGAAAAAGAAAACACTCAAGTCTCTCTTCGCAAGACGAACACCCTGGAAATGTTGTTAAAAAGTTCAGCTAGCGTTTGACAATGAAACGACAGATGACACCAGAACAACATGCAGTATGCCACCTGGGCTATAAAACCACTAATGGTCTTAGCTAAATAGATGTAGACAGAAAGCCGTGTTACCAATGCCGAAAATTATTTTGTATTTATAAGAGCCGATCGTAAGTAACGTCGCGTCATTTTCGAGCGATCAATACGCACTAGATAAGGTGGACTTTTGCAGAAATTATGTTGATTCGGCTGTATTGAGAAAATTTACTAATTGGACTTTTCCAGGAGCTCTTGAATTGCCTCAACGGATCCCGTCAAGCCCTGTAGAAGCATCTGATGTCCAACGCCATCAAGGACCCTCACCCAGGCACCATCTCCAATGAGCGCTTTCAGTCCCAACGATCTTTCCACCGGTGAAATGATATCCCCACTCCCAGCCAGCAATAAAGTTGGTGCATTAATAGAGCTGTAATCGGGATCAAGATGATTCAGATCCGCAACTGCTTCACACGCTCTAGCATACGCCTCAGCGTCACAGCTATTCACAGCCTCTCGGACAAACTCTCGAGATTCAAGGGCAACTGAGCCCTGAGGTGGGAAGTTGGAGATTGCGGCCATATCCGCCGCGGCTTGGATACCCTCCATTCGTGTCTTTGCGGCCAGGCCTAGCATTCTTTCCCTCGCCGCGGAAATATGGGCAATTGATCGTCCAGGCCCGAGTAGAGCGAGCCCCCGGATTTGTGATGGATGTCTGGAGGCGTAATGCATTGAGACGATAGCTCCGAGGCTGTGGCCGATGAGGATGAGCTTAGTCCCTGCTGTATCTTCAGAATGGTCTTGCAAAGATGCCACGAGATGTTCCAGGTCGTTGACATATCGAGGGATAGAAAGGACAGTCTCTGGTGTGGACAAAGTGGTTTGACCGAATCCCTCAAAGTCCACGCAGACTAAACGGTTCAGGTGAGGCGAAAGGAATGGTAGCAAAGATTCAAACGTTCTGGTTGATCCTCCTAGTCCATGAAGAAGAATTATCAAAGGACCTAGCTCGTTGCCGGTCTGTGTATAGTGCACATTTGTGCCGTTGGGTGTTTTATGGTAGAATGAAGCAGCGGGAGTATCCATTTTGTCTGCTCTGATGTTCGAACCGAGTTTTGCTTTTCTGTCAATTAAGCCGAGGGTGTCAGTAAATAGAATTGGCTCAATATACTTCATAAAAAAAAGCCCACGTTGCTAATTTAGTAACCCGATCAACGGATCCGGGTACGGCCGAGCTGAGTTGCACATCTACCCGCTATCCGGCCGACGATATGCCCCTTCTGTCCAATGGATTGACGCACGAGAAGTCTTGACTTGATAAAAAGGACATTTATACCGATCTGAATTATGAACCAGAAATCGATTCAAGATTTAACCATAGTCACCATGGTGTTTGCTGTTTCTACCACTGCCACTGAGGGCGCCCCAAAAACCCTAACTGTTCGGGAGGTCTACCAGCCTCCTTCAGCAAGTCGCAGCAATGGACGCGTTGCGCCAATTAAACATGACAGTCAGGTAGACTTCGGAGCGGAGGTATACGGTATCGATCTCAACAACTTCACTTCAGCTGATTTCAAGCTCATCTCCGATGCCCTCCACCGTCACAAGCTGCTTGTATTCAAAGAGCAGCCGGAGATGTTGACACCTCAACAGCAATACCGTTTGACTTCGTGGTATGTCTTCAACGCATATTACATTTTTCCCCCCTGCTGATAATTTGTCGTGCAATAGTTTTGACCCCGACGAAAAGACGGGAGGCTTCGCCCACGGCGCCGACCCAGTCCTTTTCTCTGACAAGAAAGTCACGATATATGGTCTCCCCAATCGACCAGCCATCAACGCTCAACCCCAGGTGCACATTTTGGGGCGCGGCGAAGTTCCCAAGGATCATTTTGATTTCCCACCAGGATTCAAAGTGAAAGGGATTGACCACGTCGACTTCCACCTTCCACCACACACCCCGCAGGAGGAAAGAGATGCGGGATCCAGTCGCTTCTACCAATGGCACTGGGATGGATCCCTCTATAAGATTCCTCCACCGCGTGTAGGTTGTCTTCTGGCCGTGCGCACGCCCAAGGGCCCAGATGTCACTGTGCACTGGGGCGATGGGACGGGAAGAACGATGAATATTGCGCCAGGGGCAACGGCGATGGTCGCTGGGTCAAGGGCACTGCAAGTCTTAGATCCGGAGTTGCGCGAGATCGTCCTCAACAGTCGTATTGAGTACGCGCCGCACGCATTCCAGTGGATGTCAACGGCGCGTAGCACTCAGCTTGGCCACCTTATCGAAACCGAGGGCCGGGAAATGCCGCTAGACAAGCTTTCACCGTGGACGGAGGATGAGATCTGTGTCTATCCCATGGTTTGGACTAATCCTGTGACCGGGGAGAAGTCACTGCAGGTCCACGGCCAGGGAGCATTCAAGCTGTATCTGAAAAACAAACCCGATGGCGAAGAAACTGTTGTAACGGATTTGAAAGAAGTTCGCGCTTTTATGGACAAGTGAGTTTCCATCGCCCTGTCCCTTAAAAGTTGTTTGTGACTAACCGTTGGCCGTAGAATCATGAGCCCCGTTTTGTCCCCGGAAAATATTTACGCGCATCCTCATCAGGAGCAGGATGTCATTCTTTGGTACAACCGGGCACTGTGGCATAGCATCGTAAGATTTGGTACTCCTAATTTGACTAAGATGGATTCTAACGCTGTACAGACTGAGTTCCCAGAGTCGTATGGGCCGAGGATTATGCATCAGTGCAATGTTGCAGCTTCAGATCATCCTTCGATGTAGGGTACAAGGATATTTGTGTTAGGTTATCGCGAGTTTCCACACAAATACACAATAGCACAATTTTTTGTATCTCCTCGCCCTTCATGAGCGTATCGGACAGCAGTCCTGTCTAGTATACACTATAAGCTGAGATTCGGATCCTTGTACCCATTATATACTTCAGGTCCAATACTTGTATGATATCAAGTAGCAAACTTGGATTCATCGTTCGGATTCTACTTTGGTACACTTAAATGACGCTGTCTGCTTTCTGCGTTAATACATCTGAGGCAACTCGCAATTCTATTGCTCATACAGGGGATACTAGGTCATGCAATCTGCTGGCCTACATGAGTAAATGTGATAAAGTGCGAACAAGAGGAATTGCAATAAGTTACTATCTGTTATTAAGCGAAAACACGGGAAATCCAATCCTGTCAAATCACGCCTTAGGCTTGGTAGATGATTGCGTCAGATATCCTGTGCTCACATCTGCCTCTAAATCCGAATCCACTGCAACACCTGATACCACGGCAGGCACCAGCGTTGCTCGATCAGGCCAGACATAATTCAACACAAAGTAAAGAGAAAAGGAGAGACTGAACCCATAAAGATAGTTGATCGCATATAGATGCTGCAGGCCCGTGTTGAGGTTGACATTCTTCGGTGTCACAGCATGTGCTAGCCCTGGGAGAAGCGGCACAATGACCAACAGATTGCATAGGAGAGCACGCCAATTGGTGCCAAGCTAAATATTCAAATGATAAGTTAGTCATACCTCCATTCTCAGAATTCGAAGAAACATGCCTTATAGTAATATATTCCTCGGGGATCAAACAAAGCCGGAACGTCGTATTTGCGTCGCTTAATGACCCAGTAATCGCAGCAGAGAATACCTGCAATGGGCGCCATGAAAATGGCATATGCACCCATAAAGCTAAGGAAAGTCTTCCCACTCTTGATGATAATCCAGGGACATAGAGCCCATCCGCCTAGGAGAATACATATGATCATCCCGCGCTTGATGTTGATCCATTTGGGGCACATGGTGACCACATCTAGGAATATATTAGTGTGATTTCGTGTTTCGCGTTCAATTGAACTGACCGTTGGCAAATGATACAGAGTTCGCAGAGACATTGTTGCAGATTTGAGCAAGTAACCATAATGAGCCACAGAAAAACGCCGCAGCTCGTCCGCCGGAGGACCCTTGCCATTGAGCGATTATCTCTAGTGGGCTCCATAGAATGGTGCCGTATAGTTGTTTGGACGCACCGGCGGCTATGATACCGAAAAGACCGGTAATAACCTTGAACAGGGGAATCATTGGTAGTTGCCATACCGGGCTCCCACGCTTCTTGCTGAAGCGGGAGAAGTCTGAAATGTTGACCGCCAGTGTCGAAAAGCCACCTAAGAAGGGTGAGTCCATATTCAAGGAGCAGGTTAAATATCTGCCTACCTGTGATTGAGGTCATGTTCATGAGCCACAACCATGCACGCTCCGAGCCATGAACACTGGGTGGCTGTTTGAATATAGCGTCGCCACCCCCTGCTTTCACGGAAATCCAGATCACCATAGCCAATGCCATGGGTGGCACCAGCATAGACTTGAAAATGAACATATATTGGAGCTTATGTGTGGGAATGAAGAGGAATGGTGTTTGAATGACATGGTAAACAACATAGGAAACCATGCCCTGCGTCGTGATAGCAGCCGACTTTGGTAGATGATTAGGAAGGTGTGTGTAACTGGGCCATATGGCTGTAATCATCTGTCTCCATGTCAGCTCGGGTATTTCAACAGGAATGGGAGTGTACCTACTGCAGTCACGCATTGCCCTCCATACGAGCTCTGAATACCGAACCAAAACAGAGCCAGCATAGCACGCGATGCCACACAGAAATATCCAAAATATGTACCATAACTGGCACGAATAGCGACAGGAAATGCGATATGCAGATCAGCTCCCACGGCTCCATTGAGGACTGTTGGGATGGCATTACATAGCGCTGCGACTAGGGTTAAAGTCACTGTGTCTGTGGCGGATAGACCAGATGCATATGCCGAGCTGGCGGCCGACCAGGTTGATACAGTGACCAGGTCTGACAGCCAGTATTGTGTGAAAGTCCAGCCGGTCCATGTCCATTTCTCTGGGGGAACTGGGTCTTGATCGGCGTTACTCCACACATGTGGTGGAGCTATACTGCTTTCTTGTTTGGGCAATGCCCAATCCTTGCGATGAGTACGCAAACGCATCATTGTTGACGAGACCTTGATACAGGGGGCAACATTGGTCTTTTGAGGGTTTGTTGAAGTAGCGACGGGGAAGAATCATCCGGGGCTCCTAGATAACGGAACGTGAAAGCTAATACAGAGCGGCGAACAAGGCGATATCATAATCTGAGGCGTTCTCAACATGTTTGCCCCCCGCATTCCAGTGTGCATGTAGTCAGACGCGCCAATTGCATCGCATATCGCTTATCAGCTATCACGGATCAGCCAAGCGATAGCGTCGGCCGAGATGATAACGCATATAAAGCCAAGAATCACCCAACCCGTCTCTCATCCGGTCAGGAACCTTTATTATTATCATGAACTCGGCAAGAAGAAAGCGCTTGGCATGTGCAGAGTGTACCCGTCGAAAGATCAAGTGCGATAAGGTGTTGCCATGTCGGAATTGCCGCCATAGGTGAGTATCAACTCCCTTGCTTAACTATGTTGGTTCCTTACGCGGATGTTTAGAGGCAGTTCCTGTTACCGCACTCCGCAGTCTTTGTCCCATCCGCGAGTAACTGCAGAATCCCCACACATTTCCCGCGTATCCCGCCCGACAGAGCTCACAGGAACCCTCGCCGCCTGTTTAAATGAGTTGCAAGCGACACTTCAGTCCGTGAATGCAGGCGAACGCTTGAGTCCGAATTTGGATGATAGCGCAGTGTCGTTGTCAGCGGGGCCAACGCCATCAACGCCAATTCCGTCCGAGGCAGACGACCCCAGTCCCAGTCGTGAGACGGCCGAGGTCGAGGATGCTGCAACAATATTGGAGTTCTTGGCATGGGGTCGGAGGAAAGTCCCTGATTTCGACTGTCTAGCTGGAGATCAAAATGGGGTTCAGGGACAGTCTCCTGGAGACGTATCTCAACCTGGAGGTCCTGCAGATCATCCTCAGTTGCGTTTGACTGATGACCAGTCTTCACTTCCAGTTTTACAGCTCTTACTTCCCGAGCCGCGCACTTTACTCCGAATGGTAAACTACCACTGCGAGTGTCTTTTATGGTACCATGCATCGTTCCACGGGCGCGTATTTCAACAAGAGGTTGATACCTTCCTCAAACGATATCATGGTCATATCGATACCAACCAAATCGATCTCCAGTGGGTTGCGCTTCTCTTTGCCGTCCTCGCAGGAAGCATAACATGTGCTCCGCGCCCAACAGCTGTTTCATGGGGATTCGAAGACCCAGAGCGTGCAACGCTGGCTCACCGATTCTTCAAGGCTGCATTAGTCTGTCTAAATCTTGCAGATTACACTGCTCGTCACTCTTTATACGGAATTCAATGTATCACGACCATGACCATAAGCGCGCATTTGCTCGGCCATTCAAATAGTCATTCCGTCAAACTAGCATCCGTTGTGCGGGTTGCACAAAGTCTAGGAATGCACCGACTTGGCTCCGAAGCCGATGACGATACATCAAATAGAGCACGAAGAGAGATCGGCCGACGGCTCTGGGCAGAGCTTTGTATCCAGGATTGGTTCTCGATACCATTTTCAGAAAGCTATCTCATTCATCGAAGGGACTTTAATACAAGCAAGCCTATGAACAGCATGGATGATGGCGATATGAGACCAGTTCCTGATAACGAGCCTACCCCTGTTACTTACCATCGTTTCCTGTACGACATCGCAACCCTCATGCCCCAGCTTCAGGATGATATATCTGCATCGCACACACTATATGCCAAATATGAGCATGTCATTCGGTACGATAAGCAAATGCGCTCGCTTGTTAGCAAAGATGTTCCCGCATGTCTTCGCAACACCGCCGTTGACCCCTCTTGGCCTCAATACATACCCTGGGCACGCCATTGTCTGACAATCAGCTCCGCGCACAAAATTATCATGATTCATCGCAAGTTCCTTTGGTCCAGTTTTACTAATTCGGCATTTAACTTTACTCGCAAAACGTGTATTGCGGCGGCTAAAACTATAATTCGGGAGCAGAAACAACTGGTCAAGGAGAACGGGCCAACACTGTGGATTTATCACGCATTTAGCGTTGCAGCTAGTGTGGGTTCTTCCCGATATCCGTTTGGAGCCGCACAGACTAATCTTTGTTCTAGATCATACTTTGCCTGGATCTTTTTTCGATCCACTCCCTGACTCTGACCAACGAGATAACCGCGCGCTGGCCAACGATACAATTGAGATTTTGTCCCAGAGCGATACAAGTATGATTGCTGCTAGGGGCGTTAAGATACTGCGCCTATTGCTTCAGTTTGAGCAGGACCGAGGGAAATTATCATCTTCGTGGGATATACGCGGTCTTGTCCAGTCTTTCTGTGACCAAGAGGTATCAGTGGGTCGTGCAAGTAAATCGCAACCAGCTGCTGATAATATGACTCCCACCGAAGCACGCTCGCCACTTTCATCAATGCAGCTGCCGAGTTTCCCACCTCAGGAGTCTCACTCTGAAGAGTTGTATAGTAATTTTCTTCTTCCAAACTCCAGGTTTGGGATGCATGATTCTCTAGAGGATATCCTGTTACTCGCGCAGATTGGAGGATCCTAGTTTATTGATGTATTCTCAATTTACAAATTTGAAAAACATATATCTGTGCTCGTCTTTTCAACAGAATGCATTCACGCATGTGGATCATATAAGACTGAGGTATATTTTTGAGAACTGCCGTACCGGGACACAACAGGGGCAAGTGTCAGCACGGCAATAATTCCGCTAGAAACCGCGCTATAATGCTTGGTAACGGATTCATAATGCGGCTGATTAATCTGGCCCGCTTATCAACTCGGCACTATGTAACTCCGTACATCCGACTTTCGTCTGATTGGTCAATTGTTGCGTTTTATCCGCTATTGCGGGACAATCGTGAGAAATCGACGGATGGAAATAGAAAAACTTGGTGATCTGGCCATTAATGAATTTGCAATCCACTATGTGAGCCGATCTATATAAACGCCGCCATCCTAGGACTTTTGGTTTTTCCATCCATTCCAATCCACCCTCACTACACCCCTCACCTTCACAATGACCTTCACAAAGAGCGAATTCAAGAACCCGGCTACCACCACTCTCCTTGAGTTGGTCAAGTCCCGTCGTACCTACTACGGACTTAAGGCTGAGAGCCCTATCTCCGATCATGCCATTGAGCGCATTGTCCAGGACTCCGTTCTCCACGTCCCCAGCTCTTTCAACACTCAGACCTCCCGTGTTGTTCTCCTGCTGAAGGAGGAGCACCAAAAGGTCTGGGATATCGCTATCAGCGCCATGGAGGGCCTTGTTGCTGCCGGTCACGTGCCCAAGGAGCAGTTCGAGACCGCCACCAAGCCCAAGCTGAACGCTTTCCGCGCCGCCTACGGAACTGTACGTGCTCCGTTGATTGAAGCTTAACACACACCAAAATAGTGAATTACTTGCTGATTGCTATTTACAGGTCCTCTTCTTCGTTGACTACGAGTCCCTCGCTCCTATCAAGGAGAAGTTCGCCCTCTACGCCGACAAGTTCGACCCCTTCGCCCTGGAGTCCAACGCCATGTCTCAATACCTTGGTATGTTTTTCCCGTCCGATTTAACATTACAGACATGAATCTAACAATGACTAGTCTGGCTCGCTCTTGAGTCCGAGGGCTTCGGCGCCAACCTCCAGCACTACAGCCCACTGATTGACGAGCAGATCACCAAGACCTGGAACCTGCCTGCCTCATGGAAGTTGGATGCCCAGCTGGTCTTCGGTGCTCCCACCTCTGAGGCTGGAGAGAAGACCTTTGCTCCTGTTGAGGACCGCTTCAAGGTCTTCGGCAAGTCCGCATAAATCATAGAAGCATCTTGAAATTATATAGCGTTACGAATGAAAGACCATGTCCAATCATTTTCTTCTGAAACCATACAAGTCAGCAGGTAGAATTTAAATATGGTAGAAACATGGCCCAGTAAGGAGAGGATCTGCCAAACATGACGTTGCATGCATGCAGGGCGATCTTGATCAAAGCTTGGTCCCGCAGCCAAAGGTCACAGAACGACAACGGCTGTGGTGATCACCCGGAGATCCACGAGAAGGAAGTTAATATCCAAATCAAAACACTAGCTATCCTAGACTTGCGGTGTGACTACTTACACAGAGTCCCACCAGTTCGCTACCCAATGGAGGCAGGGAGGTTGAAGCCATAACAAATTCCATCCCCTGATATTCTGACGATCATTACAAACTCGACTCATCTTTGGGGACGTAACTATTGCCCATATATGCATCCCGAACACACCCTGGGCCGACCGAACATCCATGCAAGGTCCCGACTGGACCTGCTTCGGTCGCTCCTTTTCCCTCGGAACTCGGATTCCGACACGAGGATATGAAGCCGTGCATCCGATTGGGCGTAAAACTCGTGGATAAAGTCGATAGTAAAGTGAAAACTCTTTAGCCGAGTCAATCCTTGTCGATCTAAGGGTAGACATGTATTGATATGCGGTGCTTCGTACTTCATTCTCTAGTGGCATTCCATCACGCATCTCACATGTTGTGAATAGATCGACTGTCTCACTTGCCTCACAATGATTGTCCTCAATTGTGTTTCACTTCTTCTCTTCCACGCCAGAAACAAGAACTGGAATACGGGGTTTAGCGTGGTCATAGCTATGCATCCCTAGATAAGAGGACTTGGTCGGCAGGTATCGTCCGCTGGACATAACTGTTGCGCAGTAAGATCAGATCGTCGGTCCCACTGCTCGACAGTACACGCAAGCTTCCGCAAGGGATTCCGATATATGCCCGGGAGTGATGTGGAAGTACATGTAATGCATACGTAGAAGTGAAGCGGTTAAATGTCGACCTTATTTTCGTGGAGTTCCACCCACTCCACCATCGACCACACACAATATTTAGTCCGTTTTCGCCACAAGCGCTCATATTTCATGTGAGATTTCCTACTTTTTTCTTCTTCATCCCCCATCCCAAGTATCGTTTCTGGCCTCGACAGTTCTAGCATGTCGAACGAGCATCGTGCGGGCGCAGAGCGTCCACAGGACCCTGTCACCCACACTGAACCCAGCCAACGTCTAGATCCAAGTCAAGAGCTTCCAGATGCAGACTCAGCACCTGAATCCAGTCGGTCTTCGATGTCCTATACAAGGACGTACTCGACTCCAGCGACCGGGGCACAAACCCCAGATCCATTAATGGGAACCACCATCGTCGACAGCGTCGCACTACAAAATCTATCATTCAAAAAGATGGACCAAGAACCCGATGAGCCCTACACAATCGACACCAAAGGACCCCAAGTAACAAACCGAAAGGCCTCAATCTCGGGATCCCGTAGTCGGGACGATGTCGCCGACGAAGCGGCATCCCCGATCCGAAGCAAGCAAGGCATCCCGCCCGAGATCCCGAACTTCACAGCGGAGCTCATCTTAATATTCGTTTGCTCAGCAGGCCTAATGCTATTCTCATTCCTGCTCGGCGACATGCTCGCTCCGCAAGAACAAATCAAAAAAGCCCTCGGCATCACCAATACCGAACTCCCGTGGGTCGTCGGCGCCTTCAATGTCGCGAACGGCCTGTCGGTTATCATCTCCGGCTCGCTAACTGACCTAGCACCACCAAAACTCTTAATGGTCGGAGCGTTCGCTTGGCTCGCGGTATGGAATATCATTGGCGTGTTCACTCTGCATCCGTCCCGCTATATCCTGTTCTTCGTGATGCGTGCCATGCAGGGCTTGGCAATCGGCGTCTTGGTCTCTGGCAGTATGAGCATCCTCGGGCGCGTCTATTCACCAGGTATCCGCAAGAACCGCGTCTTCTCTGCGATGGCAGCGTGCGCTCCATTTGGGTTCTCCCTCGGCGCTATCCAAGGCGGTGCTCTATACCAGCACCTTCCATGGATCTTCGGATCAAACGCCATGATCTGCGCGTTGCTCTGCGTTGCAGCCTGGTTCAGCATCCCACCACTGCGACCCGTCGCTGATGTCGCCGGCACCGAAGCACCAACCCTCCGTCAATTCGACTATTTAGGCGGTTTCTGCGCTGCTGGCGGCTGTGTGTGTCTCCTCTTCGGTCTAACCCAAGGACCCGTCGCCTCCTGGCAACCATACACCTACGTTCTGATCATCATCAGTCTCATCTTATTCATCGGCCTATTCTTCGCAGAACGCCGCGCAGTCCGCCCTCTCATCCCCAACCGCCTCTGGAGTACCCCAGGCTTCACGCCGTTGATGATAGCCTACTTCCTGGGCTTCGGGTCATTCTTCGGCTGCTGGCAATTTTACGCCATCCAATTCTGGCTCCGAATCCAACACGCCACGCCCATCGCCGTGGCTCTCTACCACATCCCCAACGCACTAGTCGGCGTGCTAGCAACATGGATCGTCAGTCGAATCCTCCACCTCGTCCCGGGCCATTATATCTACGCCGTATCGATGTTCGCCTTCACGCTCGGGCCGGCGTTCTTCATTCCCCAGACTGCCAACACGATCTACTGGGCTCTTTCTTTCCCTGGTGTTGCGCTCGTCACTTTCGGTCCTGATCTTGCTTTTGCGGCTGCTTCTATTTTCATTACTAGTAACGTGGCTCGCTCGTACCAGGGTAGTGCGGGTGCGTTGCTGGTTACGAATCAGAATCTTTCGTCAGCGATTATGACTAGTGTTGCTGATGCTATCGGGACCCGTGTTAATCGTGGTCCGTCTGGTGAGATTGGGCTTGAGGGGTTGCATGCTATTTGGTGGTTTGCTCTTGCGGCGCAGTTGCTTGCTGCTTTGGTTACGATTGTTTGGGTTCGGATTCCTAAGGAGGAGGAGAAGGAGCATGTTACTTGATTTTAGTAGACTTTAGATTTGGTTTCGGTATATAGATTAGACTTGGCTTATGCCTCTAGATATTACGATTTATGTTTTGCTGTTCATTTCTTGAAGATCTCTATTTTCATTTCGTGTGTCCTGGAATCAATCTGATGACCTATAGGATTGCGCGGATATTCGTTGCTGATTTCTTCTTTAAAGCCACTTTCATCATGGGTTCACGCCCAGACTCCCAAAGAAGACTAAGCTGGCATACATCTCAAGAAGTAATGAAAGTTATATCAAACAAATCATAAGGTACATCGAGGTTAAGGCTGTTCTGATGCTTGTTCGAGTACATGCTTCGATAACAGCAGACAGAGGAGGTGGAACGATCAACTCCAGCACATGTATGATTCAGACAATTCCATAAATCAGGCCCCGTATAAGATCGCTAGGATTATAAAGAGACTTTGGCTTTCAGGGAAAGGTAGATGAGTAGTTGTATTGAGGTTGTATCTCGGCTATTGTAAAAGAATTAAGAAAAACACAAGGTAGTCCATTCGAACAGAACCGTTGCAATGTGATTATATTTTGGAAGAATCGCGGACCATGATCCACCATGATTAGATATAGCGAGAAAGGGAAAAGGAACAAAAAAAAAGGAAAGACAGACAGAAATGTCAGTAAGCCACCCATTCCAAAAGGTATCCCCCAAATCGCAAACCCGAGCCAAATAAAACAAGAAGACAAGAAACCAAAGTAAGCCAGCCGTCACCATGCAGTCATTAGAAGAGAAAATAGTCGCCCGTATGCTGGACTGAAAATAATAGTATATATAAAGAAGCGAAAGAAAAAGGGTCAAAAGGGTCATCAAACATCCGTAACTAGCCGCCGCTCACTGGAATTATCATGTTTAGTCAACTCATGCTTAGTCGAGTCCTGCATGATGCTCATCTCGGTAGTAACCTCGATACCGCTAAGAGAGCTGTGACTTGCGCGGTCGCCAGGTTTGACATTTATGGAGTACATATCATATTCCTTGTCGTGATTCTGGCTGAAAAGCTCCGTGTGGCGTTTTTGGCTGCGGGTTGTGGTCATGTTGGTGACGGTGGGTCTGTTGTTGGAGGTGTAGCGGTTGTAGCTGTTTGTAGATAGGAGCTTGGGGAAGATGCGGCTGATAATTGGTCGTAGGAAGGGTAGACATGAGCAGATAATAGCGACGTTGCACTCTGCTGCGGTCCAGTAGGCGGCTCCGACGTTGCTGTCTGTTTTGTTCGTTAGCTTTGTTTTGGGGGTCAAGACTTGAGGTGGATAGTGCGTACAAGAAGTATCGGTGCTCTTTGCTACTTGGCGGAGACTTGATAGACGGAGGATACTGGTAATCACAACCCTAGATGATATGTTAGTCTCCAGTTTTGACCATTCAAGCGGGGTCTGGGGCACATACAGAATACCAATCGCGAAGACACCCATGAGAGCGAGCTTTTGCATGCGGGGGAGTTGGAGTTTAGAAAGGAGCGGCATCGGCAACAGAAGCAGTGAAACGTCTGTTGCGATATTCATAGAGGCATTGAAGAACCAGACGGCCTCAAAACTTAAACAATTGCCTGGCAGGTCGTGGTTCCAGAATTTCGCGACTGGAACACAGTTCACGTAGCCACTGATGATAGCCCATGTTGAGTAGGTGGCTACGATGGCCATCACAATGTAGCAAGCGAAGCGGAATGATCGACCAGGGAAAATGCGTAGATATTGGAAGAGAATGGAGAACTTGGTGAATGCCAAGCTGGCGTTATACATGGGGATAGCAGCCCACAAGCACTAGGGTAGGTCTGTCAGCAGGTATTCGAAGTGAGATTGGACATCGCTTAAAGTAGAGGATGACCTGTTGGCACATACCTTGAGTTGTTGCTGCAGCACATTACTAGGAAGCAGATCCGAGTGGATTCCCATGCCATAGTGTAGTTCTGAAATCATTGTTAGTGTGGCTGTCCCTCAAATTCACGAACAGAGCTTGAACTTACGAGCCGCAACGAGGGCTAGGTAAACCAGAGCAAACACCAAGGAAATCAAAATAGCCCAATCCTCTCGACCGGTGATCTTCATCAAACCAAGTCGTGCATATAACCGCATGGCAACAATGACAGTGGAAATGGCGGTCAGTACCGTCGTCACCACCAATGCACGTTGACCCTGGGAATGGCCATTGTCCTCATCGCGAGCCATCAAAGCGTGTAGAGACCCATCCATGGTGTATATGTATATATGTCGAAATAAAGAGCGTAGTAGTGGGAATAGTCGCTAAAGAGCGTGAGGGTGAAGATATTCAATAGGTCATGCCCGAGATCAAGGCGGCACGGATACCCTCAATTGTTCTTGCTCACTGCATCGGGCACTATTGGCGTTGAAGTCGAGTTTCACCCAAGCGAATCTGATGCCTGAGAAGAAAGAGTCCTCTTCGGGACAGCGAACGGGGACAAGCTCTTTTGAATTCAGTCCAAATGTCGATCAGTGGCTTCCCAAACTGCGGAGAAACAGTCAGTCCATGCATGAGTTAACAAAACTTGCTGTTCGCTTGTTTACCGTCCCCACAATGCTTGAATAGTCTGCTCAATAGCGCACCCAAAGGCAGCGATCCCCAGGTACTGAACCAGGTTCCCGGGAGGCTTGAGCTGCCATGAAGACGCACGCCATGGGGTCCTCCAATGGGAGGCCAGGCAGCCTGCAGAGAAACATCAATGGAACCCTTTAGCGCGGATTTACTCGCCTGGTCTCCATCTGCATAGGCGAGGTATGGACCCCGAGAGGCGGTTTTCCGGCAACACCATTCGAGGGACATCAGAAGAAGGATAAGATTGACATGTAGCCGCCGAATGGGCCATGGAAATCCCGAGCTGTCTTTTACAGTTCCCCTATTGAGTATGGGCCCGCGTGAACGGGCCTCCTTTTTAGAGAGTTGACCCACCATAGTGGACACTACGCCGCGTTTTCAGTGGCTGCGGATGTCTTGCTCCTTGTCCAGGGGAATAGTGCAGGGCAGACATGGTTCAAAATCGTGTTACATTATTGATGTTGCATGAAGTTTGTTCTCCGCTTACTCCGCGACGGAGTACATTACTGAATGCATATGCAGCTTCACCAAGCATCACCGCAATTGCAGACGTGCCCGGCCAAATACCGAGCTGATGGATCCAAACCTGATTCAGTGAAGATATTACTCCCTGGGAAGGTTAAGACACGATCTACGGAGGACCTTGACTGTCAACGTGACAGAAAACATTGTGCATATCACTTCCTATTTAGGCTAGACAGTCAACATAGATACCCCTGATGCCAAACATTCCTATTGTTCCTCAACTACATTTCTGTAAAGGAAACAAAAACCCGATTACTCGCTCAAAACCACTCAATCAACTAGACCAACTACAGCCAAGCCTTGGTGATCCTTTTCCATCCCCCCGGAACATGTTTTGCACCACACTAAATGCGCCCTGTAAAGGTGCTCCGCAATAATCGCCACTATTCAATAATGCAGATTTGGAATTCCACCTCGGGCATCGGAGCCACATGCCTCCGCGCACGCGCGGGTTTCGCAGTGTCCTCATCCAGCGCACGGGGCTACACAAATGTGGATTTTCTCAACTACTACTGCGACTCTTAAGTGCTGTTGGCCTCGATGGCTCGCATCACTCCAAGATCTACCGATGATGTGCTTGGAACTGAATTGTAGTTGCCTCCCGATCACTCGGGAAGGCGTTCCTTGCCGTGCTAATGATCGACACACTACTTTAGTTCGAAGTTTCTTGTGTTGCATTAAATTGAGGACTATACGAGGGGGTACTTTTGACATTTCATGATGCTACCTTGTAGCTAGATCATCAATAATGGCATACTACCCCGGATTAGGATCAGATTTAATAAGTTAAATAATAGCTAGTTCCATTTGATCTAGGTTGCTTGTCAATTAGGCCTACATTTTTCAAAATTCAGCCCTGGAGAGGTATTGGATCGCTAGTTGAATAATGGCGCCTTGGGGCTTTGCTTTGTTTACTGTGATTGTGCATATACAATAGTGTGGTTGGTGGAACTTGAGAGGCACATGACTCTTCTTGTTCAATTTCAGCCCCAAGCTAAGTATATATGACTGGATGAGATAACATATCCTCGACTTTACGATGCCATTCCTCTCCAACCTGGAGGATATTGTGCTGGTAAAGTAATGGTAATTCTAGTATCTGTCAAACAAATAGAAGAAACAAACAAGGTTCATCTTCCTCCTTCCGACTATCTTTGTGGGGAAATGGTACCATCGAACTCTCATAGACCATAAAATTACGGTCCGTATGCAACATTAAAATAGTAATACATCTGCCTAAAAAGGTTCAATATACTCAATACCAGTCTAGACCGTCGGCTTACTGTGATTATGGTCATCAATCTGACAATGCAAATCTGTTGACAGGAGCCACTGGCTCAGTGGGCGCACACGTGCTGTTCGAATTGCTCAACGATGACTCGGTGTAGACCGTATACTATCTCACGCGGACGGCATCTCCGTTTCAATGCTATCTGGCCGTCCGTTAAAGAGGCTAATTGCCAGGCAGAGGCCGTTGCTCAGATTTCACGGAACATGGTGGCGATCCTGCTGTACACTGCAAAGTTCCCCCGAACGGACAAAGACTCTATGATACGAGCACAAGTCTACCAGCGATATGATGAGTTGATCGAGACCCTGTAACCCACGGAAGCATGACGCAATGGGGGACTCAACTAGGCCTGCCCGAGACGCAATCTCGCCTTCTTCAGCTGTGTTGGGATGAATTCGTGATCTCTATCTCAAGCATAGGTGCCGATCTTTTTTCCGAAGGTGTCGACAGCCTGAAAGCAATGCACCTCCGTCGCTTGATTCTGCAGCAATTCAGGTTGACCCCTGCCACTCTCAGAGTCCAAACTCGGCGTTTGAAATGGGCACTCTCTCACAGCTAGCTCTCTACATCTGCGCGCTGCAGAGCGGAGATAGCCTCTCGGCGGCCGAAGACAGTATCTTACTCATGGACACTTTGGTCAAGAAATATTCCTCATTTCGGAAACACCTCCCTTGCGCGGAAACCCCACGGAGGATAAAGAGCGTGGTACGTACATGTACTTCTAATTGTTCCCCGATAGATGTGCAAGTCAGAACCGCAGATAGCTGCCCTTGACACCCGAACAATCATGTCGGTGTGGTTTATAATGATTGGCTTTGGCACGTCAAGGACAGAGAAGTTGAATGGTTGTCCTTGCCAAGCAACGGCTCGCATCGTCTCATTTAAAGCGGTCAAGCTGGAGAGCGCCATATCAAAAAAAGAGCGAAGATGTTGCACAGTTTTCTTGGGAAAAAACAATGGAGTTAAACAACGGCTTGAGATGCAACAGCTGGTCCAGAAGCTGGATACCCCGTACCTCAGGAGCTTTTATGAAATGTGCCAATATATGCAGAACCCATCTATCGGCCGAAATCCTGCCATTCTGAACATCTTCCCTGATTACTGAAACATATTTTCCAAAAGCAGGTCCACCGTGCATCGGCCGAACGGACAGACCCTTTCTAGCCTGCATGCCGTGCCACGTGTCAGCGTCATGCCATTAAAAGGTCTCAATCTGTAGGTTCTCGGCTGAACAATGCCTATTGACCGGTAATATAGGGACTGGTACATGTGTCGAGTTGGAAAGGAAGTGTGTAATTTCAGCTTCTGCCACCTAGAGTTACAGCAGTACCAACATCCAAGCAAAGCCATCTGAAGAGATTGACAAAATAATCACGAAATGAAGGTTTTCATAACTGGTAAGGACCAGGAACCCGCTGGTCACTATTACTGAAAGCATTCAATCGCTTGAATAAGTGGTTCTAGCTTCATCGTTGTACTCATGCACACCCCCAACATGGCGCCGGTGGATGCGTCGCCACGATTTCCTTTTCGTCTTTCTTGGTCCTGTGTGTCTTACGTTTTCGGATGCGAACACTAGGTGCCCAGATCTTATCTTCTTGTACATCTTGGTACTTTTTTCTAATAAACAAATTATTTTACGGCGTTTCACGATCGCACTAGTAGCGGATTAGCAACCGAAAGACATATCTCCTTTAGCTATCTAGTTGCGGGAGACCTTTAAAACGTCTGAGGTACCTAACAATTTAAATATACCGAAATATAATATTTTCCCCTCGCTTGTTCCGCCAATAATTTGTAGACTTAATCAACTCCGGAACCCCATGTAGCACCCACGGCCATTTTCTCAAAAATTCTTCCGTAACCTCCCAGCTCCCCGGTTCCGATGGCTCCCCCCACACCAGCAAGTTACAGTTCTTCGTCGAAATATCCCAGAATCCCATGATATCAATGCATAATTGGCCGTCATCGAGCGCATCGCCGGCAGCAATCAGGTTTTCACGCATTCTGCGAAATGGGAAGAAATCCAGCCAGGGATGATGGAGGATTTTGCACTGCATTTGCGTTGGGCGTAGACTGTCTGGCAGTTTTCTGTTGTCGACATGCTCAAGTGTGCGGGTATTGAATGGGGAGATTGCCTTTTGCGATATCCAATCACGGTGAGGAGTTATTCCAATGATAGACAGGTTTTGGATAAACGCGCGGTATACATTCAACTTGCTGAGTATTATCAGGTGGTCTGCTGTAGGGGATCCTCTCGCATAGCTCCGGAATGAGGATTCGCTGAATTCTTTTATGAGGGACTCGGTTTCATCGATAGACAGCCATCTGCTGGGATGTTTTGTTTGGCTTCGGTTGTCAGATGAGAGGACGAGTCTCCCTTCATTTACTCGACCACTTTGAGCATGTCTGCGTTGTCCTGTCTTCCCATTAGGCAATGGTGTTTGCATATGAATTTTTTATAAAGAGGGTATTGCACATACGATAGGCTCTTTGATTCAACCGATTCTGTAGCTTCCTCCGCATTTTGGAATCATTTATTCCTGACCAGTCATTGCTTTGTTCTAGCCCTGAAGAGCAGCCGTTGAATCTAGGCGGAGAACTGGATTGCGAGGAACCACGCTGCATGTTGGGCGCTCGTTAAGCTGCTAGCAGAAAAGATAGGTGAGCAGCGTGGCTTAAGTCCGTTGAGAAAATGGCGGGGATATGCGGTTGTCCTTTTGCCATATCCCTCTCCACATTTTAACAAATCCATAAGCCAAACAGGTATATATCCTACTAACGAGTGCTTTCCGTTCTCCCAAGCCACTGAATATTGCGTGGCCTCGTCTGGGCAAAGCAAATATCTCCTTGAAATTAAACCAATGATGACTTCATGGCCCATATAAGTGATTGGGCTAGTTGACTTTTGGTCTACCATGAGATGTTATGACTTGAGACCAGCCAACTTATTACCCTTGAAGTCCGATATGGTTAAGGGTTGGAAGAAGTTTGATTGGTCACTCATAAATTTCGGCCGAAACATTTATATCGGCTTACCGGAAGCTTTATGTATGCCAATGATGATTTGACGTTCGTGGATCAAAATTCATGTGGGCCTCCATCGGCCGAAGTAACAATGTCTTGGCCAAAATTTCCTCTACGCTTTGGCGCTATTTCATGTCCTGACCTGTACCGTCGATCCCTTGCAACCCTGTGTGAAATGACAAGTGCGGCACCCGCTTGGCAGCCAGTTAAACCGCACCGGACATCCTTGGGTTGCCATGGAGTCTCCTTATCCCTATCAGCTCGGCTTTTGCCCCGTTTGCTTGTGGTATTGTAATTGACGGACAGAAAGCTCCAGTTCCAGTCCACTCACTCAGGCAACAAATCAGCTGGCCCGGTACCACTGCTATGGTTCAACGAATACCAACGCAAATATGAGGAAGAACTTGCGTATAATAGAAGTGTCCTCTCAGTGCACATTACCCAATGCCAAGTACTACATAATACATAAACCGCTATTGAATGTTGGTATAAAAGTGCAGGGTCTGCTTTATGCCAATAACCAAGGGATATGCTAAGTAGGCTCACGGTTGGCCTACCTACGAAGGAGTGAGCTAGCTAGGAGTCCATGCACGTAGGTGAATGATAAAAGAGACTCTCACAGCAAATACTTTTCCGTAGTCACTGTAGGCCCTGGAACAACCAGGGAACAGTTTCCGCTCTCGTGTCACCCTCTGCAGTTTCGCCCCCTGATCGACAGGGCCATGACGAATTCTCGATTTTATGCTGCATTCTCTTCCAACCTTGAAGTCGGATATATGGTGCTATGTCCGTGACGCTTATGCTGCATGTTGAGCTTGACCGTTGCCGAAGCAATGATCTGCACATGTGTAAGGATAATGGGATTGGTCTCAATCAATATAGAGTTTCCGAGCCTACTTTTGGCCTCCTCCACATTCCCGGCCTAGCTTCTCAGGGCTTAGAGGAGTACTTACTCCACACTAAGCATAATGAAGGATTGAGGAGGTAGGAGCCGTCAACCTTCCCCTTTTGAATAATATTTCAAAGCTAACCAGTTAAGAGATAACTAACGATCCACAATGTCACCAATCTGCGGAAATCCTACTTGTGCAACCTGCTTGGCATTGGCAGAGGGGTATACCCGATATTTACCCGGTGGGTCTTGGTACCTATGTAGATCCATGGGATGCCTATATCCCTAACACTATATATGGGACTCTCTCAGTGCTGGCTTAATACAGTGCTACTTGAGAAAGCAGTGGTCAGAGATCAGTTTGAATTCGTCAATATCGGTATTCAAGCTTACGCTGCTACGCTCACTTTCTTCATGTCGCGGTTTACTCTACGGCTTGGGCTCCTTGGGGCGGTGCTCTGCCATCTAACGGCGGCGAGCCCATTGAAGGCCATGCAAGATGCTGCTCCAATTGCCATCGTCAGGAACGGCACATACACTGGTCGCTATAACGCCGAGTACGATCAAGACTTCTTCCTGGGAATGCCTTATGCTCAACCTCCGGTGGGCGATCTGCGTCTCCGCAACCCGGCCTCTCTCAACACATCATGGGACGGAAGTGCCGATGCCACTACCTTCTCCCCAGCGTGCTACAACTTCGGACCGTCCCAATACCCCGAGATACCACACTCGGAAGACTGCCTGAATCTCAATGTGGTACGACCCAGCGGCGTCAAGCCAGGTGACAACCTGCCCGTAGGTCTATGGATTCACGGTGGCGGCCATACAGGGGGCTCGAACCAGGATCCCAACTACAACATGACATTCCTTGTCCATCAATCCGTGGCGGCGGGCAAGCCGTTTATCGGGGTCAATATCAACTATCGGTTGCAACTATTTGGCTTCATGTACGGCTCAACTGTCGCGGAGGCCGGTGTTGGCAACCTTGGCTATAAAGATCAACACTTGGCGCTTCGTTGGATCCATGAAAATATCGCTGCGTTTGGTGGAGATCCTTCTAAGGTGACTATCTGGGGCGAGAGTGCGGGAGCGGAAAGTTCGGGAGCCCACTTGGTTTCGTATGGTGGCCAAGATCAGGGTCTCTTCCGAGGAGTCATGTTGGAGAGTGGAGGTCCCATCTATCCATACCGATACAACACTCCAAAGGAATGGGATGTCTACTACGATGTCATTCTCCGGGCTACCAATTGCAGCAGAGCATCTGATACCCTGGCGTGTCTTCGCACCGTGCCTTCCGAAACTCTCTTCTCCATCTTTAACAGCAGTGTGTCTGCCTCGATCCCATCTTGGGGTATGGAGATCGACGGAGACTTTATTCGGGAGAATGCTCGGGAGGCGCTTATCGCCGGACGCTTCATCAGAGTGCCAATACTGCATGGCCAGAACCACGACGAAGCAACGATTTTCTCCATCACGGGCATTAACACGGATGAAGACTTCTATGCACAAGTGAGACAACGGACCTCTGACAATGCCACTGTGCAAGCCATCGCAAAACTGTACCCAGACATCCCCGTAGTTGGAATCCCATCGACATTGGAAGGTCGACCATCTGCAGCACTGGGCTTTCAGTACAAACGCATTTCGGCCTTCATTACTGACCTGATGTGGCATGCGCCTCGCCGGTTGACCAGCCAAATCTTGACCCAGCACAATGTCCCCAATTGGAACTACTTGTTCAACGTTAGGCCCAATGGCATGCCGCTGTCGGCTGGAGCATCTCATTTCACAGAGGTGTCATTCATGTTCTATAACATTCTGGGTCTTGGATATGCGCAACCGCCATTTGCCAACACGCCCCCAAGTTACAAGGAGGTGTCAAATCTCATGTCGATGTACTGGGTCAATTTCATTGTCGATGGTGATCCCAACGGTGCCAATAGTAAGTTTTTCCATGCCTCAAGCAGTTCTTATAATATCCCCAATAAGTTTGTTCATTGACACCAACTGACCCATCTTCATAGTTGGCAACCACACTCACTGGCCTGCATATTCCCTTTCGAACCCACAGCAAATGACCTTCGATGCCAACACTACTGAGCTTTCATTCCGTGCACCAGACACATATCGTGCGGCACCAATTCAATATATCTCTACTCACTTGGCCAGCTCTTTTGGAAGATGATTGTGGCAGGTAAATCTGCTCATCTGAGGACAAAAGAGCACCGGAAGGACAATAATGTATCCAACAAAACTTGGAAAACGAATTATCCAATACCAGATACCAAATAGAAAACCACAAAATGAACCGCTCTAAGACAAGTTACAAGAAAAGTCCACGCATCTTAACCGATCTAGAGCGCCTTAGGCTCAGAGTAAATCCACTGTACTGGCACCAGAAGACCCACATCCAATTTAATGGCGTATTCCTACTTGGCACTACGCCAGCCCTAACCTCAAAGACTGGGGAAGTGAACCCTGATTTGCGGATACCTGCATGCCAAGACGAGTGGGTGCGTTGGCCCCGGTTTTGATCAGAATTGTAAGTATCATGAAGGAGAGGGTTTGAGGATTGGATCTTTGCGCAGTGTGAAGTTGCTACAGTGTGTATGACTGTAATGGATGAAAGAGAGGGAGACCGCGGAGGCTGTTAGATTTCGATATGAGGGAAGAGGGGGTTGGAATGGAGTAGATCTGAGAATTGGGGCAGCTTTGGCTCGGACTTCTGAAAGAGCTCATATTCTGATGTATCACATTCTAAGTACAGTATGCGAGCACAAGAAACCAAGATCTTCAAAATCATGGTACCGGTCGTAAATGTCGCGATATTCCGTGGAATTGATAAGTCTGGGATTGTAAAAGCCTAAAGCAAGACGCAGAGGATGAATACTGAATAAATATACGTTTCACAGGAGGTAAAAAAAGAATAGCGATTCCTCTGAATAGAATACAATTCAAGAACCACACTTTTGCCAATAATAACACAGCCAGGTAAGATTCCCAGCAAAGTAGGTGGTATCTTAATGCGCCATTTATCTCTCGAGAACACCAGTGCAAAAAGAAGAAAAAAGAAAAAGAAACATTATCCGGATCACATTATTTTCGTCACTGCTTTTGGACAGACGTTGAATGGTTACCGCCTCATCGCGGCCAACTCACGCTCCTTGGCTCGGAGTGCCTCGCGCATATTCTCGGCTTCGCGTTCTAGTCTAGCACGGCGATCTACCGAGTCACCGAGAGATGCAATGCCAGGCAATGGTTGCGGGGTATGAGGCGCGGGAGACACAGAGTGGTGGAGGGGTTGGGGCCTGTTCAGGTTGGGATCTGAACGGGCTTCGCCGCGAACATCGGGCTGGTTCAGGATGGATGAGATGGAGCTAAGCCGGCCGGGTGGGGTGGGGTTAGCCGAGGACATGATCGGAGGTAGCTGATTTGACCCTGCCTCCAGAGTGTTGGGGACTGGCAGGGCTTCCGCGGCTGTCTCTGCCAAGGTTCGCTTTTGGGAAGGTTGAGGGAGTTCGGGGATGCCGAGCGTCGGCCGTATGACACGGGGGAGTGACCCAGACGTTCTACTCCCAGCAGCATTGGTAGACCGTGCGAGGTAGGAGCGCCATGAGGAGGCACAGATGAGACATTGTAGCCGGTGAAATCGACCGGTGGCGGCGCGAAAGATATGGGTCGGGGTGCATCTTCAGTTTTACCAGGCATCATGTGATAATGATCCATGGGCTCGTTGCTCATATATCGATAATGATCGTCGTGGCTATGAGCCAAGGCAGCAGGCGAGGCTTCTGGAGACGCGGAAGAGCCATTGGATGACTGGGTGGCAGCGGTGGGAGACTGGTCTCGTAGGGCAGGAACAACACGTTTGCGACGTTTGATGATAGACTTCTTCATATTCGTGGGCCGATAGCATCCATGGAGCTTATAGTACAATCCTGCATTCTGTCAGTCAAATGGACCCATAAATAATGTGAGCAGTGGATACTAACCACAAGCGTTACAAATCGGGTGACCCTGTTCGTCGCGTCGCCAAAGAGGAGTCACAGTCGTCCCACAATTTTGGCAAGCAACCAGAGTATTATTTCCATCGTTCGAAGCGGGAACCTTCACTGGTGGCTCCTCTTTCGGCGCGGGTCCAGGCTCATTTGCTGGAGCACGTCCCCATGAAGATTGAATGGCGGTGGTTCCTCGGGGTGCGGACTTGTAGATGCGATTATTGTAAGCTGGGCATCCGTCGCATCCCTCGGCACCACCGGTACCATTACAGCTTCCACCACCAGGACATGAGCCCTTGCATCCACCTCCAGAGTGTGCGGAACCATCGGGATTGACATGAGCGGGAGGAGCCGGCTTTTCGCCGCCTTCTGGTTGCATGCGATTCCGTTTCGTGGGGCGGGCGACGTTGCGAGCCTTGAGATAAAGTCCGCAGGCATTACAGATCATCGCTCCTGTCGGGGAACGACGCCAAAGTGGCGTGCTTTTTGTACCGCAATTGCTGGGAGATTGGAGTCAGCCCACCAATAAATGCATCAATACGATCAATCACGACTCACCTGCATGAATGTCCTACGAAAATAACGCTTTTTTGCCCGCTTGGTGATGTTTTCTCGCCTGGAAGATCATTGTGTCCCCATCGATCTGGTCCAGACTGACCAGACTCCTGAGCCGTCGAATCCTCTCTGTAGTGATCTGCCATATGTTCACGACCCGCCTGCGCCGAGGAGATCAACTGCTGAGCAGCATCCAAGTCCTCCGCTGACGGCTGTCGCATCGGAACGTCCTGGTTCCGAGGCAAAGAGTGAAGAGTCTCCATTTGTGGGATGGACGCTAACATTACCACCAGCGATTGAGGCCGGGAATCCTTCAGCCGTTTCAGGATTGTAGACAGCGGGGGCCGACGAGCGAGACGGGGGAAGCGAGGGGAGTAGAGGATATCGTAGGGAGAATGTGAGGGCGATGTCGCACCACAGTCGAAAGCACAATACACCGTATCTCTCTAAAACCAAATGTCGGTCAAGCTGACGGTTGGAGATAGGAAAGTCAGTCCAGCAGGAAGGGCTGCAGCCACGATGCTGCAGCGGTGACTCGCGCGGACAATGACTCGAAATCGAGTCGAGGGATGTCAATATTGGCGTTTCAGAAGACTCGGAAGATAGAGATGAGTCCGCCACAGACAATTACCGATGTATATGGAAGAGTGGCGACCCAACAATCAGGTGATCCTGATTGCGACAGCTGACAGCGCAGAAAGGCGCCAATCTGACTAGCGAGCGATCGTGGGGAGACGGGCTCGTTCGGAAACAATGGCCGACGCAAAAGCACGAACAGCGAGGCCAGGATTGGCTAAGAGGCTAGGGAGCTGCAAGATGGTGATCACTCTGCGTTGGGAAGGGGCCAAGTGGGCACAGGAAGGAGTAGGAACAATAGGAGAAGGGAGGCGAGTAGAAGATAGTAGGCTGGAAGAGGATAGAGTGAGTAAAGGATCAAGAGTAAAGGGTAGAGGTAAAGGTGAAAATGAAGGTAAAGGTGGAAGGGGAACAAAGAGGAATGCGATGCTTATCGCAAAAAGGGATTTGGGGTTATCGATCTAGGGGCGATCAACGGCATATCAATCTATCACTCTAAACTGCCGGGTTTGTTCTTACCTATCCCTTTTTGCCTTTTCTTTGCTGTAGCAATGCTAAGAAATCTCTTCAACATGCATGTCTTAATCTCCAGATAGATCAGACTCCACTTCAGATGAAGATTACAGAAACCAGCAAGAAAGTGGGAATTTCACCTTCCCAACTGAGGATTTAGTGGAGTTTTGCTAGGCAATCGAATATGTGCGGTCGGTGATTGGCTATACTTTGATGACTAATGAGGTCAGCAGTAATCTCGGCCTTCTAATTCGCCACTCGGCTCTCGAATACACCGGAGCGATATGACCACGTAGTATTTTGGGGTGCTTTTTAGTCCGTTAAGCCCGGGCAAAAGTACAAAACGGCGGAACTTAGCGACGGACTTCGGTTTATGTCAAACTATAAGTTAGCCCCCAAACGGGCTCACCGGATCTTGGATCAAAAATTCATTAATGCCATATCCAATTTCAAATATAGTACAGGTCTCTTAAAACTTCGAGCTGGTACAGAAAATCTCGGAGACCCAGCCAAATCATCCATGCTTTCCCTCTTCCCCTGAAAAGCTCGATCTCATAACAGCTCCGGGTCCGTCATCACGATCAGACCCTGAGATTCCCCAGGTCGTTCCACTGGAGTCGCGCACACTGCACGCCACATTACGAAAGAGATCGGGGATCTGTCATGTTGCCAAGGCCATGCGCCCCACTCGAAGGCATGACAGGAACCGGTCATCGCCACCTACGCAGGCGGTAATTTAGACCTGCTCAGCACCCCAGCCCTGGTCAGACTCGCGCATGTTGGAAGGGGGCTCGATGGAAGGGATGAACTCGAGAGCGACGTATCCGAGACCGATGAAGCCGATGAGGGAGCCGGCAATAATGCGCAGGACGTGGTCGTGCAGCAGGATGGATCCGATGAAGATGTAGACTGCGGATGAAAGAGATTAGCCACCTGTCGCGATACATCCTTTCACGTTAAGAGATTCAATCACTTACAAACACCACGGCCCAGGAAGGAGAAGAGGAACGACGCATAGCGGTAAGCGTGGTCCGGGACGTTAGGGAGGAACTCCAGTCCAGCGACAACTGCACACACATTAGCCACTAACTGGTATATAGGTATTGCAAAGCATACCAAGACCGAAGAGGATCACATAGACGCCAAGGATGACAGAGCTCCAGGTTGCGGGGAAGAAGTTGCTGATGCCTCCCAGCACCATGAACACACCCACAGCGATGTTGACAAGACGACTGCAGCTGGTCAGAACTTTACTTTTCGCCGCACGCGCACACACGCAGAGCATCAACATACAAGATGTTTGTGAAATCCATTTTGATGACTTTATGGTATGTTATTCAGATGAAAGGGATCTTCTGGGTCTCGTGGTCGCGAATCAATAGTGCGGATCGCGAGTCGCTAGGCAGCTGCAAAGATCACAGTAGCGACAATGGGTCTCGAATAGCTGGGTTGAGTCTTCAATAGTCCTCAGTTAGCTCCTGATGTATCTGTCGATGGCGTTCAATCTGGATAGTGGAGAGTGAGGAAGAGCGGCATGTTCGCCGTCGGGATTTGACCAAGCCCCGTCGAAGGTGGCTGGGTTAACTAAGGGGAACACACACCTGTGGGTTCGGTGAAACAATGAGCCGTCCAAAATGACGAACACGTGTTTGATCAAGCTCAGGTTGCAAATGAAAGTGAACAGGGGCAAGGAGGAAAGGCATTCACTGCTTCGCTGTCGCAAGCAGCGGGTCGCCAAGCCCGTCATTGATGAGTCAGCTGTGATTTCGACGAGACAGCGACGCCGCTGTTGATCACGTGAAAAGCCACAGGACAGTTCGGGCGCTAGACCACATCAGGGATAGTGTTTGAGATACCACGGAGTAGTACGAGATTGAAATCTATGAGTTGAGAAATGTCAGCTCTATAAGTCTAATGAGTTGCAAATGGATATTTGGGAGACTGATGAAACAAACATTGGAATTTAGCCCTAGTTCATGCAAAATAATTACTACCGGGATTGAATGGAACATTATATATATCTTCCTTCCACATTGTGCAGAAGAGATGGATATATATACGGGAGGAGCCTGAGAAATGGTTGAAATCAAGTTATACAATGTGTATAGGCAGATACACGCTTGTGGTTAGCATGATTACATTATAGAATGATATATTCCCTATCTTTGTCGTTGAGTGTTCAAGCACAAGTTCAATAAGAGGTCTCTTTGCACCCTAAACAAAGGTACCTTTGGGAGTATAGGAAGCAGAATATCTTAGATAAAGGGACCTTCAGAAATATAGGTGTCAATTACCTTATGTATACGTCTTGTTCTGGAATGATATAGGCCATGGAGGCACAGTGACTGCGCTCGATATACCCTCCGCAATTTTCCTCAATAGTCAGCCATACAGGCAACTGCAAAGATTTTGATATTTATATCTTCCCACATCAAATTCTGCAAGTAACTTTGGTGGTAAGATCCTACCTAGCGTAGCATCATTGGCCCGAACGCCCCCGGCTGATTATTGATAGATCATGCAGACGCCTGCATAAATTATCACTCCATGCATAGTAATCTGCAAATGACGTTAATTAATTGGCTTATAAATGCACCACAACGTGGTAGTATTGCCCCAGGATTTCGAAAAATGACAATTAGCGATATTTCTTCACAAGCTGAGGTTACTATAATCTTAATGTACTTTGACCTGCTCCGTTTCAGGGCGCAAGTGTGAGATGAGCTCAGTCCCTCGACTGCACGTTCCCCCTTACATCTTCAGCCGCATGCTGTTGTTTCTCTTGCTTTGTAACCCCCACCTCAACCGAACCCCCGCTTCGAGGAAGTGAGGTGGAAGCCAAGTTCGCGTTCTTTGCGCCTCTCTTATCATCTCTCTTCGTACTATGGAGGATACCTTAACCCCATGTTCAGGGCCATGGTTCTTCAACCTAAGGTCTTCAAAACAGTTTATCGGATTGGCTGTGTTCGTAACAACGTTCACTGATGGGTTCCTCTATGGAATCGTAAGATCTCTCAAGTTTTACCTTCGACGACACCTAATAATGCGATCTGATGAATATTAGGTAGTAGCGGTTCTTCCCTTCTCTTTAAACATTCGTTTCGGAGTCCCAGAAGCAGACATCCCGTTCTGGACATCAACCTCGCTGGTCGTTTTCGGTCTTGCAATGGTATTTGGTGCACCAATAGCAGGCTGGGTTGTCGGAAAATGTGAAAGAAGTCAAATACCGTTTCTGGGAGGCCTTTCTTGCGCATCCGGGTCAACACTCTTGTTCATGCTTGGATCAGCGCCGTGGATGATCATCATGGCAAGGATTTTCCAGGGCCTATCGGCTGGCGTGGTTTACACAGCTGGTCTGACGCTGCTGGTTAACACGATTGAGTCACATGAACTGGGTCCCTGGATTGGCTTTGGGCTGTCGGGTATGAACTTCGGTGTTCTTGTATCACCCACGCTCGGAGGAATCGTTTATGAAAAGATAGGGTACTATCCTGTTTTTATTATGAGCCTTGGTGTGGTCGCCATTAACTTGGCTCTCATTTTGTTCATTATCGACAAGAAGGCTGCTGCAAAGTACCAAGATCACGTTAGCAAAAAAAGGCCTTCTTCCTCAGATGGAAGCTCGCCCAGGAGCGCGGTTGCAAATGGCAAGCGGCGACTATCGCATGTTGAAGATGATGCGGCTCTGACAACTCCGCTTCTCACACACTACAGAGAAGACTCTGATATTGTCGCGACGGAGCCTACTTGGTGGACTGTCGTTGGGGGCTTTCTTAGTAGCCCTCGCATACTCGCTGCGCTATATGCATGTCTCATCAATACCATATTGGTGGCCTCCATGGACGCGGTACTACCCATTTTCGTCAAGCAAACCTTCCACTGGCTATCTGGCGCCACAGGGGCAATTTTCCTCAACTTGACTATTCCATCTCTCATTGGTCCATTCATTGGAATAATATCGGACAGATATGGCGTCCGGTTAATCTCTGCCATTGGATTTGTATTTGCAGGGGTGGCAGTGGTTCTCCTTGCTCTGATACAACACAATACCATCACAAACCATGTGATGGCTTGCATACTATTGTTCTTTGTTGGTGAGATTTGACCTACTCACTACCCAATACTTGTGGGCCCACTAATAGAGTGAACAGGAATAGGACTGAATACCTCTCTTACCCCCTTGGTTACAGAGATACCAAGGATTGTGAAATCTCTTCAAGACGAGCGCCCTGATACCTATGGATACAAAAGTGCGATTGCCGAGGGATATATGCTGCTCGATGCTATGCTTGGTGCTGGCACTGTGCTCGGGCCATTGCTCTCTACGGTTGCGTGTGACCACGTGGGATGGACCGGATGCACCATCATGTTGGGAGTGCTGAGTTTCTCTGCTATAATCCCGGTAGTAGGTGGACCTCAGTTCCACATATTCTTGTTACGCATTTACTGACGGTTAATAGGCGATGTATCTGAAGCCGCAATTGGGAACTTCATGAGCATAATGTTGATTGCTCTCCACTCACTCTCTAGAGGTCATATCGAGTTAGAAAATAAAAACATGTCGTGATGAATTACAATTCCCGAGACTCGGGCATGGCTGAAAACTCTGTTCAGTGCGTAGGGTATACCGCCAACAAGGAAGACAAAGTAGAGACCTGCTACAGTATACCAGGAGCAGCAGCTTAGGCAGTCCAAAAGACATAATTTTCCAGTTCACTGTATCGTAGCTAGGTGGTAGTACTTAATATCTATGTTCCCACATCAAAGCCCAGCTTATGCCCCATCCCTGTCCTACGAAACCTCCCTGTGTGAGTCGCCGGTGCTCAAGGAAGCATGCATCCGGCGAACCGCTTGGAAAACCCTTTACATTATTTCCCAGGTGGAAAGCCGAGACTGTTGGATGTGTTTTGATGCAATTCTGTAGAATTCGACTTCTTCATACCGGTATTTTACAAATATTTTCAAAACAGCATGCCGTGCATTTATAACCTCAAATATTTGCTTGCCTGCTTGGTTATATAGTACTGACTCCCAGCATAGGAGAGGAAGGATCCCCGCTTTCTGACAAGTGAGTAAATTATGCCGCGCATAACCACTATGGCGGTGTTTATTCGACCGTGCGTAGCTTAGTAGTATTGAAAGAGAGATCTGCAATGTCCGTAATCGATCTGGTCAATTCATCGAGAATACCGCATATGAGCATTGTCTCGCCTTTGCCGAGATCACCCTTGATCCGTAGGAGACGAAACGCTCACAATACAAGAGCGATGAAGGGTTGTGTATGACTATTTCTGGTAAATTATTAAGTTGCTCACCATACCGCTCCTTAAATGTTAGGGTCTAATGCGCTTAACGCGAGTAGGAACATATGGCATACATGCTAATAGCTCACGAAAATAGCGCTAATCTGGAAGCAAAATGATAGGCACGAGATAATCCAACAATCAGTCCATATCGAAAATAATATCATTTCCATGGGCATTTAAAAATTAAGCCCATTGCTTCCCAGAAGCTTCTGATAGCGTCTCCCAGCCTCCACCCCCTCTGTGGCTCGTCAAATTCTGGTGTGGGGAATGAGAAGTATTCATGTGAGATGGCTTCAGGGCGTGCAGTTGTGAGACGACAATAACGTTGGGGCTTTGCTTTGGCCTCCAATCGAGCTGGTGTCGCCTCTAGGGCCGAGTCTAGTGAAGCAGTTTCGAGGGTTCGAGGCGAGGAGAATGTCGGCTTACACTCAGCCTCCAACTGAAGTGGTGGCAGTTCTAAAAGTGAGACAGGTGTAGCAGCTTCGATGGCTCGAAGTCGGGAGGACGTCGGCTTCCAACATTGCTTTCGAGGGAGCTTAAAGGCTCATCCAGCGACGCCAGCTTCAATAGACTTGGACCAATCGGACACTGACTTGATTGGGCTGCTGACCAGAAACCCATTTCCGATGGCAAGACCGGGGGATGTGTATTGCTGGTTATTGCCAGTGTCTACCATAATTTGGTCCTTCATCACCTCCTCATCATTTATCCATGCCCCATGAAGTGAATAGAGCTTGGAGACACGGCCCTGGGAGGCTCGTAGGAGGCTGGACCTGCGCATGCTCAAAATATATTGGTGTTGACCTTCAAGACTGACTGCCACGGGATCAATAAACGGAAGGGCTCTGTTCATGATCGATTGAACCCGGAACACATCCCTGCCCGTGGGAACTTTTGGTCCGGCTTGAATACAGACAAGGGAAACCTCTGGGGGCGTCGTACTCCGCCTTCCGACGGGCTCACACATCCAGTTGAAGTGATGGACATCTTCCTCGTTCTGTGTGCTCATCGCACGGTATCGAAACATGGCTTCAACCCCCTCGCCAACCTCCTGGTCCACCTCCACAAATTCCCAATCTTGGCTGGTGGCTTCCGTGAATGAATTCAAGGATGTAGTCGATGGAGAATAAGAGGAGTCTGACTCTTCGAGCTCAGGAGCCTCAATAATTGTAAGGTTAGTCAGAGGCAGCCCTTTGGACGGCATCGCCCTTGAAGTGAGAGGGAAGAGAGAGTCGGTGTTAGAATCAAATAAGCGACCCTGTCCATGACCTGAAATTAGTTTATATCTCTTGAGTGAGGATGGAATTGGGCGTGGGGTGATAGTGAGTGGATGGGAGCGAGGTGGTGTTTGGATGCGTTCTCTTGGGAAATGATCCCTCAAGTGAGAAGCGCAGCAAGAGTGTGCAATACCTACATCGTGTGAATAATATAGATTGTCTTCAACATCTATCGCCCAGTCAAAAGGGTCTGGTGGAAGGAGGGTAGGAGAGGCATTGGTCGTGGACGCGATCTCTTCCTCCACATCGTCGGCACAGCTGGAGGGTTCGGGCCGTAAGAGATTGGCAGAGATGGAAATGATGCACCTAGATGCAGTTTCCTCTTCGACATCACTGACCCAGTGGAAGAGCTCGGGCTGAAGAGTACTAGGAGAGGTCGGGGTCGAGCTTTTGGAAGCGATGTCCTGTTCCACATCGTCTACCCAATCGAACGATTCGCGTTGAAAGAGGTTGAGAGAAATAGTGTCCTGTATCACGCGTTTATCTTGTGAGCCTTCACATGGTAGAGTCTCTACTGAGCCCCCGGGACGTATCGGGTTGTGGGGAGACATGTTGATATCTTCACGGGCTGCAGTCCATGCGAAATGGGAGAAATGGTAAATGATATTCGATGGTTGGGATCACAGAAGAGATGGGAAAAATAAAACGAAGCAAAGGACCCACAAGAACGAGCTATGAGTACGGGAAGTTGAAGCACAAACTCTTGCAACAGGTCATCAAGAGAAAAATCGTCAAGAGAGACGTATTGCAAGAACGGGCCAAACGCGTTTGGCCTGGTTGCTGTCGGCAACAATTGGAACAGCTTTGGGAAACTCCTATGCTCCTGTCCATCGATAGTCTATAATATTCAGAATGCCAAAGTAGAAACTTGAACGCGTATTGGGATGTGGTCTTATTTAGTAGTAGGGACAATACCTATTTATTGCCAGTCAACCAGCCCTTCTTTGAAGCTATGGCCCTTCGTCGTCCAAGGGAGGTGAAAATGGTATTGATGACATCTTTGTCACATTGCTTCAAGGTATTCAATCAACAGAAGCTGATTAAGGATCTGATCCTTTGTACTACTGAACAAGAGCTCCCAGCCTAAATCCTGTTTTATCAAAGACCAGAAAGCTTCGTTATGCCAAACGCATGACTCATATTCGCCTCGAGCCCAAAGAAAATAAAGAATGACACAAAGGGCTTCTGCAACAATGGCATGCAGTACGCCGGAGGTGTTATACTCCGAATACTTCGAGAAGTGGGTCCGGCCTTCTGTCCGGGCCACGATATGTGCTTATGTCAGCCCCTCATGACGCCGATTCCCCGCAGCAGCTCGTGATAGTCATCTTTTTTCTTTTTCACTGTTAGCTGTAAATAGAGTCTACAATCCATGAACAATCTACGAGCTTGTTCTAGATCAATTGGACAACTCCGCCGACTCTCATCTCCCTTCACAGCTTCATCTCTCCCCCGCATCCCCCTTCGCTTTTACGGTTCAACCAAACTCCATACGAACAATGGCCTCCGCAATGGCAAAGCGCCTCGAGGGCAAGACTATCGTTGTGACCGGTGCCTCTTCCGGTATTGGAAAGAGCACTGCCAAGGAATTCGCTCGCACGTCACCCAAGAACCTGAAGCTGATCCTGACGGCTCGCCGCATCGACTCGTTGAAGGAGGTTGCAGCGGAGATCCAGCAGGAGGTTGGCGATGGTGTCAAGGTCCTTCCTGTGAAGCTGGATGTCAGCAACCCAGAGGAGATTAACAACTTCGTTCCCTCCTTGCCGGAGGAGTTCAAGGAGATTGACGTTCTAGTGAACAATGCGTGAGTCACACAGCAAACGGCGCGGGTATTCCTTCAAGATCAATACTAATATACGTCATGCAGTGGTCTGGTCAAGGGCGTCGCCCAGGCAGGTGATATCGCTGCCGAGGATCTGAAAGTCATGTTCGACACCAACGTCACCGGCCTTATCAACATGACCCAGGCAATTTTGCCCATCTTCAAGAAGCGCGATGAGGGTGGCCGTGGTGACATTATTAACATTGGCAGCATTGCTGGACGTGAGCCTTACTCTGGTGGTAGCATCTACTGTGCCACCAAGGCCGCTGTCCGCTCTTTCACCGATGCGATGAGAAAGGAGCTCATTGCCACAAGAATCCGTGTTATTGAGATTGATCCCGGCCAGGTTGAGACTGTATGGCTATTCACACTTATTTCGCTTAGACAAGCTAATGACAATTGCAGGAGTTCTCCGTTGTCCGATTCTATGGAGACAAATCAAAGGCCGACGCTGTTTACAAGTAAGTCAAACATTACCACCTTCAATGAGATCAGTACTGACAGCTAGCAGGGGTGTCGAGCCATTGACCGGTGACGACATTGCCGAGGTCGTCGTCTTCGCTGCCAGTCGTCGCGAGAACGTCGTCATTGCCGATACTCTAGTGTTCCCCAGCCACCAGGTAAGCTTCCGGTGCCATATTAAGATTTCTGATGAGCCCTAATTAACATTTCTTCAGGCTGCGGCTGGTGTCATGCACCGTAAAGCATGAGGATTCCCATAAACAGACGACATAGATGTTAAATGGAAGGTTTAGATAGTGTTTATCGAAGCAAGTTACACATCCTGTGGTGCAAGCCATGGATTCCATCAACAAGTGGTGTATTTGAAACAGAGCGATACGAAGTGCCTTGGTGGAACATATTTCAAATTGATGCACAGTATACCAGTATACAAGGCCAAAGTAGCCATCTATCAACAAGGCAAGTAGGCGTACATTTATAGCAGCAGTGGCACCAAATATTCAAACATTATATAATATATTTAATCCCCTAGAGAGCGGCAACAGCAATAGCAGCAGCAACACCACCAGCAGCAGCCCAGCGAGCATTGCCAGTTATCATGGGCAAAGCAGCATTAGGAGACGAAGTCTGGGTGCCAGTAGCAGCAGCACTGTTGCTCTCAGAGTTGGTAGAGGTACCAGTAGCAGTGCTAGAAACAGAAGTAGTCATGCTAGACCCGCCAGTCGAGGAAGCAGTAGAAGCAGTAGCCGAAGCACCAGTAGTAGCGGAAGCACTGGAGCTACCCGTGGCAGTGATACTAACAGGCAGAAAAGCGCCACCAGGAATTTCAGAGAAAGGTACGGCGGTGTTCAAAGCAGAGGAAATGCCGCTCTCAACCATGCTTCCGGAGCAAGTAACGCTGGTGGCGTCGTAATTGCAGCGCTCATCGAGGGTACTACGATAGGAAGGGATCATCAGCTTTTGGATTGCGGGGAAACTGGATCGTGATCTTCTTGGTGGTCACTTACATTCCTTCCATGCCGTAGCTGATAGCGGCGGTCGAAGAACCCTGGATAACGGTGACGCCGCCGGGTGGGACGCCGCAGTCTTCGGCGTCTTCGCCGGAGGCGCATTGGACGAGGTAGGTGGTCATTTTGGCACTCTGTGTTTGGAGGATTAGTTTTGTTTGGGCATTTCAATTGAGAGGATATTCAAAACATACAGATCCGAGAACGCTGCCTACGAGGTTTTGCTGGTCGAATCCAGGCAGGAAAAGAGTGACTGTGTCGGCCGCGACGGCAGTGGCACCGGCCAGGAGAGCGAGGGAAGCGATATGCATGGTGAATTATGATAATTATAAAGACGTCAAACGAGCGACAAACGTTGGTGGGTATAGTACAAGCAAAAAAGAAGAAGAAGAAGAAGAAACAATTAAGAGCAGGAATAGGCCATGGTCCCCATTAAAAACAAAGGTCGATTGCTCTCGTCAGATTCGAAACTTGCCAGTCCAGCCCAGGCGCAATCTAAAGCTATTTCGGCCATTTGCCGCAAACAGGGCCTTCCCATTGGTCAATCTCCTTTAAATCAGGATGGCTCAAGGCCGCCGACTAACCCATCTGGGCATAGTATACACACTAGCACCGGCGATAAGTCTTAAGGTGCCAGCAAATCTTTTGCCTAAGCCTCCTCGCCCCTAAAATTGGACACTTCCGGGGGATGAATCGGTTATATCCGGTGGGTCGACCATCATTGTGTTTGCCGTGAGATCCGATTATTGGCCCTTTGAATTGTAGAACGTCCAGGCCTTGTTTGCCTGCAAAATCTCCACCAAAATGAACCCTTCTTCACCCTAAAAATGGCGTCTTCACACATCTGCCAGGGTGGCAAGCCCTGAGTTTGGTACGATCTGATTAGTCGCAATCCCGCTGCCTGACACCCTGGCTCTCATTTGAAATTTTATTTTTGTTTTGCCCTATTTTCATGGCTCGGGCCGTTTTAGCTTTTTAGCCGCAAGTGAGAGGCTCGCAAGAACTGTCTAGGAAGTGATGAGCAACGTACCAAGCTTGAACCATACCTGATTAGATTTCCTTTCTGAACTACAGTACCTCCTTATGCACAAAATGCGTGGGAGTCGCCTTCTTTTTGGTTTCTGAATTCCATATTTTCTTTTTCTTTTTGCCTGGCATCAATATTTTTCACAAACATGATGATTGCAAAGGGTCTGTTTACCAGGACCACTTCATGCTAGACGTAAAATGTTATGCCGAGGACCTTGTGCTGTCAATTATGAACAGCATTATCCACCATCCGGACCAGTCCAGCGCCCAAGGCAAACAGCCCATTTCCTTTTAGATCATGGACCCTGAGACGCCACGTGAACGGTGGCTTACTTTATGTCCATGTGCCCGGAACATAAAGTCCACCAGGGTCCGGTATCTGCATGCATACCCGGTAAGCCTGTGGGGTGGTTGGGTGAACCTAATTGCCAAGCTTCGAAGAGAGTAATGGTAAGCGATCAGATAATGCCGTTCGTCCACACCAGCTGTTTAGTCTCCGAGATACAAGATCTTTGAGGCAGGGTACCATTGTGGCTAGCGATGCAGGTGATTATGATTGACGGGAAAGCCATATCATGTTCAGGGTCAGACAGCCCCGGGATGATCTGATTTGATCCGGGTTGGCAACTGTTGCGCCAACTATAGTTGCGGTTTTCTTTTGAATGTTGACCTCGCATTTTGGCCTCGCAGTCGGTATCGCGTCCTTCCAAGTCCTTGGCAAGGCTCACGTTTAGCTTGGCGCGTCTTTCAAAGAGGAACTGCAGTTACCTTACCCTGTATAAAGGCTCCAGCCTTATCCACGAAGACTAGTTTGTCTACGCGATCATTTAACGAAATAACCACCTTTGCTCACATTCCTTTCCACCACAATGTCAGGGAAGATCGACACCAACAATGACATTTACAGGCTCGCCGCCTGCCCTTTCATTATGGAAAGAAAGGGAGACTACGATGATGCTATTCGGATGTACAAAAGCGCAATCGACATTCTAGGTGAGGCGACAAAGACGTTCAAGAAAGGAAACGTGCGCAAGGTCAACCGCAAGATGTTCGAGCGCCAAGTCCAGGTTCATCGCGAGCGCCTAGCTTATCTAGAGAGGTTGAAAAAGAAAGGTAGTTATGAGGGCATAATATTGCCGCCAACGATCTTGGATGCAATGGAAGAAGTGGAGAAACAGAACGAAAAGAGTTGGACACTGACTCAGGTATGCAACGGATAGCAGAAGATCAACTAACTTATTGGTATCACTGCGACTTAACGCTTTCAGATTCGCAAAGATCTACACGCTTTTCGCGGAGAGGGCCTCAACACAACTGGAGCGGATATCAGCACAGCTCCACAACACCTTCAACCGTTTCTCAATACCGACCCGTCCACACGTCCATTCTTCTCATTGACTCTCTCACCTTCAGCACCCACGGTCACATATCGTATAACCCATTCATCGGAGCTAGTCGATTTGGGCCTGCGGTCACACTGGTTTTTTGTGAAAGATTCGACAAATACGCACGTCCTGTATGCCCTCCAATGCCTCTGGAGCAACGAAGTCCCAATCGTCGAAACCGTCCTGCGACGCGCAGGCGAATTCCTCCCCCAGATCGGTGCGACGAGCGTCAAGCTACGAAAGCAGAAAGGCGGTACATTCCGCATGGAGACACGCACTATCCCTGATATGGGCGCTATAATCGAAATCCCGGATGGCGAGATGCAGCGTAAAGATTGGTCGCCTCGTCGGTTTGAGTATGGGGGGCGGAACTTTGTGTGGAAAAGCGGGGGTGCGGATGGGAAGAAGGGGGATGGCGGGATGTTTGGGGCATTCGGGTTTGCTTGGGAGTCTTTATATGAGACGAAGCGGGTTTGGGCTAAGGGTGGGAGTCGGACTGGGAAGATGGAGGATGAGACTGTTGGTCCTAAGCTTTGCTGGGGTGAGAAGAAAAGTGGTGATGGAGCTGATCATAGTATGCATATGGTTGCGGGGTTGGATTTGTATTTCAGGGAGCATTTGCTTGCTGTGCAGTTGTCGAGGTTGGCGCGTGTTAGTTACCCTCCTGCTAAGGATACTACTGGGGTTGAAGTTGCTGCTGCTGGGTTGGGATGGCTGTCTATTGTCAGTTCATTGGCTTGACCTGGATGTGAAGATGGTTAGATCTCAATTCATCTCTCTTTGTCGATTTTCATGGAAAGTTCTTGAATATACGAATATTAAGTTACGCTGAAACAATCAATCAATTTCCCTCAACCTCAATGTTTATGGGTTGTTTCCATGGAAGCACTTCATTGCACTAAAGCTGTGAAATTCTCAGTTGTGGTCTCAATACCATTCAAGAATCATTCAGACGTCCTTTACTGATAGATTGATTCTCTCCCAGTGAACAAGTAGGCACCAAAACTAACGATATCCGGGTAGTGTGACGTGAAAGGGTAGGTGAGAATGAATCCGCAGAATAAAGATATGGTGAATCCAGCCCTTCCTAACCTTTATCATATTCAACCATGTTCATTGCCTTGCTTAATTCCACCCAGGAGTATGGGCCCCATAGCCCTGTCCAGAATCGCTCTTAGGTATTATATATAGATGAGGGGATTGCAATGCAAATTGAACTGTAGAGAAACCTAGATTCAGTAAAGAGTTGATTATGTATTGAGACCCGACGTGAGCCTCAGATATAAACACCCAAGAAAGACGTGTGATTATTTTGTTCAGTCTGACGCCATTTCAACCTTGACCAGAATCCCTGGAGAATCTGCAGCCGTGGCCCCAATATAAAGTCTCGAGTCAGATCAATGTCGGGGGCTCGAGACACTCGTGAACTGTCGGAAGATAACGGCCAGGATTACAAACAGCTCGTTTCGGGCCAGATTCAGTCCCAGACAAACTCGTACGCCTTTATTGAAGGGCACCAAGTACCGCTCCAACTGTCGAGATTGACAATTTTCATTCAACCATCGTTCCGGTCGAAATATGTGAGGCTCTGGATAAATGCGTTCATTTTCATGAATCAGCATGAAATGTGGATTGACCTTTTAAGTACAGGCCATAGTACCACTCATAAAGATATGTTCTTTGCCAACAATCCTGGGACAGCTGAGAGGGGATGAGAGAAGCGACGATAGAAATGAGAGTGACAAAGAAGAGCGAACACAAACCTGCCGCATACAGGGCGAAAGCAATCCACTGGCTCAGCATCACGATCGGTATACTACTATTAGTTTCGAGAGCTTCGCGACACTTCGAGAGAATAGATGTCTTGAAACCTACAGTGGCGCCTTGGCTCTTTTAAAGCTTTCGCTCGGCTGAGGCGCCGAGGTACATCCTGTCATTGGCCAATAGTGCAGCGAGCGTTGTAGGGGCAGTGTTGCGAGGTCATAGCAACATTTGACCAACGAAGATGCTATGATCGGCAGATGAGTCAGGGTTTCGCGTCCGACAAACCCTCGGAACTCGCTTAAATACAGTATTTTCAGTCGGTCAGAGCTTTGGGGCCATATTAGAAGGCGTATTTTCTCCTGGTTGGCTGGCCAATAGAGGGGCCTTAATGGAAGGAAGCGCTTTGCCCACCAGAGCGCCGCGTCGGGAATTAAATGCTCATGCAAGGCCACCCGACCAGCTAAGATATTTGGAGAACTAGTTTGAAGACCCTTGGCTCTGCTATTATCCTCCATACGACGATCTATTTATGCGCGCCCCCAATCATGCGGAGACAACCTGACAGGGCCAAAGCGAATCACCAAACAAGCAAATTATGGCTGGGGCCGTTCATGCCGTGTCGGATCCTTGCCAATCTAAGCGGAGACGATCCAAATTGGAGATTCAGGGGGTCGATCCCGCAATATCCTGGGGCCCTGTTGCGGCCCTTTTTGTAGGCTGGCGTTGCTGTCTCCGGGCCCATAATCTTTGCTTCTCACACTTTCTTTTGGCATGCGTGATAACTCAAAATAATGACGACAACACCTGCTTCAGATGTTACGATTGCCAATTTTGGTCCACTTACGACCACGTTCCCTCCACCCTCATGGTGTGCCACCCCGAACTGGGTCAGTTACAACACAGACAACGCCCTTTTGGCATGGGGGGCTGCCTGTGTCACCAAGGGCGTTCCAACTGGCGCAACCTCCGCGAAGGTATGGAACTGGGCCTCTTCTTGCTACCCCGAGGGTATCAAAGGTGTGTTTACTGGCGAGGGAGTAAATAATGTCTTCACTCCCGGTAATGCCTGCCCATCTGGATGGACCGCAAATTATACCACCAGCGCCGGCCAGAGGGGCCTATCACCATCATATAATATTGGACTAATGGGAGCGACCGTGGGCAATAGTCAGGTTGCCACAGTATGTTGTCCATCGTAAGTGCTTTATTTCATAAGCCCCAGTCGAAACAGGAGAGCCGTGGTGCCAAACTTTTCAAGTGTCTATTTGAAGACCCAGAAGCAAAGGTTGATTGAAATGACAACGGCTTGGCTAATAATTGGGCTAGTGGATATCGGTATGGGGGCAAAGGATGTACTAGCACTGTGACATCAGTCAGCGCACGACGGCTGTACACGACTTCAGATGGAAGATGCTCGTTCTCTACCGTGTCTGACTTTACTGGCTCTATCGAGACCAGCAAGACAAAGCGAGATTCACAAAATGGAGAGTCCAAGCAAACGGCGACTTTTACAGCATATCCCATTTGCTTGGTTAATGGCGGCGAAAACACAGGGTTATCAACTGGAGCCAAAATTGGGATCGGAGTGGGTGTCCCCCTCGGCGTCCTCCTTTTTGCCGGTGTGACGTTTATTTGGTGGTACCGACGCAACAAGTCAAGGAAAACTGCGGCTTCAGCTGCACGTGAAGCAACCAGTTTGTCCGAAGACGCGTCTAAGAAGAGCTCCGGAGTTCCAGTTGGCATCATAAAGCCCGAACTCGATAATGGCGACCCTATGTATCAGAAAGCGGAGCTTGATACTGGCGCAGTGATGGTGTCCGGATCGTCGAAGGCGCCAGTCGAAATGCCGAATGAACAGATTCCATCTGCACCGGCTGAGCTCCCTGCTGTGCAGAGCTCGGATACACCCCAAGCTGAGTTGCCTGGAGATTTTGAATACACCGCCGCCAAGAACAATGGGGACCAAGACGCAAATGTGGCCAATTTGTCCTCTTCTATCCCGACCATTGTCGTAGATCCTTTTTCGCCTCTTTCGCCTAAACAAGGGACGAAATAGTCGCGCTATAAAATGAGTTTGGGAAGATTGTGGGTAAGAAAATTCGTCTGAAGATTTTCAATTTCTGGAAAACTTGACGCACCGAGTTGAAAGAAGGCATGTAGATCGGAGTGTTGAGTCAGGGGCTACTGTTTATGTTCCCATAAGTTCACGAATCATGTCTGAACAAGCTATGTATCAAAACTTGAACCTAATTCGAAGATGTCCCAGCAATAGGTGTCCAAACTGGAAAATGAGACTAGAAGTAAAAAAAAAAAAAAAAAAGGGATACTTGAGACCGCCAGATGAATAGCCCCAGTGGACGTGATGTTTGACTTGATCTTAACAGCAGAAGAATGAAGATTATAAACCGGAAGAAGGCCGTTGAGAAACCAAATACATCTTTCGGAACTCGGAATCACTCTGCAACAATACTTCAGGTGTATCATACTCCACAACCTCTCCATACTTGAGAAACATCACCCTGTCAAACCGATGAATATATCGAAACCGATGCACCACCGCAATGATCGTTTCCTGAACAAATTCCTTCTCAACAATATCCTGCATTATGGCCTCCGTTTCCCAATCGACGCTATCGCAAGAAGATCGTTAGCCTCGATCTCCATGAAAATCCACGAATGGGTGGAATAATATCCACAAAATACCTCACCTGCTGGTTGCTTCATCCAATATTAACAGGTGGCTTTTTCTCACAAGTGCGCGAGACAAGGCAAGTAGCTGCCTCTGTCCAACCGACCAATCCGCCACAGAGAACTCCGTATCCAAACCTCGTTTGGCTTGAACTCGGTTCCAGAGGCCTACCTTCTCAATGGCACGGGTAAGTTCCGCATCGACCACACAGTGACGAGGATCAAGATAGAAACGAAGAGTGCCTGGCATGAAGAATGGGTCTTGTGGGATCACATTAATACGCGAGCGGATTGCGCTTCTCGGAATCTCGGCGAGGCCCCTGTCATCTATCATAATGCGTCCGGACTGAATGTCAAGCATCTGGAGCATCGCCATGATCAGTGATGACTTTCCACTTCCAGACGGCCCGCAAACTGCAATATTCTCTCCCGGCTTGATGCTCATGGTGAGGCCTTTGAGGATCGAGGTGGAGGAGTGGCTGTAGGTGACTTAGTATATATAGAGCTGAGTAGATTCTACTGAACCTAGATGGTACATACTTATATCCAGCAGTCACGTCTCTGAATTCCACCGCACCGCTGCCAGGCCAATTATCCGGTAGTTGGAAAATAATCGAAGGCGTGCTGCGGTATCCTTCCGCTGGTGTATCTTGTATAAAGTGTTGCACGCGTGTGACTGCCCCGATAGAGGTTTCAGTCATGGTCCACGTTTTGATAGCGTTTGCCAAGGTCTGATTAAGCGTCAGAAGAAGATTGAGCGCAACACCAATGGAAGCCGCATTGAACTGATTTCTTAGAGATGTGATCATCGCAATAAGAATGACGGCCATTGCCCCTACAGCCAAGTCCAGAACTAGAGTCAGCCATTGCTGGATGGTGTACAGCATGTAGACTGGACGTTGAGATTGATTTAGTAGAGCGAGGCCTTTATCTCGCATCTGGGGCTCCCAGTTGAAAGCTTTGATACTTGATATGCCGTGGATCGTCTCGAGGAAATGTGTGTACATCGGTGCCTTCGCCTCGATGTCTAGTAATCGGACCTGCCGGGACGTGCGTAGGTAATATGACTGAACGAAAAATAGAACCACTCCCAAGAACGGGATTGAGACTGCCAGATATTTACCCAAAACACATATAATAAGGACGTCAATAAAGACCGTAATCACGTCTGCCGAATGAGTTAGCCCGGTACCTGCGTTTCGGAGAAGATTTCATACTTGTAACGCAATTGACAGCATATACCGGTAGCATCATATCAATGAGTTCCAAATCTTGGCTAAATCTGTTTGAGAGGTGTCAGAGCCCACGTAAGAAGATTATCATGGAGATTAATGATACCTGTTGATTATAGTACCAGTGTCTACACCATGAAAGAAGATGATCGAAGCCCTGTAAGTGATGCCGTCAGTAAGACAACTATTTATATTAGACCGTGATTGCCCACCCAAGCGCTGTTTTGAGAAGGTCAGAATGCAGATTTAGCGAAGTATTGTTGAGGGCCCGAACGAAGAGTAACCTGAAATGTTCAGTCAGTGGTGAAATATCATTGCGTCTTACAACACATACCAGCAGCTAGCTATAAGACTCAGAAGGGCCAATCCGAATATCATGCCGTACACACCGAGATACATGCCCAGCTGCTTGTTCGGTTGCTCTTCATTTGCCTCGACCCACTGTTGAATCCATAATGCTGAAGAGGGTTGGTTTTGCTTCTGACAAATATTTGGGGTTGAGGATACAGACCTTGAAAGCTGGAGCAGAATGCCTCAATGATAGTGAATGCCAAAAACAAACCCAAGAGACCGTATCCTGCGCTTCGAAAGTAGTATGTATACACGGACCAAGTTCCTTTCTGTCTATTAATTGTATTCTCATCGTCGGCTGTTTCCATATTGATGTTGGTACGATCCTTGTTTTGGACAAGTGACGGGAATAGCAATGAGTTTCCTCCTGTCGAAAGACTAGTATCTTCTACTGCCTTTAGGCCCTTCGAGAAGTATTGTCGTGTCTTGGAGAGAATCGCATGGTATGACCCTGATGCGGTAACTTTTCCCTCTTCCATCACAACAACTTCGTCCGCATGACAAAGAAGTTCATCTATGAGTCTCGTTAGTGTTGGGCTTTAGTTGCCTTGCAATAAGCAGCTTCAGTCTTCGGAGAATATATACATACCTGTACTCAGAGCGAGGATAACTGATATCCCTGCTTTTCTAAAATGGCCATCGCTGCCGAAAAGGCAGCTCGATATAAGCGCGATATTCTTCGAGTCGAGGCCGCTGAAGACATTATCCAGAATTACGACGTTTAGCCTGGAGTAGATTGCCCGCGCAAGCGCCTGCATATAGAAAGAAATGACTGATCAGTAAGTGTAACGAGGGTTATTTAGCATCTACGATAACTCACAATTCTCTGTTTTTGGCCTCCACTAAGTGCAATACCGTCACTTCCAGCCCTATGCATATCACCCTTTGCGAAGGCACCGAGGTCATCTTGTAGGCCACACACCGTACAGGTAAAGTCGTACCATGCTTGATCGAATGCGTCAAATCCGATGATATTGCCCCGTACTGTGTCATTCCTGATCCACGGGATCTGAGGACAATAGGCTGCTCTTGAAAATGAAGTTGTCATGGATCCGGTTTTAACCATGTGCTGGTTGACAATGCTCTCAAGCAGAGTTGACTTCCCGCTCCCAACAGGACCCACGATCATCGTAATTCCCTGGTGGATAGTGAGTATTAGATTGGGGAGCACGGGCTCTTGATCTGAGGACCATGCTATGTTTGCATTCTGGAATGAGACCAAGGATGGATGGAATTCTTCAGATTTCGAGAGAGACGATAACGATATCAGGGTTGCACGGGAATCTTTCGCACAATATGTTTCAATCCGATCGAAGCAGGTGACAGCCTGCCAGATTGCCGGCATGACTTGACAAATGATGAGCAGTGGACTTGTAAGAAGAGAAATCAAAGCGAGCGATGTAAATGCTTGGGCAGAGAGGATTGACCCATCGCGTCGTACGACAGATATAATTGCGTAGATTGTAAAAGTGGCGAACGGTGCTAAAACAGCAGGCACATTGGCTAGATCTGACATCAGTTCACTTCCCAGTGCCCCATCCGACTAAGCTACTTACACAGAGCCACTTGCCATATCAACAGCTTTCGGAAACGAAGGGACGTCTGTATCTCAACCTCCCGTAGATGCGATACCAGCGGGAAAATAACATCGTTGAGCCCAAGCATCTGGACAGCCTTCATGTTGCCAAATGTATTTGCTGTCACTGCAAGCCGCTTTTGTACTCGTTCGACCCATTGTTTTTGGGCTTGCCCAGACCGGCTTGACACTGGAATCATTGCCAGCACGCACCCTAGAGACAAACTAATTTTCAGCGCTTGCTCTTAAAATATGTCTGTGAGGCAGATGAGAAGGATACCGAGTGAGATGATAAGAGGTATGAGACAGGCGACCCCGACCTCTCGCTCCAATAACCATACTGCAACCCCTAATTCTATGATCGACGCCCATGCCTCGTGCATATTCTTCAAGTTGGCCACTATTCGCTCCACGTCTGTTCCCATCAAGGTGATAGCTGCCGAATCATTCAAATCCCCGGCAGTGGTTCCGATAGTCTGGTCGTAGATCATAGATATGAGACCTGAGCGCATCATTGTGAGTAGGCGATATGTCTGGCGCCAATATACGGCTTTCGCGACCTTTTCTTTTCGTTAGACACACGCTGAATTGCTCTCACTCAATAAGCCCTTACCGCCAATCCCAGGTAGACCAAAATATACGCGCCGATAAGTCCACCTCCGTACATATTAGTCTCTGAATCCGATAGTCCTCCAATGTAATTGATAGTCGCTGTAATAAGAAAGGGCTGCGAGAATGTAAAGCAAGTGTAGGCCAGACGTGGGGGAACCGCAGAGACGCAAATCCATCCGTATGCACAAAACACAGCTCTGATCAAGCGATAATCTTTGTATAGGCTTGCAGAATCCCAAGCCTTCTGAAGCCTATCGCCTGAGAATTGTCCTTGGAGATCGGTGTCAACTTCCGGTATGTCTTCGACTTCGAGAATTTTCCGATATCCTGTCTGCAAGAATGGTAGTGCCCAGATGAAGAAGCTCCGATCCCAAAACGAGCTCTTTTCTTCATCAGTACATTTACAATAGTCCGAGCGAAGACTCCGGGTTTTTGGAACCGACTCAAGGGTTAAGACCGCGAGCGTGAAGAGCAGGCCGGCTAACGCGAGATATAGACAGACATCAACGGATGAGATCAACCATAGTGAGCGCAACTGAGGCAGTCTGCAAATGGTGGACGCTGAAAAATAGAGGGTGAGAAGACTCGAGGGTCTCACAGATCGCTGGTCCTCCATAAAGGAGGCGTATAGCGCTGCAAAAATGGCTAAAATATTGAGTATGGCTGCTGGCAAGGAAGCTCGGGTATGAAGAGCCGATGTTTGGACTTGAAATGCTGCGAAAAGAACCTGAAGGGAAAGCAGCACAGCAAGAAGGGACTGTCTCAAATCAGCCACCGTGGGGGAATGTGTAAGGAGTAAATCCTACCAGCTTATAGCTTGCTAATTTGTATGAGCTGACTTTGACCGACTCATATCGGAGGCCACGAAGCCGCATGGGTAAAAGTAACAAGAAAATGGTGGCCGGTAAACAGTTGAAGAACATGTCTTCGAATAAGAGAGTAAAGTCAAATGCACGACAATCGGCGTCGATCCGAGGGCCAAAGCGATTGTCAGCTTCGAGTAGCCAACATGAGCTGGTGGCCATTGGTTGTTCCTGGGGTATCTAGTATGTGAGTAACTGAATCATATTCAAGTACAAAGTTTATACCGATGGGATGCAAAGCTCACAATTAATACTTACAGACATCGAATTGTCGGACTCGGAGCATTTATAAGAGATTGCCTATTTAGGAAAATCTGTTGTCGAACACCGAAGACACCTAATCATTTCATTTTGATGGAGTACTCCTATCAATGCGTCTGGCTAGTCTTAGACTACAGGCAATCTGATCCATGGGACGCACTTTCTCCGAGGTGTAAGATATCTAGGCCGATTGGGCAGGCTCATAGCTCTAAGGATAAGTGTGACAGCTTGCTAACAGTCGACTTCACATCACCCTCTCTGAAAATATTGAGGCTTGAAGGCGACCTAGCGTAATGCTTTACAGATGATTCCATCGTTGTGGTGACTTTTGTATGAAACATAATTATAATAGCTTTTCTAACAAGATCTAGCCCATGGAGTGCCGCTTAGAGCTTGTTATACATTGAAATCAGAACCAGTCTTGTTTTTAGCTAGGTGAAATTTAAAAGGGAGTCCTGAGACCACTGAATGTTGTCAAACCATGCCATGAAATCCGGATTACCCTCCGAATCACAATCGTCCAGCCAGTTTTCAGGCAGATCATTATCTGATGTCAATGGAGCGGGTCGAGGACATTTAGGGGCATTGATCTTGTCGAGAACCCAACGAATATATGTCGCTCCTTGTTGAACAATCTGATAATTTCCTTGGTACGGCTGCACCTGGAAGGTCAAATGGGAAACAAAAGCGCCGAGCTTTTGGATAATAAGCTTGCGAATGTTTGCGGCTAGCGGTTCTCGAAATGGAGACGTTATCTGAGGTCGGTGTTCCGAGAGGAGTTTTGAAGTCAGAATGCCTGCAGCAGGAAGACCAATATAGCACATCTAGAAGAATAGGGTTATGAGAGATGTTCGATGGTAATTATGAGGGAGACCGGAATTCTTACATCCCACGAAATTTCCACTGTCGATTTATATGCTCTGGTCTGTATGGCGATAGTAGTATCCACCAGTGTGGTGATAATATCAAGGGAGCTTTCAATGAGACCTTGTGAAGCTATCCCAACGCGCTTTAGTAAGATTCGATGCAACAAAAACTCCTGGTACATAAATTCTGTGTGTGCGAATGCGCGGCCCTCGTCTCGCGGAGAATTGTAAACGCCCGCTGCAGCCTGTTCAGGAGACCAATGCATAAATGAGGGAAGATCTTGTTGCGTCTGGCGAGATTCCTGAATCAACTTTCTATTCGATTCTTGTGGTCAGCCCCTGGTATCAAAATAACATGAGCCTTATAATGGATACGGACTCAACTCTGACTGGAATGTCCTTTGTATTGGGGCTCAAAGATAATTCAAGGATACTTTCACGCAACAAGCTCGTTAGTAGCGCGACGCGAAGCCTAGCGCCGACAGTCAGAATTCCTTCGGTGTTCCAACCGTTTGCATCGAGGAATCCATTCTCTCCCTCTCTTTGGGGGCCGACCATCGCATCGTAAGTGATGTCCAGGGGGAGTGGGATACTACAGTATCGCGAGCATATGCGAGGGGGCGCCCCAAAAGAGTCGCCAGATCCTTATCAATTCCATACGCACACGCCATGACACGTTTTCGTAATTCAACCAGGAAGAATGGAACGCTTTGCTCGGCATTCCCCCCAGCTTGATGCAACCCGAATCCGTAGATAATGGTTGATAGGTCTCCTAGCTTTTGCCAGACCCGGTAGTCTGTCTAATATTTAGCCAAGTTCTTTTGTTTTAGTAAAGAAGAGTAGTTACCACTATAGCCAACCATCATAGTCAAAAGACATAGTTGTTGGGTCGTAAGCCAGCAAAAAGCGTCGCTCGCTGTTCCGGTGCCATTACAAAACTGCCAGCAAGTTTCGCTAACGGTGATGGCAATGCTTCTGAGCTGGCTTTTTTCAAGCTTCCATGGGTTTCGATGTGTAAAGATCGGGTCATCGTCAGGGATATGGAATAATGCTGTCCCTAACAAGACGAAAACAAGCCCGATTGTTTCCCATCTCGCCGCTATCGAATCGAAATACTCTGACAAATACATTGTTGAAGTTGTCCGAATATCCGCGGATGTGTTGGCGAATATTTGACGGGACAGGCTGAATAGCGACGCATGCGTATCCTGGGAGCCGCGAACTGCAGAATCATAAATTTGTTCAATGGAATGGCACAACGCGCGAGTCAAAGGCGGACCTAAAACCCATCCTGGAGCTAACTTGTCCTTCGATTCAATAATTTCATAGAACCAACGAATCTTCTGTAAGTGTGATAGGATTTGAGCTCCTAACAACACTTGGTTCGAATCGCTAGGTGGACATGCAGTAGTTGCTACTGTCGATCCTAGTAGGCGGCCCGGTTCCTCGACAGGCAGGCTATCTTCATACTCACTGAAAAGATCTTTGGGAGAGACCAACCCTAGAGCACCCGGTCTCAGAGTTCGCTTCTCCTGCGCAGTCCATCGTGCGATATGTTGGTCGCATAACGAATTTACGTCTGCGACTGGTAACTCTGACGGGCTTGGCGCGGCTGTGCTGGAGATTCTCTGATCGACACGGAAAACCAGCTGATTGTCCGCGCGTTGCCTCTTTGGTCTCCGCGAGATCACCCTGGGGGTACGGGGCTGGGTTAGTGGAGAAGGATGATAGAAGCATCGCTCGGCCCGGCCGTTCAGGCACCGACCGCAGACGGGACTTCGGTGGTCACATCGTAATTTGGACTTTCGGCAAGGCTCGCATGATGAAAGCTGTCCATTCCGGCGAGGTGTTGCCATTTTCACTTCCTAGATATTTGAAGACCAAGGAAGATAGACCAAGCTTTATCCGCCGTACTTATTTGGGGGTTTTGGAGGTAAAATAATGCTCGATCGGAGTTTCCAGCGGTGTCGGACCTGAGCGGAGCTCGACTTGAATTTCCCTAATTGGGAAATTTAGGCCTGGAACTCCGAGTGGACTAGAACGTCTTATCTAACTGAGAGATTATAAGAGACAGAGACACATGTGGGTTTTTCATCGAAATTGAATGAGTATGCCGATACCAGGAGTGATTCTGAATTTATTGTGACAGTAACTGTCTTGTCCAATCGTGGTGTCATAACATCAGGGAACTATCGAAGACGCCATTCAATCCATTCGGCGATCTCACCTTTGACTCAAATTTTTCACTTTTTTGGTCGGTAAATTGGGTAACTTAACATGTAACAATATCCGAAAATAGAATTGAATATGGCTTCTTAAGGGCTGGACCTGTACGGTACGGTAGGTCACCAAATGCCGCCATTGTGTCGCCGCTCAGGTTCAGTGGAGGGGTTCTTTTATGGTTGAATATCTTGAGTATTCTCTTGATGGAGAAGTCGAAATGAAATATATGGTTGGAACCGTACAGCAATTACAACAAGGGGCTATTGTGATGCGTATTATCGTGGTACATACCAACGTTTCAGAATGCAGCAAAAGTGAGGCTTATTTGGACTCCTCGGTGATACACCTATTTAAATTGTCGACGTGTCCGACGAAGTTGGAATAGAAGGCTTCTTTTTTTTTTTTCTTTCTCAAAGAAATGCGAATCTGATGCCAAGGGATTCATCAGAAAGAGGCAAGGCTTTCATGGAAACTGTTCGGAATCGATCAAGGCCATGCTGAAAGAAAAGCTCGCCGAAACATACGGAGCATACACTGCCATAATGTTTAGATTTTGCCCTGATTGGTGCAACCATTATCAAAAGCTGTCAACGGAACCCTAATATCCCAAGGGGGCGTTGACAGTGGGAGGAAATCGCTGTTTAGACCTACCGGCCATGCATAAGCCAGACGTCGGCGAGTTCCAAGGTTAGTAGTTAGGTGAGTGACCACCAGCGAATCCTTAATGCTGCATGTTTTTGGTTTTTCCCCACAGATTTGGAGAACAGGACTTCTGGTCCGCTCAGACGTACTTACGCCCTCTAGTGTGACCCCAGGATATTGTTAATCCTCGAAAGATAATTTATATTCTACTTTTTCAACATAAAAGTGTCGACGCCTTGAAACCTTGACGGGGGTAACCCAGCAGAAACCATATACATGGCAGGTCTCGCTGGAAGAAGTCGAGGGACAATACGAGAAGGGTGGAGTAAATATGATAGAGGATCTATCAGTGCCCCCTACTACGTGCAAGACAACCTGAAAAGGGCCTCATTTAGTCGAAACGAGCCTGACCACAAGATTATTAAATTAACGCAAATAGCTCTGTATTAGATCATGTTTAACAAGAAATCACACATATTTCAATCTGTTTCGCGTATACAACCCATATCCCTTTAATCACATACAACATGCAGTTAACTTTGCTAACACACTTATTTTCGCCAACGAGTTCCATTTCTCTTTGATCTGCACCATGGGTTGTCAGCTGCATGTTTAACAAAAGTGAGTATATCAGTCAGGGATGTACTAACAAGTAAGAATGGATAGCACCAGATTATCTGCGTGCGAGGGCCATCCGTCTTCTCATTGTTCATGAATTTGCTCTTTTTTTTTTTTTTTTTTTTTTTCCCTCCTTTTCTTTCTTTTTGCCTTAGCCTCCAACGAAACCTGATAGGTTTCCTTAGCTCCCTCCAAACAATTTTGTTTCCTGTGCTAGCTCTGAAAGCGGGCGGTCCGGAAATTCGGAGAACCATTGGATAGCCTCGACAAGTTCATCTGCCAACAGCTCCGCTTTCGACTGTTCCAGTGTGTCACCGGTCGCTGTGATCATAAGATCGAGGCCCATTCCCCGTTTCATTGATACAATACCGACCTGACCTTGCTCAAGTTTTGAATTCGCCCAGCTAGAGCTGGAAGAAGCACGAATACCGCCCATCTCGAATGATCCTCCGCCATCGGCTTCTTGATGGTGGACAATACAGCCAAACTTGGAGTTGCTCGGCCAATCAGTGCATTTCCGCACAATGTCTTCAAATGAGAGATAGTCGTAAGAGAGTGTTTCCAGCTGCTGGACTTGTGTATGCCGCAGAAGATCCATGATAGTCCACTCGAGGCTCATGACGACACGCAGTGGTAGGAGATTGATGCAAGGCCCAAGGGCCTTGTCCACATTTGGGATGGGACAACCACGTCCGTGAACGACCTGGCCGAAAATAACATCGCGATGCAGACCACCAGATGACAATTTCCATATCAGTGCTGCTTTTACCAGAGTAGAGGACGTAATCTCAGAAATGAAACAGGATCGTGTGATCTCTCGTCTTGCGCTGGTAACTGCTGTGCTGTCGTTCTGCTGCGATGCAGGAGTTGAGGTAACACGTAAGAAGTCGAGAGTGGCGGCGGAAGCGTCGTGGAGATACTTGCGCCAAAACGAGAATGCTTCATCATTTGTATCACTGAGTCGATTATAAACCACTTCGCTGAACTGCACAGCTTTCGGAAGAGTGTTTCCTTCGTATGCAGCCGCTAGGGCCTGCCATAACAAGTGCAACGAGGCTCCATCATATTGGGCGTGCGATATCCGAAGGATGAAGATGCAACCCGGTCCATTGGGGCTAGTCACAACGGTGAAGCTCATAGGCAGCGATCCTCGAGGCAGAGATGGAGAGATCTTTCGCTGAGATTCCTGGGTGATGTATGCCTCGGGATCGTCACATTCGACGACATCGAAGACCGGCTCAACCTCTTGGAGGATGACTTGGAAGATCCGGAAGTCGATTTCCACAAAGACTGTTCGTAAAATGCTATAGTGCGACATGAGTCTTTTGCAAGCCATATGGAGCCGGTCAATGTCCACGCCCATTGGGAAAACCTGGGCGGTGGAGACTGGCGATGAGTGGGTAACATAGTAGGACTGGAAACCAACGGCCGGCAAGATATCGACCACATTCTCTGAGACGAAAGGATGGTCTTTGTTTGTTGTAGTGGAGAGGATGGCTGCACGTTCAGCCTCAGTGACCGCTGAGTATGGAACATATTGCTGGGAGGGGAGTGCGTCCGCCTGCTGCGCATCGACAATGGCGGCCCACTCCGCTATTGTTGGATGCCGGAGGACATCGTGAGAACTGATCTCCATTTCTTGTGCACGGGCGTTAGCAGCGATTTTCATCGCGAGAATTGAGTCTCCTCCTAGATGGAAAAAACTGTCATCTGCACCGACTGTTTCTGGAGCTATATCGAGCAATCCAGTAAGGATGGCGTGCAACCGCACAGCCGTCTCCGTCTCCAAAGGCTTCTTGTTTCTCTGTGCAGCAAAGTATGCTCGCAATTCAAGGGGTGGAATTTCCTGAATAGCCTTGCTTAGCTGCTGTTTGTCCGTCTTTCCTGATACCGTTCGCGGCAGCTGGGCGACAGAGACAAAGAAGTCCGGAATCATGTACCCCGGGAGATCGTCCCGAAGTTGCCGAAGAGCATTGGCAGCAGTAGAAGAAAAAGCGTCGCTTGGAACATGGAGAAGATCCTGTTCGGTGCCTGTGTTGTCCTCATATCCATCGTATATGCATGCAACCAGGCGTGGAATCGCTACGGTCGGTGAGGTTGTTGGCGTGTCCGAGTATGACTCTTCCAAGAGCATCACCTGCTCGATCACAATCTCGCTTGCCCCAGAGAAGAACCGCCGTACGTGATGTTCAATATCCTCCAGCTCCACACGCTGCCCCCGTACCTTAATTTGTCGATCCTTCCGGTCCTCAAAGCGTAGAGAACCATCGGAGATTTCATACCGGACAAGGTCCCCAGTCTTATAAAGCCGCAATTGCTTTAATTCCTGCTCCGAATACATACCTCGTAGCCACACCGGTGGTTGGCCTTGCATGAAGGCTTCGGCGGTCTTTTCCGGTTCATCCAAATAGCCTATGCCTACCGCTGGCCCAGCGAGAACTAACTCTCCAACAGCGCCCAGAGGAAGTAGCCGGTTTTTGTCATCCTTATCAACAACCCAGGCATGGACCCCTAAAGGCCGCCCAATATTGCGAGGATCATCACCTGGACGAATTGCCGATGTTGCTGTGCTGTAAACTGCACATTCTGTTGGGCCATAGCTGTTTATCAAAGTAACAGCTTTCCCCCATTGGCTGGTGTGAGAGGATGACACAGGCTCGCCTATAAGAATTAAGGTCTGCAACCAAGACGAGGCTCTGGTCGCGTCCAACCCACTGGCCAGTGATGGGGTTAGCATTGCGTGTGAAACAGGAACAGGACAAACCCCAGTCATCATCATCTTATTCTGCTCCGAATCAGAAACCACGCAGACGGTGGCTCCCGCTATCAAAGTAGTGAGAATTTCCGCCATAGACACATCGAATGCGTAAGACGATGCTTGTAAGACTCGGGAAGATGGATTCAGAGAGAACGCTTGAATTTGTTGGTCGGCTGAAAAGGTATACGACGAGTGCGATACCATGACTCCTTTGGGTGCACCTGTGCTGCCCGATGTAAAGAGTATGTATGCTGCCTGTTCAGGGTTGGTAGGGTGGCTGAAGTGGGATTGAGCATAGTGGCGATCGTGGTGATCAAGGGTCATGTTGTTGCCGACCTGAATCACTTGATCGGCAAGAAGCCGACTTAGTCCTACTTGGGCGGTAGACGATATGATGATGTTCACGTTTAGGCGACGGCAGAGCTCCTGAAGTCTCCCCATCGGCTGCATGGCATCAAGCGGCACAAACGTTCCACCAGCCTTCATGACCGCAAGAATAGCCACTATTGTCCAGCAAGACTTTTCAAAGCAGAGAGGGATAGGTTGAGCAGCACGAATTCCTGTTTTCTGCAGTTTTTCAGCTAGCTGTGACGCCAGCTGATCGAGCTCGCTGTAAGTGAATTCACCATCCCAGCTGGAGACTGCTTGATGAGTTGGCTGTTTTTTCGTGCGTTCTTCGATTATTTCGTGAATCCCAAACGGCACAGGACTTGGCAGTGCACCATTCCAGGAACGTAGGCGTTGTTGATCATGGTCGCTTAGAAGCGCCAAGTCGCCAAGTGAAGAATCTGGGTGCTGAAGAATCCTTGAGACTGCAAGATCAAAGTAGTCGGCCAGCTGGGTGGCCAAAGAGGGTGATACACGCGATGGATGGTATGTCAGAGCTGCTCGGATCTGGCCGTCGTCTTCGAACACCACATACAGAGCAACCTCGTGCTAAAATAGGCGCATATAGTTAGAGAATGACCAGACCAAACAAGGGGATTCCGGGGAGATAAGTAAATATCTATAAAACTTACAATACCTGGGTCCAATACTCGCCGCTGTGTCAGTTGGAGTGAGGCTGTCTCGAGGGGGCCGCCATACCCGCTGGCAACGGGTAATGAACTATGACACCAGTAGAGGCCAATGCCTCTATGGGAACTCCAGCAGCTCGCGCAATCTCTACCAATGGGAAAGACTGGTAGGATAGAATTTGAGAGTAATCCTGCTGCATATGAAGAGAAATGTCGTTGAGTAGAAGGTCAGATGCCATGCGTGCACGACATATCGACATGTTTGAAAATTGGCCAACGGCGCGGTCAATGTGAGGGACTGGAATCAACCTCCCCGATGTTGAAATCGCAAAGCACACATCTTGAGAGCCTGTTAAAGCTGATAGTGCCAGGGCCCAGGCAAAATAAACAAGATTGGATGGAGTCCAGTCAGTTGAGCGACAGAATGACTCTATATCCTCTCCACGGAAGGCCAGCGATATCTCCAACCGTTTCATGACATCCGTGGAGGACTCGGAGGCGGTCTCAGGTACGCGTGCTCGTGGAAGGGCCAATGGTTCAATATCCTTCAAATACGACTCCCAGTACTTGCGAGCTTCATCGTGCGGTTCCTTCTGAACATAGTTGATGTATTCCCGATACGGATCTGGCTGGGACATTTTTGACAGTGGCGCATCATAGGCATGGCAAAGATCGAGCTCTAAAATGGCTAAGGACATGCCGTCCAAGATGGCGTGATTAATGTCTAGTCGGCAAAAGACACCTCCAGAGTAGTTGGAATGAACGGTGAGTTGATGCGGTATGGACTGGCCGTCGTTGCGCCACCCTACATTTGCAGAGGGCTCAATGAGGGCGTCAGGCAGCATGGAATCATCAGCAACGCCATCATGGCAAATTTCATCACGTATTATGTGCACCGGCGTGTCGATTTCATGAAGCAGAACCTGCTCGAACTGACCATCATCGCTCGGGCTTGGCTGAAACTTGACTCTCAGGGCTGAATGTCGAGAGACGACCGCCTTCCATGCCTTCACAAGGCGGTCTACATCCACAATTTCGCCCCTTGTATTAACTTGCCAGATGAAGTGGGCGGCATATTTGTGTTCAAATTGCATCTGATTCAGCAGGATGCCCCGTTGTGCCGGAGTACAGGGGATTACACCGGCCACATTAGGATCTCTTTGCTGAACATGCAACTCATGTGACGGTGCGAACCGCTTGGCAACCTGTAGAATTGTCCTCCACTGGAATAGATCTCCAACTGAATGGGCAATACCGACGGCGCGTGCTTGAGATGTGGCCTGGAGAGCGGAAATAGAATCCCCGCCGAGACGGAAGAAGCTATCCTCCACACCGATTTGGTCGGCAACGATTCCCAGTGCTTGTGCCCAGATTTTCTGCAGGGTGCTCTCCGTGGTGGTTGCGGTGTTTCGTCTCTTATCTGAAGTCTTCGGCATGAACATGGAATCCAAGTCTTGCCGCGATACCTTTGCGACAGAGTCCCGCAGTCGCGACCGGTCTAGCTTCCCGCCAGTGGTCCGAGGCAGGTGTTTGAACGGTACAAAGATATTGGGTATCATGTACTCTGGCAGAACATCTTCGAGTCGTCTTTTGACAGCGTTGACCATCTCCCCAAATCCCGTCGGTATCACGACATCCAATGACGGTAACAGCGAGGAAGGAGTGGGCCCCAGTGAGCCAGTATTACCTTTAAGCGCGATGAACACTGCCAGGCACGGGTTCTTCACTGCGCCTGCCGGAGTGATAATATGGGCCACCACATCTTCAATATCTGCAGGGAAATTGTGCTGCACCTGAGATTCCACTTCGCCAAGTTCAAACCGTTGTCCACGAAGCTTGACCTGGTAGTCTCGTCTTCCTATAAAGCAGAGTGATCCATCTATGTCGTACCGAACTAGATCACCTGTACGGTACACACGCCTGTTGCTATCCCTATCATCTGCCAACCACAGTTGTTCATGCATCCAGGATGGGCAGGGAACAAACGAAGCCTCGGTTTGCTGTGTATTATTCAGGTATCCGCGGCCAACTAGGGGCCCTTGCAGAAGAAGCTCACCCACAGCGCCGATAGGAAGTAATCGTTGAGGGTCTCTGGGATCGGTTACCCATGATGCCCCTGCAATGGAGACCCCAATGTTGGCAGCCTCACCGCCGTTGAGATTGAGAGACGGTTTCATTGTGAAGACCACTGTACACTCAGCAGGCCCATATGTGTTCAAAAGGTGCACTTTATCGGCCCACTGCCGGATGTCACTTTCTCGGACTGGCTCTCCTATCAGCATGATGGTATGCACTGAGCTCAAATCTGCCGGGCTCACTACCCGCAGCACAGACGGTGTTAATATCGCATGAGATGGCTGCAAGTTTGTGACGGCCCGACCCAGGTGATCTCTCCGTTCAGATTCTGACAAGACGCAGACACAACTTCCAATGAACAGCGTCCCAAGAATCTCAAGGATACTGACGTCGAAAGCATAAGATGCAAAATGGAGCATCCGAGAGTTCCTGTTAAGCCTCATCTCCCGAGCATATGGGACGGCCATTGTCGCAAAGGACCCATTCTCAACGACAGCGGCTTTTGGTTTTCCAGTGGAGCCGGATGTAAAAACAGCGTAAAGAGCCCGGTGCGGGTTGGCAGGAGGGCTTCTGATTTCGCTTGAACTTCCAGCGCCAGGACCTGCCGTCACCACTACGGTGTTTGATACCAGCGATTGCGCTGCAGCCTGGTGGTTGATGGAGGTAATTATGATAGGTGCCTGCAGCTCCTCGCAAATAGTGCGCAGTCGTCCGTGAGGATGGAACGTGTCGAGCAGCACAAAGGCGGCGCCAGCCTTGAGAACGGCCAAAACCGCAACAGCGGTCCAGCGTGACCGATCAAGATAGATCGGAATGAACATATCTGGTCCAACTCCCCAAGAGCAAACTGCTCTTGCCAAGGTATCAGATCGGGTATCTAACTCCCCGTAGGATAAGTTGCCATCCCAGGCGCAGACAGCTGGCGCCGATGGCTGGTTAGCACAATGCCCTCGAATGACTTCAATCGCCGTTCGAGAGTCCAAATCAGGAATTTCTCTATTCCACATCTTCAGATCCTGGAGATCCCTTGAGTTGACCGTCGAGATTTCCTTCACTAAACGCTGTGGCTCTTTGTGGACGCGCTGTAGAATGTGACCAAATTGGTCCAGAATCCGCTGGATTTGCCATTCTGGTAGAACTGTTTCATCGAAGGCCGCCTCCACAGTGGTCTTATCAGTTCCGAGGATAATGGTCAGTTCCAAAACATATGTATTTGCCGCATCATCCCCGGAGAATGTTTTAAGAGGCTGGGCATTGCCCAATGGCTCATCGTGGGCCTCATCTCTTCCCTCAATCAGGAGGGTCTGAAACGAACATGCTTGCATCGCTCCCGGCCCAACCGAAGCGATTTGAGACAATCCGACTTGCTCGTATGGGATGAGTTGCAGCATCTGTTCTTGTAGATCTATAAGAGCCTGCGACACTGTCACGTTGTTATCCACCGAAACGGACAGGGGTATCGTGGCAATCGTGGGGCCAGCCATCATCTCAATACCACGGACCGGCGCTGAACGACCGGATGAGACGACCCCAAAAACAACAGTGTCGCCGCTTTGATACTGTGATTGTACCAGAGCCCATGCTAGTCGGCTCGCTGTAGTTCGACTAACCAGTCCATCCATCACCGGGCCAGTGGCAATGGTACGCTGGACCTTTTTCGGCGTCTGGGGTCGATAGGATGGGAAGGGAATGGAAGGGAATGGGTCAGCATCAAAGCTGCTAAGTTTATCATGCCAATATTGAAGAGATTTTTCCTTTTGGCTCATTGTATATTGGATGAATCTCTGGAATGGAGCACAGCGCAATTTTGGTGATCCAAGGTCGTCATACGCCAGCTGCGCCCATTGGAGGAGAAGAGGCAGCGACCAGGCATCGTAAACCGCATGGTGCACGGTTATGCTCAGTTCAATGTGTTCTGGCTTCATATCAATCTCAAAATGGATGAGCCGTTGGCCAAAAAGCATCTCCCAGGTTGGTTCTTGATCTTTGTTTTGGTCACCAGTAGCAACTTTCCAACTGAGTTCGCAGTCGCGGATTATCGCTTGCAGACACCCAAACTCGGTTTGAACAAGACGCGTGCGAAGAATGCTGATTTGAGAAGAAACCCTTTCCCAAGCTGTCTTCAGCCTATCCAGATTGATTTTTGGAGCCAGTTTGAAATAGTGATGTGCAATATAGGAGCCCGGTCTTTCTGCCGTTAACGCAGCCAGACCAGCTTGCAATGCTGTGCAAGGATAAATGTCCTCAATTTGCTCCGCTGTCACATCACATTGACTCATCGTCTCCCTCTTAGCGGTCTCTCGCTGGGCTGAAGGAAGCAACGATAACGGAGGAATGGCGTCTTCTTCGTGTATTGATTCTAGTGCTTCCGTTTCCGGTGGTTTTGTCTGTTGGCGGACATGAAGTCGTGCGAGATCCTTCAATCTAGGATGCAGGAACACGTCAGGCACAGATAGTTTAAGCCCTTGAGTAGCAGCCGCAGACGCTAGTTTCATGACAAGAATAGAGTCTCCGCCCAATCGGAAGAAGTTGTCATCCGGACCGATGCTATCTACTTCACGATGGAGTACCTGTGCCCACAGCTGCTGTAACAGTTGCTCGTCTTTGGTGGTCTCCATGCGCTGTCTTGTCTTTGGACTGCCCTCAGATTGGTCCATCCGTATTTGAAGGTCACGCGACGCTTCATCGCAGAGCCGGCGCCGATCCACCTTTCCGTTAGGCAGTCGTGGCACTCCAGCAATGGGCAGAAATGCAGACGGAATAAGGAACGCGGGAACCCTGCCTTGAAGCCTCAGTTCAGTCTCCTCCACTGCCCCTTCAAAGGCGCGGTCTTTGACATTCTCGTCAAGATAGACGATTGAGGCAACTAGATATGTGTTGGTAGAATTAAGAGGCTTGACTAGATCCACGAAGACCAGTGGATCACATTCGGGCCAGCACTGTCGGATCTGATGCTCGATTTCGCCCAGTTCAATGCGCTGGCCGTGCAATTTGACCTGTCTATCTTTCCGTCCCAAATAGTGGATAGATCCATCTTCGAGAATCCGGGCCCGGTCGCCCGTTCTATAGAGACTACCCTGTTCAGTCCCACGGATGTGATGCAGCCATGAAGGATAAGGGAGGAAAGCGGCCTTCGTATGATCCGGTCTATTGACATAACCGCGCCCGACGATGGGTCCCTCGATGAGGAGTTCTCCCACTGCTCCAATGGGCATGGGCTTTTCCGGTGCTTGGGTATCGACCACCCAAGCGAGACATCCGACCGGGAATCCGATGTTTGCCGGGTCCTTCAAAAGGCATTGAGGAGAAGGTTGGACTGTGGCGACGACAGAGCACTCAGAGGGGCCATAGGCGTTCATCAAATGAACATGGGATGACCACAAGCGCACATCATTTTCACTCATGCCCTCACCACCAAGAACGAGAGTTTCCAGAGTTGAAACCTGTCCAGGTTTGAGAATACGAGCTACAGAAGGTGTGAGCAACGCCCAAGTCACTCGCATATCTTGAATTACTTCAGATAGCCTCCGAGCTCTGTCAATCTCATTGGGGATGCAAATACATCCGCCCACAAGAAGCGTTGTTAGTATCTCCACGATACTCGCGTCAAACGCATATGAGGCAAATTGAAGGACACGGGAGCCTTCACGCAGTCTTAAAGCCCGAGAGTGAGCCTCTGCTGCGGAGCGGAATGCCTGGTGCTCAATGACGCTTGCTTTGGGCTTTCCGGTAGAACCAGAGGTAAACACTGCATAGGCTGCAGCCCTTGGGGTTATTGCTGGAAGCTCTACTACCTCATCACCTACAGTCCAATTTGAGGCATCAGTCTCGATGTGAAGGACCCTCGGAACAATGCTGGCTGCCAAATCCACATGCTTCGTGGAGGCGAGAATGACAGGGCACAGGAAATCTTGATTCACCATCCCTTGTAATCTCTCGGCGGGATGTGTTGGGTCCAGCAAGATGAAAGCTCCACCAGCCTTCAGGACGGCCAGAACGGCCACCACGACCCAGCGGGACTTCTCGCAGCACACAGGCACAAACACGTCAGCACCCACTCCGTTTCCTTCAAGATGCTGGGCCAGAATGGAGGAGGCCTGGTCAAGCTGCCCGTATGTCATATCGCCATCCGTGTCACAAACTGCAGATGCTGTAACGTGAGCACGGCTATACTGCTGGATGTCGGTATGAATACAGGTTTGTGCGGCCTGTGGCACGAACTGGTTCCGTTGAAGTAGCCGGTCACGACTCATTGGACCTAGCGGATCTAGCTGGCTCATGTGAGCATTGGAAGGATCAATGAGCTGCGACAGAACATGGAAGAAGGTGTCGGACACCAACTCCGCCTGTGCATCGGTCACAACGTGGGACCAGTAAGTCAGGTCTCCGCTGATCTTTTCATCGCCAACGATGATATTGACCGTTAAGTCATACTTGCAATTGTCAGTTGGTTTTCTTGTAGTGAAAAATGCTAGCAGCTACGCACCTCAGTAGAGTCGATCCCAAGAGGCCCTTCAAGATTGATCTCTGATGGATAATCACTAGGCATCAGCTCCGCAGCCTCCCTCTGCAGGGACATGGCGGTGTTAAATAGTGGCTGGCACGCGAGGTTCAGGGAATGCATGACTTCCGCTAAAGAGCAATGCTGATGTTCGAGATTCCGAGCGTGTGCATCCTGGTTTTCTAATAGTGTCTTCAACACCGATGCATCCCCAGTCAAGGACAGTCGGCAGATGAGCAGATTGATCAATGGTCCGGACATCTTGCGTGCGTTGGGCACAGGGATATCGCGGCAGGAATTCAAATACCCGAAGCACACCGAGTCTGACCCCGTATAGACGCGGAGTACAACACCCCAAGCTACTTGTAACAGGCTAGAAATGGTGATGCCATGGTGTTGAGAGAAAGATTGCAGGCGACGTGCAATTTCGAAGCTGAAAGGCACCAGATTCAACGCAGATGGTTCGGTTCTGGGGCTCCTGGTCACCAGTGAAGGGAAAATACATGCATTGGCGCCATCCAAATACTGCTTCCAGTACATCTCTGACCCCGTTAGATGATGGGTCTGCAGGTATCGAAGGTATGTGCTGTATGCGCCTGTTGGCTCACTCTCCAACTGCCCATGATACGCACGGTGGAAGTCAGATAGGAAGATTTGCCAGGTCACGCCGTCAACGAGCATGTGATGGATGCTCAGTTCGCAGAAAACATCACCACCACGTTGAATGGTGAGTTTGAGCTTATGAGGTGTCTGTCCCTCCTGGCTTAAATGACTCTGATTCAATAATGACTGGTAGGAAGAAGGTGATAGAGTCTCATCATCTCTCAATGATGCCTCATCCTGTGAAACCACCTCGATGTTTCCCGGAGACGATTTGAACACAACTTGCAAGCTATGCTCGCCAGTCCTTTCAGTAAACACGGTACGTAAAATTGGGTGGCGATCAACCACTTGTTGCCAGGCCCCTTTGATCCTCGAAATTTCGATAAGCGGAGACTCGCTGGATGAGCGGTGCACAATCCACCTGATATGCGACCAATACATCTGCGGGTTTTTCGCGTGGCTCAGCCACATACCGAGTTGAATATGAGAGCAAGGATATATATCTTCGATATTGGATAAGGATATATCAAACTGATGGGAGATTTGATGCAGTAGCTCCTGGAGCTGTTCATTGGTCGTATTCGGCAACAACGGGAAATCCGATACTGTAAGTCGCTGTCCCTGCTGCAATATCTCAGGCACTTCTTGAAGAATTCCTTGACATGTCTGCACCCATTGTTGAAGTCGCTCTTGGTTTTTCATATGTTTGTTGTAGACAAATGCAATATTTAGGCATCCATCTGTCACTGATGCTGTCACATCGATGAGGGCAAAGCGCGGCAAGTCTGCAGGCATTGGAACCAATGCCTGGTCAGGGACAGACTGCAACTGAAGAAGAGCACCAGGTCGCTCAAGCTGTTGAAACAAACCGGTGTAGTTGAATAGTATCTCCATTGGCGAATGGGCCGCGCAGTAGTTCATGCCTTCGGGATGAAGATACCGCGAGGCAAAATAGGCCCATCCATTGCGCGGAATGGCTCGGCGGCCGTCCTTGGTCAGCTGGAGAAGCTCCGTAAAGTCTTGCCCTTTCTTCGCCCTCACGAAGACCGGTGCGATTGTGGTGAACCAACCAACGGTCCGAGAAATTTCAATTGAAGGATCCCATGGCTCCCGTCCGTGACCTTCGCTGAAGATAGCCGGCGCAGGTCTGTTATCAAATGCTTGAACAAACGCATACAAAATGGCAGTTTGGATGATTTCGACAGGACGAGTGTGAAAAGCGTCATTGGCAGCACCAAGGACTGACTGTGTTACTTCTTGAGATAGTCGGATGGACTGCTCGGCCGTGTCTGCCCATCTGTTGTTGGCTAATTTGGCCGGTGGTCCCCAGTAGCGAAGAGGAGCAGCTGGAATATCTGTAGATAGGGCTGTTTCGGGATCCAGGGACTCCTCTGTGTAGGCTTGTTGCAAGTGGCACCACTTTTGGAACGACACAGAAGCTGGTTGTAGAGGAGACCCTGTAGTAAGAATATCTTCAAGATCCTGGAGCAGCACCCGCCAAGAGACCAAATCAATGACCAGATGATGCGCCATCAAGCCCAGGTATTGCTCATGTGTCTCTGTTTCGATGAGGTCAACGACAAGCATTGGCCCGTCTTCAATGTTAAGGCTGCTCTGGCTGTCACCAAAGATCGATTGTAGAGTTGTATGTTCTTTGATAGAAGACAACTGGTGCTCACGGTACTGGAAGTTATTGGTCGCTTTTTTCCTACAATCTGTTCCCAGTCGCCATCATCACTTTGCTTGAAACGAGCCCGAAGCATTGCATGCCGAGTTGTCAAATCCTCAACAGCTTGTTTGATCTTGGAAGCTGGGGTCGGCTTTGTGACACGGAGCAAAAACTCTTGCGTGAATCTGTGGTGTCCATCTGGGACATGCTCGAAGAAGAGCTGTTGGATGGGAGACAGACCAAACCAGCTCTCAGTTGCATCCTCCGCCAAATGCTTACTTTTTGTTTGCGGTTCGTTGGATTCCTGGATCTTCTGGGCCAGCTTGCTGATGCTGGGGAAGCGGAATATGTCGGAGACCATTACATTAAGACCAGCAGCTTGACAACTAGCAGCCACCTGCATGGCACTGACCGAGTCGCCTCCAAGCCGGAAAAAGCTTTCATTCACTCCAATCTGGTTGATCGGCCTGTTTAGAGTTTGCGCCCAGATCTGCTGTAACTGCTCTTCGCGCGCTCCTGAAGGAGACTGTGGCTTGATCTGCGCCGCTCGGTACTCTTGCATTTGCTCCCAAGATAGCAATGCTGCCTTTTCGCGGAAATAGCGTCGATCAGTCTTCCCAGATGGAGTCAAAGGAACGTGGGATATTGGGAAAAAGATGGCCGGAACCATGAAAGATGGCAGGGACTCTGATAGGCGAGACTCAGCCATGGAGCATGCTCCGCGAAATTCAGCGTTTGGAGGCAAGAATAGAGGCTTCTCAAGCCCATCATCCCCCGAAGACGATGACGAAGCGAAACAAATGAACGCAACAAGGAGAGCATCCGGGCGGCCATCATCGCTTGATGACCGCAGCATCTCAGCGACAGCCTGTTCTGCTAGGGGAAATGCATGACAGAGATGATGCTCTATATCTGCCAACTCCAACCGTTGGCCGTGCAGCTTCACCTGAGTATCCTTTCGTCCGAGATACCGGAAGCTGCCATCCCCTGTGTGTTGTACTAAGTCGCCAGTTTTATATAGCTGGCGGGATGGTGCATCTCCAAATCGCCGCCGCCACGGCGGAGCAACAATGAAGACCTTGGATGTTTGTTGGAAATTTGACAGATACCCGTTTCCAACAATCAGGCCTTCAATAACCAACTCACCGGGGCATCCCAGTGGCATTAGGCGGTTGTGATCTTCGGGATTAACAACCCATCCAACACCTCCTGTAGAAAATCCTATATTTGCTGGGTCTTCTGACTGAAGATGTGGCTGAATGCTGAAGACCGCTGAACATTCAGCAGGGCCGTATGCGTTGCGGACCTGAACGTGTGACTCCCAGCGGACCACGTCACTTGCCAACACGGCTTCTCCGACGAATACCAGAACCTTGAGGGTATCCATGCGGCTTGGTGAGAGAATCCTAGTTACGGTAGGTGTCAGGCAAGCCACATCCACTGCGAATTCATTGATCACCTCCGTAAGTCGGCTTTGACAGTCTGCAGCTGAAGGAATGCACACGCAACCTCCCATGATCAGAGTAGACAGGTGCTCAATGATGCATGAATCGAAGGCCGGTGATGCGAATTGCAAGATGCGCGACTGTGGTGTAAAGTGGTATGGCTCTCCATGTGCCAAAGCACTAGATGCATAACCGGCGTGGGTGACAATGACACACTTGGGATTACCAGTGGAGCCAGAAGTGAATGTAGCGTAAACAGGATCAAAGGGAGAAATTGTGGGTGTGGAAAAAGGGTCACTGCTGTTCTGCTTCAAATCGAGGCTATCGACATTGAGATTCGTTGCGACTCCCAGGCGAGAGGCCACAGAGGCATGAGCATTCGAAGTCACAATCACATTCGCTCCGAGTGTTTCACACATGGTTCGCAGTCGAGAAACTGGATAAGATGGATCTAGTAAGACAAATGCAGCCCCGACTTTCATCACTGCGAGCATGGTCACTGCTGTCCATTTTGACTTCCCTAGACACAATGGGACAAACATGCCACGAGCCACTGAGTATTGCGATAGCTGAGCAGCCAGTGCAGATGATATTATATCCAAGCTCTGGTATGAGAGTTCGCCATCCCAGCTGCTGATTGCAGGTGCCTGAAGCTGCTGATCTGTGCGCTGGCGGATGAGCTCATGCACACGCGGGGGGCAGTGTGGTTGATGGAGGGCATATTCCGGCGTATAAGCTCCTGTCGATCCTCTGGGCTTACTGGATCAAGCTCTGAAAGAAGCAGGTCAGACTCCTCGTCGATCTGCTCGTAGATGTGGGCAAGTTGAGAAAGAATCCGCTCAGTTTGCCGAGAATCTATGACCCCCGGATCGAAACGCGCCTCGATCCACATAGCGTTGCTAGAAGGCCGACACCGAAGAACCAACGCGTACAGGTCATAGTTTCTCTGTGTTGATTGATGTTTCGAAAATAAAGCGGGTAGTTGATGGCCGTCGCGCGGTTCCACCGACAGCAACGTTTGGAATTGACAGGCAGCCTTAGGGCCCGGACCAAGATGAAGTAGATTCTGCAACCCAACCTGTTCAAATTGCATCATGGCCGCCCATTGCTCCTGTACAGCAGCGAGAGCCTCGGCTACAGTGTGACTCCTGCATAGGCGGACGCGAACAGGGACCGTGGCGACGGCGGGTCCGCTCAGTTCTTGGACTCCAGGAACCGACACCCCGCGACCGGCGTTGACGGTTCCAAACAGGGTATCGTCGGATCCCGTGTAGAGATATTGCAACACTGCCCAAGCCAGGCGGAGCTTAGTGTTGACTGTAAACCCAGCACGGGAGCTCGGTTGGATATCGAATGTCTTCTCCAGCTGGCACGTTGGTCGAGAAACATACCCGGCTGTTGGAATATGAGGGAATGAAGTCATGGAAGTCTTGTGCGCATCTCGGAACTCCTGTTCCCAAAATGCTTCAGCTTGTGTTCGTGTAGACTGTACATATTCAACCAGCGGTCGAAACGGACGGTGAACCAATTCTTGGCCTCTGTAGGCCTCGTCCACCTGACGCAGTAGTAGTGCAATGGACCAGTCGTCGCAGATTGAATGATGGATCATCATGGTCAAACTATGCTTGGTAAGATGGAGGGTTAAGTAGACCAGAGGCGCACCCGCCCTCCAGGCCACGCTGCTCGTCATATTGGGCATCCCATCGTCGTCGGACTCCTCGTGCCAAGGGACCGGCCCTTTCACCACTGCCTGCATTACGCCTCGCTGGCTGGTGGGGACAATTCGTGTTCGAAGAATCGGGTTGGCTTGAGAGGTCCGATTCCATGCATCCCGCAGTCGTTTGGCATCAATCCCTGGCGCAAGGTGAAACTCATATTCCACTGTATACGCACTTGGGTCCTTAACGGTGGTGGCCATCATGCCTTCCTGAAGCGCGGTGCATGCATATACATCTTCTAACTCCTCCAATGTACAGTGGCAGTGGGCGGCCACCTCTGACAGAATGTCATCCTCTTCAGGGGGCTGGCGGTGCCTCTGCGAATGATGTGTAGCTCCCCCCGTCCACCACAGATTTTGTTTTGATGTGGTTTCCATCTTCTGTAGAGGATCCGACTTTGACCCCTTCGTGATCGAGGTATTGAACTGCGCCTCCTGCCCCTATAGTGCGTGATGCGCTAGAGGTGCTTACGCATCTATTCAACAATAACTCAATTTCCTTCATGACGGTAGTGGTTTGTTAAAATAGAGTGAAAAGTCTCGTCCTTTTTTTTTAACTGAACAGATGGGAGAAATACAATGAGTTTAATTGTGACTCCAGCAGAACACATTTCAGATGGGCTAAGCGTACTACAAGATCACGCGTTCTCTAAACAATGCTAGAGATCTAGTCTCATCCCAGCCGTCTAGATCCAATACCTCACTCCATCATGCCCAACTCTAATTTCCACAGCTACAGCTGTGATTGTGGGGTTCATGAAGGATATCGATGATGCTGCCGAAATCTTCGCAATATTTACCCCCCAATCATTTTGGCTTTGACAAGCTTAGGTTACATCCAGAGCATGGTTGGGAATCGTCGTTTTGGACCTTATTGTAGACCCTATTGTAGACCAAGTTTCATGACTCTATTCTAGACCCTATTCTAAACCCTATTTAGACCTTTCAGTGGTCAAAAGTGAGGATGGGGTCGTAATGTGAACAATGGGGAATCAGATTTGGTAGTCGTTCTACATGATGGTCACCACCCGATTGGATACCATATCCACCATATCCGGCCATGAAGCCGTAAGCCACACGGGCGGCCCGCACTTTAAAATGCAACATTCAGTTCGCCACAAACCGGAATTGGAAATTCTCATGATGCGTGTATTCGTATACGGTTGTGTTTACCGACCTATAAACCGGAGCCAGTGATCATGCGGGGCTCGTGTGACTATTCACTAGATCTTTACGTAGTTTACTTTTTGTGCTTAACCTAGCGAAAATATACTTGTCGGATACCATGACCGTAAGACAGCTACGAATAGCTACAAGGTATTGAGCTTCAATCATTTTTGCTATTGTATTTTCCGTTGCGATAGCAAATGCCATGGACTCCCCTCCGGTCTCTCCTCCAGAGGAATCAAACCTTCGAATCGATAAGGAAGACAAGGAGAGCGCAAGCTCCCCTTCTTTCGCAAATTACTTGGTACTATTCCAGAAAGTCATCCTTCCCTATTATACAGCGACTGATGCTCTATTTAGAGGATTGTTTCCTACGGTGCTAGAAATGGTCGGGTATTCCTCGTTATCCTGGGGCTCATATGCGCCATGGGATCCGGAGTTGTACGTTTGAGAATACTATGCCTTTTTCTGTATGGATGACTGACGACTTCCAGGCTCTGCCGTTGATGAACATCGTCTTTGGGAAACTTGTCGGTGATTTCAATCAATATTTTATACCAGGCGCTGCCCCAAGCGAACAGACCTTTAAGTCTTCGATCAATCAAAGCAGGTTGGGCTTCCACCCAGAATATTCGTATGGTTTGAGTTAAAGGACTAAAAATTTTGATTCTAGCCTTTATATCGTCTACTTGTTCATCGGCAAATTTGTGTTGACATACATTTCTATGGTAAGCCCATGCCTTTGTGGACCGCTGTTAATCAATCACTCAACAAAGTCGGATAGGTTTGCTTTCGAACCCTCAGCTTATACGCATCTGCCGCATTGCGTCTCGAATATACCACGGCACTCTTTGCGCAGCCGATAAGCCGATTGGACGAAATTTCCGTGGGAACAATAACCAATTCAATCACGGGGCTGTCGAATACAATCCAGCAAAGTGTCTCAGATCGGCTGGCTATCCTATTTCAGTCCCTTGCACTCCTTGTATCTGCCTACGCCATTGCCTTTAAATACTCATGGGCGCTTACATTGGTAGTCAGCGCGGCAATACTCTTTGTGCTGATCAGCTTTAGCTTGACGGTTCCCTTCCTGGTGAAGATACAGAGGAACGTCGATAAAGCTGATAACCACCACGCATCCGTCGCGGGGGACGTGTTCACCTCTATCCGAACAGTTTTTTCTCTGGGTGCAGAGGCCCCATTGGCCAAGAAATATGCCCGACTTGTTGACGACGCCCAAAAGGAGGGATTGCGGATGACTCCCGTCACTGGTATCCATCTGGGGCTTCTTTTCTTTGCGATGTACGTGAGCTTCGCATTGGCCTTTTGGTTCGGATTGAAGCTCTACCGTGAGGGGCACATTGCCAATATTAACACTGTCATAACGTATGTCGAATTTCGTTCAAGAACATCTAACAGCATCATTTTGACTATTATATAGGGTCTTTTTCTCTGTGCTCCTCGTGGTCACTGTCTTAGGAAGTATCGCTTCGCCGCTCATGGCCATTACTAAAGCAATCAGTGCCTCAGGAGCCTTTTTCAGCATCATTGACTCGGAGAAAATCTCTACAGATGGGCTCAGGGACCAGGATGCACTCAGTCATGCCGATATCATATTTCGGAATGTTTCATTTACCTATCCAACAAGGCCAGGAATATATGCTCTGAATGGATTCAACGCGACCATCAAAAGCGGCAAAACAACAGCACTAGTGGGGCCTTCGGGCTCCGGAAAGAGCACTGTGGTTGCGTTGCTTGAGAGATGGTATCAACTGAGCGATGATTCATTATCGGATTCAACAAAAGATATCCTCTCGGGAGAGATTAATGTGGGCAATCATCGCATCAACGAATTAGATCTGAAATGGTGGAGATCACAGATCGGGCTAGTTCAACAGGAGCCATTTCTGTTCAATGACTCGATTCACAACAACGTTGTTTTTGGGCTTATTGGGTCGAAATGGGAAAATGAACCAGAGGCCGTGAAAATGGAACTGGTAGTGGAAGCGTGCAAGGAGGCCTTTGCAGACGAATTTATCACACGGCTACCTCAGGTAATTCCCCATGTCTGAATATCTATTCGTCTCTATTATCAACGGGAACCTTGCTGACGATACTGTGGCAGGACTATTCAACTGTCATCGGTGAAGGCGGGATCACCTTAAGCGGGGGTCAACGCCAACGACTCGCCATTGCGCGGAGCATCGTCGGGCAACCCTCAATCTTAATATTCGATGAAGCGACTAGTTCAATAGATGTTCGCGCCGAAAAGGTCGTCCAAGCTGCTCTTGACCGTATATCAAAATATCGCACGACAGTCATAATTGCACACCGCCTCTCCACCGTCCGTCGAGCAGACAACATTATTGTGATGAAGGATGGAGTTAACGTTGAAAATGGAACACATAAGGACCTCATAGAGAGAGGGGAGATGTATCATGGGATGGTTGGTGCGCAACAACTTGAACCACTAGAAGCTCTCGACAACGAAGAGGAATGCGACGATGTGATTATCCCCAAGGAGGAGATTGAGCCTCAAGAATACTCCATTCACGAGATTGAAGAAGAAGAAGATCTGCAAGCCAGTCGTGAGTCCAAGAAATTTGGATTCTTTCGCTCGTTTTGCGTCGTCGCTCGTGAACATCGGAGGCATTGGATTTTATATATTTTCATTGTCGTGGGGGCCGTGGGAGCGGGTTGTAAGTATCGTGTATCCTTGTTGCACACTCTAAACTGACTAAACTTAACAGCCGGATATGCGCTGCAAAGCTGGCTGTTTGCGCAGTTGATTCAGGTCTTCCAGTTTACAGGACAGAAACTTGTGAATGCAGCTAATTTCTGGGCATTGATGTTCTTCATCCTAGCTCTCGCCATAGCTGCATTCTATTTTATCTTGGGATGGGCCTCAAACTCTATCTCAATGGTGCGTTCGCCCACTTCTTCTGATTCGAATGAACTTCTAACCTAACTAGTTTGTCGTGTCCACGTATCGCAAGGATTATTTTATGAATATGGTCCGAGAGTCCGTGTCGTATTTCGACCGGGAGGAGAACGCCTCTGGCAGTTTGGTATCCCGGCTATCAACAGATCCAAGACAAATCCAAGAGCTATTTGGCCCTACAGGAGTCTTTCCTCTGATTTCTGTTTTCAACGTCGTCGGATGCGTCATCATATCTTTCATCTTTGGATGGAAATTGGCAGCTGTTACATTTTTTGCCGCAATGCCGTTCCTCTTCCTGTCTGCCTTCATGCGCATCCGCTATGAGATCATGTTTGAATCTTTAAACGCTGAAGTGTACAAAGACAGTTCGAAGTTTGCTGCTGAAGCAATGCGTGGATTCAGAACTGTTACTTCTTTGACCATGGAAGATCACATTATCAAACGGTATTCGGATCTGCTGCAGCGGCAAAGAACAAAAGCACTTCGAAAAGCCTGGTATGCAACACTTATTTTTTCGTTTTCAGACAGTGTGGAACTATGCGCAATGGCACTCACCTTCTGGTACGGTGGGCAACTGTTGGCATCTCGTGAATACGATACCACTGGATTCTTTGTGGTATATATTGCTATCATTCAAGGTGGCCAGTCTGCGGGACAATTCTTCAGCTTTGGTCCCAACATCGCCCAGGCAAAGGCCTCCATCAACCGTATTCTTAGTGCCCGATTGACAGCCAACCGTCAACTTCAAATGTGCACGACGGAACCGCTTTTCTTCCCTGACCAGAACCGCACCGCTGATATCGAGTTCCAAAACGTTACTTTTAAATATTCTTCTCGGAATGTTGCAGCATTTTCCAATCTCAACGTATCTATCCCGAGCGGTCAATTCGTTGCATTTGTTGGACCCTCTGGCGCTGGGAAGTCCACAGTCATCTCATTACTCGAAAGATTCTACGACCCCACACACGGCTCTATCCTATTCAATGGACGTGATATCCGTTCTATTGACTCTCTTCCTACCGACGATGCATTTCTCTTGTCGCACAGGAGCCAAGGCTATTCGACGGCACCATCCAAGACAATCTACTCCTGGGCCTCGAAAACACAGACGACGAGCTCATGCAAGAACAGATGGTGCGAGCATGCCAAGACGCCGAAATTCATGACTTCATCCTATCCCTTCCCAGCGGCTACCTCACGAATCTTGGTGTCAGCGCGCAAACATCGCTCAGTGGCGGCCAGAAACAGCGTCTGTGTATTGCGCGGGCTCTAGTCCGGAGGCCGCTCGTTCTTCTTTTAGACGAGGCAACGTCCAGTTTAGATTCTCAGTCTGAGAAACTCATCCAGGAGGCGATGGAGCGCCTAGCCGTGAAACGCAATATGACTATCATCGCTGTCGCACACAGACTAGCCACCATCCAAAAGGCAGACAGTATATTTGTCTTTGGGGATAGTGTCTCACATCCAGGGTCGGAAATTTTGGAAAGGGGGACGCATCACGAGCTGCTCCGAAACAAGGGGCCTTACTGGCAAATGGTATGCCCTCATTCAAGACAGCATCAGATCGAGAGTAAAGGCTTACCAGGAAACAGTGTCAAGCACAGATTTTGGAGATGTAGAACCGCTCTTAGAATCCTGCAGGTTATCACTATCAAAATCTACTTACTAGCACCAAGCCATAGTATATGTTGTTTCGGTGTATGTTTCCCATCATTCAGAAAGGATACACTACTCCGATATGTTAAGACGTATTAGTTACCGCTATTATTCGTAAAGCCCAGTCATCCATATAATATCCCCGATTATATTCATGTATCGCTTGCACTTCCCCGGTATATATTCCATCCAAATAAGCGGTATAGAATCTCTCTATAAGTACTGAAGTTGATAATTCATAGGAGATATAAGAATTTTAATAATTCGTAGTAGTTTAAGGTAAAGCTACCTATTTATTCATATAGAAATAGCTTGCTACTTATAGTAGAGATGGAGTCGTTCATCGAGGGATATCCGATTATTAGCACCATGCTTTGAATTGCAAAAGCTAATGTGTTTAAATTATTATAAGAGTGGGATCCTTCAAACCTATACAGCAATCTAAGAAGAAGTTCTATTGCTCTACTAAGAGTGATACCGGGTTTAAGTGTGCTGTGTGCTTAGAACGCTCTGTGTTGGCTGAATAGGGCTGTTTTAGGGCTGTTTTAGAAGTTTTATAGGTTAAGTGATTTTCTAGGATTTGTTAACAGTTTTTCATGTTGCTTTTTGTTTATTAATAAGATCAAGAAGCTAATATTTTTCACCCTGTTAATGAACTAGTATCCTACGAGAAATACACTTAACTCGTTTCCCTCCTATAATCAGGAGGACTACTCCGCCCACCGTGACGTGAATGAGTCGGAATAATGCCCAGAGAAAAATTCTCAGTGATTATGTCAAACATCAGCTTATGTATTGGTTTTGAACGGTTTCTATAGAGATAAGGCAAAGGCGTTGTCATGAATAAGCATAGAAAATTAGACTATTCTAGGGGCGGCACTGGACACCACCCAAAATCAAATATAACGGTAAAACGTGGATGGGAACCCATCTGGATAATCATGAAAAGAATAAATTGTATCCCCTTTAAGACACGGGTGGGTTGACTCTACGAAGATTGCTTTTCAGATAAATCCTGCATGTCGTGAAATTAGGGCTCTATGTTAATTGCCCAGGTGCCCAAGTTAGGATGGGTAGTTTGAAGAAAAGGTATCATTCGTGAAACGTATAGGTGAAATAGGATACAGTAACGTTCGAAATCAGATTGACCTCTCTGATTTCGAACCCCCACCCCGCTTCTACGTCATTAGGAATATGTTTAAATGGCGCATACACATCTGATGATCAATCTTCTCCTTCCATCAACCGCATCCAGATCAACTGGGATTCTTCCTATTCGCAGTCTTGCGTAGGACGTGCTATATCGCCTAGCAGACTCACAATTGCACGGAATTTTGGATTTGGCTCCCCAGTTATAGCTTCCAAGTTTGAAAGAGCGGCTCCAACGTTCCTCTCAAGGTTTTTGAGGACCTCCCATGTCTGCTGAAATGCACCCGTGTGCCGAAGTGTATCGAGGATCTGCGTCTTGACATTTAGTGCAAGTGGTGTTCCACTTTGCCGTTGTCGGAAAATTCCCATGATGACTCTTTGAGCCATTGGATCAAGTCCGCAACACACTGTGAGAGGATATGACAGCTTCCCTTCATCCAAATCCTCGCAAAATCCCTTCTGCGACGTATACTGTTCATCTTGTAGGTTCTGATAGTCGTCCCGTATCTGATACCATCGGCCAAGAAGTTTTGCAAGCTGATTTAACTCGGAGATCGGCCAGTCCGGGATTGATGAAAAGTCATGCATCATCTGGATAATCAACGCAAACATGGCTCCGGTCTTGCCATCCACCATAGCCAAGTATTCTGCAGTAGACGGACAGTGTCCAGTGTCCTTCCAATTGAGATCCCAGCTCTGGCCTACGGCCAGCTGATTCAGACCATGCAGGAGGATATGGACCAATTTTGGATGCTGATCCTGATGTGTAGCAACTCTGGATGCGGCTCGTGCTACCATATAGGTAGCACTGTTAATGCATTGGCCTGGGCCAAAGACATGATGGGCTGTGGCAAATCCCCGTCGTAGAAACGATGCATCCTGGATATCATCAAGTATTAGGGTTGAGTTATGAATATCATCAACCACGCTTTTTACCGTGTCCAGCTGATCATCGGGCAATCGACACCAGATATTCAAGGCATCAATGACTTTCGATCTCATGTTCTTTGATGGGAGGGACTGTATGTAGTGCACAGGATCCAACAGAGCGGAATCGTCCAGAGTTGAACAACTGGAGTATTGAGGGGCCATATTCTCGCTCTTTTCCTCGACTGTACATATATTTATTCCTTTTCCATCTGATAAGGTGTGGAACTTGTATCTTTCACAGGCAGCGCACCAGATATGATGACCGCCGAGCAGAACCTCAAGCATCGCAATAAATCTCTGCACATGAGGCGGGGCATTTGGAGATGACAGGAAGAATTGCTTCGACAAGTGCTGATAGGTTTTCTCGTCCTTCAGGATCGCGTTTTTGAGTGTCTCTTTGGCTTGCTCCTCAGATCTGCCCTCTGCTTCCATTAATACCTTGATCGAGTTTTGTACCCTGTTGCCATTGTCTCGCTCAACTTCCCAACTAAAATAGTCGTTTGTGTTGGCGAAAATCCGATCAGCGACATCCACAATGTGTTTAATTTGTTTCATCTCGTCATCTGACAACAGAATGCCAAGAGAGAATTCAAGGATGCCCCATATCGCCCTATACTCATGTCAGAAGAAATTATTTCCGCACCGTGCCGTGGCAGTGCCAGTCATACCTCGTTCCGATATTTACGATTCGGTTGGATACAGAATCTTCGAAACTGGTGGGGTTTGACTTCACCACAAATTCCATCGGCTGAAGCCAATATTCCAAACATTTTTCCCCCAGGACTTTACCTTCTGCTCCATATTTCGCAGTAAACTTAAGCGCCACTTTCGACATAAATTCTTTCCCCCTTAAACCTCGTACCGATTGGATGGCATCGACTCCCTGAGTCGTACCCAGAATTGAGGTAACCATGCGGTGATGATCCATTGCACGTTCTAAGTCATCTCGTTCAACAATATCTTTCCTTTAAGTTAGCATTGCTCATCCTACAATGGAATAAATCGAAAATGGTGTTAATGTTCATACCGTCATGAATAGTAGCTCCCTCCAATATCATAGCAACAGTATCTAGCCTTTCCGGTAGGCATTCGGGGTATAAGAGACTAGACATGTGGCCAACACAAGAGCCCACATGGCAAGGGTGGTCTGATGGTCGTCCAGATATTGCCGCCATCATCTCAGTACTAAACAATTTTGCTGATTCGACTGTTTGCGCATCCTGTTTATGAAGACGGCTAGGTAGCACGGTGAAAGCATCGGATGGTCGCTGATGAACATTTTCCAGGGGCTCGGAGTGCAAGAAAACATCGGCGTCAGGTACAGTGGACAAGATTGAAGATCGTGATCTACCAGACAATGCTTTGCGAATTTTAACTTTTAGTTTCATAATGACTTTGAAACAGGGCCCTCGAAGCTTGATATCGGGTTGCTGATGAATGTTCAAGGTTCCAATAGGGGAAAAACTAAATTAAAAATCTGAAGACAGAGATAAAATTGCTCAAGGGGAACTTCCGCCTTTTAAATGATGGAAATTCGGGGTCATCCCACGCAGTTATTCCACTAGGCCGTGTAATGATACGTTGGTCCCTTTTGTTTACTCGCAGATCATGTTTGTTGCGGAGCAGCGCTGCTCGCCCGGCAATATCTAATTTAGGACTACGTATCTTGAAGGATTCCAAGAGGCCAATAAAAAGCAAAATAGCATACCGCACGAGTAAAAGTACAATATAAGGCGATTCCAAATACAGCAGGAATGTGCTGGCCAGGAGAAGCTGAGTACACAAAGAACTTGCCGTGTAATGACAATTCGTAAAGAAAGTATATTTTCAATAACTCAGCATTATATCGAACGAATGTAACTGTAATATTCGCTTACCTACCGCATAAATGTTGCTTATTGCTTATTCTTGTTCGTTAAGAAAGTATAATTTCAATAACTCAGCATTATATCCCACCATAAAGTGGCTATCATATTCGTATATCACCGCATAAATATTGCTTTTTGCTTGTTGCTGTGTCGAGTATGACATATCCAAAAGGGATGAGTCATGGATGTGACGAGCCACTGCGTGGGTGGTTTTCAGTGGAAGAGGGTGGCACCTGAAGGTTCGGATTTGACGTGTATTATTGACTATTGAAATGGGGATGGCGCGATGGCAGTCCGGCATAGCAGACGGATCGATATCAACAAAGAGCGTACAACCAACCACCCCCCTGGTCTGTGGTACACTCCCCCTTACGTGCACATGCTCGTTGTCGAATTCCAAAGCAAACAAAATAATTCTGCTGTCCTTAATATAGAAAAAGACGAGGGAAAATGAAAGAAAAAAGAACATAAAAAAGTAGTTTCAGCTCTCCTTCTCCAGTCTCCAGATTATATGTTCATCTGATAAGCACCATTCAATTTCTCATTAAATCGCGCAGGTCAGACCAAGTTACTCATTGCGGAGTCATATGAGCAAAATACAATGAGCTTGAATTCAACCCTCTGCATGTCGGGTGCGAACCCGATTGCACTTTCTTCTTCCAACATTTGCAACCCTGGGTTCTACTGTACGTCTCACCAAAATGCGTATGATAAGGATGGAGAGAAACTGACAAGCCTCCTGTATATAGGTCTGAACAATACCGCGGAGCACCCCCAACTTATTGCGCACCAACCTCTGAATGCCTTATTACTCGACTCCAAGCCGTTCAAAATACCTGTTTTCAGCCACAAGGCTTATACGAACCTATAGTATGCAGGCCAGGTTACTACTGCCCTCTCGGAGGGAAAAATCAGTTGGTTTGCCCCAAGGGGCATTATTGCCCACTGGGTAACGTTAAACCGCTCAAATGCAAAAAACTTTCAAGATGCCCTGAAGGCAGTGATCATGAAGTTCCTTTCTTCGGATTCCTAGTTTGTGGTCTTCTGGACTTGTTTTTGGTATGTCTGTTTTTATGGCCACATATTAAAAGGCGACCAAATCGAGGAGAGGGGAAAGACGAACCTAGAACACAAGAGTCGCGCCTGGAAATGCAGCCGGCATATAATTGTCAGACAGGGCCCGCAAATTGGCTAGGTCTATTGTTTTCAGGGGAGCCCATGAATGTGGGTATGGAACTTGAATTTCGAAATGTCTCCCTTCGCAAGCCAAAATCAACGGAATTCATTCTTTCTGAAATCAATGGCAAAGCACAAACAAGCAGTCTCACTGGTATTATGGGACAATCTGGCTCGGGGAAAAGTATGTATCAACCAAGATAGAAAAGTCGATGTGTAACTAACTGTTTCCGTCTTATAGCAACGCTTGTCAATATACTTGTTGGCAAGGTCCGGGCAACTTCGGGGTCTTTATCTTTAAACGGAGTTGAGAAGAAATTGGCCAAGTACGTACCACAATCACAATACTATTCGTGGCTCGGAGTTTGATCCCACTAATATGTCGACTAGAGGACACAACTTTCGCGCGCTAATAGGGTTCGTCCCGCAAGATGACATTATCCACCCACACCTCACTGTCTTTGAGAACATTCTTCACTCCGCGCGTATCCGGCTTGGGGGCGCCTTAAATGACAAGATAATCCAGAAGCACGTCGATACTATAATTGACGGCCTAGGCCTTAGTAACGTCAAAGACAGCGTTGTTGGTTCCGAACAGCGGCGAATTATCTCAGGGGGAGAACGCAAGAGAGTCAGCATTGCCTTAGAGCTGGTCGCAGCACCGCAAGTCTTAATTCTAGACGAACCAACTTCGGGACTCGATGCTCAAGCAGCTCTTTCAATAATGGAATTGCTTAGGTTGTTCTCTCGCCAGGGACTTACCGTTATCTGCGTCATCCATCAACCCCGTGTCGAAATTTTTGAGGCGCTGGATAATCTACTGATTCTCGATCTAGGAAAGGCCGTATACAGTGGGAAGGCCTTGGAGGCAAAACGGCATTTTGAAGCTCAGGGATACGTTTTCAACCCCAACCTTAATCCCGCCGATCTCATCATGGATATTGTGTCCGGGAAACTCCAGCCAGCAGACGCCGGTATAGTCTACTCTAAGCAGCAAAAATTGCCACATGGCAAGATGGAACCTGTGACTTCAGGCCGCCACGATGAATCAAATATGAATATGTCATTGTTCCACGAACTAGAGACAAAACACAATAGAAGTGCCGCTTGGCATAGACAAGTGTATCTCTGCCTTCTCCGTGACATTATCCAGCAGAGCAGACAGGCTGCCATGTTTCTGACGGAAATAATGGGTGGGATCTTGACGGGATTACTGATAGGATTAGCTATATACGAGCTTCGTGGTCAGATATTCCAGGGCATATTTTTGCCACCTTTTGAGGTTCTGTCCAGCGCCGTTAATTACAAGCTTGTGACCCAACTAGGGCTTCTAGGCTGTCTTGCTATAAGTATGTTACTGACCTCCGTTACCTCAGCCCTTACTAACTAGAAGTGTTTATCGTAGCATTTGCTGCAGCCGCCCCCAGTGTCGGTATATTCGGGGAGGAGAGTAAGTGCTCCATTGTTTCCTATAGAGATCGGTTTGCCTTGCTAACGCCAATTCCTAGTTCTCATATTCCAGCGAGAGTCACTCTCGGGTCATTCAGAAGGTGCTTATTTCGTCGGAAAAGTTCTTTCGAGTCTCCCTCGAAGTTTTCTTGCTGCCTTCCATTATACAACATTATACGCGGTACTAGCGACGCCTCATGCCTCATTTAATATTCTACTAGTCCTTAACTTCTTCTACTTTTATTGTGAGTGCAATTCGTCCATTTCATAGGAGACACTGGAACACTAACTTACCCAAAACTACAGGCATCTACGGCATCGGTTCTGTCGTAGCTGCAGTGTCTAGTCGTGAGAACGGCCCCTTAGTCTGTCTCTTAGTGACCATTGTCATTGCGGTCTTTGGGGGGTCGGAACCACGTCTACCAACTGTCAAGGGATGGCACATGGAATGGCTTTGGTATATGAGTCCCGGCGTGGGTGTTCATCTACTCATCAATATGTATGCACAATTGACACATTCTTTAGATGTGGTACTCGGAGGCCTTTGTTAGCGAGCACGTCACACCTTTCGCGTATTTGTTTGACTTGAGCGCAGCTGCACAGGAAACAGGGTATACCTTTAATCGCACAGGTTTTGATATCTGGTAAGCAGAAGGCAAAGGGATTTTTTGGGTATAATTGTCTAATGGTTATCCGTATAGTATGATGTTGCTTATTGGCTCATTATGTCGAGCTATTGGCTGCTTGTTGATGGTTATTCGGGCACGAACTGCCTGGTGGTAGACATTTTTGCCTATACAAAAAATTCACAATTTGTTTTGGAATCTCATACATAGACTTCTTAAATACTATCAGCTTCGTGTATCGCAAATTCACACGCAACACATTAGGTATGAAAGAAAGCTTCAGACAGCATGAAACTCTTGCCAATCCCAAGCTCCCAGAATGCCTACCAGTCTAGTAGTGTCTGTTTCCTCCGAACCTCCACTCAAGGTAAGTGCCAAGGAGGGAAAGAGAAAATGTGAACGGATAATACATCATGACAGGTCTCAACCGTTATGTAAAATACAAGGTACATTCTTACAGGCGGGAGGGAGATCTACACCGACACTAAATGTAGGTTAGCATAATTTAAGAGTTCGGGAATTAATTCGTGAGAGTATGGAGATATATCTGATTTCGAACGTTGCTGTAAGACAGAGTGGAAACAGAGATACATGTGAACTTTGCAATCAACATCTTGCCTGTTTCGAAGAGCGCAAAATTTGCCTCCGATTGAATAAGACAGCCTTTTGCTGTACCCTTTTGCGTTTTGTTGATTGTACAGCAGAGACACCATCGGATAATTTTCCGTCCGGAATTTTGTTAGTATCGGCTGCTGGCTCAGGCGCGACGGCATTGGTTTCTAAAGGAGTTCGGAGACAGCTAGTAGGCATCTTGGATATCCATTTGTTGAGCAAGTCGCAGTGCACGCACAAGGACCGGTGGCGCTAAACCGGAAGGGTCAAAAGTTTCCTAAGTATAAGACTCCGCCGTAACCCTCCCATATGGTGTAAATGGAGATGACGGTAAAATAACTACGATATGACGTGAACTGAAATCTAATAAAAATCGGGATATTTTCACATAGTGAAGAGGGGAGCCCGTAAGGGAAACCCGACCATTCCCTGTCTGCGAACCAGGTCCTGGCCACGAGGGGTAGTAGGAGATATAAGAGAGAACACGTAGAGGTGGCAGAAGAAGAGAAATGTGTCTGAATTGCTATCTTGCGAACGGGGAAGTCTTATATGTCACATAGTCCTGATACACCGCTACTTCACGTGGCATCATGCAGTCAGCAATTCCCCCACTACAATAGGTATTAACCCTACCTAGTATGGCGCTAGTATCGACCCAACAGTAATTTAGGACTAAGCGAGTGAACGCTCTCTAACTTGAGCTGAAGGGGTTCCTCATCGATGATGATTGATTTATATCTCAATTGACTTAAACATTTCCGCTATGACCTCCTGTGTATGTATCTACAATTAATTCAAATCTAATGCAGATCAAAACTCTTCTTCCCACAACTCATCACTTTTTCAGTCCAATGACCGCCAAGTTACGCGGGCTTTCACTGTAGTCAAACACCGGCTGAACCCAGCAGTCTTTGACCGAGTCTTGTTCACGAAGGAATTGCCACCGATCCACAACAATGATAGCCTCGACGAGTTGAGCACTAAACGCCATTAAGCTCCACACAACACTCATATGTTTCCTCGCGTGGTGGTACTGAGTCTCGTAGCAATGAATCTCCTCATCAGTCAAGGTAGCAATATGCTCCTGCACCTGGGAACCATATATTGGGTCTCGACTCATCTTGATCGTCGCGGCACGAATATATGCAGTAAAGGACTTAAAAGCAGCTTTAGGTAAAGCTCCGATGAGAATAGTATTGGTTCTAGCTTCTGGGTAAGTTCCGTCAGAGAATGCTTCTTGAGGCACGGAGGGCCTAGGAAGAATTCTTCGATCAACGAGAATACGCTGGAGAAGAGCACGGAAAAAGTGACGGGTAAAAGACACTTCACTGTCATTGAAGCCCCAATTGTATGGAGCTTGCACGGCCAGTGCACGAGCTGTGATGTTAAGCTTCACGCCGGTCGTTGCTCCGGGACTACGGTAATTTTCGTAGTATTTAGACATAGGGAACCCATGCGGATCGTATGATCTTCCAGTCTCTTTAAGTCGAGGGTGGAGGGACTGAAGAATAGGGAGGTCATGTGTGTTTGGACCGAGGCGTTCCGTCAATAGATTGTAGCAACAGCCAATCATAGCGACAGCCACAATCGAAGGATTTAGAATCAGGGATCGTAGACCATGGTGAACAAGGTTTCCGCAAGAGTGAAGGGAAACGACCATCAATCTAGCATCGCTCTCTTCTTTGCTTTTCCCATCAGAAGCCTCAGCGGGGGTGGATGGATGACATGGTCGATAATGGGCTCCAAGTACCCATCTTGTATTTCATGTTCAATATAGCTGAGAGTACCGCCGGTATGGATCTCTGGCTTCGGTACCTTTTCTCGTAATGGGCTTTTGGTGAGGGCTCCGAGTAGCTCATCAGGTTGAAGGCTAATATCGCCCAGCATCTCGGAAAAACGAACGTCTGAGACCTGCGAGCCCTCTATCGTTGGCTGGGAGGTATCCGTTGTTTCAGAAACAGTCACTTCCGAAGAACCATTGTAGCCATCACATGAACTTTTGTCCTTGTGGAAATATCGAGCTTTCGGGTTCTTTGCCAACTTGGCTCGCACATCCATGCTCTTTGCACCGCTTATGTACTGATGCTTGCGCTCAATCGCGATGATATGCTTGTAGTAAGGCGAGCTGGCCAGTGTCCGTCCAAGATAGTTCTGTCCAGACCCAAAATCCACAATATGAGTGACTTGCTCACCGCGACGCTTATTGACAGTGTCTGATAGAGATGCGACATGTTGAGAAAAACATTCAACCTCGTGTACTTTTTTTCGGTTCATATGCATGGCAACTTGTTTTGGTAATTCAATTCTCTTCGAAGATGAGATGTACATTTCTCGTTTGAGTGTCAGTAAACGGATGTTGAAAATGTAGTCCAAGAGGCTCTGGGGTGGGAATGCTCCTCCATTCCAAGTACGGCTGCTTTGATCTTCGGAAGGCTCGCCGGCGCTTCGTATGTGCTCAATGTCCTCTCGTAGGAGTAGACGAATGATATCTTGAATATCATGCTGCTCGAAAAAAGATATCCAATCTTTTGGCAGAATTGTTGTATAGAGGTCGGGCTCTCGGGTCAAAAAGTCGACCATGTGCACGCCACCGCACAAGTTCATAAAGAGCACCGACGTAGTGGAGAAGCAGAGGAGAGCCTCAATGTAAGCATCAGGGTGCTCCCACGCCCCGGAAATGGGTAGAGGGCGATTGGAAGTCATGCCAAACAGCGACGGTCAATTGTCTCATCAAAGTCTCTATGAGAATTCTTCAATCGCGGGTAGTCGTTATTTAGGGAGCTCTTTTTTGCTCGCGAGCCCTGCTGAGTCATCTTCGGGTTCTCAAGGCCTTAATGGGCTTGGTGAAGTAGATAACCCCTCCACCCTAATTTTTACCTGGAGACATGCATTAATTTATCATACAAGAAGTAGCCCAGTTTATTCCTGCAGCTATGAGTGTGATATCGATACCCTACATTCATTTAGTGAATAGGGGTCTCACCTGGGCTGATAATGTTCTGCGTGTTGTAGAAACAAATGCAAACTTTAAATGGTATGTTGCATATTCTCAACTCTTTCACTTCAAAATTGAGTCCAGTTCGGACACTATAAACTTGACCAGAAAGGCTGTAAAGGCTATATTTGGTAACAGTCAGAATTTGAAGTGCAATTGTAATCCCCGTTAGTGCAGATGGGATCGTAGAGTGGAATTAATGGTAACTAACAAATGGCGTTACTCCGGGGGCACAGGACCGTATTCCTCGTGACGGGACTGAAAATACAACGTTTAAAAATTGATTCAACATACAGAGATAGGAAGTTGCAGAGCAGAAGGCCGGCAACTAGGCACATGCCACGCCCTGCCTTTGAGGGGATGGGCTGTTGGTATCGATCCAACGGCGCTATCCACGGCACCAGGAGATTGCCAGTCTTTTGCCGTCTGAGGACCGGGTTCTTCCAAGCACCCGTACGACGAGCCCCAGAGTATGCAGATTTCCCTTCTTGGGACTCGTGTAGCTGAAGAGGACGAGGTAACTCAACTTCCTCAATATGAGAGAATATTAGTGAAAAAAGATGTTTACTACTGACTGCGCGAAGAAAAGGCAACCACATGACTGTATTAGGCAGGGATCTTCTTCGGTGTGGCTGTACTTTCGGTTGCGGGCGCATGCAGGAGGCGATGCCAGTCTCATCTCTTCTCCCTTCGATGTCTGTTCAATGATTAGAGACAACTCTTGGGTCGCGGTTCTGCTTTAACTGTCACCGACGATGACTGGTGCTCCATGCAGTAATCCGGCAGTGGAACTTGACTCTGCACTCGGCGGCGACCTCGATGCGACCAGCCTGTCTGCGAGGTAAGCGACCTTTCACAACTTCTGAAACAGATCGCATCTAATGAAATGGTGGTACTCAAAGCGATATCGATTCCACCGGCCCTGACATTCCTCACATCCTACTTGAAGCGGACGCATTCATCACAAAATATGAATTGTTCGAGATGCGAGATACTATAAGGAAGGGAATTTTATTGTTCTATCGTCCATATGGAATTGCGGGGATTGAAGAAGATGAATATTTGGGAAATGAGGGAAACCAGGGAGATATCAAGGGCAAACCGCCGGGCTCGGCAGTTTCCACAAGCATATGCTTCGCGGCGGGCTTCCTCCAGTAAGTATCTTATCACCCAACGACGTAATCACCTAATGATTGGCTCCAGCGCTTTCTTAGAGTCTTCCTATAATCCGACAATATTTTACCCACACCCGGACGGAAATTGGTCCTATTGGGAGTCTGAGGGGCTCTGGTTTTGGGAATACCCGAAAGGGTTCTGGGAAGCAGTTCTACTCTCCAGGTACACCATGCATCAATTCTGCTCTAATGGCTGGCTTTTGATTTCTATCTAACATCTCACTAGCATTGTACACCTTATATCTGCAATCCTTAGCTTTTGGCTTTCACTAATCTTGAATCGACACTGGGGTCGGCTTCGGGCGTTCCGCGTCGCAGCAGTCATCGCTTTAGTAGCTTTTCTTGGAAAGTTCATTTGCCCTGGTACAATAGTTGCTTTTGTGGCTGACATTTTCTGTGTCGTCTCAATGGTGATCTTGACTTCGACAGTACTTCTGTACATTTCCGAGACCAGTGAAGCATCAAAGCGAAGCCATGCCATGAAAATATGGTATTTGTGAGTACACAAGTTGATATGAGGCATTTGGAAAATCCCTAATCAAGTTGACAGTGGATGTATGCCGCTAAGGGGTATTGCCCGTGTCATCATCGCTACAGAATTGGGTCCTTTGAGCTTGCTCTTTTCAGTGTTGGCAGGCTGTCTCACTCTGGGTCTTTCTACACAGTCGCTGGAGTCTCCCTATTGGTTGGCACTGAATGGCCCAATTCCAGCAGCATTTGACTCCCTACGGGGCTTCCGAGATACAGAAATCATAGCGGCCCGTGATCTCTACAATATTTATGTCACCGAAGACCCAAACGACTCAAAGAACGGCAGTTTTACTTGGCCAAAGTCATCTTCTAGGCCCAGTAAGCTGTTTACCAACCGCCGATTGAGGACGACTATAATGACATGTTCTCTTTTAATGCTCACACGAGCATCTTCGACCGTTGAGACTGTGCTCATAGTTTCTGATTTCAATGAGCCGTCCGTTTTTGTTCTATCCGTATTGTCTATAATGATTACTGTTTCATTCTGCGGTCTTATCTTGACAGCTTGGCTGTTTGATCGATGGGGACGACGTCGCATGCTAATCAGCCTTCTTTGTGGGATATTTGTTTTTCGTCTGGGCCTATCTCTCACCCTTCCTAACCAACTAGTACGAGTTGTGATTAGTATCATTTCGGCTTCCTGCTTCGTCAGTCTCCACGTTGCTGCTGAGCTCATTTTCACTGTCTATATTTCGGAGGTTTTCCCATTATATTATCGTGGTAAGACGGATCCAATGCGAATACGCGAAAGTGTTTCTGACTTGAACATAGAGATGGGAGTTGCTTTCATAATTTGTTTTTTCAATGCATGCACCGCAATATTGTCGCTCATCGCTGGATTCGAAAAGGGTTTGAACATACCCCATTCCCAATTGCATATACTGTAAGAACCTTTCCGTTGGCCTTTTTTTCTCGCTCTCACTAATACCGAACGTTCATTAGCATATTATTTCCTATTTCCATCATAGTGGCCTGCTTCTTCCTGAAAGAGACTAGCAAGCTCCCTTTAGAATGCATCGGGCCGGCATTGGAGCCTTCACCCAAAGGCCTCCTATCTTACCGGATTCTCGTTCATCTCCCCTATCTATTTGAACGCTATATCCTTAGAAGAAATATTGAGCTTGTGCCGTTTGAGGAGCATAGGTACAGTGAGGGGGCGATCACCTTAAATATAGAGAATGGCTCATCGGCGTAACGGCAGCGGAATTGATTTTTCCCCATTGTATAATATGTGATTTCGGCTGTGCTTTCGCGCTTCCACAGGATAAAGAATATATTTACTTCCATCATTCCTTTTTCGTCTGAATATCTCTAAACATCGACCTTGATTTGTTGTAACTCTAGCGAAATAATGAAAATTTCTATTCAGAAAGCCACGGAAGGCGCAGAGCAAGTTTCTGCCAAAGTCCTGGTTGACCAAGGTACCTTCCTAATTCTTGATGATGAGGTTTGCACTCAGCGCCATGATTGAGCAGAAGAATAATCGCATCATTTGCGCCTTGGGTGATCGCTTCATATAAGGGTGTATGATGATTCCCGTCTTCCTTATTGATGTTGGCTCCCGCGTCGATCAGCCGCCTCAAGAACTCAGTGCTGATCTTGCTGGATCTGATTGCAAGGTGAAGTGGCGTGAGACCATTTTCATCGACGCAGTTCGGATTGGCGCCATGACCCAAAAGAACCGCGGCGATCTCCTCTCGATCCAGAAATATTGCATATTGAAGAGGAGTACGTTCATTTCGTCCTTTCAATTCTGTGGATGCTCCTGACTTGAGTAGAAGATTGATCGCATCCGCCGTGCCAATTCTACATATTGCCAGATGCAATGCTGTGTCCCATTCATAGTTTTGGGCATCAATATCAGCACCTTTGTCCACAAGCAGCTGTATTTTCTTGGAGAAAGACTCAAACTTCCCTTGACAGGAGGCGAGATGGATCGGGGTTTCTTGGCGTGGCTCGGTACGGGCTTCAGGGTCTGCTTCGAATTCAAGAAGGGTTTTAACTGATTCCGCTGCGCCTTGCTCCGTGGCTACGTGAAGCGCGGTATATCCTTTCAAATGAATGTTTGGACTTGCGTTGAACATGAGAAGGGCTCGAAGCCTTTTTTCGTTTGATTTGCTTACTTTTCCTGACTTCACGAGATGCCAAAGGTCTGAAGAGTGGGGGTCCTACTCGTCGGTCAGCGATTTGATTTTGTTAAAGCGTACTCACGGTAATTGGTAAAGCATACCATGTTGTTCTCATTTCTTGTTTGCCTCGTGATTTGATTTGGGTCTTCTCCGAGAAGCTCCGGGAGCTCAAACAATTCTTCCTGGTTAGACGAAAGGTGCGATGGAGAACTTGTCATAGTATTCCTGTCGGTGGTAGATGATTCGGCAACTCTAGATGAGTCTGCAGTTTGCGTCAAAGTGCGAGAAACATCTTTCAACACTGGAGGAACCACCCAGTTTATCATAAGTTGCCCTGATGCTGTTGGCCTGTCTTCGGCAACTGGTGCCAAAAGTCGTTGGATGAAATATCGACCCGAAAGGCTAACTTGGTGCCTTGCAAGAGGGCCTTCCGGAAATCCAATATCACCCTCACAATAGCTTTGAAGTGCCCTATATGTAGTGTACTCATTTGCCTTTACCTTGAACGGAATCTCCTTTGTCAGGATGTAGTAGGTCAGACAACCGAGAGACCAAATATCAACGGCATGTGTGTAGCTGGATTTTGTCGTCCGGTTATTTATTCCAAAGCACTCCGGTGCCATATAACCGTCTGTACCAGTTTTTGTCCGCGGCTGTGTGATGTCTTTTGGGGAGAGCTTGCTGATTCCAAAATCGGCAATCTTCACCCGAATCGGATTTTTGGCAACGACTAGAACATTCTATGACCTTATTAGTCCGAGTCTCTTAGTCGGTCTATTGGGAGAAAACTACCTCCGGTTTGATATCCCGATGTGTGATGTCCAGCTGATGCAGGACAGAAAGACCCTCTATTAGTTGGTTACACACACACCATGCCTGTAGTTCAGACAGCGGGCCGGAATATGTAGAAATATCCCCGTAAGGGCAGTACTCCAGTACAAAGTGTATGTAGTCCTGAGATGGGAACCAACCAATGAAGCTAACAAAAAGCTCCTTTTGATGTGGCCTGCAATAACATTAATAACTTGTCCTTTTGGGGTTCTGGCAGACATACTCCACTTCTTTCAATACCCGTTCCATCACACTGAGCTCTCGGCTGTAGTTGGCAGGACTTTTCTGTTGGCGAAGACGTTTGAACACTCGTAGATCCTTCTGTCGCGACTCATATAGGAACACATTGTCCGCAGGGGAAGATGTCAGGCAAACTGTTCGGTTCCATAACGTGATTTCCGTTGTTCGTCGAGAGCCTTCGTCTGGCCTCTTGATTTTAGTTTCACGAAAACATCCATCGCTGACGGGTTTCATATCAAGCTTGAGCGACTCTGCAAACCCGTCTTCGTCCATTTTCGGCTATGGGTTATCTTTCCTTGGAGCGTTAATATCTCACACTGTATGTTTCGATTCCAGGCTCTCGCCAAACGTGGTCAGCTGAAATGTTTGCCCAGGTGCCTAGGTGATCTGCATATGCATGAGGAAAATTGTTGATCCGTGGATCTGCGTTTCATCCTCCCCGAGCTGAAAGCACTAGATGCGTTGGTAGGGGACCGTGCAACAACACCGCCCCCCGCCCCCGGACTTCATTGTTGTTCTGGCTTAACGTTTTCGTATTTATTACCCACTGTCCATGACCCAGCTTGAAAAGTGTCGGCGAACTCGAAATGGAGGCTGTGTCATTGGTGCTAGCTGTTGCTGGGACGTTGGATGTTTGTGTCAGGTAACAATCTTCGGAGTCAAGTCCAATGAAAAGATTTGCTCACAGTTACCTTTGCTATCGCTTTCTAGATACGGTAAAGAACTCGTCAAAATTTGCCGAGAAATACGGACCCTCAGCAAGGACATCGAGCAGCTGGCATTGATTATCGAAGGAATTTGGCTCAAAACAGAGGTACAGGTCACCTTATTGGGACGACTATGGAGCTCTGCATCTTCGTTACATCCTTCGTTACAAGCGCACTATGCAGATGCCATCCAGGGTCTCTATCAGCAGATTCATGGGGCTCGGGACATACTTCAAAAGAGCAATGATCGCCAGCTATCAAGCTCCAAGCATCTGGAAAGAGCCAAAGTGCTGTACCTAGTAAAAAGCCTCAAAAAGATCGTGGCCGATCTGGAACAATGGCAGCGAAGGTTTGATCCATCATGGTACTTAATCACACTTCTTTCGGCCTCGAATATTGATGAGAAACTTCACGATCGAGGGAGCACCCCTTCCTCGACGAGACTCATCCAGATCAGAAACGCTATTCGTGACGTCTCCGAACAGAGGAACGACTCTACGGATTCCATTTTCAAGTCGAAAGAGTCTACGGGGAGGGACCGCGATAAAATATCGGGCACGAATACTTATACCGCACGATACGATGGACGTCGGGTCCTGTTGGACAGAACAAACTATGGAATGAACGCAAATCTCCAGACAATCAAAAGTCATGTTCGGGATCTGGCACGCATGCTTATGCATGTTGACCCAGACTCCTTTGGTCTTCTCAAATGCGTGGGCGCAGTTGAGGTCCAATCTCATGATTCTGCACAAACCTCCCCAACCACACAATTTGAATTCATTTTGGACATACCGGACAAGCTCAAATATCCCAAGACATTGCGAAGCCTTCTGTTGGGCAATGCAAAGTTATCTTTGACAAAACGCATTCAGCTTTCTAAGCAGCTCGCAAGATCAGTTATGTTTGTCCACACGACAGGATTCGTCCACAAGGGTATCCGCCCTGAAACAATGATCGTATTCAATGATGGTGTCACTGATGTGGGGCCATCCTTCCTCATCGGCTTCGAGCGTATTCGACATGCTCACGGTCAGACCGATCTCATGGGAGATCTTGAGTGGCATAAGAACATATATCGTCATCCTGTACGCCAGGGGCAATGGACCGAAGAAGCGTACATCATGCAGCACGACATTTACAGCCTGGGGGTTTGCTTGCTCGAGATTGGCCTGTGGCATTCCTTTGTACAGTGGGAGTCGGATGACAGTCAACCACACCCCTGGTCGGATTTGGACATACAAGATGCTATTTCCGACAAGGATCCTCGCCATGGTGGATTTACCACCAAGAATAAACTGGTGACCATAACAAAGGATCGACTTCCAAGCTTAGTCGGAGATAATTACACCAGACTGGTTCTTGCTTGTCTGTGCTGCCTTGACGAAGGAAGTGAGGACAATGTCTTTGGAGCATTAGGGAATGGTGTTAAGGATAGGGACGGCATCGTGGTGGGTGTCCGCTACATTGAAAATGTAAGACTCTTGGTTTTACAATACCCTTTAATGTTCTACCACAAATGACTTATTTTTCTCGTTAGGTTCTACTCAAAACCGAAGAATTGCTGATCTAGTTGTCTGTGTCTAGCAATTTTTGATAGTCATGATCTCTAGCTCTATGATTTGAGAGAACAAAAAGGTACCCTATGTTGGTTGTTTGAAGAAAGCCCCCGGCATCTCCCGTTATCATCAACCCGCACAAGACTCATGACTCATGTCGGAAGAGTGGAGCCTGTTTTCCAATCCGCTCATCTTGTCCTCAGTACCAACCGATCGTGACGGCAACGGAAGTTCGGTCGCAAAGCAACTCTGGGAATAGCGGCTGGTTGTAGGTAGATGTCCCGACTGAAAGGTCACGCAGCAGACGTTGTGGGCCGAAGGCGATGGACCATAGGGTCGTATTGCAGCTTTCCAGACCCGAGAGCTACTCAAACCTTTCGAAATGGGTACCGTCAAATGATATAGTCATTGGGAGGGAAAGAAGGATGGGGGTCAGAACCACGCGTTCGGAGTAGTATATTAGCTGCATCTCGTATAGTATCGGGCCGGGGGGCTACTCCGATCATCTAATAAGCTAATCTATTTGTAAAGCGATCGCACTTTGAAAGCAGTCAATTTACGGTAGTTTACGCGTATTTCGGCGCGGTAGGTAAATGGCCAGCTCGGTAGGGAAATAAATACGTTAACTAAATAAAAGAGGGTATTTGTTTTGATACCAAAAAGATCGATAAAAAATAATGGGACGAGCCGGGATCGAACCAGCGACCTTGCGAAGACCGAAGTAACTTCAGTCGCACGCTCTCCCAACTGAGCTATCGTCCCCATTGCGTGATAGTTCCGCGAATCTTTTGCATCACAACTCCAATATGTATACATCAAAAAAGTAGAACAACTCAAAGTGCTAGGGCTCAGTGGCTGAGAGACAGATACCATGTCATTCTTGATTCACCATTATTATCCACTGGTACCCGTATATTACCGTCTTTAATATTGGAAAATTCAAGTCTCGTCATCGGCAGATATATTTTTCGAATTGTGGAATATATTGGCGGTACCGATAGATATTATTTACTCACAGAAGTACTTCATATATATCTTCGATACGATCCTAATGCTTTTTATGCAGGCGATCTTCCATTTTTCGCATCCGGGAAAGATTCTTGTCGGCAAAAGTCCTGTTGTCGATGAATACGTGAACCTCCAAGGGGGGTGATTGCCAGCTTACTGCGCCAATATCGAACCAGGGTAGCTTTCGGCTCAAAGAAAGGTTGGCAGACGTGCTTCATTATATCCGTGGTCATTTGCGTATATATAAGTTTACACTTGGTCATGTACTTCTTCCTTCTAAAGTCCATTGCGATCTGAAGAAATGTCTAATTTACTATTGCCATACAGAAACGGCGCTTGAGATTTAAATAGAAAGATTACGAGCAAGAAGAGATTGAATCCATAAACCCAGCTTGAATAGATGAAACCATAGAGGTCAAGTCTTGTATAGATGGGGCAGGGGGCTGAGTCCTCATTCTCACCGTCACTTGGTCATCGATGGTCTGCAGAAAATTTTAAGTTTCCAAAGGATCTCATAAGCGGGATTCCTTTGTCTCCTTGCCTTAACTATAAGCTGAGCGGGAAGCTTGGCTATGCTGGCCAAATAACTTCATTCAGAATATGTAATTAGTCGACAATTCTGCGCGACTTTGACTCAATCGAACTCGATTCCGGAAAAAAGTCCATCCGTACAGGAACATAAGATGGCGATTCGGTTGGGTGGTATATCAGTCTTCCAAGTTGCAGCTCCAAGCACTCCAAAACAAACTACTTACTACAATGCAAGGAAACATTATACCTCATATCTTTTCATTCGAACCCAGCAACCATCACCACTTGACACGACCAAAGTCAGAACCTGCCTTTCTTGACCCACTGGTATTTTGAACGGCTTTTCCTCTGTCATTTCGATGGTTTCAAACATCTGTAGCAACCGGACGACAGTGTATGAAGCCTCCAGCTCGGCAAACTGTTGGCCCAAACACACCCGCGGACCCCTGTTGAAAGGTAAATATCCCCATCCGACATCTTTCAGAGCGTCATTCTCCCAGCGGTCAGGGCGGAAACAATCGGCATCAGACCCAAAAAGGTCTTTGCGGCGATGCATTGCATAGACGCAATATCCGACTGCTTCGCCCTTTCGGACTAGGACTGGAGCTGTTCCATCAGGCCCTCCTCCTGTGGGAAGAGTGGTCGTCTTCGTAGCTGCACGTGAGTTGACCGGAACGGATGGGTATAATCGAAGAAATGTTAGGTGTGAGTTAGATCGGATATTCTGTCAATATGCGTGGAAACTGTAGGCCAGCAATACCTTCTTTGATTACGAGCGATAGATACGGTAACTTCTTCACCTGACTGATTACGGGGTCTGATGCACCCGAGCCCACACCGACGGTAGTTTCAATCTCGTGGCGTAGTTTGGCAAGAACTTCAGGATGCTGGACAAGGAGGCGTCTTGATTGGGATCGTGTTAGCACCTGAACCCGTCGGGTAGGGATGCCATGGCTTACATTGTCCATGTGAGACAGGATGCTGTTGTGTCCCTTCCAGCCAAAAGAATATTCAGACACTGGTCTCTCAGAACCTTTGGACTTCTTGTTTTCTTGGATAAGAGCGTCGACAAAGGTGTACGATTCACTTGAATCTGTCCTCGGCGGATCATAAAGATCCAGAGCCTTCTTGACAGCACCATCGACAAAATCGTGGCAGATTTTACAGACTCTTTGAAAGTTTCCCCCCAAATAAGCCAGTGAAGGTCACCTAGACGTCCTCGTTGTGCAAGGTAGTCCTGGCCTCGGTTGAAAGCGTCTGCAAACTCGGATTCGCGGCCTGTTATTCCTTCAGACTTCAGACTTGGCAGATGCTTTCCAAATAGTAAGAACAGGGTGGCCTCGAAAGTGAGGCGAAAGAAGAGTGGCTGGAGATCCACAACTCCATTTTCAGGGACGCAATCGATAAGCGTATCCACAGCATACTTAATCTGTCCGAAGTTCTCAATCCTGTTACTCATGAACTGTGGTCGTAGAAGCTCGCGTGAGTGCTGCCATTGTTCCCCATTTTGAGTAAAGATACCACTACCCATCCAAAGTGTCAAAATGCACCGGTCGTAAGTCCGAGATCAAATCTGAAACCCATACATCAGCGAAAGGCAGCAGCTGTCTCGGAATTGATTCTACCAGAAAACTGCGTTGAAAGGATAGCCTCAATGTTTTGGGGCTCAATTGTGTCAATGCCTCGAGCAAACAGGAGCTTCTGCTCGAAGGTTGTTCCCGACTCAGCTACTACGTCTAGAAAGAATTGAAGAATCTGCTGCTTGCGATCATGCTCCAAAAGCTTTGAGAAGTAAATCAAGCCCCAGAGGCCATTTTGAATTCCACAATTTGAGTGGCTGGCATCCTTTTTTTGCTGCAAACTGTTCGTCGATCTATTCAGCGAGTCAGAGTGAGAGGGGTATCAACAAGGCTCAAAGAAATATCAGGTGCAGTTAGAAAACACAACTTACTCGTCGCTCATTCTGAGACTTGATGAATTTGTATATCAGAGACAGCATCAAAGAGCCGACAATGAGGTTGAAAAATAAGAGGCTTGAGAGTACCATGATGCCTAGAACAGAGAAGTGTCCAAAGCGTGGAGATGAGCCTTTGTCTAACAGAGCGGTGGGCGATCATATACAACACGGTAGGAAAGCGAATGGGATGACTTTGTTTACAACGCCCATTCCAGAGGCGTCTCAGCCGTGGGAGCTAGGTGAAGTGATATGTCCGCGTACCTGCAGCTATCCCACGCTCAGACGTTGGCAGATGCGGTAAGCAAACGCCTACCTCAGATACTGCGCCTCGTATTCCATACTCTAGATAAAGTAGGCAACCGGTTCGCTTCACCTTGGGTGAGAATTTACACTTGCTCTGGAAGTCACAAGTTCTCGAGCAGAAGGGGGAATACGGAGAAGGACACAGGCGAGGGCGTGTCTTTGTTGCTTTGTCGGGTACACGTCTTGGCAATGTTGCCAAGTGCAAAGGCCGCCGATCTACGGGTGTCGCGGCGGTCTAATATGGCCCACCCGAGACAGCCTCACAAGTTTGGCTAAGAAATGAACATTGTGTCAAATAGATGGAGAAGCAGCATAGAGCCACCAATATATTCAAAAGGCCCAGGAGCAAATAAGCAATCGTAAGTAGCTGGTTCGTCCGAAACTAGTCAGCGGGTAAGCAGAACCCTGACGCTAAATCATGCATATAAGATTGCAACAACGCCCATCCTGCCACATGTGTCTGATAAATCTTCCAATCAAAAAGTACCTGCCGGATCATGTAGCTGAAAGTCCATCCGCACGAACCGAACACATAATGCCCCCCTTTTTCCTAACGCGACTGATAATTCAGCGTTGTATCGCTTGTCTACCGAGTAGCATTTGGATACCCCGCGTTCCTGATAATGGATCCGTTCTCCATCACTGCTGGGGCGGTTGGGATTGCAGACGTATGCTTGCGAGTCATCATTTTTCTGAAAGACGTCCCAGGTGCGGTTGCAGCCATTCAACATGAGATCAACGTCTTGGTTGCAGAGGTGGAGTCATTAAGGGTCATTTTGTCTTTGGTCAAAGAAACCTTTGAGGGAGATATAAGAAGTCCCACGAGATTGTCACTTTTGAAAGCCTCCAACTTTGAAGATCTATCGAAAGGCTTTCGAAAAGGCATCGAGTCATGCTACGATCTAACAATAAGGCTTGAGAAAGTCACCAAAGAGGTCTATGGAAAGTCTGGCTCTACCGTGACTGGAAAGGTTGATGGATTTATGAAAGAGATGCGTAGACGGGACAAGGCTCCAGATCTCGGAAGACTTCGTGAGGAATTATCCGCCGAAAAACACAACCTTACACTCCTGCTTAATGGAATCAGTCTGTGAGCTTTGAACCTGCTGCATTGATATAATGGTGCTGACAGACGTGCAGATACAATCATACAACTTCTCAAGGAACGCTGAATCAAATATCCAAGGATATCCACTCTGTTGATCGGAATCTCAAATCACAAATCGCAATACTTGAGAGTCGCCTCACACTACCTGGAAATGAAGACGATAACGATGACCAGGAAGATTCCATAAAATTGTCGACGATAAGACGACTACGGAGGTCTATCCGATCGGTTGCTACGGCTGTCTCAGCCACCACTCCAAATGAATTTTTCGACATCCCTCAGCCTGTCCGCAGCTTTTACACAGGCCGAGCCCGGTACATGGAAACATTGCAAAATATACTTGTAGCCTCCACGGTCGAGGAGCAAGACTCTCGGCAGCACCGTTTTGTTATTTACGGCATGGGCGGATCTGGAAAGACGCAGTTCTGTTGCAAGTTTGCAGAACAAAACCGGGACAGGTACCTACATATCTTTGTCCATTACTGTGAAAAACTCTGCTAACTGTTGTCACGTCGAAGTTATTGGGGTGTGTTCTGGATTGACGCCACATCGCATGAACGGATCAAACAAACCTATGCAGAAATCGGAAAACATGCAAAGGTAGAGGCGAGCCACACTGCTGCAATGCATTGGCTCTCCAACCGAGAAGATCGATGGCTCCTGATAATGGACAATGCCGACGACCCACAAATTTCACTCGACCAATACTTTCCCAGAGGTGACAGAGGTCATGTTATCATAACAACCCGAAACCCATCCCACAAGGAGTACGGAAACGTTGGTCGTAGGTTTTTCAAGTTTGAAGATCTGAGCAACGACGATGCCAGTGCCCTTCTTCTACGAGCGACAACATTGGCGGAGCCATGGGACGCTGATTCTTCGTCATGGGCGAACACAATCACCCGGCAGCTTGGCTGCCTTGCACTGGCTTTGATTCAGGCCGGTAGCGCAATCCGAAATGGGCTATGCACGCTGAAGAGTTACTTGGTCTTTCACGACACGGAATGGGAACACATCCGCCGTATACGGAGCGCATGTATTGACGTTGACCATGAAGACAAGTATTCGAGCGTACACGCTACATATGAGATCTGCTACAAAGGCATCGAAACCAAAGATACTCAAGCCTCCAGAGATGCTATCCAATTGCTCAAATTGTTCTCGTGCTTTTACTACAAGAAGATCCGATTCGATATCTTAACAAGGGCAATCGCCAACTGTGAGAAAGAAAGACTTCAGCAGGAAGAAGCGGGACAGGAAGAAAAAGGCCACCCATCGGATTGGAATCAGAGATACATAGAACTACGTTTGCTCCTACTGGTCTTTCTCATGAAGGAACGTGGCCGTCCTGTATTGCCGGACTTCATACGACAGGGGCAAGAATCAGAGACCCTAGACATACCAAGAATACGCTATGCTCTAAGAGAGCTGACTCAAATGTCTCTCATCACGCACGATGAATCAGATGACAGCTATTCGATGCACCCTCTTATACACGAATGGGCGCGCAAGAGGCCCGACATGAGCACAATAGAACAAGCTGTTTGGTCGCACGCTGCAGCTACCACGCTACTTCATTCGCTTCTTCTCCCGCCTCTCGGCAATACCGAGGCAGAGGAGCTCTTTCGGGTCAGTATTCTCCCACATGTCGATCATGTGCGCACATTACAAGCAACAGCGACACACAAGACCCTGGAAAAACGGAAAGGCCGCAAGCCCAGGTTCTTCGGATTTCTTGATTTCCTCTGGGTGGAATCAAAGTTGGACCGGGCACAAGCATTGCGTGACGCAAAATTCAGCATGGTGTATGTCCAAAACGGGCGTCTGAAGGACGCCGAAGAGCTACAGTCGGGGGTAAAAGTCTTTTTGGAAACTTTCCTCGGCCCAAATCATTCTTCGACCCGGCGTATAACACTTGTCTTGGCAAACACGTACCGATACCAAAGTCGTGGTGACGAAGCAGCGGATCTGCAAGAAGCAGTCTTAAACGCATGCGTGGCCTCTCTGGGACCGGATCACGTTGATACTCTGACAACAATGGACGTTCTTGGTCAATCGAGATGGCAGCAAGGGAGATTCAGCGACGCCAAAGTACTACAGCAGCAGGCCGTCGACGGACTTCTCAGATTGCGAGGCCAAATGCACGAGGACACTCTCACCGCAATGGGTTACCTTGGTCGGACGCTAGGCAAGTTCTACGAAAATTATGACAATGCGTTTCAACTACTCGAAACTTCATATGCCGGGTTGAAAGGAATATTGGGACCCGCACATTTCAAGACCCTGGAAGTGAAAGAGGAGATTGCTATGCTGACGGTACAAGTTGGTGGCGACTTATCCGTTGCTTCACAAATGATGCAAGAAGTGCTTGAATCTCGCAAAGAGAATATGGGTAGGGAGCACCCATACACTCTCTTCGCGATGGCAAGTATGGCAAGAATCAACTTTGCTCTGGGTCGATATTATGATGCAGAGGATCTGCTTCGCAGTGGTCTGGAGATCGCAGATCGAAACCTTGGCGAAGATCACATTGGGACTCTTATGGGAAGAAGCTGGCTGGGCGCCGTTCTTGCGCATCAGTCGAGGTTTGAAGAATCAGAAGCTACACTTCTTCGGGTGATGGAGAAGCAGCGCAGCATCTCATCGTATCGTGGCGAAAATCATCCCGATCGGTTGAGCGCGATGATTCAGCTTTCATTGTGCTATAGGCTGCAAGGAAGATGAAGAAGCTATACGACTATGCGATCGGATTATAGAAGGCCTTCAGAAGATCAGTCTGACGCAGCATCCGCTCGAAAGAAAGACAAGGACTGATAAATGCGAACTAATTGAGCTAAAGGCCGCTCGAGACGGGAGAAAGAAGCAGTTATAGGATCAGGCCGGTGTAGCCACAAGCCTTTGTATTATAAAGATGGACGTAGGCCAGCTACATAGCTCTGGTGGATAATGAAAAGTGATCCCGCTGTTATTTAACAGCGGCCATAAGTTTTTTTCCACACTCAAATTGATACGATCTGAATGGTTCGCCTGCTATCGAAAAATGGTTCATTGAATGGATCTAATGACTCTGTCAAAGGTCTAGGTTCATAGATAGCACAATCTGAATACTTCGGCTTCCACAGATATTAAGCATTTGCAGAAAGTATGCCGATGAAAAACGTCATCATGGAAGTAGAAGCTCTGCATCTGATTCGCGAAAGAACCACTATATCAGTGCCAGAAGTTAGAGGCTAGGGGACTTCTAGGTGTAGCCCTCTTGGCTTAGGTTCTTCAGATGTTAGGGATACAATCATAAGTAAACCCTGCTAAGCCCTAGGGATCACATCCCTCCCTGCCTACCGCTATTTCCTACCTAGGAAACAATGAAGCTATTTAGAAGCTTCTCTAACTAGCAAATCTAATAATAGTAGGATACCCAAGCGGCGCTCGCTTGGGAAATATGTTATAGCTCGACCACGTTGTTTCTAAATTATATAGGGCTTCTAAGACATTCCTTACCTACAATATATCTTGAGAGGTAGATTTCCTACTAAGCCACTAGCGTGGAACTTATCAATTGTAATTTATCACTTTCAAGGTCATATTACAGCTGGACCATTCGCTTACGTGGACCACTCGCTTATAGAATACGTTATGCATTTGCCACCACAGCACGCGCATTCGTATTTTTCACTTTCTTATCTTAACCGTCCGGCGGGCGTTGAAGTTGTTCCAAAAAGTCCCTATCCAGATCTCCAGCACAGAATCCCAGATTTTGGGCAAAAATCGGTTCCTGTCTAAAGTAATTTAGCATATAAACCATCATACGGGCGAATCACCATACCTGTTTGCTGGAATTGAGGTGACCATTTCTTCAAATAATGCGTCAAATCCGTCTCCTTCTGGGTACCCACCAGCTGGTTCGCCAGTAGAAGTAAGAGGAGGGTGAGTGATATTGACGGGAAGAGGAGGGGCGGGCGCTTCAAGTTGTATGTTCGGGATCTCAAGGGCGGACGGCTGCACAAGACCTTCAAGAGGAAGATTTGGTGGGGTATCATGGGTTCCGAGTGTTGGACACTCAGGAATTGGATTGTCGCTTATTGATTGTTGGGTAGACAGCAAGTTTTCAAAATTTGTTGTCTTCGGCTTTGGAAGATAGGGAGCAAGATGGTTCTCGAACGTTCGTCTCTCCCGACTCTCGGGTTCGGGGAATATGATATGCAAGCACTGCCGGCACTGTGAGGCGAAGCAAATGAGGAGCGGGGATGTGTTTGACGACCCATCCATTTCCAGGTATAGTTCTAGTAGTCGAATGGTGGATTGCAAATACGTCTCCATCAAGCGTTTCCCACTCATATCAATCGTTTTATTTCGCCGGAGGAGGGTCAACATCACGAAGTCGTAGACGAGATGCAGCGTCAGAACAGGAGGAGTGGCTTGCGCTGAACTATAGTTATGTGGGTATTTTTCCACACAACCTCTGTGTCCAGCTTGTATAACGACTGATAGCTCGTTCCTACCCACGGGAGGTATGTCGGCGGGCAAATATAATATTCGCCCCAGGTATACCATGAGGTGATTGATATCATTGAAGATGCTTAATGCGCGAAGGGGGCCCTTGTGAGTGTTTCGGCGTGCATCTCCTGGGGCTTGCTGGGGTGATGACCAAACGTCCCATTCCTCCATGCTGTCTTTCTTTACTGGGCCTTCTTCCTCTTGCTCTCGTAAGGAAAAAGAAGGCGACTTGTCCATAAGGGCAGATAAAATGTTGTCGAGAAGGACACACCCATGGAAGGTATGGCAGTAGCGGCTTTTCTTGGAGGCTGTGGGCAATGTCCCCAGCATCCTGGAAGCCAAGCCAACTAGCCTCCACGCATGTTGAATATCCCCAAGCTTTAACCGGAGAAGTACTAGAATTACCAAAGCTTGAACATGGCCTAGTTTCAAGTCTGACGATTCCACCATGATCCGCGAGTGGATTGATTGCTCGATCTGCACGGTATTTGGCTTCAGAGCATCGCTATCATTCTCCATGCATGATTGAAATGCCACGACTGCCCAGAGGGCTAAGCATGATCCATTATCATGGACTAGTCCTGGTGTGGATCCAGTGTGCATTGCCCTAAACAAATCATGTCGTTCTAAAATCGGAAACCAGCAATGCGTATGCGTGAAGTATGTTTGCAGCATGTCGATTGTATCCACCGGGAATGATGAATCAACGCATTCTATCGTTCTGAGCTCGATCCTTGGGGTAGGCTGCCGCACGAGTTCATCCAGTCTCGAGCTTGTAGGCCTAGTATCAGCAAGAAACGTGCCTGGTGTATTCGTCATCTCAAGATTGTCCCACTCAGACTCGTCGGGAAGAGTTATCATCGAATCCTCCTGGAAGTCATGGTCAAGGAGTTTCGGTATTTCCTTGGCCAGTCGAGACTTTCGCCATATCTTTGCGGGATCAGTTGCGAAGAAGTCGCTATTGTTTCTTGATTTGGACAGAATATCATGGACTGCGTTCTCGCTGTTCGGAACATGTTGGATAATAATTCCAAGTACTGTCTCCAGGCTTCGGACATATCCAGGAGGCAGCCCTCGTCGCCCACCGCCGTTTTGATAAGTGCAAGTTCGACCAGCCCCGCGGCAGATCGCGCAACTCGGCTGTTCCCCGTCACATTTGGACTTGCGTCGACGACATTGATCGCACGCCCGGCAGATTCGCTGCCTTTTTGAAGGCCGAGAGCTAGACATCTGTCAACAGATGCATTGCAATTGATGCTACAGTGATGACCAAGGGATGATGGTGTGTAGTCACGTGATCGGATACAATTTACCCGATGTCCAATGGGCAGCGACGGTCTCATCTTTTAACTGACATCTTCCAAAAAACTTCAAGGCTGGCCTCTCTATTAGAATGCCTTCACTCAGGACGGGACCAGCATTCTTGGGATCTCCCCCGGTCACACCTGGTCTTCGTGAACAACCTATCTCCCGAAAATACAACGCCGATGCGACTATCTTGCTGGTTGGCTTTGTTGGAGCAGGCAAGAAAACGCTTGGCCTCATAGCCTCTATTGCTCTTCGGCGAAAGTTAATCGATTATGATGCATTCTTCCACAGCCAGGTCAAATCTTCTCCTCAAAACTTCATTGCAACCTATGGGTTCGCACGGTATCGCGAGGTAGAAACGGAGCTATCTCAAGATCTTCTGACAAAGCATCAAAAGGGCTGTGTGATTGTTGGTCTTGGAGTTACGGCAAGCACGTCTCAAAAACAATTGTTGGAGGCCTTCGCACGGGATCATCCGGTGATATATGTGAGGAGAGACGAGGCAACCCTTCGCCGATTTATCCAAGCAAACCCCGAGAAGTTTGACCGTGTCCTCAGTATAGGAAATGCCTTTTTTGAGTCTTGTTCCAACTTCGACTTCTTCAATATTACACAAGTCCCGAGTCAACAAGATGAGGACCATCTCTATGCACCTCTAAAACTCAAGGAGATTGAACGCGTCTTTGTGACTCTCCTACATCGCATATTTGGCAATCCCCAAAAACAGCTCTTCTCCGCCGATCCTTTCTCTACAACCTATACATATGCCCTAATGTTGTCTTTAAGCCAGTTGGACGGAGCCAACTTCGACTTGGAAGTTTTGGATAGTGGTGCCGATGCAATCCATCTTACACTGTTCCCTGAGGACTTCAACCAAGAGCTAGCGGCAAGACTTTCGCAGCACATGACAACTCTTAGAAATCAGACTCGTGTTCCTATCATTCTGGATGCCAGAGCAGACCCACGAAAAAAAGACTTTCCAGAATATTCTGTCTTCGTGGAAATAGCACTGCGCGTGGCTCCCGAAGCTCTCACATGCCATCTCGTGGGTGCTAGTGAGTATGCACAAACTATTAGAGCGGCAAAGGGGCACACGAAACTGATCGCCGTGCACACCCAATCTGAGCCCATTGGGCTGGCCCTGTCATCTCCCGATATCCACATTGTCCGCCGACAGGTTAAAGAGCTAGGATTTGACGCTATTCGCCTCACCGGTAAATTGGGCTCCCCAGACAACGCAATTTCCTGCGCCATTTTTCGTCAAAATCTGCTGGATTCTTTGGGGATTCCAGTGATTGCGTACAATGAGAGCACATCAGGTCGGGCATCCATGTTTTTGAATTCTACCTTGTCTCCGGTATCAATACCTTCCAATTATGAAGGCCCATGGCTCCCTCTAAGGGAGACACAAGAAGCTCTTCAGGCCTTTTCTTTAGTCTTGAAGAACTCATTTGCCATAGTCGGGCAAAATGTCAGCCAGAGCCTGTCTCCGGCGATGCATCAGGCAGCTTATACCTCGTGTGGACTGCCACATGAATACAAAGCTAAGAGCATTGATGGCTTTGAAAATATCCCTCAGATGCTAGCTTCGGTCTCCTCTAATACCCTCTTCCGTGGCATCGCAATATCCCTGCCATTCAAAACTCAGGTCTTATCCTGTCTCGAAGAAATCAATCCAGACGCAAGAGATATACATGCGGTGAACACCGTGGTGTTGGAGCATGAATCTCAGCCCAGTGGAAATAGGCGGTTCTTCTGGCGTGGCTACAACACGGATTATATTGGGATCAAGGATTGCATCCACGGCCATCTATCTCCAGCAAACGCGATTCGTGACGGCAGCACAGCTCTGATCTTAGGCGCTGGTGGAATGGCCCATGCAGCTGCCTACGCTTGCTACCAGCTGGGCGTCAGGAGTATGTTTATTTATAATAGAACACCTTCGAACGCACGGAAGCTTGCCGACTACTACAACCAATGGGCAACGTCAAAAGGCGATCATGCTCTTCACTTGGACGTCATTGAATCAATCAAGGATCCCTGGCCATCGGATGCTCGTCTACCAACAATTGTTGTATCTTGTATCCCCGGTCAAGATGTTGACAGCCAATTGCCTGTCGAATTCCGAATATCTGATCAATGGCTTGGGAGTCGAACTGGTGGTGTGTTTGTTGAGGTATGATGTGTATTTGGCTGAAAATATAACACATAGCTAACATATTCACTAGGTTGCATATGGTCCATTAAAAACGTCATTGATGGAGCAGATCCTTCCGCTATCAAAAACCGGATGGATTGTTGTCGATGGATTGAAAGTCCTTGTCAAACAGGGTATTGCGCAGTATGAGTTGTTCACCAACCGACCAGCACCTGTACATGTGATGCGACGAGCTGTGGAGGAGGAGGCCACTAAAAGCGGGTATTTTCACATTTGACAATGCTGCCGCTGCTGCAGATGATAATGATGATGCCTCCTCACGTCACTGCATGCGGAAGTTCTCCCTGGATCGAGCGAAGCGGTTATCATTATAGACCTATATCTAATATTACAGATGTGCATTAATATTGCCCCGAAATATTCCGTAAAAATGCGCAAAACGCTAAGAATTTATGGGTTTTTCATCGTGACATGACTCTTTGGCGCACCAAGGAACGGCCTTCAGTCGCGTTATTGGTGACATACTGAGGCACTGGCCCACAGTAGTTACCAGTATCCCTGGTCAAACCGTAGCGCAGAACTCAGTCACCGATAGTCGTTATTTTATATGTCCTCACTAGCATCCTCCCATGTTATAGGAGTCACCCCCAAATATAGTCCGCCACTCCCTCATTCTCATAAAGTGTAACTACGCCATCCAACCAGTAAAACTTATTTTGTCATATTTGAAGTGCATCGCGTGGCAGAGTGATAACCTCTCCATGGTCACAACCAAGGTCCATCCAGGTGCAGGTGGTTCCCGGGTTGCTGCTGAGCACTTCTTCTGCCACAGGAACACCTTGAGCGTATGCATGGGTGGACCCTGATTGATCGTCATGGCGTATTTTGAACCACCGCTCATATTAATTCCAATCACAACAATCATGTCAGTGAGGACTAAGGGCAATTCCTAGGATCTCGCAAAACCGACGATATATGCCTATCAGCTCATTAGCATGAATCCTATTACGAATGCACTTACCGCAGCGAAGGTTAAAGCACCTCGGACGATCAAAGCCACCTTATGCGAATCACATCTTGGATAAGCTTATAATCCGCTATAGTTCTAGTGGTAATTTCTCCGGATCCGAGTTCCTCAAAGTAGGCCATAGTCTGCCGTAGAGCTGCATATTAAACAGTTTCTAGAAATATTCTGCCAGCTAACCGAAGCGGCGTGGCTGTACCACTAGCAGCTACACACACCACATACACGATCTTAATCAAGATATTTTGGGCGGATACGTATCGGTAAAGGGCGAGATAGGTGAATTGGGTGGCAGGTGTGTCAGACTAAAGCTTTTCAGTCTGCTCGTGGCCCGGAGATCACAAAAATCGGCCCTCGCGTTCTTCTCGTCATTATTGAGGGAAGCTGGTGATTACAGAACGGTTATGTTTTCCGATGTCAAACCTGGTTGAGGCTGTAGCCCATCACTAGCAGGCAGCATCCTGGGGGATGCGGTCATTGTGCCTGAGGACTGAGAAAAGCGTGCGAATGGATATGTGCGAGCGGTCAAACATCGGTGCGCTAAACATATTGAGAAAAGCTAAAATAACTATACTCGTTCTCGCGATTGGTCCTGGAGTAAGGCACACAATATGCATAACGCGGTGTTCGCCAATGTGTGCCGAGTAGTTCAAGCCTCATCATGATGCATGGTAGAATTTTCAAAGGCTTGGCTTCAAATGTCACAGCAAATCTTCGAGTCCCCTTTCCCAATCTCCCATCAAGTTGTGGCATGTCTTGATCGTTTGAGCCCTGCAACATCGGACTAGTGAGGGAGAGAGGCGGGGACGGGAGTCATACCGCGCCGGCATGCAAGTATTAACATGTCCCTACACTCAGTACAAGACTGATCACTAATTTCCGATGTTGGATCATTTGCTAAGCCGTTTGAGCTGTGTTTTCAGCATCGGCTATGAATTCCGCCTAGGGTAAATCATTACCCAGCCCCGCAACAGCGTAGAAGCCAAGACTCCCAGTATAACTTCTGCGACATTACCGCAGGATCCTACTTCTAGCCAACTGTCCAATCCTCTATCTTAAGCAATTATGACTTACCAACCCGCTATCATGAGCGCCTCGCTAGGGCGAGCTTGGCTCCACGATTTCGACTATAAAATGAGCCAAGCCTCAAAAGCAGGCTTCAAAGGAATAGAAGTGTTCTACGAAGATCTCGAATATCTGGCACGAGGAATTTCTGGAAACGACATTCCAACTCCGGATCAGCTCCTCCAAGCAGCAGATCATATCTACACAGTTTGCCAGATCCAAGGTCTCGAAATAATTGGTCTTCAGCCATTCCTCTTTTACGAAGGGCTGAAAGATCGAGAGCAACATGCAAGACTGATCCAAAAGATGGTCTTTTGGCTGCAACTCGTCAAGAGACTACATACAACCACGATCCAAATCCCCGCCAACTTTCTTCCGGCAGACCAACTCATCGATGACTTCGATGTCATCGCCGCCGACTTGAGACAACTTGCCGATATGGCAGCAGCTGAGTCCCCCGTTGTCCGCTTTGCATATGAGAATCTGTGCTGGAGCACATATGTCGACACATGGGAGAAGCTCTGGGATGTCGTTAAGCGAGTCGACCGATCTAATTTCGGAATGTGTCTTGATACGTTCAATATCGCCGGGAGAGTGTGGGCGGATCCGACGTCGCCAACTGGCAAGACTGCCAATGCCGATGCAGATTTGAAAGCATCACTTGAGAGGATGGTGGCTGAGGTTGATGTTTCCAAGGTCTTTTACGTCCAGGTCGTTGATGCGGAGAGATTGGAGTCGCCACTAGTTGTAGGTCACCCTTACTATGTGGAAGGCCAACCCGCGAGGATGAATTGGTCGCGAAATGCCAGGTGCTACATCTATGAGGAGGATCGCGGAGCGTATCTCCCAGTCGAGGATATCGCCGAGACGATTGTGTCCGGGCTAGGATATAAGGGATGGGTTTCGATGGAATTGTTCTCCCGGACTATGGCATACAAAGACGAAACTGTACCCGATGATCATGCGAACAGGGGTATCGCAGCTTGGAAGAAGTTGGAAGAAAGACTTCAGCTCAATCAATGACGATTGTTCTCTCAGGATAGTGTGAGACGCCTCTAGCACCAAATTTGGATAGCTGTTGAACTAGACCCAAAATAAAACAGTAGAATATATTTCAACATGACAAGCTGCTACTCTAAACTTCAATTTCGTTGCCATCCAACCAATCTTTAGCAAACCGATACAACAAATCATGCTTCTCTCCACAAGCAGTACCAGTATGCCTCCTATGCCCCGGCATATCCTTCAACACAGTAACACCCATAGTAAGCTCCTGGCAATACGCCAAGCACTTATACCCCGCAGGATAAGAATTAAGCCTCTCCAGATCAATATGAGGGAATTGATTCGGAATGACAGGCAACAGCTTATCCTTCTCATACCAATGCCGTACAAACCGCGCACCCCAGCGACCATCAATCTTCTCAAAAAAGAAACAGAAACGACAGTCAGCCTCCGCATCGACTTCGACGCCGTCGATCGTGAATCGCTGCGTGATGGTCGCTTTCATCTTTGTAACGGCGCGAGTCGCGTCTGGGGTGATGTCTGTCGTCACGCCGTGGCATCGGTGCATGATAAATGCACCTTTATCCATGCCACCCTTCGACGCTTCCATAAATTCCTTATATGTGACTCTGCCGGACCATGTGGTGTAGACATAGGCACCTGGGTGAAAGATTGATTCGAAGTTCTCCCATTCGCATGCATCACTAGAAATGTTGTCAGTCTTTGGTCTTAGTCCCATTCTTGGTTGTTTCTTTACCGGTAGCAAGGCCAGCCTTCGGCTAGTTCGCGGAGTTTCGCACGCTCCAAAACGAGGTTGTCTGGTCCATTGTTGCGGATGGCATGTTCGGGCCAGGTACCCTCGGGCAATGAATGCAAGTCGGTCATGATGGTATCCTGAGAATGCGATAAAGTCTGTGGATTTCCGAGGTCGTTCTTCGCTATAAGTATGTCTTTCAATCCGTCTCGGGTATAATTTCGTATAATTTCTTCGGCTCAATTCATTGCCGATGGGTTCCATTGCCTTTGTGCGGAGAAGTGGGGAAAGTGTTTCCTCATACTCCCGAAGGCCTTGAACCGAACAGAACACAAACAATTTGCTTCAGAGCTTCGAGGATTATAAGTGCAAATGATTCGCATTCAAGCTGTATTAGGGAACACATTCTAGAAATTGATCCCCTTGCTTTCATCGGCCGCCTTAATCAAAACATCCCAAGCGCCCTTCTGATCCAGCTTTTTTACACACTCCTCCCCAGCCCACAAGCGCCATTGTTCATGAATCTGGTACCCGATAATATGCGTTCCCTCCACACAGGGCCACTCCAGCTTCTCGCCCAACTTAATCATTCTCGTCCTTCTTGGCTTGAAGCACATATCCAACAACACCCCCTTGTCCGGTCGTGACAGGAAAGACTCGAGCAGGGCAGCAACCGCAATTTCAGTCTCGGTCTTGGGTTCAAAATCTGGTACTGTTCCAACAACATAGTACGGGCTGGGCAGCCCCTCGGCTTGCTTCTGCGTCTTTACATGGATGATATTGGGAGGATTCGGTAGCTTTCGCGAGTCTTGGATCAGACCCATCACCTCCTGGTCATCGCGGTTCAAGATATAAATTGTAGAGCAATTCAAATGCGCTGAAAGGGCGTAAATAGCCGCACGGCTCGCTCCTCCAGCTCCTACGATCAGAGCACTGGCAGGGGACGTCGCCGATGGTCTTCTGCTGTCATCGCCCTTCTCTAGAAGACAGCCCTTGATTCCTCGCCAGTCTGTGTTCGTACCACAAAGAAGCCGCTGACTACCTGGTTTGTAGTAGATGTTGTTGCAGGCGCCAATGATGGTTGCCAGCTCATCCAACTCGTCGAGGTGCTTCATGACGGAGTTCTTGTAGGGCATTGTCACCACCAGGCCGGCTGTGGTTGGTGCTTTGGCGAGCCTGAGGAGTTCTTCAATTGTAGGACATTCGGTGGAGTAGAACGTCCATGGGAGGCCAAGGGATTTCGCGATGTAATTGTGCATGCTGTAAGCGATGGAGTGCGTCACGCCCACTCCCACCAGATGGAGGGTCATCTCTTGAGATTGTGAGATTTGGGTCATTGTCAATTTGATTAACCTTCAGGTTGGATGACTGTATGAGAAAAACAGGAAATAAATTTATTGTCAATTTACGTTGCAATTTATCTGATGGCGATGGATATAGACTAGGCCCAATATCGTCTAAATTCATAGCCGATGGACCTGGATACGTAGTTCTAGATAACTAGGACGTACTAAGGCGGATAAATCCTATAAAATCATACTTATATTGCTTTCAACTATGCGTTCAAATACTTTGACATCTCAGAAGCTATAAATTTCTCAAAATCAGCATGGCCTCAAACAACGTGTCCCCGAAAAACTTCCACATCTTCGGCAAAGGAATTTTATTCAGCGTTTCGCCCACCATCCACAATGAAGCCTTTAAACATTGTGGCCTTCCATTCAAATATACCATTCGCGAGTCCGACAACATCGATGGAGTGGCAGGGCTGATCAAAGACAATGCCTTCGGCGGAGCAAGTGTCACCATGCCACACAAGCTCCAAGTCCACAAGTTCTGTGATGAGCAAACCGAGACCGCGAAACTGATCGGTGCAATCAACACGCTCGTCGTTAAGGGCGAGGGGAGCGAGCGTACCATAATCGGTGACAACACGGATTGGTCCGGTCTGTACGGTATCATTGCCGCCCACTCGACCAAGATGCAAAAACAACCCAAAGTCGGACTTGTTATTGGCGCTGGTGGGGCATCACGGGCTGCCCTGTATGCGATGCACAAAGCGGGAATGGAAGATATCTACCTTGTGAACCGGACTTTGGCCACCGCCGAGAAGGTCAGGGATGACTTTGGAAGTGCGTTCGATATCAAAGTTGTGCCGGGACTTTCAGATCTCCCAAAAAATTTAGATGTTGTTATTGGCACTGTTCCTGCGGAGACTACCAATGAGGATCAGTTTGCGTTGTTGTTTGGGAAGCAAGGTCTTTGTATTGACATGTCGTATAAGCCGAGACAGACGCCGCTATTGACTGTGGCTCAAAGACACCAAGGGTGGGATACTGTTTCAGGTGTTGAAGTGTTGCTTTCCCAGGCTTTTGATCAGTTTTCGCTGTGGACTGGACTAGACGCTCCAAAAGATGTTATGACGGAGGCTATTTTGGCTTTGGACAGAGAGGGGGCTGCGAAGGCTAAAGGTGGAATGCTTTGAGATGTGAGTCCTGCGTTTCTCATGTCAATCATTCATATATTTGGTAGTTTCTATTTGAGGTTCTTCTGGGCCGTGTTTCATATGTTTCTGAATACAAAGCTCAAAAGTAAGATTGTCAAGCTTGGTGTGCAAGGGAAGACATACAACGTTATAAAGAAATCAGAAATAAATATGATTAGGAATTTCAAAAGCCCTGAAAAAAAAAAAAAAAAAAAAAAAAAAACATCTGGATAATCAATAGCTTGTTGATACAGTGGCTTATTGACCAAGAACAAGAAGTAGATTCAGTATCTTTCAGGCAAGCAACTAGGGAAATCTCGGTCACCCCAAGTGGAATTGTACATGGCTTACCAGCTTTTATACTTATAATTGTTGGATTCCTAGCACTCATACACCTTGCACTATCACATAAGATATTACTGGCCGCTCCTAGCATGAGCGCTAACCTAGCGAGGCGCCAGTTCAAGTGTGACCACTTCCTTGTTTTTAGGTTACATAGGCAGGTCGAGAATACCATTAAAGCCCTTGATTTATTTGAAAACAGCTAGTTGGAAGTGCCGAAATGCAACATTTGTTGATACACCATTGGCCAAATAAGCTCTACGCAGTTGAGTAGATTTCCCCGCTGAGCATTGAGGTTCTATCGTGAGTTTAATCCAATCTAGCATAGAGAATAAATTACTGATCGCATTCCTTGAGCCCAGAATCTGTAACCGAATGCCTGAGTACGATTGCACTTCCCCGAAACTATAGTAAACTTTCTAGTGCGGCTCGCTACCATCCCTCCACAGCCACCCAGTTCGTCGTGTCACCTACCGGAAGCCGACACATGCATGACAGCCAAAGCCATCAATCACACACCGGTTGGCATTTGTCCGACCAATCATATTCTTGGGCGATGTTATAAACCAAACGGGATATAGTTAACTTACCCAAGGCCCTGCAGCCTTGCTGATCAGGTGTCTAGCTTATCTACGGGTGGAAATTGGAATCTCAACTAAAGATGTTGTGATTAGGACGATTGGGCTTCGAGAAATCTCCTATATTCGGAGATTGTTAAGTGGGAATTGAGTTCCATGGAAGGATAAAGCCCTAAGTTGGGTAAGAACATCACAATTGCGCAGAATGACGTTTCTCAGACTCAATCAATTCTACAGTATAACTACATGTATAACTCTAGCTCAAAAGGAGGGGTGAATGCTAGACGATCCCCAAGCCCTTCAAATGTGACCCTACACATGGCTTCCCAGGTGGGGGTTGCAGACGAACTTAAGGTCCATGCCTTGTAAGGGTCTTAGAACCTAGAAATGTGGACGGGGAAATAGATCCATCGAATTTTCCGACATGCAGTGTTTAACATGGAGTGAAAAATTCAGAAGATCGGCGGGCCTCTGTAGATGCTAGTTCTTAGTGTGATGGAGCCTGCCCAAGTGGGCACACATAGAGTGAATTGTCTGTGGACGTATCCAATCACCAAAATTGACACATTTCAACGGGATGATGCAATTATGCAAGGCGAAAAGAAGAGCTGGAGAGGTGCCCAACATCAGCAAACATAAGAGAATATAGAGAATAGAGAGAATATAGGAGAATAGGAGGCCAATATAAGTGCAATCTGCGTAAATTGCCAAAAAAAAGAAGTTTAAGATAATAATCCCCTTTTTCGCCCAATCACCTCTCCCCACCATCTCCTGAATTCCCCTTCGCCCCCTTCCTCTTCTTCTCTTTTTCCCCAGAACTGCTTTTTCTCCACTGACTGTTTTCTTCCTACCCTTTTGTGGATCCCGGAACTTGGATCCTCATTCCCCTTTTCTCTCCTACACTCACCTCCCATAATGGCGTCAAAGGTGAGTATCCCCAGACCTGATTACGACCCGGTTCTATTCGGAGCATCCCATTGACTCAAGCTCTGCAGTTCCTACGAGAATACAAGCTGGTGGTTGTCGGCGGCGGTGGCGTCGGAAAGTCCTGCTTGACCATCCAACTGATCCAGAGCCACTTCGTGGACGAGTACGACCCAACAATCGAAGGTGAGCCCAGTCCGATGACAGATCGCGCGGATCGTGTCCCTTTCGAATCCAAGGGGACCCGCAATGAACGGCGCTGATTCGGAATCCGTCTCCCATAGACTCCTACCGCAAGCAGTGCGTTATCGACGATGAGGTCGCTTTGTTGGACGTGCTGGATACAGCAGGCCAGGAGGAATACTCGGCAATGCGGGAACAGTACATGCGAACCGGCGAGGGATTCCTGCTGATCTACTCGATTACGTCGCGCCAATCCTTCGAAGAAATCATGACCTTCCAACAGCAGATCCTGCGTGTCAAGGACAAGGACTACTTCCCCATCATTGTCGTTGCCAACAAGTGCGATTTGGAAAAGGAACGCGTGGTCTCCGAGCAGGGTAGGTGACCTCTCAACACACTCCCAACCCCAGCCCCCTATTATCCCACCCCCTTGCAACCCCGTAACTGACAACTCACCGCGGCCAACAGAGGGTGAAGCGCTCGCCCGTCAGTTCGGCTGCAAGTTCATCGAAACCTCCGCCAAGTCCCGCATCAACGTCGAGAACGCCTTCTACGACCTCGTCCGCGAGATCCGCCGGTACAACAAGGAAATGTCCTCGTACCCCTCGGGCTCCGGCGCGTTCGGCTCCCGCGCACCAGAGGGCAAGATGGATGTCAGCGAGCCCGGCGAGAGCGCGGGCTGCTGCTCCAAGTGTGTGGTCATGTAAAACAAGAACAACCCGAAAACGTCGAATCAGCGAATGTCCTTGAGCCTCGAGAAAGAACCTTCAAATCATCCGCCTACGCGGCGCATACGATTGTCGGAGAGTTATTACACTGAGAATGGGTTGTTATATAAGGGAGAAGGCATTTCGTCGTCTTCCTCCCTTGGCAAGTTGGAAACTGGTTACACTTCTTGAATGGCGCTTAATTCGCATCTGCCTATGCATTTGCAACCCCCCTACACCCTCTGCCATTCAGAATACATACGCGATGGAGGAAAACACAACTCAGCACGACTACATACCCGACAGAAAGCAAAATAAAACGCAAAAACCCCCCAAAAAAAGGCGAAAACAGCAAGCGAAAACACAGAATAACAGTGGCCTGTCGAATTTTGTCGGTGTTTGTGTGGTTCATTTCGGACGAGGCTCGCATTCGCTTTGACGACCTTGACGCCAACCTCGTCTCACGAAACATTTTGATTCCCCTTTTGTTGTCCGAATTGCGTCCTTATCTCTATATTTTATTGTTTCAAGTCTTGCGAAAGATCCTTGGTGTTTGTTATCTATCTCTTATTATCTTTGTCGGTCCCGGGATACGAGACGACACGGCTGTCAATATATGTTATTTCACGGCAAGGGGGATTCCTTGCTCTTCATTACTATGGCGCGTGTCTTGTTTGAGTATTTATGGATGGTCTGGCTCTCGAAGCGGAGAGATATATGCCATCTATCATAGTGCAATCTATTTGATCTGTATCCGCCGGCAATGTTTGGATATGGCATTCCTGTGTTCTAGTATAGACATGGCGATCTATGTGCTGCAGATATATGCAACCCCCTCCGAGCTAACAGGGTGAACAAATAATCAAACTATTGACTGTAGACATGCTCCGAGTCGGACGGGGGATCAAGCTCATCCTCCATAGCAACAAGCTTACCCTGAACACCCTCCTCAACTTCCGCAATCAAGGACTCAATAAAAGCCTTATCAGCCCCAACAAGGGTGACAGTATTGCGCTTCTTCCCCCAGCGCGGGTAACTACCAACCTTAACACCATTCGACTCAACCTTAGCAGCCAGCTCAGTCAAGTACGGCGCAACAGCACTCTCGGGCAGCGGCGTACTAATCAAACACCGGAAAGTCCCCTTACCCTCAGGGTCCATAAGACGGGGAATAAGTCTGGGCCTAAGGTTCTCAAGAAGACGCTCGAACAGCCGCGGCACACCAGGCAGGATGTGCACGTTACCGTTCACCACGGCAATAGGAACCCACATATCATCGGCGACGAAGACGGCTTGGTCCTCGGCGGGGATCTTGGGGTCGAAGGGGAGCTCGACCATGCGCAGCTTGGCGTTCAGGCCGGGCGAAGGAGTCTCCCAGTCGAAGTTGGGCTGCATGGGGTGTGGCTTAGAAAGGCGCTTCATGCGCTCGAAGGCGGGCTGGTGGAGTTGGAGCTTTAGGCCGAAGGCTTTGGCGATTGATGAGTAGGTGATGTCATCGTGTCTGTGCGCGAGGTATGAGTATTAGCTGTCTGTTGGGTATGGTCGTTGATTGTCTTGCGTCTTGCGCGTTCTCCGTTCTCGGGGACCGAGGAAGAACAGTCAAGGGACCGGGCTGGGGTGTACGGACGTGGGCCCAATGCCTCCGCTTGTAACGACGAAGTCGTAGCGGGAGCTCATGCGTTGCACGGCTTCCATGATATCTTCCTCGTCATCCGGGATGACTTCGACTCGCTTCAACTGCATTCCGAGGGAGAAGCAGAACTTGGCTAGGTAAGGGGAGTTGGTGTCGATGGTCTGCCATGGGAGTTGTTAGAATATGTGATTTGCTAGGCGGGCGTCCTATTGGGATGGTAATCACCTTTCCACCGAGAACCTCATCGCCGATAATGAGGCATGCTGCCGTGTGGATGGTTTTCGCGCGCGCTGATGTCATCGCGATCGGAGTTGGGCGATGGGATGGGGGTGAGAGGAGCACGGAGGGGCGAGAGGAACTGAATGGGCGTGAGAAATGGCGGGTTAGGAGATTCAGTCGGCTGAGCATTGAAGGGTAGATATACAGGAGTGTTGGAGTGTTGGAGATGTTCAGAGAAGGGGATCAAGTGGGGAAATCTCCGCCCGCATTGCGCATTTCGCATTTCCTTCTCGCTTCACACTCCGGCTTTCTCCCTTTTACTGGAAACAACTGTTATAGTTGGGTTCAATTTGAGCACATATCTACGCCTGCCGAAAAGAAGTCCTCTCGGGGCTTTTGTTTCCCTGCGCTGCCCACACGCCGTCCATAATGGTGAGATGTCACACCACGTTGACGTGTCCACGTTAACATGCTCGCGTGCTTCCACGATGGATTGCTGATTTTGAGTAGTCCGATTCACGGTTATATTCATTCTCTCCGGAGACAAAGGAGAAGCTGCGCAAGTTCCGCCTGGGTACATCGCGAGCGAAGGATGCGCAAGCTATCATCTGTACGAGCCCCTAGATTCGCACTTTCTGACAGATCTCGCGCATTTTAAGACAACACAGGCTTTGTCTCAAATGGCTGTGCAAAGATCTCACATCAGATCTGCAGGTACCCTTGTTCGTATCATGCTAATAAGCGGCACCTTACAGATATCATCGACAGCAAGACCCAAGAGATCCGGCCACAAGATGATGAGATCTACTCCAAGATGGAGGATCTGGCCGACGACCTCCCAGAGTCCTCGCCACGGTTCATCCTCCTCAGCTACCCATTAACGACTGTGAGCTGTCCCAAATAGCCTATCAAACTGCGATTTACTGAAACAATATCCCCTCACAGAAAGACGGACGGCCCTCAGTCCCTTACGTCCTCCTCTACTGGCTCCCTGAGAACTGCAACCCGATGCAACGGATGTCATACGCCAACGCGGTGGAGCTGATGCGCACCAGCGCACAAGTCAACCGGGTGATCGAGGTGGAGACTGACGACGACATCATCGGCATCAAGTCCAAGCTAACTGGATCGGACTAAACCGATAAACAGTATTGAAGGGATACATGACCAAGAGCCTCTCCGATAGGTCGGGTCGACCCGACATGTATCCAAGGGCACAGGCATGGGACTTTGCTGTAAAGGGCGTTTAGTGGCTTGACTGGCTGGATACTGTTGAACCCTGTGAACTTCGCCCATACACACACACACATACATCGTATGTGGGCGTCGAATGATACTCTTTGCTTTTCGCTCTCACCTGGCTTGAATGGGATTGTTGGAATTGGGGCTGGCGTCGATCCCGCATTGCCTGATACTGGCATGTGTGATCTGTCATGTCGATGATTTGCAACGGTGCCCGGCACCTTCAGCTAGCGGTAGATCTTGCCAGTACGTACCACTCAGAGCCAGCCCTCGCCTGGAGAGAGCGGTCTATCTGCCGTCGGAGATGCCGAGTTCACCTCAGCTGGAGTAGACTAGCCCGCTAGCACGCTGTGAACAAACGCCTGTATTACTCTCCAGTGGCCCCTCCCACCCAATCAACCACGAATAGTTTCACTCGCTTGATGAGGATCTCTAGCTTAGCCTCGATCGTCGCCTGCCATTGGTAAATAACGAGGCTGGTCTACACAGCTAGACCCAAATCCTAGCTAGTCAGTCCAGCTATCAGCGTCGTCCCATTCCACCCAAACTTTTCCATCCGGTCAATCATCATCTTCTTAGCCCGCATGATTCAAGTCTAGGAGAAGAATCCCACCCCTATCACAGACGGCACAGAAGCATTAACATTTGCCTATAATTTCAAGCGAATGTGTACTACAATAAAAGCAACTGATTGGCCCATACAATTATGATCGCCGACTATGAATCAGCTCTTGCCCCCCCTCGTTCACCATGTATTCGTTCACTCTCGTACATGAATGGGCGCTCAGCGAAGCGAGAGCGGGCGGTAAAGTCACAGGTGTGTCTATCCCAGGTGAAAGGATGCCCATCACCAATAATTTGATATCTTTAACTTTCGTCTCTTTCACCCCGAACAATCAATCTGTGGGGAATTACCTTCTGGTGGATACACCTACGTAGGTGGTGATTCGGCGCCTAGATGTGCATGTACTGTACTTGAGTACATAGGAACTCGTATACTTCGATATTCCAAATTCTGAATTAGAAATATCTGCATGATTGGTTGAACAAAACCCCGGAAAAGGTCAGCTCGGCGATGCGCGCAGTACCAGCAGAGTGGTACAAAGGGGCCGAAATTCCGTATGTTTGTATCTAGTGGCGAGGCGAGCTGCTTGTCTGTGTGTTGCTTTGCCACTGCGCCGGGCCGGATGCACGTCTAGAAGGCCAGCGCGAAGGGGGCGCTGCGGTACATACTGGGAGGGTTGCAATGTTGTGAGATATCTACAGCAGATTATTGTAAAGAATAATTGCTTTTTTCACTCTGTGGAGCAGGGGTTTCTAGCTGAGTTGAATCTGTAAGGTTTACTTGAATCATGTTACAAGCATAATGTAACTTATGTTACGTGGATTTCACCGGGGCAGTAACAGGCGTTCACATATACTCCCACCTGATGCATGCAGACGGCACGGCATACTGTACAGGAAGAAGTACAGGGAAGTGTTGTCTTGAATATACAATTGTTGTACGATCGCCTGGGCTATAGATCGGGCGATCGGAACGGGTGCACTAGAAACATGTAGATTAATAAGAAAAAGCAAAGACCACTGGGCAAAATCAAAGAAGGCTGAGGGGTAATTCTAGGATATACACATAATTTACCATACTTACAATAACCAAGACAGCGATCAGACCCCCAGCATCATCGTCCTGCATAAGTCTCCACTGAGGAAACGAGATGACAAGGGGAAGCCCAGACCAGCCCTGGAGGAAAAGTATTCCTTTAGTACGAACCAGTTCTCCATTTCCAGGGGGATGGTTCAACCTGCAGCGCATGTGGGTTCCCAGATTATCATTATATCCGGTTTTTTTTTCGCCCTTTTTTGGCGTCCATGTGTACATATAGTACTCTGTCCTGGAACTTAACCCTCGGTTTGACAGGTGAAGAAAGTCAAGCACTGACACTTGTCATCTGCAACTTGTTTTAGTTCCAGTTCCTTCAGCACGTAGTGGAACCGTTGAGCAACGAGGAATAAATTTCAAATCGGTTCGATTTTCGACCTTTAACTTGTTAGTCTGCAGTAGTGTCTCCTTCCTCAAAGTCCCTCTTTTCACCGCTAACTGACGAAGTGGGTGATTTGCGCTTTCAATTCCCTATTATGCATGACTCGTCACGATCGGAGAGATGTCCGTGATAGGGAGGTATCTGTTGATTTATAAGGATTCTTAGTGGATCTTGGTCTGCGCTTTGCATTTCTTCATAACCCGACGGTTTGGTCTAGCCACATATTACTAAGAGTCATGTCAGCACGGCATGTCCACGCACTACAGGATTCCATAAAATGATAGTATGAAAAAGTAAATGCAGAATTGGATTATTCCCCGTGGGCTACCTGTCAATGCCAAAGACCAAGTGTTCTAAGTTCTAAGAGTTCACGATCTTCTCGGTTATCCAAATCCCGGTCAAATCCTCTCCTGATCGACAGTCTGCGCAGGTGTTAACGAAACACCGGCGTAGCCCCTAAGAAACGGCAATCTTACGCCCTTGATTCCCAGATCCCGCTTGCTTCCACTGATCGACTGACAGGTGAACTATTTCTGGAAAAGGCAACCGGAATGGCGGGAACACCCGGGCAGATGTACATAGCCCCATTTGCCGCATGCCACGCCGCCGGATCTCCTAGGAGTATTTGTAGGGAAATGTACAAAGTACAGCAACGCACGGGAGTGTTTTTGCCCCGTGAAGAAGAACCAATGGCAAAGTCCGAGAAACGCTACAGTACTGTCAGTACAGTTTGAGGCCAAAGCCCAGGTGGAGAGAGCCCGGGGCCCACCCAAGTTGCATCCCCCTAAATAATTTATGATTTTTGATTTTTATATTTTTATAATATCTCCGCCTTTTACGGCATCTATACAATACCTGTAATCTAACTATATTCTTATTCCTCGGATCTGCTTTTTTTATAATTGCCTGTTCTCCCCAAGCCCTTCCCTGCTCTTCGGTAATCCCAGCTCCTCGGTATACGTCTCACCTGGATACTTATACCCTTGACATACTTCTTTTTCTTCTGAATATCTTACATTCTACATGGAATGAAGCGGTCATCCCGACACTTTGGACCGATCAACGAAGCATTCGCCATCGCATTCCTGCGCCACTTTACATAAATCGAAAGCCATGTCTCCCCAGGACACGCCCGGTCGCCCAGGCGAAGACAGGCCCGAAGGGATTTTCAAGTACTTCAGGCGCATGAAGAGTGTCTTGCGCCCTCGATCAACTTCAAAGCATCAATCTCTAAGCGTACCTGATGTGGCGGCCGCAACCCAAATAACGTATGATATACTATACTGGCAATCTTCAACATTCAATAGTATAAACTGACACTGCCCACCACAGCGCACCAGCACCAGCACCAAAACTATTGCAGCAACCCAGTATACCAGAGCAACTCACTGTGCCCGACTACAACGCCATGCAGCGCCAAAAGGCCCACGCCATCTTCGCCAAATACAATCTAAGCTTCGAACCCACCGGAGAGAAATCATCCACCGATCACCAATTTGCCCGAGTAGCCAAGCCAATTCGCATGCGAGTGCGCCGCGCCTGTCACCGCTGCGAAACCACCTTCGGTCCCGAGAAAGTCTGCGTCAATTGCCAGCACCTCCGATGCAAGAAATGCCCCCGTCTTTCACCAGCCCATGCCCAAGACGAAGAGCCATCATTTTCCAAAATGAGACTCCATGAGCTTCGCGCAAAACAGCGTGGCATGCTTCATCTCACGCCCCATCTCAAGTTGAGCGGCAACCCAGCCTGTCCGCTATCAATGACTTCCAATATGGGAGGACCGGACTTTACGCGCAAAGCAGTGCGCCAGCGAGTTCGACGAGACTGCCATCTATGCGGGACTATGTTTGCCAGGGGCTCGAAACAATGTGACGGTTGTCACCATCTTCGCTGCAAGAGCTGTCCCCGACAGCCCGCCAAACTTGATAAATACCCAGACGGGTATCCTGGTGATGTTGAACCACCGAAAGCTGCGCCAGATCGCACATTTAAGAAGCCTCGTCGACGGGTTCATTACGTCTGTCATGTCTGTACCACCTCTTACAATGAAGATGCGCGTGTTTGCGTGAAGTGTGGTCAGACGAAATGCGATGAGACTATTCGAATTCCGTATGTGTGCTTTCTCCCTACTTGGTTTTGGGTTGAGCTGACTATCTACTTTAACAGACCTAAAAAAATCAAACGAGAACCTGATCCTGCAGTTATTCGGAGCCTAGAAGAGAAGTTGGCTACTATGGTAATAACAGCAAACCCAATTACATGATCAAAACATACGTTATGGTATTTCACAGGACAGCCTGTTTTTCCAAATGATTTGTATTTCAAGTTCGTTATATTCACTCGACCTATCTCTATTTCTTCCAGTGTTTTTCAGACCAAAGAAACAGATATCGAAACATACGAATGACTTTGACACCATAAATGAAATTTACCCCTCCTCTGAACCCGCTGACCCGCGACTAAATTACCCCGTTCGCTGGTTGGAACGTATGACATGAGCCACCCAGTACGTACATTTCCCTTTTCAAACCGCATTCCATTCACATTCACCCGAGGCACAAAAATGCAATATATCACCCGCCCAAAGCCAGAACGCACAGCCAGCTGTCAGAAGATGAAACCCGGCGTCAATTCCAAACAAGGAGAGCAGTCTTCAGGCCCACATCAATCCGGCGCGAAAAATAAACTCCATCGCTCCCGGTCCCCTGGAACTGCCAGTGGATATGGGTGTGGATACTATTCTATAATAGCCCTCAGGTCTAGACATGACAAAAGAGATACATAGTGACCTGTTCGGTCTGATTTGCTGTGCTTTCCTTTGACGTGAAACTCGGGATATGGACATCGGCCGAATTGTCATTCTGCTCCACATCGCAACGTCTCTCTTCCGAGATACTGTAATGTACCTCGGTTGCTGTCTGGTTTGAAATTCACAGTAAAGGGGTGTTATCTCTTATTGTGGAGCTGTTTCTAACTAATCTTCACGTACAATACTGTAATGCTATACTATACCACTCTAATGGGATCTATATCCACGTTCTGCATTGATTGCGCTGTCGTCGGTGGAATACTCTTGTAACATAGCGCCACCGAACTGTATTCAAACCGGGGCGCTTCCGGGTACGCATCCACACCAGAACCTAAGCGCAAAGCAGATGCTTCGGCCGAACAATAAATTACAGTACATCCCCTTTGGGGGGCATGGAACATGGAACATCACGACTCAGAAGAGTGGGATGGCAAACCCGTCTGGTTCCGTTTGGACGGTCCGAGCCGTTTACTGTGGGTTGGACCCAGAGTGTCTGTGTGGTAATGGTACCGTACCTTTTCCTTATTGATATGCATGTACAAGGGGATATCTACAGGGATTGTATTAGATGCGTTGTTGGGTCTATACTTACGGGAACGGGTATAGTATACGGGAGGGAATGGTACGGGGGTATTCGACGGTGCATAAGTCAGGTCTAAATAAGCCCGGCTGATTGGCTCGGCGGGAACACCGAGGCCGCTGGGAATCTCGATTTGAATTTCATTTTAGCTTCGAGACTGTTGCCTGTTACAGTATAGATCGGTGGGAAGAGGATTGAATTACCCGGAAATCGGTGATTCTCGTATTTGACAAGATTTGACTGAGCTTATCGATTTGGTCCCTAAATAGTCCAGTTTGAAATGTGTCAGCTCCGATGTCTATGTGTACAATGGAGCTGTACTGTATTCGTTTCTCCACTGAAAGTACACACTAACCGTATCCAGTCGCCCCTGTCAAAGATTTGAGAGAATTTGTATTCATGACTCGCAATTCTAGTAACCGAAATAAACTACTGCAATGACACCCCGACAGGGCCTAAAAGCCTACAGTGTCCGAGATCAGGCAAGGGTGTCATGACAGAGCCAGATTGTCGGGTCGCAGGGGGTGAATTGGCCTTAATCCACAATCGTCACCGTGCAGACCTGCAGTGTCAGTGTCAAAAGTACTTTAGGCCTTATTCCTTTAGTCTTCCCGTACGCCAGGGATGACTCCTTCGGCGGAGGGGACAACCCGGTCCCGAATTGCTAGAAGCTTGGTAGAATCCGTTTGGTCAATGTGGAGGTGGAGAGCTTGTTGCTCATACCCGCTGTCACCCTGATCACCTTGCTATTTTAATAGTGGCTGGGCACGGTGCGCTAGGAGTTGAGACATGGATCCCATCGTGGGTCGTAACGGCCAACTAGCCGAATCGAGTGCCACACATGAAATATATTGCCTTCCAGTAAGGGCGGGAATGTGCAAGGCTGGTTGTAGTCTACCTGGCAAAATGTGTGTGGAGCTATTGGAGGGAAAAGTAGAAATCCAGGCCTTCTGGCCTTGCCGTAGGAACCTGTCAGTTAAATGTAGATCATGCATAAACGATCGACTGGGATATAAGAACACGTCACAGAAACTGTCACAGAATGTTCAAGCTATTAGCGCCACGGGGAGTTGAAAACGCTCAAAATACCTACCACTTTTGGGTCTTGGCACGTCAACCCAGGATGTCGGAATGCGCGATATTCTTTGGTCTTGAGGTATGCCGCGTTGCACGATATGATTACGCAGACGGTATTTGGTATTATGATTTACCGCATTTTCGGACAACATATGACAAGTGAGAGGGTTGATCCCAGTCTGGAAACCCTCCGGGGTCTCCCCACCCAGACAGCCTGTCTTTACCAGAACGTCGGGTTTCAAAATCGAGGTTGTCGAATACTGATTCAGGTGACAACTGCCGGTTCGCAGGATGTAATTTCCTTCTTCTCGTTAAGGTTTTTTTTGCTTACGCAGGGGCTGATTTAGAGTAGACCCTCTTGCCGGGGGATTGTAGTGCATGCCTTCGGAGGTGTGGATTCGATGGTTTCTACTAGCTTACCCCTTGTCCCTCGTTGAGCTACTGTAGCTGTCATATTGTAGGTACTGCAACTCTCATTGGGTGGGAAGATAACACCTATTATCTGGTCTCCGGGGCTGAGATGAATTGGTAGACACCGACGGTGAAATCGATATTGTTGCTCACAGGGGATATGTAATTTTTCAGAAATTAAAAAGGAGTCTGAGATGTTGAACACCGGGATTTGAAAGCTCTGCATCCCCAATTCGGCAACCCATGTCATAGTGAATTCGGTCTAGATTATACATGCTGATCCCATATATACAATTTAGTTCAATTCGATGACTATCCACAGAGTGTCCGAAATCATTTTCACAATGAAAGCATAGATACTCAGATGTATATACAGTCCTCACCAGAGACCCTGCCTCTTCTAAACATAGCAGAATACAACCTAAACCTTGATCCTCATACTAATCTGCTCCGTACCAGCAGACTCATAATCTATATCATCAACAAGATCAACCCTCGTCCGAAAAGCCTGCCGAATAATCCAATCTTTGCTATTAATCTCCTCCTCAACCTGGCCGTCCTGTATCCTCGGAATCTGCTCAGACCCCTCCAGTCGACGCAACATCACACTATCCTCGGGTCGTGCAAAGTACACAAGACTGTACCTTGTCGATTCCGCCTGAAGTCCGGGTGGTGCCACAACCCGGTGAATGTTGGACCGGAACAACCCATTCGTGAACTTGACCATTGCGTCCCCGAGATTCACAATCGCATGTCTAGGGAGTGGTCTCACATACACCCATTCTGTGTCAGCACCGGGTGGTAGTACTTGAAGACCCCCGACTCGGTTGAAAAGCACCGTCAGGCTGCCAAAATCGGTGTGTTGGCCCAGTGCGGTGCGTCTGTCGTCGGCTGGCTGCGGTGGTGCTTTCACAAAACGGACTTGGTCGCCGCTTACTGCTTGTCGTCGGTGTAGATTGGGTAGAGTTCCTTTTGGTAGGGAGAGTTGGTTGTTCAGGATGTCGAGGATTAGGGTTACTATCGCATGTGACCCCTGCATGAACGATCCCAGCTGTGCTCGACTTTCTTGCAGGATCCCTGGTGCAGGCAGTGGGTTGCTAATTCCCAGTATATCGTCTTTTGAGACCTGGCAGCATCGAGATCAGGTTGCCGTAGAGACACAAACCTGGAGCAAACTTACATTGTAGAACTCGTTGCGGTCCAGATTCCCCTGCTTGTCAACTACCGCAACACCCTGTGCTTTATATCCGAAGTATGAGTTCTGTCCGCTAAAGTCATACTTCTTTTTCTCGTCTAGACTCAATTCGAAAAGGCTCTCTCCAAGCTTGAATAGGGTATCTGCGTCGCCGAGGAGCGAGGATCCTTGTTCCGAGTCTGAAAGATCGAGGTAGAAGAAACCTATATCGGTTGATGCTTGGAATAGTTTCGCATACTCTGCAGGGTCACCGGCTAGTAGTTTCCCTGATGATAACCGAAGAAGAGGTGCCGTGGCGACATCATCTGGGAAGGGCGGGATATCTGGGAAGTTGTTGGCGATTCCCTTCTGACCTACCTGAGACTGCATAGCTATTCAATGAGCTTCGGTGCTCAAATGATTGGTATATGTGCTTTGACTCTTTAGTTGTGATTTGAAAGGGAGAGGTGTACTACTGACTCCGGATATATATATCCACGAGATACATGCGGGGAAACATCAAAGAGCCGAGGGATGATCAAGCCCGACAATAAGAACCGGAAATAAATCAATATCCGACAGTAGCCTTACCACTTCTATGGACAACAGTAAATCAAATGTAGTCTGGAAGACGAAAACTGGTAGTTCTATAGATGGTTATCTCTTATCGGGGAGTGACATCAAACAATTTTTCTCCAACTCCAACAGCTCAACCTCCAACCCCAACGACAAAAGCCCAACCGTCGACGTACATCCTCCACATCCTCTCCAATAAGAAAACGGCCATCGAGGTCGACCCCCTGAAATGACCGACTCCCCAACCCCAAAAACGCACATCGCGCACACCCTCCTCTCACGCGCCTACTCCCCAGACAGCACAACAGCCCAATTTACCGAAAAAATAAAACAAAAACCCCTCTACCTCCGCCCAACCGAATCAACAGCAACAGACAACCGCAGCCGCCGCCGCCTCCACCGCCTCCGCAAGAAAGAATACTTCCTCAAACACCAAAAACCGCGCCCGCTGTCGGCGCGCGAGAAGCGCATATCCGGCCTGCACGATTTACCCAAAGAGGAATGCAAGTATGCGATTTTCAAGGGTCTGCATGAGCTGTGGGTGGGGTATATGCATGAAATCCTGGATTTGAAGCCGGGTGCGCATTCTGGGCCCGTTTCTGCTCTTGTGCATGGCAGTAAGCTTGTTAGTGCCGATTTTCATGGGGCGGAGGTTGAGGTTGTGAGGAGTTCTTGTTCGGGGAGAGTTGGGGTGAGGGGGATAGTGGTTCGGGATACGAAGTTTACTTTCGTGCTTGTTACTGAGAGGGATGAGATGAAGAGTGAGTTTATATCTGATATCTGCCTTGGAAGAGAGGAAAGAAGGGACGCATGGCGCTGACGAATTTTGTAGCTATTCCGAAGGAGCGGACTATTTTCCGATTCACGGTTCCTCTGCCCATATCCTCCAAGGGCGAGCAGGATCAGCAGAAAGAGTCGGGTGCTGGTGGTGCGAAGCCATTGGTTTTTGAGTTGCATGGAAGTCAGTTTGAGAATCGGCCGGTGGATCGTGCTAATAAGAAGTTCAAATGGAGGAATATTGATTACCTTTGAGATATTGAGATCGGGTGGCCTAGTAGAAGCCCAACCTTTACAAATGCTACGGCATGCACGAAATGATGACAATAATGTTCTGTGTGGAATGAACATTCCATGAATTGTGTTGCAAGTAGTATGAGTACATGCTAGTTTGCTCTCTGTAGGATAATGTCTACATAGAAACGGATTGCACGTCTGCTTGTACGTGCGATTGTGCTTTCAAGTCCGAATCCGAGTCGCGAGACCGCGAACCCCGCGGGTCTTGATATCTTGGTGCACTACACGGAGTGTCGGCCAAAATGTGCTTCGATGAAAGCCTCGATATCGATAAGTATCGCGAGAACTTGTACCGATTTCAAGGCATGGTGTGCATTGAGCACATCGAAAGACCCAGCATTTGGGGGAGCTGGTCGATTGCATGAGGCAGAGCGTACCAAAACCATGAGCTTGATAGGGTTGGAAGTAATAAAAGGCTTGTAAAAGCCTCTAACAACCAGCCCTCACATGCCAGCCCATTCAAGACTGAACGTCCGGACACTGTCCACCCGATCGGCCTCCGACTCAACATCATCCAGAGTCTTCTCCGCCCCGCCAATCAAGAAGCCCTTCTTCACACCAGTGCCCAGTCTGCCACCAACAATGAGGTCCATCAAATCAATGTTCTCATCCCAGTCATATGACACCACCAGGAAGTGCGAATGGAAGCGCAACGGGTCACCCGGGTAAGCTGTATACTGGCATCCGAAGCGCAGGCCAGGAGAAAGGAAATAGCCACGGGAGTGTAGGTGGGCGAAGAGAGGGTAGGAAGGTGGCACTGCGGGAGCTGGGAGGTGGCTCGACGATGGGGGGATGGACAGCGGCGGGTACGATGTCGCAGGCGTGATGCCCATTGCATTCTGAGAGGGTGTGGGTGTGCTCGAGGCATCCCGGGATGGAGTCGAAGGGTCCTCAGCAGCGAAGAGGTCGACGACGGCAGCATCGTCCTTCTTTGACGGCGTGGAGAGGGCATCCTCGGGTGTCTGCGCCGCGGCAGCAGCAGCAGCCTTGGCATTAGGGTTGGCATTCTTGTCGTTTATTCTGTTCTTCAACGCCTGCTCCTTCTGCTGTTCTTTGCGATCTGCGTGGAGACGCGAAGCGTGCAGACCTTGGGCTTCGAGGTCGCGCAGGTACCGTCTGCGATCTTCTTCTAAGAGTGTGTTCATGCTGTCGTGCGCCTTGGTTTCGTCTACGATGCAAGCTACACCCTTGTCCACTAACAGCCGGGCCTCCTCTGGCATCAACTCCAGCGGCAGACCCAGGAAGACATTTTGCTGCGGGATTTGGGGAAGTGTCCCGATCAACACGCCGCAGATGTTATGCTCACGGCGTAGGTATGTGACTGCGTCAATTGAGAACAACAGATATCTACCGGATACATAGGAGATCGGGATTGGAAGGTCTGGCTGGGAGTCCATTTTGATTTTTGATTCAGATGTTTGTTTGAAACTTTCATGGATTCTGTGGCATAGACTGTTAGCTTGTGTCCGGTATGCAAGTTTGCAGATGCCAAAATTGTTTAGGGTTCGCGAATCATTTTTAAGTACGTTTCTCAGTCACATGTGCTCTTTTTTGAGATATTAAACGAGCTTCAGGGGATTGACAGATTTGTATTTTGCATAATCATGCGAAGTGCGCTGGTGAAAGGGTCATAAGCTTACCATTAGAGATAAAAAGAGAGTGTCGAAAACATTATTTACTTGGATTTGACCAGCAAAGCCGAGTTGCAGAGAAGAAAAGAGAAAAGTCGAAAAAAGCGGAAGAAAAGGAAAAGCTCAGCTCCCGCGCTTGTCCTCTTTGGGACTAGTCATCTTGGCAAGCGAACTGCCAACTCGAGGCCTATCGACATGGGCTTCATTAGATTCATTGGCATTCGTTATATTTGACTCTGTAGAGATATCTACTCATGGGTTTCCTGCTTCTGCTCTTCCTGGTCTTCTTTGCGCCACTGCTACTGTTTGTCGGTAAGTATCGCTTATATACCCTGCCGACCAAAGCTTCCTAGGTACAGACGACTAACACCAACCAGCATGGCTTGCAGCTTCGTCTTGTCTCGGTAACCGTCTTCGGTCCCGCGAAGCTGGGTTGGACGCGTACGGCCCGAGCTACCTTCGGACCATGGCTAACTCTGGCCCCGCCCTGTCTGAGCAGATCGAGATGGACGATATGCTAGCAGAACCAGGAACCTGCCGTCACTTTGAGGAGGACGATTGATTGAGAACATTACATATTGCCTTAAAACTCGAGGTCCGATTTCTTGGGCATACTGCCAGCGGCCGAGGCATCCTGCGCTTCGGTGTCTCCTTCAGCTGGTGGTAGACTGAACGGTTTAATCTCGAATCGCCGACGACTCAGAATAAACGCCCAGTCTTGTCCAACATTCTGATCGCTTCCACCGCCACGTTCGTGTAACACTGGGAGTCGATGCGTCTTGAGCATACCCTGTGGGGGTTCTTCCTGGGAAGTCGCCGCTCCCGAGGTAGCCGTGGCATCTGCAGAATGTGGGAACGGGCAGAGCTCAATGACACCGTCGCTCAGCAGCTCGATCCAACGAACAAGACCCGATGACCGGGGGTAGAGAGAAAGAGGGAATGTGATCATTGCAGTGACACGGGTGGTGTGAGCACTCATCAACGCCTTGAGGGCGTGGAAGAACTGGAGCACATGCTCGGGGTGGCATGCATCGGGCGGGTACATTGTGGGGTTGAGCAGAGACGGAATGACAATACGGTGGATGGTACTCGCGGGGCTGGAGAAGATTGCGGTCTGGAGACGTCTTAGGATTGGGAGGAATGGCGATTCTTTGGAGGGGGTGATCGGGATGAAGGTCATGTTCGTGATAGACGGATGGGTAAGGCGTTTCGTGAGATCAAAGGCGTGACAGAAGGCGGGTGCCTCTTTCGCAGCTGGATCCTGGGCTCCAGGAGTAGCAGGGGCTGTAGCCATTAGCATATTGAAGCTCGAAGCGATCTTGTATCTCAATGCTCACCGTCGCGTGAACCGGCGACACCTGCACCAAACTCGCCCAAACGCTCGTAACGCCATGCAATTTTCATGCGATCATCCTTGCGCCTGTCGGACCTCTTTTCGTCAAGGGACTCGGCTGAGCCGATCAGGCCAGGCAAGCTGCGACCCCATTGCTCTGGCACTCCAACCACATGGATCTTCTGTTCTTGAATCACGCCCTCCGCCGCATAGTATCGGAGCAATGCGCCTGCAAAATCCGTTGTTCCATTTTCCTCAACAAGCAACAGTTTTCCCATAGGAAGTCCTGCATGTCCTGCAAGGAGATTGTCTAGAGACCGGGTACCTGTCGAGGTTGTTGGTCGACCATCATCTGGTGAGGGGCGGATGCCAGGCGTGCTCTCTGGCGCAGCTGGCTGTGTTGCGGCATTGGGAGCAGCTGTGCGATCGACACCGGGGGATAGTCCGATATTTCTCTTTCGAAAAGACATCGCGCAAGACTCGAGAAACAATAAATTATAAGGTCAAGCTGTAGTCAAACTCACATCGTTATCGGCGGGGACCAAAGCGGCAGAAAAAAAAAGCTTCCATTCTCCGATCTCCTCTCCGCTCCGCCTCCAACTCTTCTCTTCCGCCTCTCACCTCACGATCCAGCCATTGCTGCCCTTGAATCCTACAATAACGACTGTGCGATATTCGGCACGTCGACCGCCAAATCCGATTTCCGTCCATAGACCGACAAGCCAGCGGTCGCACTCGCAGTCATGTCCGACCCGCTTCTCTTCGAAGATACCTTCACGATCACTGCGATCAACGCCCAGAAGTACGACCGGGTATCCCGTCTCACCTGTACCTCCAACGATGCCTCCCTGACATTCACCCTTGATGTGAACTCCGAGCTGTACCCATGCGCTGTCGGCGAGTCGCTCTCGCTTGCCATTGCCTCGACTCTGTCTCTCGACGGCAAAGAGGATACTCGCGCCAGCTGGAGGAAGTCAGCATGGGCGACGCGACTCTCGCCGATGACTACGACTATGTTTGCCACGGCAAGGTTTACCGTTTCGAGGAGGGTGCCACTAAGGATACTATGTGAGTCTTTTTTCCAGCTTTTCTTCGAATATCCGGGGAAATTTCGTTGTTAAGGACACATAACTAATCAAATCCTGCAGGGCTGTCTTTGTGTCATTTGGTGGTCTTTTGCTCTACCTCGAGGGCCCCTACAAGAAGCTTGCTCCTCTCCGAATCGATCACGTTTACTTGCTTCTCAAGAAATAGGTTAGCGGTTCTTGGGATCATTGCTTTTGGTGAAGTCTTTGGCATGGGATAAATTTGGCTTTGGCTCTGACCTCCAGGCTGTGGCCGGGAAACAAAAGTCTATGTATTCGAAGGGAGATGTTCATGTTCTAATCGGGTGCAGCGCAGGCGTTATTTTTGCATTTTGATTTGGATATACCAATAGATCATCATCGAACTAAACATGATCTTCATGAAATTGATGATATGAATCTTGACTGTTGCAAAAGAACTTTAACATTCACTATAGCTACTTAAAATCACCACAACAAAGCCAACTTCGAGACCTGAAGTACAGGCCCGGAGATCAGATCCATGATCAAGCAGAATCGGTCAACCTCCTTTCAGCGGTCCCCCGGTGTTTCGTTGACACCCAAGCTATACAGTATCTCTGGATCTAGGAAGCTCCCAGAAGACAACACCACAAGTAAAGAAAGAATCAACGTACCCGTGATCTCAGCTTTTTCAAGTTTGCTCACAATCCGGTCGGTCCCATCCTCATCTTTATCAACTTCATGTCTCTCTTCATAACCCTCTTCCCAGAGGTCCGGCGGCTGGAGCGACGCCAGACCCACTATCATAACTACTCTCGAAGGTCCAAAAAGGGAGCCGATTGACACTGCTGCCTGGAGCTGATTATCATTCCATGGAGGAACTAGCAAAGAAGAAATTCCCAGAAGGGATTCACAGACATGCCAATTCTCCCAGGCTATTTCGGGATTGAACTTCAGGGAGGGTCGAGGTGTCAACAACGGCCAGTAATAGTCTGCTCATGTGGACGTTGGACTTTACGTATGTGGCATACAATACCTGGATACAACGGTGCAGCGAGCTTGGCCATGTGATGAGATTGCTGAGGGAACAACACGGTCCTTCGGAGAGGTAAGATGCTTGAACAACTTATTTGCAGCTTCCTCCTTGTCTTGGGCAAATATGTCAACTGTGATAGTCCTTCTCCACTGTCAGCCGCCAACGACTTTGCCTAGTGGTTCTCTATGCGATATTGTCGTTGGGAGCCCCAATCTTCCCCAAAGATAGCTAGGGACCATGGAAAAATAACGTTCAAGATTACCAAAGTTCGGTTGTAGACTCAATCTGAGGTACTCCCTCTAGTCTATAGTAACAGGCTCGCCCTTCTGGCCCCGCAGCGAACTGGAGGTTGTTCAGGAGAGCTGTCTCTGCTATCTTGCTGCAATGTAGATTCGATGATTGGGAAAGTGAGTATAGGAAAGGCGCTGTCGTGTTAGAAATGTAGACCTGAAGTTGGTCATATCTATACAGAGAGAGCGGCGTATAGTAAGATCTAACACGGGCAGTCGGGCTGGCCATTCGAAATGCCTCGGCCTCAAAGAGCAAGGCAACCGAAACGTGTTCGCAGCTGGGACGAAAGAAGGTAGATACCTGAGTGAAATATTCCCGGCGGCGCTAACATCAAACGGTAGAAGCCAGGCGGATGCCTCGTCACCAATCAACTCGAGGTATGTGAGATCAGATATATGACTTCACTGTCAGTCAGACGGATCATTGACAATGTCTTCGTATCCCAGATTAGGGCACTCGAAATGTATCCGCAACCGGGATGAAGGAAGGCAGATAACTGAGTGAACTATATCCACGGCGCTAAGAGTCGATCTGCAAGAGCCAGTCAGGAGCATGCCTCGTTTGTCAATCAACTCAGGTATGTTCATATCAGACAAAGGACTTCGTTGGCGATCAGACTGATCAGTACCAGTTGTCACGGTGTAGGGGAACCAAGACGTGTTCGAGGTCGAGACGAACGCAGATAACCAGCCAAACTGATTATTTGCAAAGCAGCAGTGTCATAGCGCAGTAAGGCAGATGGCGGTCTGACAAGGGTAGTGTGGGAAAGTGTATTGAAAACGGTATGTTATAGAAGCCGACTGAGCCAACAAAAATTGTCGCCGAAGCGAGGCTGCCTCACTCATTATCCATAGAGAAATGCAAAATTAGACACGAAAACAGGCTGTAGCAATAAATATATACACTCATATGCAATATGTATTGTATCCAAAGCCCTCAAACTCTCTCAATAATCTACCGAGCGCAATGCGAAGCAGTAGGATATTCCAATCGACGATGCAATCGAGCAACAATCTGCAAGAAATCAGGCTCATTCTCCGGAGTCAAATAACCATGCCGAATAAAGAAATCAATCATAATATTAGCACAGTTGGGTTTGAACTCGCCACGTGCCAGAGCCTCCTGCACCTCCGGAATAGAAAGCAATTTGAACTCCTCAACCTCATTATCCCCAGGCGTGGGAATAGTCTGAGAATCAAGTTTCAATTCGAAAACATACTCCACCTCTGGCTGAATGAGACCCGTCTCACCGCCAGCACGCGCATCCCGAACATGCGAGTACGTCACACAGCCCGAAGAAACCGTCGCAGCTCGGACAGCTGCTTCGGGTAGTGAGGCTTCTTCCATGGCTTCGCGGATGATGCACTCGAATGGTTTCTCATCTGTGCACATACCGCCGGCGACAGTGTTGTCTAGGAGGCCTGGGTAGGTTTGCTTGTTCCTTGCGCGGCGTGGGACCCAGATTTTCAGTCCCTGAGCATCTTCCACGTAGCAGGTCATGTGGGCGCCGTAGGAGACGATACCGAAGAGCGGGGATGCGCAACGCTCCATGTCAAGGAGGAATTCTCCGCCTGGTCCGTAGACGGGATATTTCTCGTTTCGCCATCCTCGAAGAACTTCGAATTTGTCTTGTCGTACCGCTTCGGCGATGCTCTCTGCGACCAGCTTACTGCGGAATGCGGGGTCGGCATCTGCTGGTGCTAGTAGTGTCACGGTGCGGGCGGTTGAGTCGATTGCCCAGCAGTTCGGTGACCAGGGGAATTTCTCAACTACCGAATTGAGGATATAGCCTAGGGTAGCATCGTAGCCGGTGACTTTAAAGGTGTGATAGTTGGTGAGGTTGGCTGTGTATAAGGCACGGTCGTCCTCGTAGTAGGGGAAGCTGGCTCGGAGTCAGATAGGTGTAGAGGAGACACTGATCGGGATATCCCTACTTGTCGCATTCGCAAACCAAATCCAAGTTTGACTTGCCCATGATGCCAATATAATGCGATGTTGTCCAAAGTTGTCATGTGAATTTGAAGCTGTCCAGGCCAAGCCCTTATCGGCCCGATAAGGGCCCCTCTTATGTCACAAAGGTTGCTTCCCCTCACAGCTCCTCACAGCTCCTCTGTAAAAGAACTCGACACCGCCAATCCCCTGCCTTCACCACATATATACCACACCCCGCCATGTTCTCCGTCGTGATCCCAGGCCGACCCTGCCTGACAGACATTGTCGCAGTAGACGGCCAACCAAACGGTCAAGCCACCAAATTCGCCTTCACAATCCCGCTCAGCCCTTCCTTCAGCGAGCTAGTAGTCTTCTTCCTCCCAGGAACAGTCCTTCCACCCAACACCGGCGCCGCAATCTACGCCCAACTCCCAGACCCGACAACAGGCCAACCATCAAACTTCCGCTTCATTGGCGCATTAGCAAATGAAAAGCCCTCAGGAATCTTCACCGTCCGATCCCCCAGCACCGGTGCCCGCACAGAAGCCGAAGAGGAAGACGACATGCTCGACGAGGGCGGGAACACTGCCGCCAGCGCTGGCGTCTTGACGCTTGGTATCTCTATCGAAGAGGTGCAAGCTATTGCGCCACAGCTTGCCGCGCTTGAAGCAGAGGGTGCATCGAGTGGACAGGATGGGTCTGGGTCTTCTACGGCGATGGTTACGCAGGGGTCTGGACAGGCACAACGGCAGATCTCGACCAAGGTGCTTGCGCAGCGGATTATTGGGAGTGCGTTTAACTACCTTGCAAGTTTTGCTGAGACGGATAAGGGACAGGATGTTGTGCCGCTTAAGAGCTTCCGCGATTGGTGGACTAAGTTTGAGCGGCGCATTGATGTTGATCCAACATTTTTGGAGCGTCAGGATCCTAATGCTAATTCTTGAGCTTGAGCTTGAGCTTGGGAATAGGTGTGGTGTGTTTTTTTGTTCATGATATGTTCACTGCTCTTGAGTTGGGTTGTGTGTATGTTGAGAGCAAGGTGTATTGTATCTCTTGCATTTAGGATTGAGCGACTGTCTTTTTGTTTCAGGTGTTTTGATACGTGTGACGATATTTTGCTTTTCCCTATGGATTACTGGTGTTCTTTAATGTATACATGAATCGAGTGCGGTATAGAATATAATGAGCTTGGAAAAGCTCAGTTTACTTCTACGGTGATACATCGAGGTATATTCATGCACAGTTTGTTATGTACCAAACCAAAACAATATATCTACAAGTCCAAACCATACTCTGATAAGCAGAACAAGAACAATAGAGACAAACAAACCAAACCAAACGACTCCAATGCCAGCCCTACTCCAACCATATTTTCACTGCCAAACCACAACCTATAAGAAACAAACAACCAATGAAATCACAAACTAACGCGATTATGCTGATGCAAAGAAGAATCAGGTCTCAACCTCAGCCCAGGCGCATAACAAAGACTATACAACTCATCAACGTAAGTCAATGGCGTAGTAGGCACCTCACCACCAGCAACAACAGTCTTCGCCTCGCTACCAACGGCGTTAGAAGTCTCATTAAGACGAGTAATATCCACCCTAACCTCCTTATGAACAGTGATATCTCCCAGCACCGTGGCAACAGGCTCAACCAATGATTCCTGCGAAGTCATCGAATGAGAATGTCCAGAGCGATGAGGCCAGAGACGGGATATGGCCATGCGGGCCGAAGAAGCGATATCCAATTCTGTGGCTGACGAGCCCGAGCGCACGTCTGTGCAGAAGAGTTCTTGGCCTAGTTCTCTGGCGAAGCCTTCTCTGTCGGCTGTGTTGTCGTTTACTTGTTGTTGGACACGGAAGAGGCGGAGCGGGGTGAAGATGTAGTCCGGGTTTGGGACTTGGGTGTCTAGCGTGCCGACGACGCAGAATGTTATGAGGGTGCATTGGGATCGGGGGAGATCGTCTTTTGAGGCTGCTGAGGGTCGGCCGCGACATGGGGCGAGGAGAGGGCGGGCGGAGAGTTGGGCTGCCAAGCGCATGTCTTCTGGCAGGGATTTGGAGAGGGTAGAGATTGATTTGGAGAGGTGGTTGCGGAATTCGGTGAGGTTGGGGAAGGTTTGCGCTGCGGCGGGTGAATTGAGGAAGCGGAGGCAGGTGTTCATTGACCAGCCTTCCATGTGGGAGAGGAGTTCGAGGTGTTGGACTTGGAGGTTTTCGATTGGGAGGGTTGAGGAGGGGAGGGGATTGCCGATGCCTTTTACGGTGAGGATTTCGAAGTGGTCGTGGATTGTTGGGCGCATTACGAAGGAGATGAGATGGACGCCTCCCTCGAAGCCGCGGCTTGAACTGGCGTAGTCGCGCATGTCGCGGAGGGAGCTGGTGAGGATTGCTTCTGGAACGTGGATGCGGCGGGATATTGTTGACGTGACATGTTCGATTGTTGCGAATCGGAATCCTTGGGAGGCGAGTCGTGCCGCTTCGTTTTTCTGGAGTTGGCGGACTGTGAACATCAACTGGCCCTTGCCAGTGCGGAGGGATGAGCGGCCCATTGCTCGGGAGAGGCGTGATACTGGGATCGCAGTGGACAGGACATCGTCGTAGAGAGTGCCCAGATCCTGTAGAGGCTGTCGAAGCTCATCTGAAAGCTCCTGAGCCGTAACACAGAAGAGTTGTTTGAACAGCGTATCAAAGTCAGTCTGCAACTCAGTCTCCTTGTCCATGAACACCCCTCGAGAAAGCATATGTTGCTGAATAGCGCGTCCCTCGGAATCCAGACGATTCCGCATGAAGGGAACGAGATCCTTGATGACAGGCCAGTTGCGAGTAGCCCTAAAAGCCCACAAGAAGGTAGGATGAGTACGGGTGAGATCGTCGTCCTTGAATGTCCTTCCGATATAGTGATCCACGATCTTGCGCGTCGGGAAAAGAGCCTGGTGGGTAACCATAACTCGACCAGTGGGATCGAAATAAGCACAAGCGAGAACAAGCTGATGGGCACGGGTAGTCGATTTTCTGCGATTGCTACCAGCAATAATAGCACAAGCAGACAAGATGACACATGCAACACAGGCCTACTCGAGGTTAGCAAACAATCTTCTCAACGCAAGACAACCAATACATACCAATACAGCACAAATAATAACAACCTGACTCCTAGACAACTGCGTCCCAGTCGAGATATTCTGATCATAATCCCGGTAGATCGTCCCAGCAGTAGCAGTCCAATGCATACCAGAGACAGCACCGGCAAGAAGACAAGCACAAAGCCCACGTCTCCACCAACTATCTGTCCAAGAGGCCCTCCACCGGAAGAAGATACCTAACGCAGTCGTACTGGAGAAGATGGCGATGATGGCCGATCCTACCACATTGGCTGGACGGTAGGAGCAGCGGTAGTTGGAGATACCCAGTTGACCGACGTAGTGCATTCCACAGACAGAACTGCCAGTTAACAGCCCTCCTATCAAGATACGAATATATCCAGCCTTTTCCTCGACGCCGACGGCGTAGAAGGCGAATAATAACACTGCAACTGGAAGTACTAATGAAGTACCCGTGAAGGCGACGTTGTATAGGATTTGAATATTTCCTTCGCCGTTGCCGAGGACGATTGCGCGGTTACCGATGAAATGCATGCACCAGATTCCTATGCCGCCCATTGTAATTGAGGATGTGAGGAGAAGATACCTTTTTCGGTGTTAGTATAAAAGCTAGGAAGTCATGGGTTTGCTGGGGATATATAGAATTATGGGGGATGTATAACGAACCAGTTGTATAGACCAGATCTTGATGTCCGCCGGTGGAGAAGCTCCAGTGTGGTTGCGCATCCCATCGCGCTGATCACATATGACAGGATAATATATCCAGCCAGGTATGACACGTGCACCGCCGGCTCCGGTTCATGTTGAGTTGAATTCGACATTTGGAGTATAGAAAAAGAAAGAAAGGAAAGCAAAGTAGAGAGATGGTAGCCCTACACGGGCATTGGGTGGGGACGAAGAATCAGAGATCGACGCGATAGTCGACGAGCGGGGTATATAGATCAGATTAAGTGTGACGACATGGAGACAGTAGTGAATAGATATAGAGAGAGAGTAAGGGAGAGAGAGAAAGAGGGAGAGAAAGGAAGAAAGGAACGATATCGCAAGAACAGGATCGATTCCCAGCTAGAGGTTGGGATTTACTGGAAAGCAGCTAGACGTAAGCATCTTATAACAGCAAATAACCAAATAACCGGACACCTCCACAAGCGCCTCAACTCGCATATTCTAGCTCGAGGGTCAGCAGAATCCTCCGACCCAGGCCTCACAACCAACGAATGAAGTCGACGTGTACGACCAACATATGGAGCCCTCGATCTAGGCGATGTTAGCTCGAGGCGATGGGCCACATCCACACTTCGCGTGGTGGTATCTAGGCTGCGGCATGCCATGGTCTAATCGCATTAGAAAGTCAATGCCGAGGTGCCTGCTGAAAAAGTTTCGGATTAATCAATCTGATCCAGCAGAGTGGGTGATGCGATGGGGCTTGAGGATCCATTTTTCCCATTCTCCTGTGGAGTTTTGAAGCGAGCATGTCTGCGCAGGCTTGTCATTCGTGAGATCTAGATCGGATCGGGCGGAATGGGAACTTATGGGTCGTGCGCTGATAGCACTAATTTACTGTACTCTATACACTTTCCTCGCTTATAACGTGGAAACTCTAGTGTATTCCTTGATAATAATACAATATCGGTACCTCCGAGAGAATCATAGTTGATAAATGTGTTGATAGGAATGTGGTCCTAATACATTTAATCTATTTAGTATTTCGGTGCCCAAACTCAGCTGCGCCAGTCAAAGCCCCACAAGGAAATGTAAATGTCAAGAACCATTAGATTAGACCTCTCCCCTGACACAACCCATACTGTCACTCAACAATATATTCTACGAACCGTTCGTCCGGATATGCAGGTCAAAGCAATCCGGCGATCAATCACATCCGCCATCATTAGTGAACACGAACACCTCGGACATACCCTGTCTGACAGGGTATAGGTATGGTTATGGAATATGAATGGCAGAAAAACAGTTCGTCCCAGCTGATATTGATTGCATTATTTGAAATCAGGAATCCTGCCGCCCCGAATCAGACTTCATCTGTAACTAGTGGACAGGAGTGGACAGGGGTAGCAGCACCATCGGCACAGGCACCAGGTGCAGGGGTAGCACACACAGCTCGAGGTCACACCCCGGATAGAAAGCAAAAGCATATAGGATACCTAGAGTAAAATTGCCTCAAATTACACTTTTTTCACTATTGGTAGACAAGATAAGGAAACCAGACCCATTCTTCTTCTCTGCAACAGATTCAATTCAGCAAGTTCGAGTCATAAGGATTGTGGGATCGATCTATCACGCTAGTCCCGGGGCGTTGTGTGGTCCGGTGATGTCGAGGGTGTTCTTTTTTTTTTTTTTTTCTTTTTCCCCTCTCATTTTTGCCCTTTTTAATCGGGGGATTCGGGTGTCTCTCGGTAACTTGTACATAGAATTTGCATTTACTGCATATTTAAGGTAAACAATTCAACGATTAATCACAGACAAACAGTATACAGTATACAGTAGAGAGAAATAGAATCCCAACTGATCAGTCTACTCTCGGCACCCGCCGAACCCACACAACTATCTCGATCGTAGCGTCGGCTAGAACGAACGCTTTGAGCAACCTTTGCCCTTTTTGGCGTGTGGCTTTATCAGCCTCCTTCTTGCCACCTGTAGAAAGTTCACGATTGCTTTCGACAGGTATGTAGGGCTTGTAGGCCTAACTTTAGAAGTGGACATCCAAACTGTAAACTGCGTGGCAGGTAGATATACACATGTCCGGAACTGCATTCCGCATACTGCATATGAGCTGTTACCCTCGAACACCACCAGAGCATGCGAAGAAGTCTTTCTTTATCTGGCACAGGCCTGTCAACTGTCAATCGCATGGCGATTGCGTAGGTGGGGTGTTTGGCGTGAGACAGGTCTATGGAACGGCTGTTCCGGTGAGGAGGCCACGAGTGTGAGTATCGTATAAATGGGAATTGTGGCTTCGGGGATGAGTTGGTGAAAGCCGTTTCTTTCAGGGAACCTGGGAAGGTTTGTACGCATCACTTTTTGGTTTGTCTTGACTATGAGTCTTTTGGGTCTTGGTTTGTATTCTCATTTTTTGGTGCTGGGTAGATGAGGGGATTCTGATAGATTGTTTCGTCTGTTTGAGGAGGACTGTGCTGAATTGAGATTCTTGTCTACTATCTTGTATGTGGTATGCTTCGGTGACGGGAGTGTTCGTACAAACTACGAGGTCTACAGTGTACAGTCTACTGTAGGTCATAGAGGCAAATACTACTGTGGATCTCAGTGAATCTGACGCCTGGTACAATTTCGTGCGTGTCAACTATATGATATAATTGCGGGGAATTTCGATGCAGAATGATGCAGGTCGGATCTGTTAAGCGGCTGCATGCATGCTGCAAGATAGGACTTGTGCAAGTGCGAGCAATACAGTAGGTTAGAGAAGGTGGTATATGGTATACTTCCGTGAACTATTTCTAGCTTCCAGGATTGAGGATTGAAGATTTAGTGTCAAACTAAGTTTAACTCTCATCCTGGTCGGGATCTGACCTTATACCCGCGACGCCTCCATACAAGTCACTACTATAAACCACCGCATACACCAACACCAATATAAGATGAAAAAAATCTCAAAAGTCGCCAGTGAACATGGGCGAATATTCAAAAATGGTATTCGGTATCTCTCATCAATACAAGGCAACGATATACCAGCATATCGCTCGTCAATTCCAACCCTACATCAAACCCAACCAAATCTATTGAAGCAAAGCCTGAACACCAGCCTGGATAGCAGGGGGGTTGGCACCCTTAACCTCCTGAACACGCTCGCCCTTGTTGTAGAAGTGGAAGGTAGGCATAGCCGAGACACCGTTCTCAGCAGCGACGGAAGCAAGCTCGTCAACGTCGACCTTGTAGAAGTCAACGCTGGAGTGGGTGTCGCTCAGCTTCTCGAGGAGGGGGAGACGGCCTTGCAGGGACCGCACCATGTGGCGAAGAAGTCGACGATGACGGGGCCTTGGGCGTCTGTGACCTTGGTCTTGTACTCCTCGGCACTAGATTGGGAATGTTAGTTTCTGATTGTACTTATGTTTTTGTTTTGGGATTGGGAACGGGATTGGAATCGGGATGGATGTATCTGGGGTGTGATTCGCTTCGCAGACTGATCCCGCGGGGTGGGTGGCAGGCGTAACACTCACGTCTTGATCTGGATAACACCCATTTTGAGAGAAGATGGCGCGAAGCGGGTAATCGGGGTAGTAGAGAAAGAACGGTAAGCGGGACGGAGAGTCGAGCGATTGAGTAGAGAAGAGAAGCGGGCGGGCATGAACTGTTTTAAATTTAAGTAAGAGGGGCTGAACTTGGGAGGGGCTCTGGGTTTTTATAGGGCCATGACGTTCCGCGAAAAGTGCTTATGTAAGATGAATAATAGAGAAGACTCTGGAGCTGTCGGGTTGGGCAATTGGGGTGTAGGGTAGGGGAACTGGACGGCCAATTGGTCCTGTCCAGGTGGCGCTGGTAGTACTTACTGCAGTCATCGTGATATTTGTCAGGTTGGACTTGTACTGAGGTCAATGGGGTGATTGAAGATGCCGAGTTCCAGGTCTCCAAGGCCGAGGACAGGGAGGATGACGTGATCAATGCTTACGAATTGGACGGTGTCTGGAATCGTCACTTTATACCGCCATCTGTACTACTGAATTTTACTAATAGGATCAATATGATTCATCTTGATATGTCAGGATCCATAAAGAATTAATTGTAATCAGATTAGATTTTATTATGGCGTCATGTGGCAAACTGTATGCGTCGATACGTCTATGTAGATGCAACTTCAAGGTAACTTCTCCTAAATAGATAAATCTTTTATTAATATTAGCACGGAAGAAAGGCGTATAAACGAAGATGGCCAGAGCCAAAGTTATGTGCAAGAAGAGCGCTGGATAATTTATCGGGCATATTCAGAAGAGAAACAGAAACAGCATTTATGCTTCTGGTAAGCAAACAGGGGGCGAGAGGGGGTATCAACAAAATCGAAAGACACTTAGCAGGTCAGACAAAGCAATAATGGGATACAGGGCAACGGATATCAGAAATCGTACAAATGGCCAACGGGCAACTTCAATCACAGATGGGTCTAACAAAGGAAAGTGACAAAGGAAAGATGTTTAAGGAGTGAACAGTCTGGTCAGATCAACAAGTCAAAATGTTTGACTGATAAACTGCCATGACAATGAGCGAGACTAGGATGCCGGGCCCTTTTGATGCGGATGGCATCGTGGAAATAGTTCCAGTCTACTCTGCATATCCAATCTCAGCTTTAGCGCTGGGGACTCTGTGCAGTTCAGTAGGGGATGTCTCTTCCATGATATAATCTTCTTCCGCCGAGATTGGTGAGAGAGAGGGAACGCCTCGGAGCATTCCTTGGGTAGACTTAGGGCGGACAACAGGGTTCACAAGAACTGGACGACGGCCAACTTCGTTGTGCCAGGTTTCAGCAAGATCGCTGGCTTCAGGTGTTGCTTCATTCTGGTGCTCTGTCTCTCCCAAGACATTGCTGCTGAAACGGCGAGACTCATCGATCGAATCGGCTTCGAGATCATCTTCTGCGCCGTCCTCCTCCGTTAACCCAAACGAGCTCAGGTTGGTCCGAACGGGACTGCTGGGCTTCTGCGACATCCGGCGGAAGAACTGGCCTGACATCCAAGATCCCTCGGAATCGATGGAGGCTAGAGATTGTGACAGAGGCACGTTGTCGGACTCGGCATCAAAGCTTTCTGCGGTCCATGAACCGTGGTGACGCCGCTTCGGGTTTTGAATGTCCACGGCGGCGCTGGGCGTTGGACCTCGCAAAGATGTCTCCTGGTTTTCGAGAGAGGACTCGGGCACTTGCTCGGGGATGTCTGGTGACTGCAGGCGTGAATCGGGAGGCGACAGAGGCTCGTCACCGAAGTGTTCAGTGAACTTGGATTGAGAACGCTTGATGGGGTTGGTGGGAACGAGAAGTCTCGGGGGGATTATCGAGGGCGGAGGGGGTGATGATTGCGTCTGGATTTTGTAAAACGATTCGTGGGAGGCGTTGGAGACTTCTGGGGATGTGTCCTGGAAGCGTTCTTTGTATGACCGTTTGATACGGGAGGAACCACGTCGGAACAGGGAGGTGATGGTATTACCCCGGCGACCGCTGGTGTCAGAGAGTCGGCGTTCTGAGTCGACACCCTTGGAGATGTCGGAGGTGGAGCCAGCTCCAAAGGTTTGGGAGTGGCTTGGGCTACTGAGCCCTTGCCGGAGAGACGAGTGAGAAGGCGAGAGGGTAGTCCGAGACATGGTAATGTCGTGCGACGGCGCAAAGCTGGGGCGCTGAATCAATCTGCGTTCCCGCAGAGAACCATCATCGATGTTTCCAACAACCCGTGAGCTTTCCAACGAGTCGCGTCCAGTGTGTACGCTGGCTCGGGAAGCTCCCCGTAACCATGACCCGGTCTCTGCTGCAGCCGGTTCGACCGATGGGTTATCCTCCTGGGTGTCCTCCTGTATGTCCTCGGGGATAACATCGTGGGTCGGCTGGGGTTCAGCGACAGGCGGTTCGGGTTGAGTGTGTTCAGGTTCGGGCTGTGGCTCTGGTTCGGAGACTTTTTGTTCGTCGGCTGCTTGTTGCGCATCGGCTCTTTCCTGCAGCTTACGCCGAAGTTTCTCCTGGTCATCCATCTGCTTCTTTTCCCGGCGACGACGGTCACGGTCGAGTAACTCGCGGAGAGCACCAGCATCTAAGGAATCAGCGAGTTCGTTGACGCGTCGCTTCGAGTAGTAAAGATCCTCCTCAGACATGGTCATCGCTTTGAGACGCTCCCTGTCCTGTCGACTAGACGCGGGAGGGTTGCTGCTTCGGGCGGTCTGCAGACGCGGTGCTTCCACATAGCGAACCACAGGGCGAGGAGTCAGTGCGGCAAAGGCATTGACCTTGTAGGTGTAAGGGTCGGACATGTCAGACGTGGACGAGGTAGCCGAGTCCCGGATCGAAAGGCTGATGTCAGACATATACCGGTCGGCACGTCGTCCGTTTGCCTTTCGCCGCCGGTGTTCCAGTCCATAGTCGGTAGAGTGGTGAGGGATATCGATCGGGGTGGATGACAGCATGCGAATTTCCCGCTCTCGCATGATCTCATGGGCCTTGCGCTTGCTGAGCCTCCGACGGAGTTTATTCGGGCCATTTTGACTCGGTTTGCGCTTGAGTAATGATGCGGATCGCGAGGGTGGACGTTCGCGAGGGTTGGTCGTGTGATCTGCGAGGGAGGCAGGGCGGTCCAGGGATGAGATAGGTCGATTCGACGGCACGAGCGCAGAGCTGCGTCGGCTGTCTGCGGCTTCACCCGCTGATGTGCGATTGCTCGGGCGCTTGGAATGACGGGAAGGTTTGCGGCCCAACGTAGGCTCTGCAGCAAACGCGGACTGGAGGTCTGCGGCTTCGGCGCCATCCAGTTGGATGGTATGCCGCTTGCTCTTGCGGCCAAATGGCCATATCGCCATGACGATGGGGGCCAAATGATCAGTCGCTATCAGGTAGGTCGCACGACCAGTTGACTGAACTCATGGAGAGTGAAAAGTCTAGTGTGTGGGTAGAGTAAAATAGAAGGGCCATGGGAAGGAAGGAGAGTTGGGGAAGGAAAAAGGGAAAGGAAGAAAAGAAAAAGACAAAAAGACACAGAGGGCCTGAAGCCCTTTTTGTTTTGTCTTGGCATTCCGAGCAGGAGCCTATATTATCTTATTAACTAACTTAACTTATAAGTTATTGTAATTCAACAGTGACACGGGTACCTGGTACCTGAGACTTTCGTACCACGTCTAGACTCTCCTCGTTTATTGGAAATTGGCAGCTGTGGGGGATATCCACTTATGACGCAGCGAGGATTGGTGTTTTCTTCACCCTGCGCTGCAGACTAAATATTTATAGAGTCATTCTAGAGATGATAGCCCTATCAACCCTAATTTGGGCTAAGTTACTCTCTACATTACTTCCCAACTCAACTCTTCACAATCGCTCGTGGTCAATGTCTACATGGGGAGCCACGCCACCGTTAACGCCCGGTGGAACCCAAGCCGAAGCGGTCCAGTCTGGACACGGAAATGGAGTCGATCTCTTGACTTTTGGGCCATGGGTCATCTGAGATGAAATCGGCAAATTCTTCAAATCTCAGTATTGAGCTAGTCTACATGAGTGCTTAGGAACAGGGTCTAGGTCATTTAGGGGAATGATTGGGACTGTGTGGAAGAGATCGGCGGAATTCGCCGAGTCCATTGGGGGCCATAGGGATGTGGACTCCCCCATTTTTATTGTGTGTTTTTCTTCAGTTCTATTCAATATCATTGTAATCTCATTGTTTCGCCTTAAGGATGTAACTGAATCTTTCAATTATTGCCATGTTACCTGGGAAGCCATATGCAGGTTCTCTTAGATAAGATCTAGAACACTCCTTGCCTGTGTTTCATCCCCCTTTTAAATCCTATGTCTTTGGGTCTCAGATCGTTCCACAATGTGCCTGACATGCTTTAGGGGGGCTCTTTATTTGTTGAAATTCCTATGTCATGACTGGGGCCTAGTTCTACTACGATACTATCCAAAAAATAAACACATATACTCTGTAGGGTTGACAACATATATTAGGCATCGTTAAAGCAAGATATACCTAGTTATTAACCTTTAAAGTACATTGACAAAGATAACGTTGAGCCACGAAGTAACTTGTGTAGTGGGCCGACTTCGCTCCGCCCTCACCGCATCTGATCTATTCTTGGTGTTGGAGTAGCCCTGATACCTGGAACTTGGAAGGGGCGATTCAGCTTCCATTGAAAATTCGCCACGCAACGTATCACAACCAATAACCACCATTCTATATACACTGATCGCAATTGGACGAAGACGGCAAGATACAAAAAGAAGCTAACCCAAATTTCGAAGACAACGGACAACACAATACCGCCTCAGACACTAACGCCGCTACCCGATCTAAAGCAAAACGCCAACCCATATGCCAGCAGATAACACATCATATCCCACCATGCGCCCAGCTCGCTTCGAGTATTCCCCTTTTGCCAGGTGTTCCTCGACGAATAGCCGATATCGTTGAGACATCCGGAGGACATCCGAAAAACAGACAGCGCAGATATATAATATAGCACCCACCCAACCCAAACCATCCCTCCCATTCTCCTACGAGGGACACTCAATTGCTCATCCGCTTCCTAAGCCGATTTGGCTCCCTCTCCAAAACACTATATCTGCAACTCCCCCGTCTGGTCAACAATCGTCGAATTGACCACGTGCCAGGACTAAAACATCGCGCATCGGACTTGGCCCCCGACCTGGTCCCCGATCCTGATCCCGGGGATAGGTTTTGGGTATGAGGCTGAAGGCTTGTATGTAACCGTTGGGCATCCATGGTCTCAGGCTGTAGTGTAGGGTAGAGTAGAGTAGTGTCACTCGGTAACAAACAGGGTCCGGAATGATGCGGCAGGTGATCTGTGGAGGTGGCTCTGGCTCTGGCGTTGTGGCTGTGACCGGGTAGCCGTTGAATTTGTGTGGGCGCAGTGAGGTATAGTAGGTTTATTTCGGTTGCTTTCTAATGTACAGTATGGGTGTTTGGATCTGAGATGGTGAGGTTCGGTGTTTGGGGACTGGAGAGCGGGGTCGGAACCTGTGGGGCTCTTGGATTGTTGATCTTTCTTTCTTTTCTTTGTAATTGTACTGTGTACGGAGAACTGCTTGTACTAGAGATTTGGTATATCGCCTTTAGGTTTGAGTGTAGGGTTCAGGGTGTTTGGTTGCCTTGCTAAGCCCGGTTGGATGTGGTTGGCTACTCACGACTTCCGGTGGTTTCCAGGTGGCTTGAAGGTTTCTTTGAGGAGGTCAAGTGATACAATGGCAATACAGTCCGATGATCATTATTCTGTTGGGTTTTGTGTTGCTTTCTTGGTTTTCGAAATCCCTCTTTGCCTGGAAGTATACCAGGAATGTACAATCACAATAGCTGTTTTATTATCACGAGTCGATTATCATCATTCACCTGTCATTGATGTTGATAATGTAATATCCATTCATTATTTCTCCAACAGTATGTAAATATAATAATGTTGACGGTAATATTGCCGCCGCCCTAAGCCGCCCACTGAGTGATCCTGAGCTACTCATAAAGCAACCGGATTGCTTATCCCATTGCTCTCCTCGGACCAGCCCCTCCTATTTTCATCTTGCTTTCTAGCTTTCGCCTGCTCCATTAGGAACCGCACTGCCTACCAGTGTTCCTGGAAGTTTAGGTCTAGAGACTACAATTCGTGCTTCAATCTAACGAGCAAACTAAAACCATAAAGTGTAATATATGAGTAGTCCTAAATATCTCTCTACAGCGTTTGCTTAGAATACCATCCAAACCTAACCTTCACTATTTCCTACTTCAATTCCTACCCATTCGGAATCTCTTAAATCTACCTGCCATAGTAGCGCTAAAATATAAAAGATTTTAGTAGCCAGCACTAAGAGCTTCAGTAAGATGCTCTTCCACCGGCTTAGAAACCTAGGCTATCGATATAGTGAGACAACTAGACGCTCTAGAAGAAAGGAATAAAGCAGAAGGCCACACCCTAGAAAATAATATGCTATAATAAGAACGCAGTAGATTAAGCCCTCGGTAAGATGTATTCCAAGCACCCTCCTCCCATGCCCTTTAGAATTAGTACGGTCTCTCCAATGCTAGAACGGGGCGAGCTCTTTTGAAAGTTTGTCCTCAACAAAAGGCTAGCTTCATCAATGTGGCGGCCATTCTGACGGCGGCCTCCTGCGTCTGTACGCTCCCTATACAGTGTGGATATAGATCCTACTATCGGGGGCAGGTACCTGATACCTAGGAAATGAAGTATTAGGAAAATCTGTAGGCTGTTGAACGCCGTTATAGTTATTGCCATTAAGAGGCCAGATGTGATAAGAGATTCCTCCACATTGTGATTGATGAACAGAGTTTTACATGCACACAACAAATGGAAGCAGATACTTCCTGTAGAAATATAAATTTTATAAGAACAAGGATAACGTGCAAACACCAACGCACAGCATGCTATTGCCGGTAAGGTAATCGACACCTTGGGGAGATGCTGGTCTATTGCCCACCAGCAAAGCTTAAAAGGAGTAAAAGAGTAGTCAACCTCCAGCGAGCGACTTAAATGGCGAGGAAAATGTACAGAAAACAACCGACATAATCCTCGATGGAGAGGGACGACCACATTTCCATCACACAATCGAACGATAGAGAAATGCCTAATAAGTTAGGCCAAGACAGCTTTCAATCTTCAATTAAATTGCTCTTCCTCAAAAGACTCTTATGGGACAGGATGCAACAAAATTCTACAACAAAACGTACGGGTAAACTAGGAAATCAAAGACCCTTCGTCCCTTGAGAAGAACCCGGAATAATATATCTACGCAGAATTTGTCGGGGGATACTCAATTAGAGTGCATAGTAAGCTCATACAACCCCTATCTTTCTATCGACCTATAAGCCAATATCATCGAGGATGTACTATCTTCTACAAACATTCATCCAACCGCCTTCCGCTCCTCAAAGAGCCGTCGTCACCTGCTTCTTTTTAACAGAAATCCATTGTAGACACAGAGCCCCAAATATCGAAAGGCTACTCGTTGCAACTGCGATGTAGAATGTCTGGGTGACAGCACCGTTGTAGGCTTGTAGTACCACATCGATGTCGTCAGGAAAGGCTTCCCGCAGCTTTGTTGCTCCAGCTTGGGTCACCAGGGATGGATCGAGCATTGGTGCCATCTTCTGGACATTTGCAATCAGTCGATTCTGGAATACATTTTGGGCAATGGAAATAAACATCGCACCCGACAGCGATTGGCTAAATACGACTAACGCAGTCGCGACGGGGACATCAGCATCATCGACTGCTGCTTGCACAACGATATTAGGCAGCTGCATACCCAGGCCTGCCCCAATACCAGCCATCGCTTGGTAGCCTATCCACTTGGCGGGACCTGAGTCAGGCTCTAGTGTTGTGAGGAGGCCATTGCCGACGCTGAAGATTACGGACGCGGCCAGCATGAGAGGATTGTAGTATCCGGACAGCGTCACTAGTATGGCTGCAATCATCGCAAAGATAGACACGCCTATAATTAACGGCAGGTTCCTCACGCCAGAGCTAGTAGCACTGGCCCCTTTAATTGCCTGGAACCACAGGGGGAGCTGTTCCAACATATAGTCAGTAATAATCCACGTGGTTCGAATACAGCACACTTACATAGTAGACCAAGACGAAGAAAGAAGCGCCGATCAAAATAGTGTAGGCCATTGCACCCCACACGTTGCGGTTCTTGATGATTCGAGGCGGTACTGTCGCTCGGTCCTGTTTCCGATATTGAATGTAGATCCAGCCGCAAAGGCACACCCCAAATAGCACAAACAGCACGATAATCCGCACATTTGCCCAGGGATATTTTTGACCCCCCCATTGCAAGGCAAGAAGGAGACAAATGATACCGGGGAGGAAAATGGCTGTCCCAATTAAATCCAAACTCCGTAGTTTCTCACGGTTTGTGATTTTGTTCTTGGTTTGTTTATCCTGGAAGAAAAACACAATAACAAGAGCTGTGATGGCTCCAAATGGTAAGTTGATATAAAAACACCACCTCCAGCTGACATGATCTGTTAGAGCGCCTCCCATCCTGGTGTGATATGAGATATAATTAGTATGAGATCAAAATATCACTGCCCGTAATAAGAAAAGATTTGCCTTACAGCGGACCAGCCACGCTAGAAATTCCAAATACGATCCCAATAAACCCGGAAAAAATCGGGCGCCTTCGCAAAGGTACAAGGGTTGCGATGACAAGCATGGCACCGGAAAACAGTCCTCCAGCTCCTACTCCAGCTAGTGCTCGGCCAATTATGAGGCCCGTCGAGGATGTAGTAAGGCCGCAGACAAGCGATCCCAGCTCGAACAAGGCCAGCGCCGTCATAAATGTCCATTTGAGCGAGTAGTATGTGTAAAGCTTGCCGAAAATAAGGGTTACCGCACATGTGGTCAACATGTAAGCGCTACCATACCAGCCCATGTCATTAAGCGAATCAAACTCGGCAGTGATTCTTGGAATAGCCGTTGCGATGATTGTGTTGTCCTTTGCAAAATGACTGTTAGCGGGATCGTGATATTAAACTTGTGGGATGGATAGCACCATACCAAGGCCATACAGAAAATACTACAACAGAGCCCCGCTGTGATAGGAATTAGTTTCCACAAGGATGGATATTCTGCTTCATTTTCAGGGCTATTGGTTAAAGTCGTTGTTTTTGCTGGCTCCTCAACCCCCCAGGGGACCGCCTCCTTCGGCGCGGCGCATGATGAATCCGTCAAGCGATAGTAGTCAGATTCGACATCTGCTGATTTGTTGTCGTCCGTCATGGTTGGCGCGACCTCAGCTGAATGCGGCTGGGAGATGGACCTGAAGTGATTAAGTTTGTCTCACAGTTTCCAGGGAATTCGGCACCTATTTTCACATTAATAAGTTGTAGTTGGGAATTACAATCATCCGTTCTCAAACGCCATGCAATAGTACGCTGTAACATCATGTAAGGGGTGGGAATTTGTAACGTACACTTAAGACAACCACGTACGAATCACTCGGTGCGATTCTCCAATACTATTCCGTAAGGGTTGACCGGGTTACGGAGATGTAGAGCAGTTGCCAGTAAATGGGAATGAATGCTGAGGGTAAAGAATGAAGTGTTGAGGTTTACGAGGCTGGGTGTTTATGTGGCATCATTTTTGGGCCTGGCATAATGAAGTGTGATGATCAATTTCTTTTTTTTTTGTTTACTTCTGAATGGATGCGTTTCTCAGGTTCGACAGAACCAGCTTGGCCCTGAGCTATTCAAAGTCAAAAGGAAGGGGACTGGGAAACTATTGTAAGCAAGTGGAGAATTCTGACTTCTCAAGCAAATTCGTTAAAAAGTCGGCCAAAAGTATCGTCTGGCTCCATGACTTCATGGGATGAAGATTCGGCACTGAAGGAAGTGCTGCTCTTGGAGAAGACACGAGCTGGGTTCTAGGACCCAGAAATCGGTTAAAGATTAAACAGGCAAGGTCGAGAACTGGCTCGCTTCGGGCTGCTCAAAAGGACGAGCGCTCATTTAAACCGGGTTGGACATTACCTGAAGGTAACCTTCTAGTGGGCACTCGTCTGTTAAACGAATATAGGATTACCTTCTCTGAAAGCGGGGTCTACAACGGCCACTAGGCTACCGCTCGTGAAATGTCGATCCCCGTCTCGACCCTAGCTTATAATCTAGCCTCAGCGCATTTTACACAAAGTTAAGGTCACGATCCGGACACTCTAAGCTCTATGCTAGTTGTTAGGGCATCTGTTACCGAAGTCACCGGAATGGATGATTTGGTTGCGTCAAGCAAACTGTTGCTTACCCTAGGTTAGTAGGATCCTTTAAGTTTAGTCCTCTTTCTATCCTGCCCGGTAAGAAAAGCCGAGAATATGGCTGGAAAGAGGACTACTGTTAGGCATTAGTTAGTGTAATGGAACTAGAGAATATCGAAATCAGCTACGACGTCTCTATAGAGGAAATCAAAAAAAGATTCGATCAGCGCTGATAGAGAAATATTAAGGGATAGTGCTTTTCCTTCCTCTTAGGCTGTCAGGTAGAAGAGTAGCGGGGGTGCAGAGACCATGAAACGGCCCTTTGAGTGGACGGCCATTGTCGATAGCGCTTTGCTGCCTATTAGTCTCATCCTAGTCTTATCCTATGTAGATCTAGATCTGACTTTAGAGAAGCAGCCAACATTCGACTTCTCCGACGAAAAGTTCGTCTCCGAAGACCTCCGTGTCAAAGCGGCTAGTAGTTAGACAATAAGCTTCTTGTACGCATCGGAAGATCATATCACCTATTTCCGTCACTATCGTTAAGACTCGAATGGGTTGCGGATCGTATCTTCCCGGACGGATAGTTTAGCGGAGGATCCTATACTAGCGAACAGATGGTTGCTGCCTCTATAGAATGTCGACCTAAAGGAGGAAGTGCAGGGGAAACAGTGTCTACTACTGCTACGCCTGGCGGTCCGACTGCGGGTGATCAGCCGGTCTATGCGACTTTCGGTAAATTGATTGACGTAGAGGGGATCGGATCAGAAAAGGTCGGCGTTAAAGAGATGATATTATACCCTTCCCGGTGATATTATTCGATAGGATCATAGTGAAGTACCGGGAGGAAAACAACTTTACAAAAAGGGCTTTCCTAAATGGATCCCATTTTTTGACGAACGGTAACCCCCTACATTTGTCTAACCCTAACTAGTAAAGCGCCGTAATTGTATTTCACTAAGCATTATTAGCTCAAAATGAATGAAGTTCTTACCACCGCTAATACACCGAGGACTAGCGGTGTTACGATCATCTTAATAGCCTATTCTACGGCCTTGGCGTTGAAGGCGATAAGTTCTACCTCTTAGGACGGGAATGCCTAGTCTAATCGGCCTAGGAAGCGTAAAATAGCTTTATATTCATCTGATTCTATACAATTATTTCTTCACTTTTGATATAACTCTTTTAAAAACCTTCGATATGAGAGGGCTATCTAGCCGCTATATAGGCTAATTCCTCTACTTCTATAGAGTTTTCAAAATGCAGAGGGTTAGGACTCTCGGAAAATTATAGGTAAGGTAGGAATGCTAAGGAATTCATACATTTTGCATGAGCAGTGAAATACACTTACGACGCCTTACTAGTTAGGGTTAGGAAAGTACAGAGAGGTCCATTCGTCAAAAAAGTAGGGTCCATTTAGGAATCCCCTGCAAAAATTTAGTCTTCTTGGTCACCCTTAACGGCCCGTAACGAACCTTGGATACATAAATTAGTTGTGCTTTATCTAATCAGGATGAACAAAGTCGATAATGTAGCTTGATAAATACCGTTATTTACTACTATTTCATCTCTGTTCTAAAAAATAATATATTTTCCCTTTGAATGTGCTAACCTTAGATAGTTAGAACCCAATATAAAAAGGGAAACCCTAATATCTTCTCAACTCGCTTCGATCGATCATGCGCCAGACCCTAATTGGCGGAAACCGCTCAACACCAGTCTTCGTGCCCAAACACTTATCAGATGATCTATGACTTGGGCAGGGAATTCCACTACGTTACCCAAAGGTAGAACCTTCAGCACCCGGGATCTGGTGGAGAATAATAAGTGAAAGATCGTCCCAACCCCGCATCTCTGCAGTCCGATAATCCGACACGCACTCTAAATGGACGGAAGACATACCACTTCGTCCTCGTATTGGATGGAACAACCCGGAAGAGAACGTGGGAAGCACAAAAAAAAAAAATACAAAATTCGAATCTAGAATGTCAAGTGTCGGTCAGGTCAGGTTAAAATGATCTGATATCATGGGATGCGAAGGAGAATCGTATTATTCTTCTTTATTTCATTGTATTTTCTATCCGTTTCTTCCCTTGCGTGTTCATAGATTATCTGACATTACTTGATATCTTACAACCTCAAGGGCTTTGTCTATATTTGAGCATCAGTCGGAATCACTTCCTTGTCGTCTGACTCTTCGAGCCCTGTCTCATCACACACTACGCAACGCTGGTCCCCATACATCATCACTACAACCTACTAGCCTTCACCGAATTTTTTAAGCTGGGATAATCTTACTCCCATGGCTGCTTTGTGGATATTCGTCGCTCTTGGCTACTTGCTGTTGTATGCCTTTGCCGCGATGCAAGCGCAGGAATGGCGTGTTCTCGTCACAAACCGAATTACAACTTGATCATGTTGACAACATATCATGTGTGGCTTTACGGAATGTCCCTGGCTGGAGTTTGCAACTAGGATGTCAAGACTTGTGTAATCGATAGCGGCAATGACTACTTCAGAGGTTACCTAGTAGCAACCGCCTTTCTACCGCGCCAAGCACTGTCACCTTCTGTGTTGACCAGGATGTTGGCGCTCTCGCATTTCGACTTGCGACCTAAATGAAGCCAAAAATGGCTTCGCTCTCCCGTTACCCGGCCAGATCGCTCGAAAGAGACCAATGGTTTCTTGCCTCATATCACCCAGCCACGGCATCATACATGGCTACCCTGGTATCAGAAGTGAAAAACGCTAAGGACATCGACTTTCTCGCACCTTGCAGCTTTTATGCCAAGATCACAATTTCGAGAGCGAACCTTGACTTCCTCCACCTGATGGGAGTGGGTATCAATATCAAGGACAACGAAGGATGGACGACACGCCGTATTCCAGCGTCACAAGAATATGCAAATCGTCAGTGATGTACTAGCTAGAATTGACCAGAGCTAGGAGGCTAAAGCTTCCCTCGGGACAGCTATCCATATACATTTTCAGAACATCACACCCCTTCTTTGAAAGAATGTCCTCATCATCTGCCAGGTTGAATCGATATATTGGCCCCGCTCTATCTCCATCCAACTCGTAGAGACAACCCGAACGCCTTACTAGACATATGTAGTGATACTTGACTTCATCTTCGGCAGCTGGAGGCTCTGTAGAGCCACTTAATGCCGCTTTGTGATAGATGGTCTCTAATTCCGGCGAATTCTGTAGATACCGCGCGTGGTTGACTGCTGGTTCCTTCATGAAACCGTCCATGAAAGAGCCTAAGTCTGAATAGAGATTGTAGTTGATGTTATTTATTACATCCCACGAGGATTAAATCGGGGTATCTTACCAATTTCCTTAGTGGCTAAAATGTTACAAATACAATGTAATATAGCGTAAAGACCGCAGGCATTGTTGATATTTTGCTGTAGCCAGAGTATGTCTCCCTTAGGAATGCTGTATTCGACTGTTTGCTCTGTGTATGCTGGACAGTCTGGGAGAATAAGGACCAACGCTTCAATAGGATTCTGGGTTTCGGAACGGATGATATGCAATTGGTCTGCATCAAGGGACCAGATATCTATGAATTTGAATGACTTTGGAACGCCCAAATCGTGCATTAGACTTGTGAAGATTGCAGGGTCGGATTCTAGAGGAATGAAGTGTTTTTCATATTCCATTGTGAAATGAAAGCTACATATCACTGGGAGTTGTCACTTCTTACTCTTCAAAATGGAAACAAGTGGGGTAGTTGATACACCCCGCCCTCACGTCATAACAAGCCCTAGTCTATAATAAACGGGTTGGGAGAAACCTGGGCTGGAGATACTAAGTAGGCCAGTGAGGTTATACTGTTTACATGTACTAAATGAGCACCAGAAAAGATGGAAAAGTCTGGGAAGCAAAGTAAATCACTAGGTATCCATGTTGCGGCGTTAGATCATGGAGAAAAAGAGGCGTGTTATTTAGTGTGCTCTGCAGCTTATGCCTCCTGCAGCTTATGGCTTGTATAGCATGTGGCCAGTCTCTGGCCAAATTCCACGCTTGGGACATACGCCTTCGAATAGGAGAGTCCCCTATCTTATTCAAAAAGAGGCTTCCGCGTGGGACCACCTAAAACCAGGTCTGAACAGGCGCCACATCAAGTCGTTCTCCATAATGTCATCTATCTGAAACTCTGCCAAACGGCATCAGAGGCGGATACAGGTAATCACGTAACATTGGCTTGCTTTTTCTTCAGAACCAAATCTTGATCAATTCTTCGCTGACAGCACTGGGTGTCAAGACACCGCTGTCCGTGATCAGCGCCGAGATCAAATGAGGCGGAGTGAAATCAACCGAGGCAGAGAGAGGCAATTCGATGGTCCGGTCCTCATTCTTAGTCGCCTCCGAAGAGTGTTGTGTGCTCTCTGCAATGTCCTCCTCGGACTTGAAGTCGAGCACGTGCTGCACGATCGGTAGGTCGTACTGGCCGAGAGGATACAAACGAACGAACTTGTGGCTCTCTGCCACCACATAGAAAGGCTTGCCAATGGCCTTGGCCAGGAGACCAATCTGGTAGGTTCCCATACGAGACACGATACCGCCATTCTCCACCACGCCCTCAGCACCGACAATGACCATGTCGGCCTTGCCGAGTGAATATGCAACTGCCGACTCGGGGATTGTCGAGACCGGGACGCCCTTCTCTCTCAGAGCGCGCACTGTCTTCATGCCCTCAGGCTCTTCAGATGAATCGCCAGAAGTTGTGGCAGTCGACGACAGGACGTAGATAACACGGAACCGCACAGCGGAAGGACCACCTTCTTCATCAGCTGCTTTTTGCAACAGCGCCGAGACGGCTCGGGAACCGCCATTTGTGAGGATAGTGCTGCCGTCGCGAATGAAGCCTCGCCCAAAGTCTGCGATCTTGTATCGGCTTTCCTTTGCGCGGCGAATGAATAGTCGTCCATTCGAGAGAAGATGTGTGCGGATGGCCTTGAAGTCGCCAGCTGGGCCTAGCTGCCCAGGTCGTTGTAATGTGGTGATCAAATATCTTTGGAAAAGGTCGGTTCCGGCGGAGAGACCGATGGGGTTCGGAATAGATTTCTTCAGGTGGGCGGTTGATTTTTCCAACAGATCTAGGGTTTCTGATATCGTTGATGAGGCGGATTGTGTGAGGAGAAGAACCAAAGCTTCAATGGCTGCGATAGGCATGGTGAGGTCGGGATCGGAGCGTAGAAGCTCATTGTAGGTTGCGACAATGCTAAGAGGAATGGTGAGTTTATGGAGCCTCCGGAGGACCGTAGATTGCTTACTCGAATGGTTTGGCACTGGCCGCAGCCGCGCCGTCTGTGGTAGTCGCCATTTTGCTTGAACAGGTAGAGGATGCGAATAATGAGAGCGACATGAAAGAAAGAGTCATGAATATGTTGTTTGTCCTGTTTGCTTCTGCCCCTCCAGCCCGGCACTAACCTCAATTGGGCGGTGAGGCTTCTCTAAGTAAACAACCCGAATCACAACACTTGCCTACCCCGTTGATAAACCCCTTGCCTTTTCAGGGTTCTAAGTAATTATGTCGCGAAACTCGATGGCGGCTGGCTACAATAACCGCATGAGCCAGCAACTCCACGGTAACCAGCACCATGGCCGAGGCCGCAAGAAGGAGGATGAAAACGACGCCCTCATGCGCCTGGTGAGTTTGAGCTTTTCTATTCACCGCGCCTCATGCTAATTACAGATAGCCCGATAAAGAAATTGCAGGATGTATCAACGACATCGGTATCCCGTTCACCCTCGCCGACCTGGCCAAACCGAATGCGCAGCAAATCCAGATGGTGTTCGAGTGGTTCGCAGAGCTTCTCATGAACACGACCCGGGAGACAGTGGAGCCCGCCATGCATGCAGCTGCAGAAGACCTCTGCGGCGACTACCCTGATATCGTTCCCAATGACACTCGCAATCTTATGGGGTTCTTTATTATGCTACGGAAGCTATTGGCGGAGGTAATTGCATGACCTTGATCGCGAAATCCAGAGGATGCATAAGCTGACCCATATGAACTCAAACAGTGCGGTGTCAACGACTTTACCTTCACAGATCTGACGAAACCGACGCATGAGCGACTCGTCAAGATCTTCTCATACTTGATCAACTTTGTTCGGTTCCGCGAATCGCAAACACCCGTCATTGACGAGCACTTCAACAAGACGGAAAAGACGAAATCGCGCATCGATGAACTTCTCGCAGAAAATCAGGAAATGGAACTACGACTTAACGAGATGCGACAAGACCTTCAATCTAACGAGGCGCATGTGCGTGAAAAGGTTTCCAGAAACGATGAGCTTAAGGCACGACTGTTGGAATTGGGCCGGGAGCAGTCGCGGGTTGCAGAGACACTCGACCGTGTCAAGACAGATCGGGCTCGGCGGCAACAACAATTGGAAGAAAAGACCGAAAGGACTGTCCGCACTCGACAAGAAGCAGAGAAATTGCGACCTTACGTCCTGGAGTCTCCCGCTACCCTCCAGTCGTCACTGGCTGAGCTATCTGAGCATCTGATGCGTGAGAAGGCTTCAATTGATGCGATGGAAAGGCGTGCTCGAGCACTCCAGACCTCGTCAGACACATTCACTGTGGTTTCCAACGACGTACAGGGTTGTGTCAAACTGTTAGATGACATCTCAGTGGAATTACAGAAAGAGGACGAGGAAGAAAATCGCGCGGCCAGAACCACAGAAGCTATCTCAGACAGGGGCAACAGTGTCCGTGAAGTCGAACAGACGGAGAAACTATTGCAACGTCAACTGGCTCGTTGGGTCGAGCGCATTGAGGCACTTCAGAAGAACGCACAGGAGAAAGCAGAAATTGCGCAGGCACGCATGGAAGAGCTTCGTAATGTACAGAAGCAGCTTCGTGAAGAGCGTGCAGAGAAGCAACGCGACATGGAGCGGAGGCGTATCCGCATTGAGCAGACAGAGAAGAAGGTACAGTTGAGCTTTTATCATCGGGAATATGCAATTACTAACACTCGTTCAGATGCTCGACCTGAAGGAAAACATTGAGAGCGAGATCCAAGGGGCCCACGATCAGTACCTGAAGCTGGAGTCACATATCAAGCTCTACATGACAGAGATGGAGAAATCTCTATAAGATATCGGCTTTCATTTGCGTACGCAACAGGAGTTCAGCGGTCGGCTCTAGGATACCCGGGCAGTTCAGATTCATTATAAGGAGTTTCTTTATGGTACAATATCATGTCTGATTTCAGCAATGAAACCTCTCTGGTTCAGTATTCCTGGTCGAACTCGAACCAGCGCGAAGCAACCCGCTTCACGGTAACACCCCGACCACTCATAGTGCTTTCATCGCCTCGCATCCGAACGGATCCATTCAACAAAGGGGCATTCATATCCCATAGCTTCCTTCCCCAGTCGGCACTTGTAGGATCTAGAGCATTTGCACACTCGTAGAGTTGGAGGTCTAGCTCGGCCCTGGAGGCAGCCTCGACAGCCGCGGCAAGTGTTCTCGAGAGCCCTTGTGCCGAGAACTCCGAAGTCGTAACATGCAAAGCCACCATGTTCAGGACAGCAAGAAGTTGTCGGTCACTGGAACTCTGTGTATCCTGAATATCCATCCCGTCAGCAGCAGTCAGAACTGCGAGGTATGCCCGAAGACTTTCAAGGGTCGGACAGAACGCCAGCCTGATTTTGCTGGATCTTGCAAGCAATCCAATGGTTTTTGTAAGTAGATCATGGCTCGCTGCCGCATCTGGCTCTGCGCGTTGAAAACGAATGGCCGCCGTCAACTGCACAAGGAACTCGGCCTTGGTCGCGCAGACAATCAAATGCGCGTTTGAGTTGGTCTCGAGGAGTTGCTGGAGCAGATCGGGCACGAAGTCGCAATGAGCGATCGTTGGGGTTGACCTCATTGTTTCAGATGTGCTGTTGCCCTATTTATATCGCCCCTCCGATGTCATCGAGTCGATATTGGTCATATTATCCCCAGCGCATGATGCGTTAACTGTAACAAGCCATGTGGTAGATAAATTATCGAGGATGGAGTGGTGCAGTGGAAAGTTGCAGATCAAGGCGGGCAACCATCATCCTTCACTTCCGCGGAGCAGCTCCGCCTCTCCTCCCCTCACCTCCCCCAACTCCGGCTGATTCACCCCACGCCCTTGGACTGGGCCCTCAGAAACTGGAAAGATGGAAACAATTTCCAGGATATCCTCGATGCTGGAGACAGGTACGTCGGGTTGTGTAGGGCGCCATTTTGACTGTAACTGACCGTGAGACGTCACTGTGTGCACAGCCCGAGAGCTCACTTTAGAGGCTGCCCAGTCCGCTGCTATTAATCGAAGCTCGAAACCAGATTACTCGTCACGAACTTACAGCGTTGCTCATATTAAGAAGCTGCTTGACAGTCGCCATGAGCGGGAAGTGCTGGATGGAATGCGGAGGGTCATCTCGGTATGGGGATTCTGAAGTACCGTATGAATCGCAATGGCTAACTTAATTCACTGCAACAGTTGATGTACCGCTCCGAGCCCTCCCTCACGTTCTTTTCTGCGGTTGTCAAAAATGTGGCCAGCGCCAACCTTGAAGTCAAGAAATTGGTCTACATCTATTTGGTCCATCATGCGGAGGCTGAACCGGATTTGGCACTGCTCTCTATCAACGCGATTCAGAAATCTCTGACCGATTCCAATCCTCAGGTCCGGACTATGGCGCTTCGTACTATGTCTGGCATCCGAGTTCCAGTAATCAGCCAGATCGTATCATTGGCTATCAAGAGAGGATGCGGAGATATGAGTCCACATGTGCGCAAGGCGGCTGCTTTGGCTATCCCCAAGTGCTATCGTTTAGACCCCAACACTCTGCCGCAGTTGATGGGTTATCTTTCGACACTTCTGGGCGATTCCCAGTACTTTGTGGTTGGTCCCGCAGTTGCCGCATTCTTGGATTTGTGCCCGGACGAGATCGACTTGATTCACAAAAACTACCGCAGCCTGGTCAAAAAGTTGGTTGATATGGACGAGTGGGGTCAGCTTGCGACTCTGCGCTTGTTGACTTTCTATGCGCGGAAGTGTTTCCCTCGTCGAACTCAAATGGTTAAGCCCTCAGCGCCTGAGGCTTTCTATGATGACGAGGAACAGCAGGACAACCAGAATGACGGTGAGGAGTATGAAGTACCGGTGATGGATCCCGATCTTGAACTTCTATTGCGGACCTGTAAGAATCTTCTTCAGAGCCGAAACTCTGCCGTCATTGTCAGTGTTGTCCGCTGTTTCCTTCACCTTGCTCCCTCGGAATATCTTGAGTCAGCTATTGGTCCTCTTGTGGCCCTTCTACGGAGCCCGCAGGACATGCAACTCATCGCTCTATACAACATTGTTGCCGTTGCTTTGAGAAATCCTAGGCCTTTCGCGCGATACACTGCCCACTTCCTTGTTCATGCAAATGACCCACCCCACATCTGGCATCTCAAATTGGAAGTGTTGACCATTCTGTTCCCGCATTGTGGGAAACACTGGAAAGGTGTCATTATCAGCGAACTGGAGCATTTCTCGAAGGGTACGGACCCTGACCTGGTGCGAGAGAGTGTACGGGCCATTGGGCGCTGTGCACAAGGAGACACGAGCACATCAGGCATGTGTTTGCGGATCTTGCTCAGCCAGATCTCTAGTTTGGATGGAAACCTTGTGTCAGAGTCGTTGACTGTCATTCGCCACTTGATCCAACAAGATCCAGCCTCACATAAAAACACAGTTCTTCAGCTTGTTAAGCACCTCGGTTCAACAACTCATCCAGATGCACGAGCCACCATTGTTTGGCTAGTTGGGGAGTTCGCTGGTGTTGACCCAGCAAACAACATTGCATCTGACGTCCTCCGCGTCCTCGTCAAAGGATTCGCAGATGAGACTGAAATGGTTAAGCAGCAAATTGTTCTCCTCGGCGCCAAAGTGTATCTTCATCATCTCCTGCAAAACCCACCAAAAGAACAGCCCGAACAACCTCTATCTTCCACAGTGCCCGAAAAATCCGCTACCCAGCAGGAGTTTCAAAATGAGTGGAATGATAATGGCACTGAAGGGCCGCAAGATGCTGACCAACCAGAAGAAGAAGAGCACACAGAAAAGGCCGATGAACCAGAAGCAAAGGAGGAAGAAGAAGACCGCATCACCCTGCTGTGGCGCTATATCCTTCTTCTCGCACGCTATGACACATCGTACGACCTCCGCGATCGAGCCCGTCTCTACAAAAGTCTTTTAGAAACACCCTCCTCTACCCAATTAGCCAACCTCCTTCTCCTGGCACCAAAGCCAGTTCCCCACGCCCCAAGCCCATCCGAAACCCGAAAGGACTTGCTCATCGGCTCTGCCACGCTAGTAGTCGGGAACGATGCTGGCTACCATGGTCTTCGCGGCTACACAAACCTACCAGACTGGGTTGAGCTAGGCCAAGAACCAGACCCAAGTCTCCGCGTTGAAGATGTAAAGCCAGATACATCCGCCACCCATGCTTCTCTTACCGCCGGTGCCCGTCTTGATAAGGCCCTAAAAGAGCACCAGAGCACTTCTACCTCGGCCCGGAACAGGAACGGTGTACCTGTGCCTGCTGACCCCGCTGGGAAAAAGACACTGGACCAGTGGCTACAAGAAGAGTCCGAGGAAGAAACCGAGACGGAATCTGAGACGGACTCGGAGGGTGAGACGGATTCTGAGGATGAGGAGTCCGGCTCAGAGGAGGAGTCTAACGAGGATGAGGATGAAGAAGATGATGATGATGATTCCGAAGAAGAAACGGACTCTGAAAGCGAGGCTATTCATAAAGAATCTCGGCAGTTGCTTGGATGATCTATGCCAATCTAGGATATGTTTAGATTCTAGTTCGGCCAGGTCAAGGAGATCATATAGAACATCGGGTATATTGAATGAGAGCTATGGGATAATAGCCAGCACAGGAAGTTGAAAGATGTGCACTATGATGTAAGAAGATGATTTGAAGCACGTATAGACACTAGAAAAATCAATTGCTTGGCCTTGTTACAAAAAGGCATGTACTTCGGGCTAAAAATCTAATTTATAAGGGATCAGGGACCAGTCTTAGCTCATTAATCTATACGATATTGTATAAGTATGAAGATAAACGCTCGAATGTCTACTACTTCAAGTAGAGGTGCTTGTTATAATGTTCTACTCGTTCAGATCGCCATAGGTAAAGCCGATACCAGAGCATCACCACTGACTTCATTATGAGGAATCCAACCCCGAAATTGAGACGTTTTCTCTGCTAGGATAGCAAGTTCCTTATAGCCAGTGCTTTAACATTTATCTTTCATCTCAAGAGCCTGCGCCCTGCTTTGCTCCTCGAATTCGCCCGGGCTATCATGGAGTCAGTGACTGTTCAAAAACAGGAAGAGACAAAAGATGTCAGTAGCATATAATTTGAATGAAGTTGTTGAGATCTATCATCTCGTACCAGGTGAGCTCCACCTGTGGACGCTGATCTTCACTATAGCTGCATGTCAAGGATTAGATCTCAGTTCGAAATGGAAAAGCTACCCCTGGAACGTCTCTAGAGTTGATGCTCATATATTTCGCTGATAACTCGATGGATTGCACCAATTTCCTATGAAATGGAAATCAGCAAAGAGTGCACTGGAAGGATTGAGACTGGCTCGTATCTTATAACCAGACATCAGTCAATGGTAATTGAGAATAGTGCCGATTGTTGTATAGGCTAGCCATTGGATAGTGGACAACCACATCTAGAACAAGTCCATATCCTGCAGTATACACTACAAAGAATATTAATAATCCTTCACATCTCGAGCAGACTTGGGAAACCGGCACGACTTTGTTGAGCAAAAGTTTCGCTGTCTGGTAAGATGAGAAGAGATAGGCCCAGACTTGGAGTCAAGGAAGCCTTAAACTATTTTACATAAATCTAAGACAATTTGACAAGCTTCAAATTATGATACCTGTCAGGGGCCATTACTACATAGCCCGGGGGAATCAATTCCTGATGGGAGGTATATATCACCATCTACAAAATTAACAGTTTCTCAGTAAGAAACGATCGTATGCCAATGAGTAATTTTCGCTGCTCCTCTTAATTCAATAGAGCACTGGAGTGACAAAGTGTGACAAGACAATTGGTAGTGAAGACCTCTGATGATAACTGTGTGAATTTCGGAGATGGGATTTATCACAAAGTTCCATCCTTAAGTGGTAGTCGTTCGGGTGCCCACTTCTTGAAATCCCTGCAAGGCAAGTCTGATTCAAACATAGCGTCGACCTCAAGTATTGTACGGTCTTTCATCTCGGGGATAATCAACCAGGTAACAACGAACGTGAGCAAACACAAGCCAGCGTAGACGAAACCAGTCTTGCCCTTGAGATCACCTGCATCTGTGTTGTAAATATAAGGAAGAACGAGATTGAAAACAACATTTGACAGCATGTAGCATAGAACACCAATTCCCTGGGTTTTTGCGCGGAGACGGAGGGATGATGCTTCTCCTGAGACTGCATATGAAGCAGGCCATGCTCCAAGTCCACAGACTACTACCACGGCCATCATACAGGCAGCAGTATACCTATTGGATACATGAGTTAGAGTTGATAGTATGACTGGATGGAAAACATACCAAATGACAATGTTGCCAGACCAGCAACCAGCAATTCCCATACTCAGCCAGATGACAGTGGTGACAGCCAAAGTGCTCAACATCAAGCGACGTCTTCCAACGCGACTCATAAGCCAGACACCAATCGCGTTCGCGATAAGACCCAGAACAATGCCCAAGATGAGCACAATGAGACTGAGGCTTGATCCCATTCCAACGACTTGCATAAAATAACTGGCACTGGCCAACAGAGGCACTCCGAAGAAACTGGGGACAACAAAAGCGAAAGCCACAATCATCGTCCGGCGCAGGTTCGTCCCTTTAAAACAATCGACATAAGCCAACTCCTGCGACATTTGCACTTCGTGCATAATAGACAAACGCATCTGGGCGAGAAGGCGAGAGACGTCAACTTTATCAGTATGAAACCACGCCAATGCGCGGTGAGCAGCGTCATATTTCCCCTTCCTGATCAAATATGACGGACTCTCCGGCAGGATGCAAACAAACATGAAGGGCAAGATAGTAGTAATCCATTGCGTCCCAAAAGGAATAAGATAGGCCGCCGCCGATACCTTCTTCTCACAACCATATATGACGGCCGCACCCAGCAGTTCTCCGAGTAGCATGAAAGTCGGCGACAGCGCCATCGCCGAGCCTCGCAAGCTGGTTGGTACAGTCTCAGAGAGGTAAGTCTGAGCACCAGCCATGGCACCACCAACTCCCCACCCCTGCACCGTCCTACCGACGAGGAAGGCACCGCGACGAGAGTTCATTTCGCTGGGCAGGTTGGAGCAGAAGGCGATGGCAATGCCGGCTGCGCAGACTACGCAGCTTAGTGCTAGTGACCAACGACGGCCGATGCGATCCTGAAACCACCCGGCATTAACGGCACCGACCATTGACCCGACGGGTCCAATGGCGCTCCATACTGATAGCCACGTTGCTGGGATGATGTATGAGCCATTGTATAATTCGCCGAATTCTTGTTTGAAATATGGAACTGCAGTGATGGTGCCGAGGATTACGGTATCATAGCCGGTCAGGAGGAATGCTAGTGCAAGGCCGAATGCACACGCGACAATCTTGGGGTAGAGACGGACTGCTTGGAGCAGAGGTATGTTATCTGAGGAATATTCGTCGGTAGCGGGAATATTGATATGGGTTTGCTCCATCTCCTGGCCCCAGTCAGGTTCCGGGTGAGTCATTGTGAGCTGGGATATCTTTCAGGGGAGAGTGAAGACACAGACAGGAGTCTACATACTTATACTGATTCGGGCTACTTTGGACAAATCAGATTTTCCAGAGATAGGACCTCAGAATTTTAGGCCAATTCAGCGGAAGGCATACGTAACTCCCAGCCAATATCAATGCACAGAGTATGCCCCATTCTATCTCGGTTTGCCGTCTGCTGTCAAAAACGCGGGGGATAAAGTCCCCAGAACGCCAAGCATCGGTTAGGGAGCCTCACTGCCGAAGCCACCAATCGCCTTTCGTCCCTCGTGGATCTCGCTACTTTTTACTGGTTACATCGGCTAGACGGGATCCACTTTAAGTGTATAAACATCTTTGTTTTGACGAGATTAGTGCTGGTCGGAATCGAAATACCCTGCACTGGCTTATCTACAAAACCGGACTGCCTGCCGCAGAGGTCCGTCACTTGCTTTTTCTTGCAGTCCTACCTGATATCCTGGATGCTTGATCCATCAGCATTGTTGTCATTCTCCAACAACTCTCAACGCATACAACGCGGTATACTACACAAATGGACATCTCTCGAGTTATCAAACCATGGAAACTCCATCCTCAGCGGACATTGGTCTTTGTGAATGCAACGATAATCGATCCTTCTCAGGGCGAGCTGATCCACAATGCCACAGTCCGGATCTCAGATGGGAAGATCACCCAGATCGTCACCGATGGCTCAATTACAGCGACAGAAGATGTTCCAGGAGATAATGTCATTGATCTGACTGGAAAGTACCTATGCCCCGGCTTGATCGACTGCCACGTTCATATCGCAGTGGTCCCAGGCGAAGCCGATCTCCGTGCCTACAAAGACATGACCGAGCGCATCAGTCTTCTCCGACAGCCACTCGTCCTCAAATCCATGCTAGAACGTGGCTTTACCTCAATCCGAGACTGCGGGGGCGCAAGTCTAGCAATCAAGGAAGCTGTTGAGGATAGAGTCTTCCCCGGACCTCGTCTCTTCATCGCTGGATATGCCCTCTCCCAGACTGGCGGGCATGGTGATATGCGTGGCCCTCACGATGCCCAGCTTTGCTGCGGAGGCTCGCTGTCTGGAATTAGCAGGATCGTCGATGGCCCTGCGGAGTGCTATAAATATGCCCGTGCGGAATTGCGCCAGGGAGCAGACTTTATCAAGATTATGGGAGGTGGAGGTGTTGCAAGTCCCACGGACCGCATAGAGCATGTCCAGTTTTCAGATGAGGAGATCAAGGCTATTGTCACTGTCGCGCGCAACGCTGGCACCTATGTCACGAGTCACAGCTATACACCGCAGGCAATTCAACAGGCTATCAAGCTTGGAGTCCGCGGCATTGAGCATGGAAACCTCATTGATCTTGAAACTGCAAATATGATGGCTGAGATGGACGTGTTCCTAACACCTACGCTTATTGCACATGTCATGTCCAAGCAGTTGAATTTCTTACCTCCTGATGGTGCTGCTAAGAACGACGAGGTTCTTGAGAAGGGGCTTAAGGCGATGAAGATAGCGGTTGAGGCTGGTGTGACTGTTTGCTTTGGTAGTGATCTTCTTGGTCCGATGCATTTTGCTCAGAGTAAGGAGTTCTCGGTCCGCAGTAAGGTCTTGAGCCCTTTACAAATTCTGCGCAGTGCTACTGTCAATGCTGCTCGTTTGATTATGCAGGAGGATCGACTTGGTCAGATTCGGGAGGGATTTGCTGCTGATTTGTTGATTTTGAATGAGAATCCGTTGGAGGATATTACTGTTTTGGATAGAGTGGAGGAGCACATGATGGGTGTGATTAAGGATGGCAGAGTCTCTACTTCGCGGTGGGAGGCTCTCAGGGTGGATGATTGAGTTTGCGGTACAAATGTAAATTTCGGGCTCCTATACTTCTTGTATCTAATTCAGATATTCGACCTTTTTGCTGGCGATATTATTTCCGGACTGAAATGTGAAAGCTGTTGGTATTGTGGCTAAACATAAATTATTCACAGCACAACCGGGATTGAGTCGGAAACATTAAGATGAGCAGAGATGTGTTGCAAATGATCATTCAAGTGACCTAAACAATTGGGTTATCAATTTGATCTATAGAGAACCGAGAAACAAGGACATCGTCACTGAGAAACGAACTATTAACTTATGTTAGGACTGATGCATGGATATTCAACGTTAAAAGCCAGACAAACATCACGTGCAAAGGCGGTGTAGCCATAACGAGCGGTCCAGTGTCCGAGCTCATCCCGCAGTTCGTGATGTAGTGCCTGGATCTTCAACAGCACTCTTCCCTTACTGGAACGAGCATCGGCTTTACAGTCAGGATGCCCGCAAACCTTACATAGCCATCACTTTCACTTTCATCGCCTCTCTCGTTTCCTCCCAACGTACCATATCTCACCCTCCTTTGGATTGGCTGTGATTTACCCGACTACATTGTTTGACGCACCAGGGCCAGGCTCAGGATACTCTCCTTTACTGTGATTTGGAATCTCCCGCACGGAGAAAGCAGCGTCGTTCTTTGGTGCTGACGACATTGTACCTACAACCCTCACAATGCCCGGGTTACCAAGTATGTCAATGACCCCGAGTTTTCGAGTTAGCGCTGGATTCGTGTACTGATCTGTTGGTTGCAGCTAGTGTCGATCTCGACGAGTGTATCGCCCGCCTGTACCGGAAAGAACTGCTAGCCGAATCGGTAATCGAAGCTATATGCCTCAAAGCCAAGGAACTGTTGATGAAGGAGAGCAATGTGGTCCACATCGCTGCTCCAGTCACCGTGGTCGGTGATATCCATGGCCAATTCTTCGACATGATCGAGATTTTCAAGATTGGAGGATTCTGCCCGAATACAAACTACCTCTTCCTTGGTTAGTTCAACCTGAGACTGGGGCTGGAATTGGAAAGAGCCTTTGGGCGGAACCTCTTGGCCCGCACTTCTTGGCATGGGTCATTGCTAATACGAAGCTATACAGGCGATTATGTCGACCGCGGCCTGTTCAGTGTGGAGACGATTTCACTCTTGGTGTGCCTAAAACTACGATATCCCTCTCGAGTCCACCTCATCCGCGGTAATCACGAGTCTCGCGGAGTCACCCAATCTTATGGGTTTTATACCGAATGTGCACGCAAGTACGGCAACGCCAACGTCTGGCACTACTTCACCGACATGTTCGACTTCTTGACACTGAGTGTCGTGATTAATGACGAGATCTTCTGTGTACATGGCGGTCTTTCTCCCTCCATTCACTCCATCGATCAAATCAAGATCATAGACCGATTCCGCGAGATTCCACACGAAGGCCCGATGGCCGATCTCGTCTGGTCGGATCCAGATACAGAGCGTGATGAGTTTTCGCTCTCCCCCCGTGGTGCTGGATACACCTTCGGTGCACAAGTTGTCCGGAAGTTCCTGGAGGTCAATAGCATGTCGCATATCCTACGGGCACACCAGCTTTGCCAGGAAGGTTACCAGGTTCTTTATGATGACAAATTGAGTACGGTCTGGAGTGCTCCCAACTACTGCTACCGTTGCGGGAATCTAGCGAGTGTACTTGAAGTGAGTGACACAGGAGAGCGCTTTTTCAATATATTCGACGCCGCGCCTGAGAACGATGTTCATCGGAATGAACAGCAGGCCCAGCAGACCAAGGACGGTCCGAGTCCAATTGTTGACTACTTTCTGTGATACCCATTGGTTTATGTTAATGTTTTGTTTGACCATACGATTTCTTTTTTTACATTTTCATTTTCCCACTGGCACTAGACAGGAGTTCTGGATAAAGTTGTGCATTCACCAACAGCGAGTTTTGTTTGCTATTTGGCATCTGGACTGAACATATATCACACCGAGGACCTCAGCATGGCGCATAAAACGATAGAACCGGGTACAAAGCATCGGGCCCGGCAAGAGCAACTCTAACAAAGTTTTGTCAAAGAAAGAAGATCAACGCTTTGGAAACAAACAAGCCGCTCAAGAATTCAAGATAGCTCTCTCTCAACCCACATTTACCAGTCCTTGGCAATGTCAAAGGACCACTCGAACTGCAAGTGAGTGTGGGCATCGTCGTCAATGAACTTGGAGACAGCGTTGTAGTGTCCACGGGCAATCATGCCTGAGGGGGCCTCCTCCTCGTTGACTGCAAGATAGAATCAGCAATGGTCCAAACCGAAAAACTCCACAGATGAGATAATAATCCACTTACACTCCTTCTCGTAAACGGGCTTGGTGGTGGTGCTGGGCGCGTAGCTACCCAACATCTCCTCATCCTTGCTAACTCGAATACCCTTCCGCTTAACAACCTGCAGGTACTTGAGACCGCTCAGGACCTCATGGTGAACCTGGAAAGTAACCTTGATGTGGAACTTGGCGCCCTCCTTGATGGTGAAAGGCTTGTCCTTGAGGCTGTCGACCGAGCCGGGGGTGGAGAGATCGATCACGACGTCGGGACGGTCTTCGACTTTCAGAGCCAGGGACTTGATGATGCACTTGCGGGGGTCATTGGCCTCGTGAATGGGATCGCCGCCGTTGAGACCGAGCGAGGCCTTCCAGCGGTTCAGGGCCTCATCGTCCTTGTCTATTGCGGGGGAAGAATGGGGTGTTTAGTTGGGGAAGGTTCAGGACAGAGTATGGATGTAGCATAGTCAATGCTAATGCGAGCTACTAGAGGGGATCACTCACCAAGCTGGTTGTATTCGTCGATGGTCTTCTTCTCGCCGACCTTGAAACCCTCAGTCTGGGTGGCGGCGAGATCGTCCTCGTGGTTGTCGACCATTGTTTACAGAAGGCGGGGCACGGAACCAAGGTATTGTAGTCCGGGGAAGAGATATGAAAGAGTCCGAGATGAACGGACGAAGAACAAAGAGGGATTTAAGGAAAAGGGGAAAGGATGAGAGAGATAGATTTCAGAGAAGGGAACTAGAGACAAAGCGTCTCCTCTTTGGATGTCTGGTGGGGGTGGAAAGGCGGTGGGAGAGGGGCGAGGCTATTCGGATTTCGATGCAGATTGCAGATGCGCCGTTAGTCCTGCACGGTTATATTGACATTGGGTCTGCTCTACTTGATGCAGGCTATCTACTGATCTTGATTTCCTGGTGGAATTGTCATGTCTTGCAGTTTGCAGTTAACTTGAGACGATCTAGGCCTCGGTTTTGGGTATCCAGTGGGGTTCAGGAGTATCTGCCCACGTTGTCTTAATATGCAACATGTATATGCATTTGGAGCCCGGTAGATTGGACCGAGACACTTCTGCAGGTTCGGCATGAAAAGGTCAGACTTTGTTAGTCTAGCTTTGCCGTAAAATGGTATATCCTCGATATCAATATCGAGTAATCACTCTGGTCTCAGTCTCAGATACGAGGATGTACGCGTCGACGCCTTGTTTCAGATAACGCCATTCAGTGGGTTGTATAAATTCGAAGACCAAAGACTGTCCTAACCTGGGAATTGGCGACAGTGATAAGAAGTAAGTGTCTACTTCGACAAACAAAAGAAAGGAATGCCACGTCACGGGGTCAAATAACCAATAGATTACTGCTGGGGAGAGCAAATACCGTATAATTGAGAGATTGGCCAACCACAACCCCCAAATACCCCACCTGACCGGCACCACACCGGACCTTACCGGAACGAGTCAAGCCCCAGAACGGACGCAACGCCCGTCGCGACTTCTCTCCTCTCCCCTGATTGTCTCGCTTTATCTCGGGTCTCTTTTTTTCCGTTATCAATTGGCTTCTTTTTTCTCTTTTTTGCGCGCTTCTCTTTGAATTTTAACCGAATCGGACAATACGGGTTCTAATTCTCGCTTGACGCGCCTGCTACGTGGCCGCCGTTGGCGCATCTTTCCCTCTTTCTCTCAGCCACGAGATCTTCATCTTCCATCTCCCCATATCCCACCATGTCGCGAACTTTGCCGAAGAAGTTTAACCCGCTCATCCTCACGGAGGTGGCTCCTTCTTGTAAGTTCCAGTCTGGCGCGTGGTCGCGCGATCGCGCATGCGCTTCGGCTGCTCACCTAGTGTTCCCTCGAGGCTGACCGAGACATCATCGCTAATCGCTTTAAATGTTAGATGAGGAGCTACTCGCGCGCCGCCGTCTGGGAAAAACACACCTCTCTGTGAGGCCTGCCCAGATCGGTACCTCAAATGCCACTAAGCCTGAGAACCTGGGCGTTTTCGAATACGCTCACCTGCGCGCTCCTCTGCCCAAGGACTTGAAGGGCTCGGAGATTTTCCCATCCCACACCTCTCAGCAGCATCCTGAGACGTACTTCCTAATGGTGAGCGCATCTTCATCGACTTGAGACGTGAATGCCGCTAACTGGCCTGATTACAGCGTCGCAGCAAGGATGGGTTCGTCAGCGCAACTGGAATGTTCAAGATCGCATTCCCGTGGGCCAAGGCCGATGAGGAGAAGGTTGAGCGCGACTATCTGAAGGCCCGGGAGTACACCAGCGAGGAGGAAGTCGCTGGCAACGTGTGGATCTCTCCCACGTTTGGTAGGTTATCCCAGGTTGCCCTATCGACCACACAAGTTCTGACTTAATTACCCAGCCCTTGAGCTATCCAAGGAATACAAGATGTACGATTGGGTACGCGCTCTCTTGGACCCCACCGATATCGTCCAGAGCCCCTCCAGTGCAAAGAAGCAGATCACTCCCCCGCCCAAGTTCGAGATCCCAGAAGACGAGCCGGAAATGCCTCAGCGCCGTCGCGGCCGCTCCGCCTCTCCCAGCAAGCAGTCCCCTCGCAAGTCCCGCACAACTCGCGTTGGAAAGGATGTCATGGGCACCCCGTCTACAAATGCTGCCAACGCTAGCCTCCACTCCGCACTGGAAATTACAGCCGGTGGTATGGACACTGAAACGGTTCCTGAGCTGGCACCTGTGCGAGGCGAGACACAAGTGAAGTCCACCGGATCCCCAGAGAAGAAGTCAAGGAGCCGGAAGACCAAGAGTGCTTCCACCGCAGAGCCTGAGGAAGACGTCAAGGAGGAGACAAACGAAGAGACCAAGGAAGAGAAGAAGGAAAAGAAGAAGGCCGAAAAGAAGACCGAAAAGAAGATCGAGAAGAAGAACGAGGTGAAGGACAAGGAAGAGAAGGCGGTTCCTTCAGTGGAAGTTGGTTCCCCAGAAGATGTCAAGGTCTCCCAGACCACTGTCTCTCTTGATATGCCCGTCAGCCTCCCTGAAGTCCCGTCCGCTGCTGAAACGGAAGCAATGATCGCCCAGGCCAAGGGCATGGTCGAAGACGCCGTCAAGGCCCAGGCCGGCGGTGCCACCGAGTCGGAATCCGTTAAGGTGACCAAGAAGCGCAAGCCCGAGGAAGACGATGAGGAGACCTCAGCCGAGTCCACCCAGCGGGCCAAGAAAGCCAAGGTGCTTGAGAACAAGCTCCGAGAGGAGCGGGTCCGCAACCGCTCCATCTTTGGTGTTTCCGTGGCCTTTGCTCTTGCGTAAGTCAACCTAGTCCTCGGGAAAACAAGTCGATACTAACCTGATGTACAGTGCGTCAATTCCCTACTTCCTTTGAGAAAAATCTGTGTTTTCCCCTCCACCAGTCTGATCGAAACCTCCATCCCCATCCACTCTACTCTGTCGCATGCGACCTTCAAACCTTCCCAATTCCTTTCTTACCCAATTCCTCTTGACATTACGATAAATATATTCCTCGCCGGCGACCTTCAGTGTACTGTACCCGTCATTTGACACTTTTCTCTAATATCTTGCCTCTCTGCCCCTGCTCTCTTCAAGACTTGGTTATGGGACAGTCCCTAAGCACATCCATTTACCTTCCCATCCCCTGATACCAGATCCACCTTGCCCACCCTCTACCACTCGCCCGTGGGCAGCTACCCGCGCGTAGTCAAGAACGATTCGCTTAATGACAGTGAGATTTCTTTGATGCTACTTGTATCGGGACTTTTGTAGATGCTACTATAAATTTAGATCGTGGGCTCTAGGACCGCTGCTGATGGGAGAAAGTATTTGCGCGGATGGCGCTCGTACAGAGTGTCATGGCCTAGGAACGTTGACAGGCCAGGAGGGACACATGTGCTTGACCACGAGTGCTACCAGATGTACAGCGAGTCAAAACTCAACGATCGTGACATGTGATGTCCGTCACAAAACATAACTGACGCGTCGAACTGTGACAACAAGATTAAGACTTCATCGACACAGGCAGAGGTTCAATCAAGGCTGAGCTTCATATACAAACACATGGCATGGATATGGACATGGACAACTTCTTCTCCAAACGGTTGGACAAGCCGACACGGTTGATGAAAAAGGATTCGCGTCGATCGAGGGTAGTGTAAGCCCGATGACACAGTGCAACGAGGCATGCGCAAGCACAGAGGCCAAGTTGCGGGATCCAAAAATGAGAATAATCAAAGTGTTCCCAATAGGAAACTTTCAGAGATTAAACTGAAAAGAACAGATACTACACTTGATCTAAGCCAATAGGCAAAGAGAGCTAAAGAAGAAAGAAAAAGAGAGGGAAAGTTGGGAGGAGGAGAGAGTATATATACGCCAGGCTCAGTGCAAACAGGACAAACATCGTAGTCAGTGCAAAGAATGCAAACAACCACATCTCCCAAGCTCCTGATTCTCTTTTACTCTTTGCTCTCCAATCTTTCGATTGCTGTGTTTATTGCTTGGTCTCTCTCCTGGCTGCAATGTCTCTTCCAGGCCTCGAGCTGACACAGCCGTCGGAGGAAAGGCAGCAGGTTACTGCGCCTCCGTCGCAGATCACCTTGAATCCCAATTGCGAATGGCGCTTTGAGGTCGCTTTCGGACATATCATTAAGGTCAAGGTACGTGATGTCTTTTCCATTCGATAGCAGAAAGTGTAATTCCCCTCTGGGTCCAGCTAACCAAGCTCCAGCTCCTCCACGGAACCGCCGAGCTCTTTGGCACAGAGCTCGCCGAGTCGCAAACATATACCTTCTCCGGAACAAAGGCCGCAATCTTCACATGGCACGGCTGCACCTTAGAAGTCAGCGCAGCCGAAACAGCGTCAACAACCTCAGATGGCGTAACACCAACAATGGGCCATGGCGCAGGCGGCTGCCAGAGCGAATACACAGCAGAGGAAACACCCATGATGGAATATGCCAACGTCCACTTTGCGCTGGAGACAATGCGCGAGGAAGCACAGTCAATCGGCAAAGATGGACCCCGCGTGCTCCTCCTGGGCCCAGAGAACGCCGGAAAAACCAGTGTGGCGAAGATCTTGACAGCGTATGCGACCAAGGTCGGTCGTCAGCCGCTGGTGGTCAATCTCGATCCGACAGAGGGCATGCTCGGCGTCCCTGGTACCCTCACCGCGACTGCGTTCCGCACAATCCTGGACGTCGAAGATGGCTGGGGAAGTAGTCCCATGTCCGGTCCCAGTCCAGTGCCTGTGAAGCTTCCCCTCGTGTACAGCTACCCACTGCAGAACCCGCTAGACGGTGAGGGCGCCGTCTACCGACCGATCGTGTCGCGCCTTGCACTATCTGTCACTGGCCGGATGGCCGAAGATGAAGATGCGCGCGAAACTGGAATTATCGTCGACACGCCTGGAATCCTGGGATCGGATAAGCCTGGCAGCATGGAGCTGATCAACCATATCGTGACGGAATTTGCAATCGACACTATCCTCGTTCTGGGTTCGGAAAGGCTGTACAGCACTGTCGCCAAGCAATACGATAACAAGCCCAGTTCCAGCGCGACGGCCGCTGCATTCGACGAACACATCTCCGTTGTCAAATTGACCAAATCTGGTGGCTGTGCTGACCGCGACGCTGCCTTCCGTAAGGCCACGCGCGAGTCCCAGATTCGTACTTATTTCTTCGGCAATAATATCCCTTCTTCTACGTCTGCATCGACTGCGCTCTCTCTTTCCGCTTCTTCCTCTTCTGCTGTTACTCTCTCCCCGCATGCACAGCAACTCGATTTCGCCTCTCTCCCTGTTTACAGCTACACCGTTACCTCAATCGATGATGAGGATGAAGACGACTACGACCCCTCCCAGCTCGCAATGGGTGACTCTTTTCTCCCCGGTGGTGGCGCCGAGGACCTCCAAGAGACAAAGCAAGACCCTGACCGCGCTGCCCCATTACCGGGTGTCGTGGGCTCATTCTCTGAACCCTCTGGTGGGACGAATGTTTCCACCGCCGCCCAAAACAGCGGCAGCAATGTCCCACTGAAGAAAGTCCTACCACCAGCCCCCTCCGCGCTCGCGAATACCCTCCTCGCCATCACCCATGCTCCCACCACCGCATCCCCCGCCGAAGTCCGCGACGCTAGCATCATGGGCTTCTTATATGTTGCCGATGTCGACGCTGACAAGGGCAAAATCCGTGTACTTGCGCCTGTTGGCGGGAGAATGCCCCCGCGAGCTATCATCTGGGCGAAGCGTTGGCCTGGGGAGTTAGTTGGGTTGGTCGGTTAGGGGGGCTTTCTTTCTCTTTTCTTTCTCTTTCCCTTATCCGAGTCTTACGCGGCTCAGCCATTGCATTTTTTGTGCGGATCTGGAGTTGCGGCGATTTATTTCATTTAACGAGAGTCACGCTGTGCGCCTCATGATTCCATATGCTTGCATCTATCTATCAATACATCTATGATTCTTTATGGAATTACTACCTCTTTGCTTGTAATTTACATCTGAACAACTTGAACGTCGTAGATACACCAGAGTAGAAATGGTCTGTTTCTCCACGTAATACAACAGCCTGGGCACATATCGCCGTGAACCCTCTGTCGTGGGGCCGGTTATGCTGACAGGGAATCGGAGTAGGGCTTGGGTTTGGGGTGTCGGGAGATGCCGAAGCCCTAACCTGGACAATATACATGTACTAGTAGGCTGAATCTGAGATGGCCGGACAGCTCTATACTCTGCCTATTGGGGCTTATTATGTGGTGGAGCAACGCAAAAAATTAGGGCTTTATATATCCTAGGCCTGGAAGTTACGATTACAATGAATATGATCAAGTAGATGAACCAATCCGATTCCAAGCTATAACCAAGATAAGAAGACACCAGCCAATCCGACAAACAATGACGTTTCGCAGACAAAAGTACGATCAGGATACAAGAATGTTTCAACGTTGTTACAAACCGAAAACCCCCATTGTACAGCCAAACGCTCCAAGTATACATCCCATGCAATGCAGCCCTATCCGATACATTCCCGAAATAATCCGGCCCCTCCAAAACAAAAGAAAAGTAAAAGAGAAAGAAAGAAATAGAAAGAAAGAAGCAAAGTAAGGTAAGCCCCAAACCGTCACAATCAACATCACTCCCACCTCTTCCACTCATCAACAGCCTTCCTCAACTCAATCTCACAATCATACCCCTTAGACTGTGCCTTCAAAAGCTCCTCTCTCCGATCACGGAACCGCCTCTCAGCCTCAACCCGCCTAAGAACAGTAGACTTAAGCATCTCGAAATCATTGGTAGCAACCGCCTCCCGGAACTTCGCCCGCATGCGCATGGAATAAAGCTGACAACTTGCCTCCTGCTTGACACCAATCCCATCACCAGGCAAGGCCCGCCTAGTAGGCGGAATGGAGCGCGCAATCGGCCGCTGGTGTCTCGCAAACGGCCATACAACTTCATCGAAACAGTCTTCGCAGATACACAGCTCCGGCAATGCGGGGAGGTAATGCCACTTCGTGACGATTTGTCTGTCGAGACGGCAGTCACGGAGGGCGGTCTTGCGCCGGGCGTAGGAGAGGAACTCGTGCAGGTCTGGACGGGGACGGGAGGGATTTGCTTCTGCGCGCTCGACGGCATCGTCGAGGAGGTCGATGAATTTCATGAAACGTGGGCTTGTGGTTTGGAAGTCGCAGATTCGTTCACGGACTTCGGTGTCTGGTTCGAAGGTTTCGCGGTGCGCTGGCATTAAGATGCGGATGTTTCGTGCGCAGCTGGTGCAGACGTGGAAGCCTGGGAGGTAGTCTTTGATTCGGGGGTCGTAGATTCGGTGCCAGTGTTGCTCGGTGGCTGTGCGGCCTGGGCAGGGTCTCGTTCCCGGTGGTGGGCGCGTCATTTGATAGAGGAGTTCTAGACTGTCGTGGCCTCGTTTGATCATTTGGTGCCAGGCGAGTCGGGTCCATGGGCTTGAGAATGAGCAGCGGGTTGGGCGGGACGGCGTCTTGGCTTGGCTTGGGATGAAGAAGCTGCTGTAGCGGGAGTGTGCGATTTGGCTCATGCATGATGGGCAGATATCGAGGTGGTCGAGGCCTTTGAGGGTGTACCAGTCTTCATGGCCTGTTGCCGGGACGGATCGTGGGCATGATGTGATACACAGGCCGTTGGGGTTGCTTCTTTGTCCAAATTGAGTGAGAGCCTTCTCAGAGTTGGCCTGTACTGTCACAGCTTGGGTTGATGCTGGCTTTGTTGTCTCAAGTTCAGCGCGTAGCAGCCGTGGGGGATGGCGAGATTCAGAAGACGATCGGGTACTCTGCGTGGTCACTGATGTTGCGCGGGGGCGCGAGGGCAGAGGCGTACTAGGCTGGGCTCCCAGGGTCTCCGGACGCTGAGGCGACCGGGAAGGCGAGTGCGATGCTGAGACAGTGGCTCGAGGGACCAACGAGGCATTCGCGGGTCTGAAAACCACAGCCGGTGTGCTTACTTCGGGGTCTGGTAGTGCAACCCGGTCCCGCTGTTCTTCTCGTTGACGGAGCTTCTCCTCGATGCGCTCAGCTAGAGTAGGCCCGCTGATGACCTTTTCGGCTGGCACGATAGGAGTTGGGGATACAGGCGCCTGAGAGTTTGGCGAGACTCTGCTGCGCATGGTGGCAGAATCAGATAGATACCCGGAATTTGGCTCACGTCGAATGCGCTCTGGCATAGGCCTTGAGTGAGGTCCAGCCCGAGCACTGTTCGACCGAGCCAACGACGACCTGCCAGGTTGAACGTAGGCAATGTCGTGCACGGGGACTGAGGCACGAGAGCGGTCCGGCACACTCGGTGCGGGCGCTGCATAAGAAACAAGTTGCGCTGGCACATCGCGCCTGCTGTAGCTGCCTTCACGTGCATGAGAACGCGGGCGAGACTCTCGCTGGGAGTTGATTTCACGAACAGGCTGTTGCTGAGCCTGAGGGTGAAATGCAAACTGCACAGGCACCTCGGGCCTGCTGGGGGCGCTTTCCCGTGTACGAGAATGCGGGAGCGATTCTCGCTGGGTCTTTGGCTCATGAGTGGGCCGTTGATTAACCTGAGGGCGGGGTGGTGGTCCTCGTGCTTGGCTCACGGTGGATGGCGGCGTACGCTTTTGCTGCTCATCCGACTCAAACCTAACAGTGTTCCGAATGACAGGCTCTTGCGCGGGCGGCGTTTTTGGCCCTGTACTCTCATCGGAAGAGACATTCGCAAGGCTAGGCACACTGGGAACGCTGCCAGGGGACGTTAATGGAGGAGGTATATCAGCATAGTCTATGATCGGATACTGGTCGACGGCGCCTCTTTGCTTGACACCCTCGACCCCTGGCTTCTCTCCAATCTCAGAGAGACCACCCTTTTCTCGAAGGAGAGCCGAAATCTCTTCCTCGACGCAGGGCGCCGGGGGCCATTGGGAGCGTCCATGTCGAGGAACTCGAGAGGGACGCATTTCGAGGAGCTATTTTGATCACGAGCAAAATATTTGGAATATATTTGTTTCGGGACGTTATCCTGGTGCAATGAGGTTTCGTAGAGAAGCGTGACGAGTAGTTTGGTTCATAGTATTGAGAAACTGAACTTGAGAAGTGAAAGAGCAGGGTGAAGAACAATGAGGCCGAGGCATGAAAGAGAAAAAAATTCGCAAGAAGACAAAGGAGCAACTTTTAAATTGTGTGCGCGACCCGGGCATACAAGGGTATATAAACATTGGCTGATTGTATCGGGCACCATCCTGGGCGGCGCGAACTCTGATAGGCCAGTCGAGTGATTGGGCGAGAGTAAAAAGACCAGGAATAGCTTCAGGCTGAAGCGTAATCACGAGCAAGATTCAAACATCGACTGAACAAAACGGCTGACTGGCCAGGTCCAACACAAAGAGGTGGCTATGACCCGTCGATCATTGGGCACGAAGTGGACCTGCCGGCTACTGCCGTTGCGTTTCACTTTATTTAGACTCGTTGGGCAACAAATAGAAATCTCTAAACCCACATTTTCTCAGGGGATAAAGAGATCTATTGTCGATCAAAGGCTCGCGCCTCAAGTGTATGGCGGGGAACTCGTCTTCCATGAAGTCGGCGCCAGCTGAGGCGAAGGATGTTCCAACCATCAACCATGCGCGTGATGCAGATGCAGAACCTGGTGCTGGGCGTGGCAGGGCAACATACTAGAGGCATGGAACGTGGCAGACTGACCCCTCATAGGGCTTGAATGGTTTGCATGTCACTTTGACATGGAGTATATGAGGCCGAAACGCCAGTGCGGCCGTAGATCTAGTAGGTAAATGTCAAGCCACTAGACATTCCGTGCATGGCCCCTCATTGAGGGGTTGAAACTGTTGGATGTCCGTCATCCTTGAGGTTGACGTATTCTGACTCCTATTGTTTTGTTAGGCGCCTGTCTGTTGTCTGTTGTCTGCACATCGGTGTTGTTCCGACGGCCCAGGATCCGACGGATATGTCGTCATCACGTGCGTCATCAGCCAAAGCTATTGAGATGAATGTTGAGCCCAGGAATTGGGGCAGCAGGGCGACAGCAAATAGCCGACGGCATTGTAAGTGTAATTGCGTGAGATCAACGTAGCATTAGCAGAATGGAAACAGAAGAAAGAAGAAGAAAGGCGCAACAATTCCGCCGGTAATGCGGGGATAAGATGACAAATGGAGATTGATCAGCTTCATCCTTAACTTCTACAACTCCTGGCATGTTTCGCTCTCTTCTACGCAGCAGTCCCCGGCTCACACTTTTACGCAATCACATTGCTCCCCTCAATCAATTCACTCCAATCCGCGCCATGTCTGTCCCAACAACAATGAAGGCCGTAGTGGTCGAGCAGACCGGCGGCCCTGAAGTACTGCAATTCAGAACCGCACACCCAGTGCCAACCCCCCAGGCAGGCCAGCTACTTGTGCGCAACAACATCTCCGGTGTGAACTACATCGACACCTACTTCCGGACGGGTCTGTACCCCTCGCCCAAGCCTGAGGTCCTGGGCCGGGAGGGCGCTGGTGTCGTCGCCGCTGTGGGAGCCGAGACCTCCGGGTTCCAGGTTGGTGATCGTGTTGCTTGGCTGGCTAGTCAAGGCTATGCTGAGTATACTGCTGTTCCTGCTGCCAAGACGGTGAAGATCCCTGAAGGGATCAGTGATGAGGATGTTATGGCCTCATTCTTGAGTGGCTTGACTGTGCTCGCTTTTGCTAAGGAGACGTACCCTGTCCAGAAGGGTGATTGGGTTCTGCTTCATGCTGCTGCTGGCGGTGCTGGTTTCTTGATGACGCAGATTTTGAAGACTATGGGTGCCAAGGTCATCGGCACTGCTGGTGGTGCGGAGAAGTGTGCTCTTGTGAAGAGCCTCGGTGCTGATGTGGTCATTGACTACCGTAGTGAGGAGGGTAAGAACTGGGTGAAGTTGGTCAAGGAGGCAACTGGTGGTCGTGGCGTCGACGTCGTTTACGACTCTGTTGGCAAGGATACCTGGGAGGGTAGCTTGGAGGCTGTCAAGCGCAAGGGTACTATCGTTTGGTTTGGTAATGCCAGCGGACCTGTGCCACCGCTCCCTCTTCCGTATGATCTCTTCACAGTATACTCGTAGCGGATGATGCTAATAATTCTGGCAGTAAACTCTCCCCCAAGTGTGTTAAAATTGCCCGCCCAACTCTCTTCGGATACATTGAGACCCGTGAAGAGTTTGAGTACTACACCAACGAGCTATTCAGTCTGTTGAAGTCCGGCCAGCTGAAGACCAAGATCCATAAAATCTATCCTCTGGAAGAGATTGCCCAGGTGCACAAGGTACGTAATCTGACTTTTCCCTGTTCAAGTGCAGCCACCGCTAACCTGCCTGGTTCATAGGATCTCGAGGGACGCAAGACCATGGGCAAGCCTCTTTTGAAGCCCTGAATTATTATGTAAAAGAAATATCATTAGCCGTTACGTTGGAGATATAACGGTAGAATACATATACCTATTACTCAAAATGTGCTTGATGACGGCATAATAATCTCGTGAAATCATGTTTATTATCGCGAGAATTCTTCAAGAGTGTACTAGATCTGTCTATATACTTTGAAAAGGCAAGGTATATCAGCCAGTTTTGGCATTCAAAACTAGCTGATGATATAAAGAGAGAAATTAAATTAGAAGTCAAACTGTTTTCTATCTAGAACTCTAAGATGCTAGACCATAACTTCCACCTGCTCTTGTCCTCAACCCAGCTCTGTTTCCGGCTTTTCGTGTTTCCATGTTGCAACAACTTAGGTCTACCTGTCTAATCCGATCCATCTTCACCCTCCTTGCCCTTCTCTGAAATGACATTCTTTTCGACGACGATGGTTCCCTCATTCGGGGCTTCGGCCAGGACGGTTAGATCCCTGTAAGTTGTTGTTCCACTTCTCAACATCCAGTATGTGCAAGTTCTCCCCATCAGGCGGACCTTTGCGAACTTCAGCCACTTGGTGTATGAAGCTGCATCCTTCTCACTGAGGACTGTATCCTTCATCTCAGCTTCCTTTCACTGGATAAGCTCCTCATGCACACCGAGGTTTTCCTTCAACTCGACGAGAATATTCTCTTTCTTGCCAGGGCGTTCTTCGGCGGGTGTCATGCTGGGTTTCCAGTCCTTCACAAGACCGTACCACTCCTCATCGGCCCACCATTGCTCGGGCGTCCACCATTCCTTGGACTTCTTCCTGTCAGTAGGTTCCCCCTGAATGACTCCACTTCCCTCAACCTCATTCTTCTCAATCACCTGGTCTTCGTCTTTCTTTTGGCCCTCATATCTTGGAACTATGATACCCATATCAGCCTCCGCCGGGACACCAGGCTGGGGAACAACGTCGTATTCAAAGCCCAAGTCGTCATCAGCGGGAATATGCTTCCGAATACCAAATGCTGCGTCGTAACCTGCACCCAGCGTCAAGTCCTTCAACAAGACCCGAGCTTGTTCATAATCGGAAAGCTCGGGCCCAGCAAGGGCCTCCATTTCTTTCCTATGCTCAGCCCTCTGGACAATCCACTTATCACTGACCTCCTTGGTTTTCGATTTCTTGTAATCGATCATAAGATCGTTCACAAGGAAAACGTAGAAACTAGGCAGGCATACCATGATCTCGTCGAAGAAGTGTATGCCACAGTTAAGCTCGAATATTTTGGTAAGAGCTTTCATTCCTGGGAAGCAGTGTGCAAGCAAATCGCCTTCCAAGAAGAATTCAAACTCGTAGCTAGGAGCTTTACCAGCCTTCCACTTCTCATCCTCTAGGTTGGAAAGATTGAAACCCCCCTTGGCTGGATCACGGAACTCCTTTGCCCGGACCACGCCGACGGGTTTGACGTCAGGGGCATATTCATTGTAAAAGCCCACAGTGAGGGCAGTTGGCTGCTCAATGGAAACTATCTCAAAGCCATCAATGTCCTCAATCCGCTTTATCTCGAATTTCTCCTTCTCGGCAAGATCCTTGAACTTGATGGCGCGTTCATCTGGACCGACTCCGGCAATGGCGTACATGAGGACCTTTCGGGCGATCTGCTGGGTCATTCTGTCCTGTCCGGCGAATTTGACATTTTCCGATATCTCGGAATTGTCTATGATGTCGAGGTAGTTCCCACCGAACAGCATGGAACAGGCCTTGTTGAAGCTTCCTGGGCCTTCGTGTACGACTTGGCGTACTTTCCATACTTCCTTGGCGGCCATATCACAGGTCTGTCTGGCCTTGTCGATGTCTTCTTGATATTCGGGGCACACGTCATGGTAGAGCAAGAAGGTGAGGAAGCTCTTGATTGTTCCGGTCACGACCTTGATTTCATCCTCGTCGTCGGGGCTGAAGTAATCAATGTAGTAACCACCCCTGTGGCAGAGTTAGTATTTAGTATGCCCGTCTCTTTATGCATTGCGTCACTTACAGATAGCCCTTGAGAACTTTATCAAAAGCGATGTTCTCTCCAGTAGCCCACTCCGGTGACACCATGGTGAAGTTGCGCGCTTCCATGGCTTCTTCTTTGCTCATATCTTTCAGCTCTTGAAGGGAGACACCTTGGCCATACTTTTGATTTGTATTAACACCACCGTACTGCAGATACTTGAGGAAAAGGTGACGCCGGCGTGACTCAAGGCGGCGTTTGAATAGGAAACGTTTGATAGCTTCATCGTATCGCCTAGATGCTATGTTAGTGATTAGTTGGACCAAGATATTTGAAGACTTACATGTGAAATGGAAGAGCTCTATCTTGCTAGTTAGTGATATTCCATAAGTCAAGAACTAATGTATATACTTACGGGTCATAGACCTTCTTTATTTCCTGGAACTCATCTGGTGTGAGCGGCGCATCAGCAAAAAAGGGTTCGAAGCCCGTGGGCGCGTCCTATCGACTTGTTAGCTAGATATTATAAAAGGAAGCAATATCAAACATACCAGGCCTCTCTTGGCCTTTGATCGTCTCTTGTTCTTCTTCTTCTTAACCACACCTACGTCCAGTTCCATGTTGGCGAGAGTCCTTTCTTCGTCTGGGTTGGGCTTGGCTCCGTATGGAAGTTTTTCAGTGTCTGAAAGGTCATCGGTCTTTTCGGTTGCTTTTTCTTTGTCTAACTCTTTAGTGCTGCATTGAGGATCAGGCTTGCCATCTTGTTCGGCGTTGGTAGGTCGATCTCCAGTGATCCAAACAGACGCAGGCTTCTCTGGACCCTTTGTAAGTCCCTCAATCGCTTTGAAATCAACCTTTTGGATAATTTTCTTGTTCTGGTCAGTTAGGTCAGGCAGATCATCAGCATCCATGATGCCAGTGTCGTCTGGCGTTGAGAGAGATTTCGTGACAACGGCCCGTTGATCAACGGCGCGATGTTCAATATCAATAGGATTGGTAATCTCTTCGTGCAAGTGAGGGGCCTTCGTCTGAGTATGATCAGTAAAAGCTTTCTCTGTAAGTCCACCTGCACTTTTCTGGTGCTGGGGGATGCCTGGTTCATTGGCACTGACCTCGTCGCCGATAGTCTTCATAGTAGCAGTGGGGTTGGGTGACTGAGAAATGATCTCCTGCTCGCGAAAGCTGATAGACTTGGCAGGTCTGAAAGGCAAGTTGCCCGATATGGTTGATTTCAGGGGATCCATGTTGGATTCATCCATGATTGGCAGTGAAGTTGGTTGTAAGAAAGGTGGAATGGATGAAGAAAGATGGGGAAGGGATCGACTGTAAGAAGCAGGGGAGATCTGGGGTAAGTAGTATAGGGAAATATTGAAAGCAAGAGGCTATTCTCTTGTTAGATATTGTTTAGATGCAGCAATCAATAATGATCAAACGCCCTCAATGAATGTATATGAAATGCTGCGGGCTTCAATGTAAGACCTACTTTGAAAAATAGCCTAATTTATGCCCTTACTTATGAAGCAAATCCAGGAAATATATGAATTTATACACAAATCTGAGTGAAAGTGAAGTCGACCCCATACCACCCTACTCCGTATAGATCAGATCGGGCAGATAAGGCGGAGATGACATCCCGCGTGTCAGCTCTCACCTTCAACCTCTCACTCTCCCTTTTTCTTCTTGTTAGATCTTATGCTTTCTGTTTCGCAAAGATTCTTGTCGAAATACCTGGAATGCAGTGAAAACCCTAAAGACGTCGCATTAGCGTTCCTGACATGCCGTCCAAACCCGATACTCGAAAGACACCACAACTAGGTAGCGATGATCTGGTACCTTTTGACCATGTCGCTGCAGGACAGTAAGTTATATCCGGATGTATCCCGACCTATATCTGCCCTGATCTGCCTGGCCACGCGACTTTCCCCAAGTTTAGCGTATCTGGTCGCGCGGGGTTTGGTCTCCGCAGCAAAGTGGCGTCTTTCGCACATTTCCACTCATACTGACGACCTTCTTTTGTCTTCTAGTGACGGTGTTCGCTGCACAGTTTCTGGCGCCCTAATTGCGAAGCCATGCACAAAACAAGAAGTCGAGTTCTACGAGTCGAGCGCCCTCCACCCAGCGTTCCAAGAGTTCATGCCCCTCTACATTGGCTCGCTCTCGTCCGCTGAACAGCAGCAGCCACTGGCAATTGCTGCTGCTAGAGAATCCGGCGCCCTTTTTCTTCCCCAATCTGGCGATGCAGCCGTCGAATCTGCAAATCCGAGCGAGCCGCAGTCGCACACAGCCGCCGCGCAACAAATCCCTTCAGGCCCCGGTAAGGAGGACGCAGCATGGATTCCCTCTGGTGGCAAGAAGCTAGATACTGGATTATCGATCGTGCTAGAGAATGTTGCTTGTGGATTCCGTCGGCCAAACGTGCTCGACGTGAAGCTCGGCGCGCGACTATGGGCTGACGACGCGCCACCCGCGAAGCGGAACAAGCTTGACGTGGTGTCTAAAGAGACTACGAGTTCTAGTCTGGGCTTCCGTATTGCGGGAATGAAAATTTGGACTGGGGTGAATGGCGAGACCGATGAGGGCGAACGAACAAATCCATACGCTACCAAATGCGAGGGTGCGGAGGGCGAAAAAGGCGAAGTTATTGAAAAAGACGGTTATCGACGATATGACAAATGGTATGGTCGCTCTTTCAACGAGGATACTGTCAAGCAAGGCTTCGAGACCTTCCTCGCTGGTGCAAAAGCGGGCAAAGTGGACCGGTCACAAATGGTCGCTCGGCGCCTGGCGGAAGAATTGAAAAATGTCCAGCAGGTCATTGAATCTGAAGAGAGTCGAATGTACTCTTCTAGTGTGTTGGTGATCTACGAAGGAGATCCAGAGGCGATGGAGCTCGCAATTGAAGAAGAACAGAAAATTCCAGGACGACGTTCTCTGGAGGAGGATGATGAGGACGAGGATGACGAGGAGTTTGAGGTCCCCGAAGAAGCCATGCAGCTTGTCGATGTCCACCTTGGCGATGGATTGCCTCAGCAGGCCATCAACATCAGCATTGATCCACAGACTATGCCTATGCCTATGCCAACCCTGGACGACGAGGATGAAGATGAAACTCCCAAGGTTCATGACCTCCGTCTGATTGACTTTGCACATGCCAACTGGACACCTGGCCAGGGCCCAGATGATAATATTCTCAAGGGAATTCGCAGTCTGATTACCATCTTTGAGGGAATGGCAGAGTGATGCGCATAGCATGATTCAACGGTTGCGGGCAACCTTGAACTCAACAGTTGTTCAATCTCTTAGTCTGATTACTTCCCATTAGCTGAACCATATTCCCATTTGATTAGCCAATTCACTGTATTTCCATCTCTCAACTGTTCAAATCGCTAACATAGAAATGCTGACATAATCTCATCGCCGAGACTTCTCGATCTTCAACTTCGCGGAAATCAAAGCTACGGAAAACCTCTAGCCAAAATGTTCCCCACACGCGCCCTGCTAGGCCGATCGGTCTGGAAAGGTGAGTCTTCCTAGATCTGCAAGATCGATACTCCTCAATACGATCAAAGAAACAGCCCGCTAACAATGCCACTAGGCCCGAACATCGTCCCGTACGTGACCTCCAATTCACATCCAACGCAAACGGACCTTTACCCAGCATTGGATCATACCAAGGGGAATAAAAAATCCAATCCCAGAACCAAAAGCTAACCCAATAATCCTCGACAGTATCGCTCTCCCGCGCACTCTCCCTCCTCCCCCGAACACCCCCCCAATCCGCACCACGAAACGCGCAGCAACCATCCTCCCGAACTTCGTCGGTCTGCGGTTCGCCGTGCACAATGGCAAGACATACGTTGAGATCCAGGTGACAGAGGAGATGGTCGGTCGCAAACTTGGGGAATATGTTGCGTATGTATACACCATTCTCGTTTAATGCCCGCCTCGGAGATTGTCTCAACATGGTTGGATGGAATATGAACAGTGTTGACTGACTTCTTTCTTTGTGTTTAGTACCCGCAAGCGTTTCACATACAAGCAGTCAAAGAACAAATAGGCGGTTCGTTCGTTCGGTACTTGGTGCAGATTCCATGCCCTCTTTTTTGCATATGTGATGGGTGGACTGTGCTAGCAGAGCTATGTTGCATTCTTTTCTTTTTGTTTCGCCATACCATGTACAGTATATATCGTTGGTTTACGTGTGGAATTAGCTACACTTGGGACGGAGTTCACCAGTGGTTTTTTATATGGTCACAGTTTGTAGATATGTAGGGACCACGAGTCTGCTGCTCCAGCTACAGATTCTGTATTGGGAATCCCTTGTAGAAGGCGTCCGAGGTAAACAAGGTATTTGTGGACCCCGAAGTATTGGCAGATATGATATACTGATAACATAACATGATGGGATTTCACTAAGTTCGAATTTACATGGGATGGATAACCACCCAGCATAAATTGTATGGACAAAGCCAGCCCAAAGGGTAAAAACAAGAAACTCCATTCTTCAATGTGAACCGAGCCACCATCCGGACCAACAAATGCAGTCATGATCCCAGGGTCTCTCAAGACCAGTCCATACGCCGATGCACCATACCCGAAAAAAAGGAAACAGGAACGAAATGAAACAAGCATATAAGCCAGCTAAGAAGCACAAACAAACCCCATAAATAGCCCATATAATGAGACTACCGATAGAACTCGCCACGCTTCACACTAACCCCATACTCGGAAACCGCCATGCCCAAATCCTCCATCGTGAGAACCGTCCGACCCTGCCCAGACCCACCAGAACCACCGCCCCCAAAGCCAGGCCTCTGAATACCCAGGTGGGTATTAGCCTTGTTACCCTTCCCGCCGTCGCCGCCAGGAGCGGGCGCTCCGCCTGCACCGGCCGGGGCGTTCAGGCCCGATGCGGCGGCAAGACTGCCAATGGGGTTATTGGCGGAGGAGCTGTTGGAGGCGCGAATGCGCGCGAATTGGTAGGAGTCGGCGGCGATGTCTGAGACGAACTTTTGTGCTGCTAGGGCGAGGAGGCGGGCTAGGTGTGGTGGGGTTTGGCCCGGGCCTGTGCCTGGTGGTGGGAGGCCGGCTAGGGTGAGGTAGTGGGCTGTGACAGCGTCGGGGATCTGAGGAAGGGGGGTTTGGGGTTAGCGTAGTTCTCTAGTTGATTGTCACTTGTGTTTTACATCTCGTATCTCAAAGGTCATGTGTCAGATCTCATAGCTCGTAGCTCATATCTCGTCTGATGGCTCAGATGCCAGACGGCTCAGACGAGAGAAGCTAGACATGATATTGAGATAGTTCGACCGGAGAGGGTTGTCGTATGATCACACTTGGGAAGAAATAGAGAGGGGTGTTCATGGGATAAACTCACGATTGGAGCATAGTCATCCATTTTGCCTAGGAACTCGCGCAAGCTCGTTTCCTTCTTCGAGGGCTGCGGCGCTGGTGCCATAGGGTCGATACCGGGCGCAGTTGTATCGTCTGGATTAGCGCCAGGCTGGTTTTCGGTATTCATGTCGACTTCTTGTTCGATTGATACGTCGAGATCAGGGTCGGGTTTAATATTATCTTCAGTGAGGGGAGCTGGGGTGAGGTGCTCTGATCCGGAGGGAGGTTGCGGTGTCTGAGAGTCGGCCATTCTGGGCAATTTGGTGTACCCCTGCTGTATATAATTTGTTTGTGAGACTGCAGGTGAACTATCAATGGGCCCAATCAATGGTGCCGATGGTTGCAATAGGGAGATTATTCGCAAGTCACACGGGTAGCGCACAGACCACTTCACCTACTTGGTAGTATAAGTTCTCTACTAACGTTACATCACTCTGTATACTTTTATCTTCTGACAAATTTTATTCCTTTTGAATGTCGCTATGTATTCGTACAAAAGCAATCGCCACTCCAGCGCAATGTGCAATCCTATAGTAAAACAGATGGTTCCCGAAGAAACAAATCCCAGTCCCATTCCTTGACTCCGAAAGCAAAGTGCAAATCCAGTACTCAGACAACTTTGGATGAAAAGCTAATAAACAAGAAACAAATTCCACGAGGGCAAAGAGAAAATAAGAATGACTACTGTCCAAGCTGCATGTGTGGATCAATGTGGTCCGAGGTCGGTTGGTGCTGACCGTACTGGTTTCCGTGGACTTCTTGGCTGAGAGTCTGCATCAGGTTTTGCTCCGCCGTTTGATCAAACACAGACTGGCTGTTGGCATCTGGTGGAAGGCTGGGAGAGGCGGACATTTCATGGCCGGACACAGGGGTCCCATGAGCCCCGGCGAGCGCCATCATGCCCTTGATGCCCTCAACATGCGCCTTGTCTTCCTCGCCCTGCTTCTTCTGCCGCTCACGAGCTTCACGCTTGGCTGCCTGGGCGGGGGCGCGGGTCTTCAGTTCACCGGTGACAAACTTCAGGTAGTAAGGAACCTCGATTCCACTCTTCAGGAAGAAAAGCTTCAGGTTACGAGCCTTGTCCTTGAGCTGAACCTGATTACGGTCCTTCAAGGCCTCGCTGATGGTTCCACCAGGTCCAAACATCGCAAGTATCTGGCTCCAGTGAGGACCCTTGACGCGGTCCAAGCCGGCCATCAGTGCATTCTCTTCTTCGGTAGTCCAGGGTCTGCGTTGGCTAGGAAGGCCAGATTTGCGGCTGGTCGGGGAGGATTTCGCGGATGCGGCCATACGAGCACGTTCATAGAGGACTTGGGTAGGTTGTGACTGAGAGTAGTGAGGGATCCCAGACAGATAGCCATGGTTGGAAGACATGCCGTTTGCTCTGGCCTGCATGGCCTGCGCCGCGTTTGGGTTGTACTGCTGGAAGTTTGCCTGCAGCGGGCTTTGTTGGAAGGTCAGCGGTGAGGCTTGTTGCGCTTGATACCCGCCAGGTGGCGTAGGGCTGTGGTGATATTGTTGGTGCGTAGGCTGTACCGGTTGCTGAGCAGCGGTGTAACCTTGAAGGTATTGATGCTCGGGCTGACTCTGCGGTGGTGGCTGTTGCTGCTGGGGTTGAGGGTGATGAGGCATGGGTGACGGGCTGGCCTGAGATTGGGGCTGTTGGGGTTGGTGCTGCTGTTGCTGTTGCTGTTGTTGTTGAGGTTGTTGTGGTTGCTGCGGTTGTGACTGCGACTGCGACTGCGATTGCTGCTGGGACCGTCGGAGGCCATGGCCCTGGAGGGCAATCTGCGCGGCTCGGGCAGCACGTGCGACAAGATCACCATGCATGTTTCGGTCGACTGGGACTTCAACTTGTTGGTTGAGTGCAAATTGACCCTGGTGGGTGGTATTAGGTGACTCATGCGCGTCGCCATTCGAGCTTGAGGGTTGTCGTCCCTTAATGGTCTTCTTTCCCTATATCGTATTAGCTAAATGTTCGAACAAGCCGAAAGGTATCACATACTTGTTGAGTGTTGATGGCATCAAAGTTCTTCGAGATGTAGGAACTGAGGTCCCGAAGGAAGTCTTCCCAGTGGTACTTGTCTGGCAAGGAGCTCAGCGCTTCCTCGTTGTTGATGTCACTGAGAAGGATGTCACGGCGAGAGGTAAGACGGTTCACAAAATCCGTCTCGGAAGGCGCGAGCTGCCGGGTACCAGGACGTCTTGCTAGTAGTCGCTGCTCCATGTCATCGGGGAAAATTGAATAGAGAAGCTCAGTACGGGTATGGGCTTTGTTGTTCATGGCGGCAATGAAGGCTTGTGTCTTGAGCTCAAGGTACAACGCACCTTGAACCTTCAGCAAGCGACCACCTTCCGGAACAAAGACGTCCAGGAAGTGCTCGTTCAATTCGGCGAACCCGATTTCCTGGGAGCCGAAAATACTCGAGACAAAGGAGGCCAGGTTCGCCTTGCGAATGACATCGATCTGGGAAGGGTCTGTAATTTCAAGATCCGAGGGCTGAAGGAAAGAGTGTTTGACCGTATAAACTCTCTTTGTGTGATCAAACAGGGAGCGCATTGTAGCATACGCCTGGCCGTTCTCAGAATCTGGCTCGGAGACCATGGCAGTGAGGTCCTGGTAGGTGTTTTTGGAGAGGAAGGACAGGATTTGCGTAGACTACAGAAGGGAGGCGTAAGCATGAGCGCAATAGTGATTAACATGAGGTTGGTTTCTACTAACCAGGTTGTCCAGGATAGGAAGAGATTGGATCTTCAAGTGGGAGTTGGCTTTGAGAAAAGCAAAGCCTCTGGCGCCAGGAAACTCGTTGGACGGCGGGAGCTCCTGCGGACCCATGGCCACAGTCTGCTCCTGACGCTCAGTATGATCCATAATCTCGGAAATGATTGTAGCGACGTCGGGGTTGATTTCACCGTTGCCGTCCTGGGTCGTCGCAGCGCCGTTGGAGGTGTTGGAGGTGTCATGGGGACCGGGGTCAGTGACAGTATGGTCGGTCTGTTCAACGGTATCAATAACACCCTCCCCAAGCGCCGATGCCAATTCCTCTTCAATCTTGTGACCAGGGCCATGCTGATCGGCCATCAAGATGGAGTCGTCAGGTAGTGAAAGCTCGCCGTCGGGGCCAGCGTCCGTGCGGCGCTTTTTGGCAGCCGGAGGTGAGCCATGCTCCTCATCTTCAAGAATATGAGGGGGCTTTTGGTCTGCAAAATGATTTCAAGCCAAGATTAGTATGCAATGCATTGAGGTTCATCGGCGCAAGTGGTAGCTATGGGCGGGTGGTCGAGGCTCACGAGGCACGGGACAATCGGAACAAGAGAAATCATACCAAGGTCGCCTTCCTCAGAAGGGAAGGGGGAAAGTCTGGTGTATCCTGGCCATCAAAGGACGGCCGGGCGCCTCGAGTTTCAACCATCGGGAAAGACAGCTTGAAGTCGGGGTAGCAACTTCCGAGAGCAGAAATGAGGGCTTAGGGGTAGGGCGCGTTTGTAGGGCTTTGGGAGGTGAGAGGACGAAGGGATTTTATGCCGGGCGGTGAACGCGGGGAGAAGAAAGGATTCGGGGAAGAGTGTGGCGGTGACGAGTGGCAGTAATGATGTATCTTTCTGCGGGGTCTCCATACAAAAGGTACTTGACCCTTGAGGCCTACGGAGAATGAGTATTCAGTTCATTGCGTTTATTACGTATAAAAGGGGGATATTACTTAGACAGGTTCTTTTCTAACCCTTTTTTGACCTTTTTTGGGAAGTGCATATCAGATATATAGTAATTGCTATGCACTAACGTTATGGCTCTAATGAAGTGCTTCCATATATATATATCATACCATGATTCCTTGCAACCTACGCTTCTGGCGCTTACTATGGAATCAGTCCAATGGATGAGAGTACCCATTACCCTGTAGAGATATCCAGTTTCCCATACCCAGAAGTGTTCTTCGTCTCTATCTCTAGTCTCACTTGCGGACAACTAGTGCGCGTCATCGATCCTTAGCCCTAAAACGCATGCAACCTTGAGCTTCAACACTCTTAACTCTACCTGGGCTGTCAAAGCTCTCCACTCTACAGTTTGAAACCAAGGTTCTCTTACATTACTTTTATATTGGTTGGTTAGCCTGGAATTCATTTCCATTCAAAAATGTCATCCAAACCCAACCTTGGCACCTCAGAAGCAATGTCCACCCGAAGAAGCCGAAACTCTACACGGCTTTAAGCCTGAGCCTTGCGAATGTATTTCCGAAAACGGGTGTATCCATCGTTCAGTCGTCTGGTTCCCGCATATTCTTGTAGCTCTAAACGTTCACCCCTGGGTCTAGCCCGTGGATCTAGAAGATCCGTTTTCTTTATTACATAGTGCCCCCCCCTCCTCTCGGTCGCTCTGTAGGTCATGTTTCAAGTCAGTTAAAACTTGTGCAGTCAAGATCTATCGCCATGCTTAGCAAGGGCCTTTCTATCGCCCTCCTGGTCTTGCAGGGACTGGCAATGGTAGCAGCCCAAAGCTATGGTACCGAGAAAGTATGGGGAGTCTACGCATTCACCGTCTTTGGAGACAGTACGCCGGGTGCCCTCACCGGTTCTCGCACCCTCACCGAGTACGGAGCCAGCGAAATGGCGGCAGCAGCAGCAGCCTTCCGGTATCGTTATGTATCGACGGCTGGGAATGGTGCCTCCAACACTGGCATTCAGAACATCTCGCCAAACATTCTGGACTCGAACGATGTGCATGTGCTTTCGACGACGGATCAGTACATCGTTGCTTCCGCTCAGGCGTTCATGCAGGGTCTCTATCCCCCTGTCGATATGAACACAACCAGCGCTCAATTGGCAAATGGGTCGTACGCACAGGCACCGATCAAGGGATATCAGTATCCTGTAATTATAGCACTCGGCGGCTCGGATCCTGCGTCTTTCTATGTTGAGGGACAAGCAAATTGTGAAATGCATGGAGCCGCCGAGGCTGAATATCGTGACAGCGAGGAAGTGGATTTGATCACACGGGACACAGAGGCTTTTTATGTGAAACTCTGGAACTCAGCCCTGTCTGGCGTTTTTGAGGATGAACGCTCATCGACATATACAAACGCGGTGCCCATCGCAGATTATTTGGATTACGAGCTTGTGCACAATGAGTCATTGACTAAAGTGCTCAACCACGCCGACATCATCCGTGCACGCTCGCTGGCTGATAAGTTCCTATACGACACAAACAGTCAACAGGACTCTTCCCGTGGGTCTATTATCAGAGCTGTCAGTCCGATTGCGGGCAAGACGTTGGCAACGAGTATCATGGAAGCCTTCGATATGAACATTCAAGAAAATGGGTCTCAGCAGAAGATGACAATGCTGTTTGGCGGAGACGAGCCTGCTATGGCTCTGTCATCTCTGTTAGGGCTTGCAAACCAGCACCAGACCAATTTCTTCTCTCGCCTTGTACGGGGTGGTTCGTTTGTCTTCGAGTTATATAGCTATGAAGAGGATGAGGAGTACCCCACGTACCCAGGAAGTGACAATCTCTATGTCCGATTCCTGCTGCACAATGGAACCGATGATACTACGGAGTTCCAGCCATATCCTCTGTTTGGCCACAGCCCCAGTCACTCCTATATTCGATATAGTGAGTTCCGCGCTGAGCTGGAAACTTTTGCGCTATCCTCCATTCAGGAATGGTGCCTAGTGTGCAACTCTGCATCTATATTCTGCACAGGAGTGATGGGTACAGATAATTCTGAACCAGAGAAGAAAAGGAGTATGGCGCCTGCCGTGGCTGGCGTCATTGGTGCAGTTGTGACACTGGTTGTTGTTGGGCTTTTTACTGTCATTGGCTTTCTTTTGTGTGGTGTTCGCAGGCGCCGAGAGAGCAAGCGAAGTTTGGGCGGGTTCAAAGGGACAGACAAGATGGCCAGTGATACGGACGTTGCTTTCCGTAGCCCTATCTGGGGTGGTGCCAAGACCGAAAATCAAATCCAGGATGCCTCTGCTGGAGTTGTTGTCCAGGGACATGAACGGCTTGGGAGCTGGGAAATGGGTCAACAAGGAAAAGAGGTTGATCACATTGGATCAGATACTGCTGCAAGATCGCGGTTTGAGGACGCTGAAGAGGACTGGGGTTTGCACAGTCTTCAGCCGGTTAAAATCAGGGAAAGCGTATAGAGGTTTTCATTTAGGGCAAAAATGCCAATTCGTCGTCTCTCGCGTTCGAACCTCGTACCTCTTTGACACCTGCCTCGAAAGAATGTAAAGATGCATCTTTGTAAAACGAAAGTTGAGGCTTACAACGTCCATGTTCGCGCCTTCTTCATCCCGCACTTACAAGATATTCCATGTGTTCTATTTTCTTTCGTTTCCATGATCCTAGCAGGTACACGACCCAGGTACACGACCCAGGTACACGACCCAAAATGAAATATTCTGTACCAATTTTGTTGGCGCTGAGGAGCCAACACACCGAGGTTAACTGCAAGTGGACCAGCCAAGCAATCCATTGTGAGTCTCCTGTATCCTGGTCTGATCCTCAGAGACCTGCTGGCTCGGGGTCTAGCAGGCTTGCCTATCTCCCAAGAAGGAATGCTCTGTTCCACAGGATCTGAGAGAAGACCATTGGTGACCCCGACACGGCCATTGAAGGACCACGCTGACAACAGATATAGGCAGATCAAAACCTCTCAATCGAAGCAAAAAGCCAGTTCTCTCTGAGAATCCCCAGAACCGTTCAAACAAAGGACCAGCAAAGCCACGACCAGGCAAAAAAGTGATATCGAAAGCCAAGTCCCAATCTCGTGCTGCCCAGGACATCAAGACATCAGGGCCTACTTTGTCCACCACTGATACAGGATTTGCACAGTTTCTACAGAAGCACACTTCACCTAAGCATCAGCGAGTTACAGCTGGAGGGAAAATCGTGCCAATGGAACTGCCGAATCCCCGTCTGGAGGGCATTTCACCTGTGCTTATGGTCGTGATGGATGATGACCCTTCGGTTGTTGGGCGTGTCTTCCTCGGTGATAAAGCGGTGGCCGGTCGACAGGCAGATGGGTCTGGAGATGACCGAAGGAACTCCTTCTCTTCGGATGAGGATACTCTCCGTATATATGGCGAGACATCTAGGTCGATTTCGCGTTTGTACCCCGCTGACCCTCTCTATCTGGATCTACGTGTTCCTCCTCGGCGTACTCACAGTCCTATCACAGACGACGTGCCGCTTCAGCAGGTTCCACGGACCCCACTGTTTGTGCCAGATCCAAATCAGCCCTCTTTCATTCAGTTGGGTTTCAGCCTTGGCTCACGGTCCCGATTTGAGTGGTATGCCGATGACCGTGCTGAGAGATGGCTCTCGTGGGCTTATGAAATCCAGGAAGAGGAGTTTGTGATGCAAGCATTTGTGCTCAGAATGAGGAGCCTAGACAATTGGCCGGGGGTTGATTTCTATCGTCGGTATATCCGGTGTGCATGGATCTGTGGCCCTGTGGATACCGAAGAGGCCGAAGTACGACTGCGACACAAACTGAGCGTGCATGAAAAATGGCTGGCCGACGTTAACGAGGCTATAGCTTTAGACCCTTGGTCCAGGCCCGACGGGAGATCGCTGCACCACCGTATTTACAACACCAACGAGCGTGCGAGGATTTTGGCCGCTCTCGAAGAGCTTGAAGGAATCAGGGACATCCAGGCCGATATGAATCTTGGTGAGCATTCAATCTCCGGAACCAACACCAGCACTTTTCGGGAAAGCACCATGGAACCAGCCGTTCAGGATGGCAGCCATGCACCAGCCGATAGCCCGGATGATGGGGTCTCCAACGATGGACCAAATGATATCTCATTCGTGAGCCATGCAAGAGTTACTGGACCAATCACCATCATAGATCCTCACACTTGCCGTCCCATTGACCTGCAGGGACTACAGCAGAAAGCGAAAAAGAGAGACGCCAGCGGACATGGCCATGCCAATGGAGGTGGCGCGCATCTTGGCCAAAGAAAGGGCTTGGCTGAGGTGAACTCAGAGATGGTCAGCTATGATAGTATTGGTGAGACGACCGGTACGCCGATTCCGGTTGGGAGTATGGACCGGTCTCTTGATATCGGCCAATCCTCCGGTCAGGCTGTCAAAGAATTGACTGAGAGTGATAACGGCACGTTCCTGGCTGAAAATAATCAGCTCACATCGTGGATCCCGCAAGAGATATTGACAGACTCTCGTCCGGTGAGAAAAAGGGTATCCAGTAAGACTGTGCCCAGGAATTTCGGCCGCCATCGCTACGGCCCGGGATTGCAGACTATCACGGAGATCGAACAGGAGTTCTTTTCTCCAGATGAAAACGAGGTTGTTGCTGTTATCGTCGGGAGTCGTACTGTTTCAAGCCCTGTGATGAGAAGGCAAACGTCTCCGGCCAAACCGTGGCATTTGCGCGATACTAACTATGAGAGCAGTAGCGGCCAAAAGGCGGACCCTGATACCAGTGACATTGCATCTCAAAAGGGCCAAGAGGCCGAAGTCAAAGAGTGCATTGAAAGGATCGCGCGAGGCAAAGTGGATGGTGAGAGCAAAACTACAGGAGACGACAATGGTGGCCTTCAGGACGATGAGCTCGTTATGGGATCTTCCGCGGAAGCTTCCGTACAAAAACCATCGGCGCAACGTCAACGCAACAGATCTCGGTCTATCGGCAGTCAAACCATCATTCTTACAGACACTCTCAGCGCAAGCAGTCTCAATGAGAATGAGACCTTGCAATTCGACTTGGAAGACTTGTCGGACTCGTCATGCACGTCGGAAATACCTCTGCTCTCGAACCCTTACCCTTCCCCTCACATCAGGGCCCGCCTAACTATTAAGCCAAGTTACCCCACCGTGCTTTCGTCGCTGTTGATCCAATTGCACGCTCCACATACTGCACCCGCCATTGTCTTAACCAGCAAGATCGAAGTCTACGCCTCCTTTGCGATGAGCTATCGGGGTTGAGCATTCTGGATACTACTTCTATTTAACAAAAAGGCCCAAAAAAAACAAAACAAAAAAAGGACAGACAACGATCTTAGCGATATTATTAACAATGGACATTCGTTATCACGTGACATGACACAGACCCTGAAATGGCGTTAGAAAGTCGCCACCAAACATTCGGGCCATTTTTTTGATTAAAGAGTGGGATCTCGCTGTAGTTTCCTGTATACTGAAGTTCCCACTAGCTGTTTTTCATCCTCTCCTTCTCTCTCGTTTTATAATAATCGACCATCAATGCAGACTCAGTCAAGTCGCGACATTCCACGTTTCTACTGCCTGGAATGACTAAGCGTGCCTCCGCGTCCTTCTCCACTCCAATTCCTCCTTGACTCGTTTCTTCCTGGCCTCTCAATTCTTGTCCCTTTTTTTAGTTGTCTGGCTGTGATATGCAGTCTCTTCTATGATTGCTGTTTTCGTGGTCCTTGTCTTCTCATATCTGGGTGGCCTCCATCGCAACGACCTGGCCTCTTACTAACAATTGCCCCCACCGTTATATCCCCAGCCGGCACTTGGCACTTGGGAACATCATACCCCCCGTTCTTTCAGTCGCCTCGCGCCTTTCTTTTGCGCAGCGTTTCGTTCGCGTCATCTTGTCTACTTCCTAGACTACTGCGATCTCGATTACATTCTCGGAGCCAACATGACGCAGCTTTTCGCCTCCAGTCCGTCGTCGGCGGTGACAAACAACAACGAGAAGCGTGGGATTTCCGGCCTCTCTCTTCCCTCCCGAAAACACTCCAACGAATCCAGTCACCTTCCGACGAGAATCAAGAACTTTTTCCGCATCAACAGTTCAAGCAGCCACTCCTCGCCTGGTACCCGCCCTGGAAGCAACGAGCCCGAACGAGACCGGGACAGCCATGGCAGTTCCGCCAAGAACGAGAAGTCTGCCTTCAGGCAATCCCGATTTATGCCCACCATCGGCCGCAATCGTTCGACCACCGTTGCCAGTGAGGGTAACCCCCTCGACGATAGCATGTCGCCTACCGCGACCGCCAACCCGTACTTTGCGCACCAAGGCCAACCCGCATTACGGCATCGCAATGATGGGTCTGTGCCATCTTCTCCTCCTGACACCCCTGAGTTGCAGGTCACTGGGGTCTCCGCGGTCGAGCAGGCAACTACCGCAAACAAGGAGGAACTAGCACGCAAGTTGCGCCGTGTGGCTTCTGCTCCGAATGCCCAGGGGCTATTCACAAGTGGTCAGAATGGGGAGCGCCCTCAAACGGCCGAGATGGGCAAGGAGCCTCTGACGGAACAGGCCGGTTCAGATAAGGATGATGTTTTGGCTGTGCCGACAATTGGTGCTGATAACGCTTCTTTCCGTCGGACGTACAGCTCCAATTCTATCAAAGTTCGAAATGTGGAAGTTGGCCCTGCTAGCTTTGATAAGATCAAATTGATCGGAAAAGGCGATGTTGGCAAGGTTTATCTGGTGCGCGAGAAGAAGTCGAGTCGTCTCTATGCCATGAAGGGTAAGCTCGGTTTATTTTTGGAATGTTTCAGTTCTTTCAGTTCTTCATACTAACTTGCGAATAGTGTTGAGCAAGAAGGAAATGATCAAGCGCAACAAGATCAAGCGTGCCTTGGCCGAACAGGAAATTCTGGCTACCAGCAATCATCCTTTCATTGTCACACTTTACCACTCGTTTCAATCTGAAGACTATTTGTATCTCTGCATGGAGTACTGTAGTGGTGGCGAGTTCTTCAGGAGTACGTTTCTTTTGATCATGGATCTTGGAATTTTTGCTGACCCAATTCTCAGCTCTTCAAACTCGCCCTGGCAAGAGTATCTCTGAGGATGCTGCTCGATTCTACGCTGCAGAGGTTACTGCTGCGCTAGAGTATCTTCATCTAATGGGTTTCATCTACCGTGACTTGAAGCCAGAGAGTATGTATCTCGTCGTCTCGCCAATTGGTGCACCGCTGACCATTTTCCAGATATTCTGCTCCACCAATCTGGTCATATTATGCTTTCAGATTTCGATCTGTCAAAGCAGTCAGGCCCTGGAGGAGCCCCGACGATGATTCCCGCACGCAGTGGTGGCGGAAACTCCACCACGGCTTTGCCTACCATTGATACCAAGTCATGTATCGCTGACTTCCGCACAAACTCATTCGTTGGAACGGAAGAATACATTGCTCCCGAGGTTATCAAGGGATGTGGTCACACCAGTGCTGTGGATTGGTGGACATTGGGTATCTTGATTTACGAGATGCTTTATGGCACTACCCCATTCAAGGGCAAGAACCGAAATGCCACGTTTGCCAGCATCCTCCGGGATGAGGTGAACTTCCCCGAACACTCGGGTGTGCAACAGACATCACACCTGTGCAAGTCATTGATCCGCAAACTGCTAATCAAGGATGAAACCAAACGCCTGGGTGCCCGCGCTGGAGCATCTGATGTCAAGACCCACCCCTTCTTCCGACAGACACAGTGGGCTCTCATTCGTCACATGAAGCCACCTATGATTCCCCACCAGGGTCGTGCCGGCACGGACACTGTGAATTTCCGCAACGTCAAGGAGAGTGCCAGCGTAGATATTGGCGGCACAGACGCCACCAAGATGAAGGGCGTTCCGATGGATTCGGGCTTGGCAACTCCGAACGGCGAGCTCAACGATCCCTTCGAAGAGTTCAACAGTGTCACTTTGCACCACGAGGGTGACATGTAAACTCATGCGGTTTTCGTTTCCCTTTCGATGTCTAACTTGTTTCTTTTATTCGATACACGAGGGGGACAGCTGTATATGCATCGGCTCGCTGACGACCTATGATGCATTAACGACTGTATTTAGATGTTTTCTTTTCTTTTTTTCCATTGCAATCCTCGTTGGGTGTATGGAGTGTTTCGGGTCTTTTTTTTTTTGGCGGATCTATCCAAGCTTTTTCTCGTTTCTTTTCATCCCATTACTATGCCTGTTGATCCTGTTTCCTTGCATTTTTCATTTCCCTTGTCGAAAGCCTTGGATCACTCTCGGTTTTCTCCGTCAATCCGGGTACCACATGGCAAAAGTTTCTTGGCATTTACATTGCCATCCATTGCTCGTGCCATGGGCCTTGAGGTCCTTTGGTTTCTGCGTGTTTCTTTGGAGATTGTGACATACATTTGCTCTACTTTTTTTTCTTCTTTTTTTTGCAGCGGACGGCGTTATGGATTACTCTTTTGTCGTTTTCGGGTTACGCTTTCAGCGTGGCACTTGTAGGGATCAGCTGATTATTGTGATTTTTTCAAATTTCAACCGTTTCAAGTTACATGGATACTACGGACTGATTCTTCTACGATACTTTGACGTTCTATGTTTCTCTCATCTTGTCATTTGTCTTGAAAGTCTTCAATGCCAAGGAAATCTGAGCGTGGGCACGCATCAAGTATTCCCTCTGCGAATTCCTACACCTAAATTTGATTGTAGATTTCCAACCCTTACGTCTATTTTTATAACATTATAGGATGACCGTGGTCTGGAATCCACCTAGATTGTATTGAAGTCGTTTCGGGTTGCAAAGATATCACTGCAAAGCAGGAACAATATCACAATTCACATGCTATCTAAGAATCGGGCGTATATTCAATGCGAATGATGGTGATCAGCAAACACACCCTGCTCCGCACACGCCTTCCGACACTCCTCCAGCATCTTCGCCTGCTTAGCAACATCCCCCAAACGACCAATAACCTCCTTATTACCATCATAGAAGGTAAAAACAGCATAAGGAATATCAACCTCCTCACAAAACTCCTTAACAAACTCCTGAGTCCTGCGCAAATTGTGTCTCGGAATCCGGGGATACAAATGATGAATCGCCTGGAACTGAAGACCCCCATGAAACCAATCCAACCAAGTCGGACAATCAACATCCATAGTCGTGCGCAGCATCCTCTGAGGAAACGACTCCAAAGGCCCAAGATCAGCAGTCGACATAGCATAATGCGAAAGCGTAATCTGCACATGCAACGGCGCAGTCACCATATGCGAAATAAGCACAAACGCAACCCGACTCCACCAACTGGGAATACTGCACCAGACAATACCGTACCCAAACCAACTCCAGAAGAAAACCTGGCCAGCTAGTTCGAACCAGCGATGCCACCATCCAGCACCGTGCTTCGGACCGAGACCGCAGATGATATGTTCCCAGCTCAAGAAGTAGAGGTTGAAGCGGCCGAAGAGGAGGATCGGGTAGTACATGTAATGTTGATATTTGACCGTGATCTTGGCAAAGGCATCGTATTCCATAATCCGATCGTAGTATGTACTGCGCAAACTACCGAAAAAGCGATGCGACAGCGCGAAGAAGGGCATGAGCTCGATATCGGGATCGTGCTCTGGCGCATTCGTCACGATGTGGTGGACATTGTGGCTTCGTTTCCACCAGCCCAGACTCAATCCTCCCAGGTAATCGGCGATTATCATTCCGATCACCGTGTCGACTTGGTAGTCGTGTGTGATGCCCATGTGTCCGGCATCGTGGGCGGAGAAGACGAGTTGGTGCCAGAAACAGCCGAGGAAGAAGGCTGAGAGGCAGAACCAAGATTTGCCTAGGAAGAAGAGGAATAGGCTGAAGAAGAGGGTGTAGCGGGTTATTTCGATCGCATAGGCTGAGTAGTTGCAGTTGTAGAGACCGGCTGCGCGAATACGCTCGTTTAGCTGGCGGTATTTCTGTGTGATGTTTTCTTGGTGCTTTGCGTCCAGGGGTGGGTATTTGGAGAGATCTAGGTCGATTTCTTCTTGGGTTCGGGCGTCGATCACGTAGCCTCGGGGTTTGTCTTCTGTTGCTGGGGGCGGGATTGCGCTGAATACTGAGGACATGGTTGAGACGGATAGTCTGCGGCGTAGGCCGAAGGCGTCTTCTTCAGTCTCGAAGATTGGAGACGGGGGTGCTGAGATCTCTTCGATTGATAGCTCGGAGTTCACCAAGTATTCAGTCTCGTTTGCGTCTGTTTTATGGTATGGGCGGAAACGACCGCCTTGGATTGGAGGCATGAAGTTGGTCCATCTTCCTTCGATGCGGCCGATTTGGAATTTGTTCATGCGCTGGCGTGCTTCCTGTGAATGTAGGCTTAGGGATGTTTGTCAGTATAATGGTCTAGTCTTATCGAGGCGCTGTGTAGATGTGTTGGAGACTCACGCGTTCACTTCGTCGGTGGCATCTTTGCCTACCATGTGCTTGATGGCCATGTCGCCTCCCGGGTGAAATTTGATCCAGGCATCTAGCCTGAGAACTTTGTCGTCGACGATGATGATCAGCTTGTCTTCGGCAATCATGCCTTCGACCTCACGTCTCGACAAGACCTTGTCACTGGCCTTCTCTCGGGTGGCCATATTGTCGATCTATGGTTAGAGAGAGAGGAAAAAAGGAATGAATGTGATCTTGGACCAATTTGAAATATATAAATATATAAAACTTTGATGAGGATAGAAGGGTATTGAAGGTATTGAAGTGAGTCCAAGACAGTTATATTAGAACATCCTTTTTACAGAACATTTCATCTATTCTTCTACCTAGACTTAGCGCCACCTTGCAAGACATGCTCCTCTAGACCTAGGGGATACAAAGGGGGCAGTGTCGAGTGGTCCAATGGAGTGGGCGTAGTATCCCATGGGGGAGTGGACTCTGGATATTGTGGAGAGAGGACAAATACATGTATGGCGTTGGTAGCAGTACGCGTATCCAGAGCCCGAAAAGACACCGCACTCGCTGATATGTCGAGCTAAAACAAGCTTAAACTTTGGTTGCCCCTGTCGGAAATTGACAGATCGCTGAAACTAAATCCTTCCCCCCTATCCATGTGGTTGATTTTACTCCACTAGGGGACCAAAGGTTTCTAAATGGTGCATGGAATCCACCGAGAACATTCTCTGCGCCGATCTCACACACAATATCATATTTATAAGTCTCAACTGTGTCTCTTAATTTGTCCAAAGACACTTGTAACCCCAATTATTCTAATTCCATGGGGCGAGTCCTTCGTATTCGCATAGTGGCCGGTGTACGCAAAAAAGCCTTGGCACGTGCTCACAGTAACCCTAGGAAACAACGTTATCAGGCACGGGGCACAGGCCATACGTAGCGCTACACTTAATAAGTGTCTGATAAACTGTAAGAGGCAAATATATCTCTTTCGCCCCTCTGTTGCCGCTCGAGCCCCGCAACTAAGGCGACAGGCTAACTGTGCAACGTGGTACCCCGTACGTACTTACGTACTAGATCCTCTATCTCAGGGCAAAGTCGCCACTTGCCCGATTTGCCATATCCCCTGGTTTTGTTCCAGGGTTCAAGTGCGTGCCCATGTTTTACGGTAGAAAATGATTTCAGAGTTCCTGTCAAAGAATCTGCCAATAATCTCCGAGACAGTGGTTTGGTTTGTCGCTCCTGATTCAACTGACAATTTGATACGTCCACGTATCCAGGGGTTTCATTCTAGAATCGGTGATCCCGATATTGACTGCTGCCTGTAGACTATTCATAGTGGATCAACTATTCTGGGAAAACTATCTAACCAGTAACTGTTCTAGCAGGTGCGACAAGGGCAAAAGTCTCCACGTGTTCCAGAAAAGGTACAACTGAACGTTTCTGCGCTAGGAAATCCATTGTTAGTGGCGGCTATTTTGCCTAAAGCTTTCGTAGTCGTTTTTGAATTTTCACATTAGGTTTCCGAGGCGATGGCCTGGACTTAACAAAGTTGAGCTCGGTTTCCAATTAAATGGCGTAGCTTGCGTGTGAACCTAGCACTAAATTCGATTCTCTGAGAAATTCGATTTTTTATAAGTACGAATACGACCTTGCCTTTATCCTTCTCCGAACTACGTGAATTGAATGCCTTTGGCCGTCCTTGATCCTTTACAATGTCTGATAGTTATCAGGTAGGTTGCCTTGGATTTAGGTCCTTCATTGCTTTGAGGCAATGAGCACGTTATGTTAGTGTCGAGGTAGCCCCTTCACTTGTACAGTATGATCTTGAAAAGCATAGTATCAACCGTGGGGCGCTAGAATAAGAGCCCGAATGGTTGCTTTTCTATGACTCTGGGTTGAACACATAATACGTGTCAAAAGACGAACACTTGTTCTCTTCTAAGTATTCGAAGAACTAAATGATGAACAAAGCCATTGTGATGTAATTTTCCCCGGCTGAATTTGCCTCGATGCGGATGGAAATACTTCTAACGTTGCTCTGCTACTAGTATGTTGGGTTTAGACCAGCCTTGAGCATCGGACCGACAGTACATATGCGGTCTGACGACACGAAGATCCATGTACGTGCATGCGTGAAAAATTTTCATAATCCCAATTTTGCAATCGAAATCTATGCATGTAGCTGAGACCGAGGTGCAGCTAACTATTGACGATCTAAATGCAATATTGATCACAGGCAGATGTGTACGGTAAATATGCAACACTGGAGACGTCATTGTTGGAATGGGCATCTCTAAATGAACATATTACGTATGGCTAGTTCTAAGGCCAGATGCCCGAACATGACCACATCCTATTTCTGACTCACTATAGGGAATGCCTAAATCCAGAAAACCTCTGAAGGGAGACGGTAAAATTGCGGTCAGAAAGCGCGAAGGCCATGCTACATATCATCATTGTGGGGTAGGTATCCCGAAATAGCCAGGCACGATGATCGCTCAGTTGATCTAGCACATACAAGGGAATTTCAAGCATCCATTTCTAGCTAGAGACTGCAAGTGAGGATCCTGCACATCTACAGTACATGTACTATGTGAGATGACTGCGGTCCAGATAACTTTTCTTGAAATCCAGTAGACACTACCGGTTTTACGTGGAATAAGTAAACTTGAGCGTCTTTGTAGCCTGCCCAGTCCGCGATGTGCAACCTGAGACTTTGATAGTACATTACGAAATTGAGCCACGGGATGGGGCGAGACTGAACGAGTACAAGTCGCTGATCAATATTGAACTGCATGATAGCTGAACTACTGTAGCGTACATGTAGATCAGTTCTCTCGGGTCGGTGGCACAGATCTCACTACACGGGTACTTATGACATCAGTTATGGAGCATCCTTGGCCTTTGAGTTTGTCCTGAGATCAATCAGGTCGAGGCAAGGCGATCAAGGCGGTTCAATTCGTCATAGATGATCGGGGGGATGGGTGCAATTCTGGCTGTAAATAACGGCACCACTTCCTGTTTGTCGGAAACTCATACCGCTGCAGTTTTCCAACGAGCTATTTGAATCCATATCTCTATATCCATCAGCCCTCAGGTCCTTGATTTCAAGATACTTTGATTAGCGCTGACATCCTTAATCACAAAGGCCCGTCTAGTGACTCAGACGGTCGTACGTGCGACAATGCCCTCGACTTTGATCATTGCTAACATCCTTATTACAAGCCTCGGACGATGCTCAGACTAAGGATCCCGAGGAAGAAACAACCCGGGGCGAGTGATAGCGGGAAATGAAAGTATATCATCACATTAAATGCGATGAACTCCAGAGCTTAAGATATGAACCACTACATTTATCGCAACTTTCCTTACCTTCGTGTTTCCCGTCTAGATATAAGTATATACTCACGGAATCTTTGTGCACAGGTAGTACCGTCGTGATTACGAGAGTAAATATGTTTCCCCTCCATGGAAAGAGGAGGCCATGGCTCAGTGCCTTTGAAACAGTAGTAAAGTCCTAGTCTTGCTGGCGTTGCCTAATGTTGGTAATGTTCGGGTCAGATGTCGTCGTCTATCTATATGAACGGTCAGTGATCACTCTAGACAGCTAAGGCTGTAAGGGATCTAGTATACAGTAGCAGCCAATTACTGACAATGTCATTATACAAAAGAGTAGCCGGAAATCTTATTGAGTAGAAAATAAATAAAGGATTCTTTGTATCGAGTTGGAGTCATACTCTACCTGGATTTGCGTTTACTGTTAGTGTGGAACAAACACCTGTGGCGAATTAGTACTCTGTACACAACTGTAGTTCCAATGTTACTAAACCTTTTCATATAATGGCAAGAATAGAATATCACTGAATTAATACCATGAAGTAACTTCGTCAGGAAGACGTGTAATTTGATATGACATATAGTGAACGATATATATATAGCCAACTGAATTACGCCGTACCTTCGTTAAGGCTAGGCAAGACACACGCCCTTTTCCATACTATATCTAATTGTCTAAAATAGACCACAACTTACAAAAGAGCGTAAAGAGTAAAAATTAAAGGAAGAAGCCTAAGACAAACAAAAAAGGTAAGATGAAGTGGCATATCGGGATCGGGAACCTTGGGCAGACGCGTCCCGAACCCGAGAAAACCGCAGCTCACAACTCTCCAGAGCAAACACCACTCACAGCCTCCAATTGTCTTATCAGCAAACAAAATCCCAATAGAAACTTCAACCATGTCCACCTTTGCGCCCGAAGACCCTGACTCTCACGATTATTCCTACACCGAAGCCGACCCCGCGACATCCACCCCTCCGATCCCCCAAGAACAAACAATGGACACCGACACAGAAGCCTCGCACGGCCGAGGCCACTCAAACAATCCTCTCTTGGGTGATAATCCCCTCGTGTCAGACTTGGAGCAAGAGGTGCTAGACGAATATGCTCGCTTGTTGCGGAATGTGAATCAGGTACGCGGAGAAGATCTCTGTTCCCTCTTCAGAGATCTCGAGGATTTGCTCGAGTATCTAAAGATGCCTACCTGATGGGCAATGACCCAACGGATTTTATCTATCTCAAACCACCAAGACTCATACTGATTGATTCCTGCGCACAGCTCTCAGACAAACTCTCCGACCTCGCTGGTTCCCCCGCTTCCATGCCACTCGATGGCCTCCGGCTCCTCGAGCGCAAGACTGCTACTGTTTGCACTTTGCTGAAGGCTAGTGTGTATAGCATTGTCCTTCAACAGCAGATCTGGAACGAAAATGAAGAGCAGCAGCAACAACAACAGCAGAATGAAGACCAGCACTTCCAGGACCAAGATTATCAGTATGGAGGCTACGACGGGGAGGGAGAGATGACGTTCCAATAAGCATGTGAGATGATAGTCTTGTCATTGTTTTATGATTTTGTTTACTCGCGTTTTATACCCGGGGTGTTGTTTAGTTTTGAGTCCGTTTCTCATAGATGGTGTTATGGAAAGAACCTTGTTGATTGAATCTTCAAATATGCTGTGAATAACTCGATATACTAGAGAACTGAAGACCCTTTCATGTTTAACAACCACTTATACAAGTACAATGCAAAAGACACAAGGAGAAGAGGAGAAAAAGAGAAACATTATATACACGCTGGTACGAAACACCAAGCCAAGGCCAGAAGACCCTAAACCTTGCCAGCGTAGTACACCTTGCGCACGTCGACGATCTTCTTGCCGAGTGCGTGAGCGACCTGCTCGGGACTACGCTGGCTCATAATGGCCTCGTAGGCGGCCTTGACCGTGTTCATGGGGTTTCTTGACCGACCAACACGGGCCGACAGATCGTGAATGCCACATGCACGGCACATCTCCCAAATGAGATACTGGACACGGAGACCGAAGCCTAGATTATGTTAGAAGATATTCTGTCGAGAAAGACAGTAAATAAACATACCTGGGGGGCGGTGCATAAGCTGCAACTCCGTGGCTCCCACCTTGCCCTTGACATCACCGTAGATGGTGCGGTTCTCGTAACGGGGTATGGGCTGCATGTTGCGGATGGCACGATATTGCGACTGGATCACTGCATCTGCAGCTTCGTCGGACTTGGCCTCACCAATACCCAACAGGCCGTTTGTATTGCCGGCAATAGACAGACGGTATGCACGGCGAACCTTTCCTAGACGGGTCTGGTTTGTGACGCTGTGTGAAACAAGGGTCTTGGTGCGGAGGCCCTTAACCTGTTGCTCGGTGTAGCCTGTCTTCAGGAGAAGGCTCTTCAAAGCATCTGTCATTTCCTCGGCTGCAGCCGACCGCTCCTTCTCGCCTTTCTCGGCGGCAGTCTTGCGTTCTTCCACACGGGGCTCGTCAATGGTCTCGCCAGGCCCGAAAAGGTCTGGAACAAGTGCACTGTGCGGGTTCAGCTCGTTCTCCTCCTTGCCGTGGGTGACCCGCAAGCTGTTGGCGAATTTCACGAAGCTTGAACCTGACGCGTGATCTTCACTGGGAAGCTCAACGAAGTAGCGGCCCCAGTCCTCCGCGAAATCATCCTCGGTCTTCATCTTGAAATTGATGTCCGAGTTGGACTCCGGGGCGCGCTGGTGTCGGTCGATACCGGGTTCAATCACTGAGAAGTCGTCGACATACTTGAACTTCATCGGATCGGATCGTTCCTCGAGCTGCTCGGCCAGGTCCTTCGGGTCGATAGCCGCCTCGCCGGCGTTGATGGCGGCCATCTGCGATTCGGAGTACTGCTTGGCGAGCTCGGCCTTCTGCTCTTCCGTATAGGGCTTGAATTCGCCCGTCTGAGGGGCTTTAACATTGGGAAATTTCGGTTTCCGGTTCGAGAGAGAGGCGGGAGTAGGATGGAATTGGCGACGAGGAACTCGCGTGCCAGGTGTGGCAGCACGAGTGAAGCTGCAGAAAAGGCATCGTGCTGGCCGTGTTAGACTCATAATGTCGATGCAATGGGCCAGCTACAGGCTGGTTCAAAGCTCCGAGAGAAACAAACGCGAATTGCGGAGACAATTGGGGGCAAAGACCAAAGCAGTCGGAGATGAAGCGTATGAATTTCTCTCCTGCGGGCGGTCAGTCCCCAACCAATCAATGGCCCCATAGATGGGTTTCTAATAAATTTCCCATTTGGCGATTTTTCGTCAAGAAATCATTCCGCAGTCACTTCTCTCCTTTACATGTTTGCCGTTCGCTTCTCCGTCCGACGCATTACTTCCTCTTGGCTACCTCGAGCCAGTCAACTACGACCGACTTCCGACTTCTACGTTCCTCGCCCTGCCAATGCTCCGGTCCCCGCAATAATGCAGAACACTCCCAGGAAACACTTCGCCGGCAAGCAGCGCAAGAAGGCGAAGGTCGAGAAGAATAAGAGCAGTGGACACGATGAGGTCCTCCTCGCCGACATCAACAACCTTCTTAAGCGCAGTCAATCCGAACAGGACGAAACCAATGGCGAGGATGCGCCCCAGGCTATTCCCGAGAAATTCACTGAAATGGATGTGAAGATTTCTGAGCTTTCCTCGACCGGCGATGGTCTAGCACTTTCAGAGAATGGAAAATATGTATATGTGGTTCCGTTCACAGTCCCCGGCGACACTGTGCGGGTCAAAGTGGTGAGGCATTTCGAGTCGTTGTCATACAGTTTGACCGATTTCGTGAAAGTGATTGAAGCCGGCCCCCAGAGAAATGATGCGCTCATTAATTGCAAATACTTCGGAGAGTGTTCTGGTTGTCAGCTCCAGATGATGTCTTACGAGGACCAGCTTGCTCACAAGCGCCGCATCGTGGAGAAAGCCTATGCTAATTTCTCTGGGCTGATCCCAGAGCTTGTGCCCACAATTGGAGAGACATTCGCCTCGCCAATGCAGTTTGGATACCGCACGAAGCTCACACCGCATTTCGAAAATGGCGGCGGCCGCAAGGCCAAGAATCATGACGAAGCGGAGGAGGTCAAAGTTCCACCTATTGGATTTACATACAAGAACCGACGCCTTGATATGGATATCGAGGATTGCCCTCTGGGAACAGATATTGTGCGGCGTGGTCTCACTAGTGAGCGGAAACGAGTTGCAGAGAACATCCGTTCTTACAAGAGAGGTGCCACTCTTCTGATGCGAGAGTCAACCACACGAGTGCCCAAAGAGTCGGCAACTACTTCCGACGGCGAAGCACCCAAGCCAAGCCCGATCATCCCAACACCAGGAGCAGACACGGGCGACGTTATCCGCATCGAGCACGAGAATTATATCGAAGAGAAGCGCTGCATCACAGACAACAATGCCACAATGGTCGAGTACGTCGACGACTACATCTTCAGCAACAAGGCAGGCGCCTTCTTCCAAAACAACAACTCAATCCTGTCCGGCTTCACGGAGTTCATCCGCTCCCAAGCCATCCCCGCAGGCAACGAAAAAGACCCACGCCCGATCAAGTACCTCCTGGATGCCTATTCCGGCTCTGGTCTATTCACAATCACACTCTCCCCCTCTTCAAATCCAGTCTCGGTGTCGACGTAGCCGGCGATTCCATTAACTCAGCACGCGACAACGCCCGCGCAAACGAGCTCCCTAACACGGGCTTCGCTGCCGCTGATGCCGCTGTTCTCTTCAAAGATGTCCCTTACCCTGCTGACCAGACTTTGCTCGTCATTGACCCGCCTCGCAAGGGTTGCTCGGATGACTTCTTGCGCCAGATGCTTGACTTCAAACCCCGTCGTGTCGTTTATGTCAGTTGCAATGTTCACACCCAGGCTCGCGATGTGGCTGTCATGGTTCAGGGTGACGAGAAGAAGAATGTGCGCTATGAGATCGAAAGTATTCGTGGCTTTGACTTCTTCCCTCAGACCGGTCATGTGGAAGGTGTGGCTATTTTGAATCGCACTTCTTTCCCTCAGGCGGAGACTGCTCCTCAGACGGAAACCGCTTAAGCTTGGGATGAATGTCTGGTTCCATTCGAAAAGTTATTTGCTTGGCGTGGGCATACTATATATTGGTCTGATCTTGCATACCCTGTGGCGTTTGGGAGACAAACAAAAAAAAGGCATGACGGCGATGGTAGATATGTATGCCTTTTAATATATTTTCTAAATTCGATTTCGTGTATAACATGTCAAAGGGCAATAATGCTCTTATCTGCTTACATTGTCGTCAGATATAGGAAAGCCGATGAACACCGGCGCCAAGCCGTTTTGGATAAAAGAACATAAATAGAGGACCACCGGAGAATGAGAAAAAGAAAGGAAATGAACTACCAACTATGAACAAAAGGCTGAGCTACATCGACTGACAAGCATCTAATGATAAGATCGACTCCTTTTCCCTCTACGAGCTTCCAGGGCCACCAAGTAGTGCGAACCTCCGCACAATGCTGGGACCAATCTCGTCGTACTCCGCCTTGGTGTGGCAGTAGCTCCGGAACTCAGGCGTCTGGCCCAGCAGACTACCTCCGAACCAGGGACCGTGGCGCTGGCGCTTATGCGTCACAACGGCAACATCAAGACCACCACTGCGTGCGCCGCCGCTGCGAGCCTCGGAGGCGCGAATTCGTGCATCCACCAGATGGCGGATATCACGCTGCAGACGGCGGCCAAAGTCCTTATACAGGGTGGAACCACCAGACAGGACAATGTTCTTATAGAGACCTCTCCGGACGTCAATGGGCGAGGATTGAATGACGCCGTCAACGACATTGGGGAGCGGGGTGAGGAAGTCGGACGAGTAGATTTCGGGGTTGAAGAAGATCTCCGGAGCGAGGAAACGTTCGTAGCCAATGTCGATGTTGACGCTCCGCCCGTTGGGAGCAGTGACGGTGTGCTTCAGGAAGCGGTCTGGCTCGCGGTCGTAGCGGGCGAATTCCTTGACAATATCGGGGCTGACATAACAGTACTCCTCCTTGACCTTCTCTGCTGTCTTCAAGCTGCTGTCTGGCTCGCCACGGTCACGAAGCAAGCTCTGCACGAAGTATGTAATGTCTCGACCGGCAACGGGAATACTCTTAATGGAGGACCCGATGACGTAGCCCTCAGCGACAGGGATAACGTGGGTGACACCATCACCGGAGTCGATAACAGTTCCGGTAAGGGACCGGTCTGTCACCTTGGAGGATGTCCATGATGCGGCAAGAGCAAGAACTGCTTGAACGGCGATGTAGAGACCGGCGCAATTGAACGACTCGAACATGATCTCGGCGGTGTTTTCACGGTTCTCGGGAGGGTTCAGGGGCTAAGTTGGAGAAATATCAGCTCTACTCAGCACAGACAGCTGGCAATTAGCATGCGCATTCGCCTTACAGGTTCGGTGAGTAGGAAATAGTGGTCCTCAGGCTCGACTCGCAAGTACTTGAAGATCGAGTTTGACCAAAATCGCTCCATGTGGTCCCAGTTTTCAACCTGTCCATGGCGAATAGGGTAGTTGACACCATATCCTGGGCCAGCACCAGCAGCGAGAGCTTCATCACCGATAAAGAAATCCAGGTCCTCCGTACCACGCTTAGCAGAGAGGTTGGAGCTAGCCCCACTTCCACTACCTAGGAACGAGGGCTTGTTCGCGACTGGTGGGCGGGCGCCGGAGCTTGCAGCGCTTCCAGCACCGGCCTTCGTTGCAATTGCGGTTGGAAACACGAACGAGGGGGAGTCGTTACCGGCGAAACCTGCAAGAGTGGAGGGAGCATGTCAGCCTAATCCATGATCGCAAGTTCTCCAAATATTGAGAGCACATACCAAGCTTGGAGTAGCCAGTACCGCTAAGAACATGTCAGGTCAGCATTTGACGTTATCATTTGGGCCCTTGCAGCTGTTAACATACTTGTCCATGACAACGGCGGGTGTTTGGTTCGCCATGGCGGGTGGTTGGGGTCTGTCAACAATTGATCCGCAGTCAGGGATTCAGAAAACCCCGGAAGATATCAATCAAGAAGGGAAGGAGAGATACGGCTCTCAATTGTAGCCAATATGCTGATTTGGAGACACCGAGAGGACAGGCAGACAAGGCGGGGGGAGAGGATGGAGGTCCGGAGGTCCAGGATTACGTAAGGTCACGTCAACATCATGTGCCTCTATCTGATCTAACAAAATGTCTAACTTGAAGGCAGTTGCGAGCCATTGATCTAATATGGAAGAAATAGGCAATCGTCTTCAGCTTCTTCCATGTTGCACTTCTTGATTCCGTCCAACCCCTAAGCCGCTCGCTTTTTTATTCCCAATATCCTCATGTGCTCAGCTGTGGTGCGATTCCTATTTTTCCGTATTGTTTATCATTCACGTACATATCCTGGCGATTGGCTTTCATCGCATTGCTCATTCTCTTCGTTTGCAGCCCTTAAATCTGCCATAGCATTAGAGCATTGGTTTCCGGTGCTCATTTGATTTGAGAACACTGGATTGCCTGGTCGTTTGCCAAATCCACGGGTTGGCCATCAATCTGAGAGCGACAATCTGAGAACGGGATAAATCACGCTCTCTTGACATTCATCTAAAGGTCTTGCTTGTTGTTTACGCAGACCGACGGCAACTATCCCTTCGTCGAGTTTCATCGACCCAATCAACGCGCAATCTTTCGACGTGGTGGTAACCACGCCGCGCACCTCGGACAAACCCTCGCTGCAACCTGGTTCATCGAATCAGTTGCTCAATCGCTTTGCGATTCTTCCCAAGAGCTGCCGCGACGCTTCAAAACCGCAGCCTCCAAGATGGATCCACCTCCAAACGATGGCATTTGTGCCATCTTTGTCCACGCTGGGGCTGGCTTCCATAACTTCGAGAATGAGCACAAGCATTTGGGAGCCTGTGATTCGTATGTGTTCTTGGTGCATTTTCATCTGGTTGCCAAATCTAACTGCTGAAATTATTAGGGCTACCACTGCCGCCATGGCATTCTTGAAGGCCGGCGGTACTGCTGTCGACGCCGTCGAAGTCGCCTTGACGGTGCTCGAGGACAATCCGATCACAAACGCCGGATATGGCAGCAACTTGAACCATAATGGCATAGTTGAGTGTGATGCCTCGATTGTTGACCATCGAGGAAAAAGTGGGGCTGTCGGCGCTGTGCCCAGTAAGTTTGTTATGTATCTGGCGAAGTGTGTCAGTCAGCGTTTTCTGATATGGAGTGTTAGACGTGAAGAACCCAATCGCGCTCGCCCGAAAGATTTATGACAAGTCCAACAAAGACATGGGCCAATCGAGAGTGCCTCCCAACTTCATTATCGGAGAAGGCGCCAGAGACTTTGCGTGGGAAAATGGGATCGTCGTCTTACCACACGATGACATGACTCACCCCGCCGCGCGTCTGCGTTGGAAATCATGGAAAGAGGAAGTTGACGATCACGAGCGTGTCAAAGGCAGCCAGGATGCTGATCTCTGGCTTCGTCGGCCTTTGACCCCGATGGGGACTCGGCTTGAGCGCCTTGCGAAACGCGAGAGTCTTGCTGCAGCTGATCATGAAACAAATGAGGAGTGCATGTCCGATTTGCCCGTAAGTAACCCTGGAGGACATGCCACCGTCGCGAAGATTGCCTCCTCATCGTCTCGCGATGGCAGCCCCGATATCGAGACCGATACCGAGACTGAGCGCAGCACCAGCGACCAAGAGGATGTTGATATGATCTCAGACACCATTGGTGCCATTGCTATTGACAGATGGGGAAACATTGCCGCAGGATCTTCTTCTGGTGGCATAGGCATGAAGCACCGTGGCCGAGTTGGACCTGCGGCTCTTATTGGCATTGGTACTCACGTCGTCCCAGTAGATCCAACTGACCCAGACGGGACCACAGTTGCATGCGTCACATCCGGAACCGGAGAGCTTATTGCTTCGGCGTTCGTGGCTTACACCCTCTCGCAGCGCATTTATTTCAGTCAGAAAAAGTGCGAGAACGGCAGATTTGAGCAGGAAGTGGACCAAGTGGTCATCTCTGAGTATTTCAAGAATGAGTTTACCAGTATGTATTTGTGATGTTTTGCTTACCTCGTATTGATTGATGCCGCTTCACAGAAACTAACATGTTTGCTACCCCTAGACTTCCCTGCCGTGGACGACAGCTTTCTCTTTGGCTCTCTCGGAGCAATGGTGGTGAGAAAAGACAACGATGGCATTGAGCTCTTCTTTGCCCACAACACCCAATCTTTCGTGAGACACGATTCTTCCTGTTCTGTCTGAATGATTGCTAATGACATCTGGCAGGCCATCGGCTCCATGTCCAGCAACCGAGAGAAGCCTATGTGTGTCATGTCCCGTGGCACCCGAGGAAGCGTCATGCAGGGAGGTGCTCGAGTCCGCTTCTAAAGCCGACTCACATCGACCCAAGTGGCTTTTGCCCCAACTACTCGTTTCTGCTTTATTTCGTCTTCCACTTTATTCGAGATACCCAGTTTGCCGCAACATTTCCAGGCCCGTCTGCATCGCCAGCGTTTCTCTCTTGCATAGCGACAAACCGACAAGGTCGAGCCTCACGTCAAATTTCCTTGCACGTCTGCTTTTTGAGACCGGGCATTGATAATATGGCCAGAGTGTGTTCTCTTGACTAAGCCCCGTTGGTCTCCCTTTCCACCTATGCATTCTATTGCTAGTAATTCAAGAACTGTCAAAATTTTCTCTCCCGTAAATGATAATATGTAATATTTCTAATGGTCAGCCCGATGCCCATAAAAACGCCACCATCCAGCCAGGGACGTATCATAAAAGGAATCAAAAAGCAAGCACTAATAAATTTAAACAAGAGAAGATCAACCCTGAGCAAAGAAAGCATCAAGTACCGGGCGTAGGAGTTGACATAGGCGTCCCAGCCCCAGACGCCCCATTAACACGCTTCTTCTTCTTTTTCTTCCGCGGCAGCAAAGCCGGCCTAACATGATAATCCCCAACATCCAAATGCGTCCCACAAGTCATGCAATCGCCCCCAGGAGGCGGTTCACAGAAAATACTAAGACAAATCGAACACACGAACCCAACATCCACAACCCGCCGATGACAAAAGCAGGCAGCACGGAAATCAACATCCACCCGCGTGGGGAGCACTAAATGCCGGCGCGAGCGCTGATCTGGCAAGAAAGCCATCATCAAATACTGCAGCAACCCCCGCGGCTCAGAAAGGGCCATATATACGCCCTTGGTCGCGTCCGACGCCTGCTGCAGGAACACCGCATCCCCGCTAAGTTTGCATACATCGATGGGGATGTGCAACCGCTGACAAGCGAAGATGCTGTTCATAACGGGGATGTACTGGTGCGCGGAATCGGTAGACCCGCTCACGGACACGATCAGGATCCGGCTTTGGAGGCGTTCGTCTTCGTTGGATGCGGAGTACCTGTTCGGTGCGGCGGCTACTCCGCCTGCTCCGCCGCCGCCGCCACCTCCTCCTTCTGCGGCTGCGTCTTCGAGGTTTGCGCCGCCGTGTTCCTCTGCCCAGGCGATTGTGCGTCTGTTTATGTTGCTTAACGCCAGGGTGAGTGCGCCTGCTAGCATTGTGGACATGTTGCTGCGGAGGTCATCGCCGGTTGTGGAGTCTACTAGGTCTTTTAAATTGCGGGTGACTTGCTCTTCGACGATGCGGAAGGGGCGGTATTTGTTTGTTTGGGGGGTTGTACTGCCATTCATTGTGACGTCGCCGTCTTGGTCTGCAGAGGAATCCGGGGCATTTTGGGACGGGTAGAGCCAGGCGGCTTTTTGGCTGTGCGAGGCGACCACTGCTACTTCGTTTGCGTAGTTGCAGGCTAGGTGGGCGTTTATGAAGACCAGGATGTTGGCGACTGCTTTGGAGAGTGGGAGGGAATCTTCGAGGAGGGCCCAGGCGTGTGGGTTTGTGTCAATGATTACGGTGAGGAGGGATGGGGCCAGGTCTTTTTGTGGTTATAGTTAGTTGGGCATTCTGCAGCTGTAGACAAGTGTACGAACCTGTGGCTCCCAGTTCATAATGCTCCGAGGCATCGACGGAATTCATTGTGGACCGCGGATCAGTCGAGGCTGATGGTCATTGTGAGGGGTGCGCTGGAGGGGCGTCGGGCCAACTTGAATGAAGGCCAGAATGCGCTGCTTAATGACAGACTCTCAATATTGGTGAAATGTTCGATTCGAGCTCGAGTAGTTGCATATGAAGTCGGAGAACCAAGAATTAAGCTTGTGATAAGCCAGTCACGAGGTGATAACAACTATAGCTTCTACTACACCCATTCACCCTAAGTTATACACAATTCTGTTCAATACAGTTTCCTTATGCGCTCTGACCGGTTGGGAATTACCTTTTTGTATTATACAATCGAGTGCAGAATGACCTGGTTCAAAATAAGTCATTTTATGGTACACTTTTATTCTCACATTCGTCTCTGAGCTTTGAGGCTTGGAAAACTTGACTTGATTCACCGACTAAGTTTCCGTGACAGTATCCAGACCACCCTGAAAAAAAAAGATCATAATGTATTGGAATAGATAAGTCAAGTAACGTTACAGAGTAGTCAAGTTCTGCTATGCTTCAGGCGTTCCTTAGGCTAACATATCAACCTGGTCCTGCAAAAGCTTCAAGTAACACTCGTCTCCTTCCCTTTCTCAAGAAAGTACTTTGAACAGCCAGCGCTGAACTCGATCCTCCCAACCTCAGACGCCATTGTAATGCGCCAAGCCAACAGAAACCCGGTCACGTTCCAAGCGACCTCCGAGGAGGTAGTCGGAAAGACAGTGGCATGGTAGTTTTGAGTCTTGTCGCGTCTTTCCTTGAAGTTGCCGGTGTATGTGTCCACCCACGCATCATATGATTCCAAGACCGACAGAGGGCATGAAGAGAGCACTTCTTCTGCCTCTAACATACAGTCCCCCTCGTCAGACCTGAGGTCATCCGGATCTCGCCAAATAAAACCCGTGCCGTAATCAGCAAAGATACGATAATGCCGGGGAGATTCTGTTGGCGTGAATATTGTGGTCGATACGGAAGTGGTAGAAATAGGAGGCTCGTGGGTTGACATCTCGACAGTCGTTGGTTCTGACTGTTGCTCTTCCACTGCATTTGTGATTTTCAAAACAAAGCCAAAGTTGGTTTCTACGAGAGCGGAGTTTTTGTCGGACTCAGTAAGAGGCTTTTCAGCAGGGCTACGCCATGCATCACTCAGGTTCCTGATAGTTTTGATGTATCGTTGAGACTGTGACTGACTGCAAAATACACCCAGAGGCTTCAGAAGGCCAGAAGACATGGTTGTAGTACATACGTAGCCCGTGGAGTAGATGGAATGTGATACTAGGTACGGAACCCTGAGGTAACTAACCGGTCGTTAGCGCTTCTACTTTGTACAAGTTGATTACCCCTCCTCCGCTCGACGTTCAACTTCTTCCTACAACATATCTTGGCCTTGAAACAACTGGGATATGTGACTGGTCCCGTATGAAGCAATTCGGGAAACAGGTCGGAGCCGGACTCCAATCGGAGGAACTGGCGCTTAGTGACTGAATCTACTATGCATTTATGAGCATCTTTTGTTGAGACGGATTGACTCTCGGTCGATTTTAAAGGCCAGGAGGACAACACTCTTGGCATATCTGTTGGACGCGCCAAGGTACTACTATTGTATTCTCTAGTGGCTTGGTGAGTAGATCAATGGATAGTCCACTTTGCTGCACAGCGGACTTAGCGGAAGAGTATCCGTTTCCTGCAAGTGAGCCGGTCATCCAGCCAGTCCTTGGAATAGAAGGGTAGCACAAACCTGGAGAGTCATCTAAGCTGACCAGTATATACCTAGTATATACCTAGTAGTATATACTACCTAGAAGTATGCTTATCAGAAACGTGACGGATCTCGTTGCTGTGGTTGGTCTTATCGGACTGATTGATAATGGTCGTGGATGAGATGGCGTAAGACCAAGAAAGAGCAAACGGTGAAATTAATGTACTCCGCGTGGGGAATTGAGAGCTATGCGCGGCAATCCGAAAATAAAACACGTCCATCCCAACATCCCAACTCCCGTTTCTTGCTTTTTCCGTATCCCCGTCCTTATCGCCCTTTCTCTCCGCTCCCCCAGTAAAAAAAGCTTCCGGGATCCCACTTTCGCTTTACATGACCTTCTGATCACCACACACCAGGAGTAATTTTAATTGTTACTCCTTTTCGCGCCTTGCAATGGTCCACGCAACAGGAGAAGAGCGCGCTGTGAACCTAGCCCAAGAGGCTGTCGAGCTGGTCGACGCGGGCCACCGCGAGGTACGTGATTTCACTATCCCCAGATAGAACGAGGGGCTGATTCTCAAATCACTTGATAGGCCGCCTCCCGGAACCTCCGAGAAGCACTTTCGCTGGCCCCCGAGAACCCCCAAGTGAAAGCGGCGTTCTTGAAAGTTCAGCACGAAGACAAAGACAGCCACCGGCTGCTGGACCTCTGCCGACGATACGCCACCCAAAACGATGAGAATGCAGGCAAGGAAGCTGCTGCCTACCTCCGCACAGATGGCTTGAAGTCTCCGGAAAATGTTGGCTTGGAATCCTTGAGTCTGTTGCTCGCACAGCGACCGCACTCCCTATCCACGACGCAGGATGAGATCATTTCCGGGCTGGTGCGACAGAATGCCAGCGTTCGACAATATTTCTCTGCCCAGCTCCAGATCTCTGTGACTGCATTTTTCGATGATATTTATGAACGGGGTGATGGAGCCGCCGTCTGCCTGGACACGGTGGTGTTGGATCCCAGTGTGTGGCCATCCGAGGATGCGCGAACCCACTGCGAGAGCGAATTGTTCCAACTGTTCATCGCCAAGTTGATGGAGTCGGGCCACGACCTTGATGGCCGCTCTTTGAAGGGAATTACAAGACTACTCGCGGTCGATGCTGACCAACTCCAACATCTGATTGACGACGAAGGATTCGAGGTGATTCTTTCCTCTTTGGACTATCGCTTGCCCCTGGAAGTGCGGAGCCAGGCGACTCTGGCTACTGCCAAATATCTCGAAGTTGCCAAGGAAGCTGGCGAGAAACAATTCTCGGCATTGATCATGTCCATTCTGGGAAAGGGCCGCATTGATGATTTGATTGTCGCTTTCTCTGCGGCTGCGGCTATCTTCCCCGTGGCACCTGCTGCAGCTGCCAGTCTCTTCTTGTCGGAAGAGTTCATGGGATACTTATGCCCATTGGCATCTCGAGAGGCTAGGAGCAAAAAGGTCGAGGTCCCTGTACTCGAGTTGCTCAATGCAGCATGCATCAACCGGCCGTGCCGTGAAGCTGTCTCTAAGAAATTCGGAGAGTGGCTGTCTCATGTCTTGACCAATGGGAGCGATGAATGTTCGGAGTTGGCAGCGGTGGCTCTGGCGAAGATTCGGGCATCCGAGCCCGATCAACCCTCGACTGGCAACGGTAAGGTCTTGGAGGAAGATAGCGAGTCTGAGCTCGTACACCGATTCAAGGGACTGATGTCTGCACAAAAGGTCGAGAACAATTCGCACGCCGTTGAGGGACTGGCCTATTCCTCGGTGAAGCCGGCCGTCAAAGAACAACTTGCTAAGGATCCTACTTTTCTACGAAACTTCATTGCGACTCTGAAGCAAAATACTGGAGATTCATCCGTTCTATACGGTGGCTTGATGGTCGTTTTGAACCTCACAAAGTTCCTCCCCAACCTCTCTGAAGAGCAAAAGAAGATCTCACAGTTGAAGGACTATGCGGATGCGTCTAAAGGGAAGCCTAGCGCAGCCCCAGACAGTCGGGATGAAGATGAGGCTGTATTAGCACGCTGTGCCGCTGTCATCGATGCAGGCGTCATGACTCTGCTGGTAGAGTGTGGACGAATCGCGCTACCTTCCACCAATGAACTCTCAGCCAAAATCTTACTGGGATTGACAAGGCATACCAAGTCTCGCGGTGCACTTGCTCAGCAAGGTGCAGTCAAGCTTCTCCTCGGTCTTGCGGCACCGAAACAGAGTAGTTCTGGCCCCGTCACAAACGACACAACACGTATCGCCTCCCATGCGCTGGCCCGCATCCTTATCTCTGTTGATCCAGCACACGTTTTCCCATCATCTGGGTTCCCTCAAGTGACATCCGCCGTCCGTCCTTTACTCTCCCTTCTCTCATCATCCGAGACTCCTTCGTTCTCTGCCGACCAGCCGCGCGATCTACTTCCTGTTTTTGAGGGTTTGCTAGCTCTAACAAACCTTGCTTCATACCCGCACGATGACTCTGCCCCAGAGCTCACTGTGCGGGAAGGGTGGTCTGCCGTGGAGGATCTGCTTCTGTCTGGCAATCCTCGAGTCCAACGAGCCTCATGTGAACTGGTCTGTAACCTGATGACCTGTGAGTCTGGTGTCATCAAATTCGCCGATGGCTCCAAAGCAGCTGCTCAGCGCCTTCACATTCTGCTGGCCTTGACCGACGCCGACGACTTCCCCACACGGCGAGCCGCCGGTGGAGCCCTTGCTATGCTGACAGACTTCGATGCCGCGATGGCTGCTGTATTGGATCGACCACGGGGCGTGAACTTGTTACTCGGACTGTGCCAGGAGGATGACGATGCCCTCGTTCACCGGGGCGTGGTCTGCGTACGCAATCTCACCTGCATCGCGACAGGTGACATCGGAACCCGCGCCAAAGCCGCCGTGAAAGCCGCTGGAGGGGTTGAAATTCTCACCGCATGTCTCAAAAAGACATCGAACCAAGCCGTGTTACAGGCGGGAGTGGAGGCACTGAAACCCCTGATCCAATAATGGGCATACCACGTCCATTTGCTTTTTGCATCAAGTCATGCTCGTTGACTCCCGAGATCTCTTTTATGTTTCCTTTTGCATGTTTTGAGGCGGACCGGCTGATCCAGTGGAGTTTGCTATCTCTTTGCTCTCTTTTTTTACTTTTTATGTTTGAGATGACCTTGTCTATGAGCACAGTAACGGTCTTAGCGATTGCTTTTTTAGGGCCGGATCAGGCGCCTGGAATTCGGCGCACAGAGTGCAAGGGGTTGCATATGGCTTTCAATAGAGAATTATGAATGAATGGTTATACCGCATCCTTAGGAGCACCTGACCTTTGGGAGTCTGTGGCGTCGCCGGGGGTCACGGGGTCGCGTCTCCCTTTTAGGATTATCGTGGACTCATAGTACCTGACTCACTAGTACCTCCCTTAGCCTCATTCCATGCACCTTCCTTATGTCTCTTGGCCAAGCATGCTTCTACTAGGTCACGAGGCACAATACTTACCCCCTTCGGCCCTCTGCAGTATTAACGGCGCTCGTTGATTCGTCGATATGGTTACTAAGCATCATTCCACGTGCAGCTTCTTCACCCCGATTGACCGAGCTATGTAGGTGTTACTAACTTTAATTCAAGAATTGGAAATATACTCTTGGTCAAGAATGAAGTTCTCTTCAAAAACTCCAGATCTGATCCATACTCTAGGCTCTGCAGTACCCCATTTACTTCAGAAGCCTAAAATGGATCGGACAAAGAAATTGAGGCAGCGTGACCTCCCACGGACCCTAGACTAGGATAACATGGAACAAAAAACAGGGGGTTTGCATATGTACTGAGTTAATATTCTAAATTTATAAGCCCACAGTAGCGAGAGTGTTAGTCTATAAAGACGGTATGGGAGCCGTGGAGAGGGTCCCCGCGGATCGACAAATCATCATCAGCCCGCTACGCACACCTTCACCTTCGACTGTCCGCTTGGCCTTTTCCGCCTCTCACATCACCTCCGTGGCCCACGCTCCTTAGCTCTCTACTCCCTCGATTCCACTCTACGCAAATCTCTCTCCTCGTCACCGCAATTCTATCCACTGGCACCACCCCACTCAGACAGGTACAGTCAGGTGCACCTTCGAGCTTTGTCTCTTCCCATCCTCTTCCCCTTCTCCCTTCTCAGACCTCGTACTTCACTCAATGGCGTGGTTGATTCCCTCTCTTCCCTGCGTTCGACCGCTCACCTGATCACTTCCCACGACTCAGGTTGATCTCCCCGCGAAACCCTCCGATTGAACGCCGTCGGAGGAATTGGAATATTGCAATACAGCTTGGTGGAAACAGGAACAAAGGATTCGTTGAGCTCAACATTTGATCTGACGTGCGAAAACCGCCAATATGAAGTTCGGCCGCAATCTGTCTCAATTTACCGTTCCCGAGTGGAGCGCCTCTTACATCAGGTACAAGGCCTTGAAGAAACTTATCAAGTCTGCTGCTGAGCAGATTAAGGCGGGCCAGGAGGCTGATTTGGCCGGTAAGCCCTAGTGCTTTATCACCTGATTTCCCCTTTTGGACCATCGAGCACCCTTCTGACCAGGACTGGTGCGATTGTGTTGGGGTTTACAGGCTTTTTCTATTCGCTCGACCGAAATGTCGAGGATGTCGATTATTTCTACAACAAGAAGTATGCCGAGTTTGCGCGCCGCTTGAAGCTCCTCGAAGAGCGGTATGGCTATTCTATGGAAGGTCGCCATTCGTTGGAACCCGAGGACCGCCATGACCTCCGCGAAGCGCTTCTGGATCTGCGGTATCACTTGCGCCGCTTACAATGGTATGGCGAAGTCAATCGCCGTGGCTTCGTTAAAATCACCAAGAAGCTGGACAAGAAGGTTGGCGCGCAAGCTCAGAAGCGTTATCTGGAGACCAAGGTCGATCCTGCTCCGTTTGCCTCCAATTCGCGTGTCTTCAAGTCGCAGGACCGTATTAATTCTTGGATGGCTATCATTACCGATCAGTCCAAGGCTGACGATAAGATCGCCGATGATACGAGCTCCACTCATTCTTCTTTGTCCTTAAAGCGTGGCGCAACTCGGCCTTATCTTAACTTGCCTACCAGTGTTTTGACTGCCGTTGATGATGCACTGCGCAGGGATGACACTCATATGTTGTTTGAGCTACTTGAGACCTTGAAGGTATCTGCGGATGAAGCCGGTGACTCCGTCTACCCCAGAGTCCTCAAGACTCTCATTCAGCGCTCGATTCTTCACCGTTCCCAGGCTTGCCTGGCTGCGCTAGTGAATCGAGCTGACACCCTGGAGGAGGACGATGACATTAATCGCCGTAATTGCCTTCACCGTCTGGTCATCTCCATCGGACGTGAACAGGCAACTAGCGACTCGGAGTCCGCGGCCTCGATGGTGCTCGATTTTCCCCCAGAGACTACCCGCTACATTACACCCGCCGCGCCTCCTACCCTGCAGCCGCCCCGTGCCGTGGTTAAAGAGGAGCATATGCCCCAGCAGCTGGGTCGCGATGACCCTGCTGTTGTCCTTCTTCAATTCCTGCTGGATACTCTGCGCCCAGACCAGCGGGAGTCTTTGATGGCCAAGGACATTTCTGGCCGCACACCCTTGCACTATGCGGCCCAGTATGGGTTCAAGGTGGTCTGCGAAGTGATCATAGAGCACCTCAGAGAATGGGACATGTTTGACGTCAATGATGGAATCGACGGCCCTTTGTGGCAGGACGATGATGGCTGGGCACCTCTCCATCTAAGTGTTGTGGGTGGTCACCCCAAGACCACCAAATGCCTCTTGGACGCCGAGAACCGGGGCGATTCTCAGGAAGCGGGCAGTATTAGAAAGCAAGTCTCCAAGTCTAGTGCCGTCTTGGCACTTGCGACCAAAGCCAACTTCATTGATATCGTGCACCTTCTGGTGGATGCCGGTGTGGATATCAATTACCAGGATGAGCAAGGAGAAACCGCATTGCACGTCGCTGCTCGATTTGGCCATGACGAGTGTGCGAAGATCCTGCTTGATGGTACTGCGTACCAAAAGGGAGACACGGAGCTGGCTGAGAAGACATATGGCTGGACCCCCTTGTTTATTGCCTGTGTGGACGGATGTCTGAGCGTGGCTAAGCTTCTGGTTGCTGCTGGTGCGGATCTGGAACGTTTCGATTCGTCCGGCTGGACCGCAAAGGAGCACGCTGCTCTGCGAGGTCATCTTGACATTGCTCAGTGTCTGGCAGAAGTCAGCCCCGGCCCTCCTGCTATTGAGCCCGATCTTTCATCGTCTACTCCAAACCTCACTGGCTCCGACTCCTCCTCGCCCCCGGCTCAGTCGTCTCTTACTGACCGTCGGTCGAATGCGCCTGGTCCCACATCCGGGAGTTCTGGCCTACGCAATACTGAACCTATTAAGACATTTGGACATCGGTATCTCACCGACGAGGCCATGATCCTGGTTAGTCTGGGTACCATGGATATGCGCAAGCCCCTCGAGACAGTCAGCCTTGACCGCATCCCAATGGAAAACGCGCATGCCACCCAGCTGGACACATCTCTGTCGATGGTTATCACCGCCAGTGGTGCGCACGGCGAGCCAGAAGTCATTGACCTGCCTGTGCAGGACAATATCTCAACTGAGCCGATAGTTTTCCACACCACCGATCCAAGCAAGGTGCGTCTTCTCTTCGACCTTGTCCCCACCTATGCTGGATCGAAGGAGAAGGTTGTTGGCCGTGGTGTAGCTCTGCTTTCCAGCATCAAGCCTACAGTTGGATCCCACCGGATTAATCTCAAGGGTGATTCCACCGTTCCCATTGTTGCTGCTAACACTCTGGAAGTGATTGGCTCTGTAACATTCAATTTTCTGGTCATCACCCCTTTCAAGCACCCCAACATGTCTATCACAGGAAACCAGACATACTGGCGCTCAATGAGCTCGACAATGGTCATTGGTCACCGTGGATTGGGCAAGAACATGGCTAGCCGCAATTCCTTACAATTGGGCGAGAACACTATCCAGTCCTTCATCGCCGCGGCCAACCTGGGTGCCTCATACGTCGAGTTCGACGTGCAGCTCACGAAAGACCACGTCCCCGTCATCTATCACGACTTCCTTGTCAGTGAGACTGGTATCGACGCGCCTGTCCACACTTTGACGCTAGATCAGTTCCTCGAGCTGGGCAAAGGTCGTCACCGCAATGTCCTCGGTCCTGTGAACTTAAATGGCGAGATCTTCGACATCGGTCCCCGCCAGCGCTCAATGTCAGTCGGCGGCTCGGAGTACAATCCTGCCGAATTGACAGAGAAGATCAAACACACCCGTGATTTCAAGAAGAAGGGCTTCAAGGGTAACACGCGCGGCGAGCACATCCAAGCTCCCTTCGCCACCCTCGAAGAACTTTTCAAGAAAATCCCCCAGCCCGTTGGCTTCAACATTGAACTTAGTGAGTTATAACAGCCTCCAAAGAACAGCTACCCTTTCGTCGATCTAATCATGGTCGCCAGAATACCCCATGCTCCACGAGAGCGAGGAGGAAGAAATGGACACCTACGCCGTTGAACTGAACTCTTTCGTCGATACCATTCTGACAAAGGTCTACGACCTCGGTGTTGGTCGTGATATGCTGTTCTCCAGTTTCAACCCGGATATCTGTCTACTGCTGTCTTTCAAGCAGCCGTCCATTCCCGTCCTCTTCTTGACGGACGCGGGCGCTTCCCCGGTTGGTGATATCCGCGCTAGCAGCTTGCAGGAGGCCGTTCGGTTCGCTTCTCGCTGGAACCTTCTCGGTATCGTCAGCCAGGCGCAGCCATTGGTGCTTTGTCCACGACTGGTTCGCATCGTTAAGGAATCCGGTCTTGTGTGTGTCTCTTATGGAGCGCTCAACAATGACGGTGCAAACGTCGACGTAAGTGCTTTCTTCCTTCCGTTCACTGTCAGGTTCACCCACTAACTCCACAAATAGTACCAAGTAGCCGAAGGCATCGACGCCGTAATTGTCGACTCCGTCCTCGGAATCACAAACGGTCTCATCCAACGCCAAAATAAGGTCGATCGTACACCGGGCCCATCGCCTAACCCATCGGCTCTCAGTGACACCGCCAGCGCCGTCCGTCCTGTTAATGTAACTACTATCCTCTAACTGCATGTCTTGTATCCGTCGTCTTTTATCACTGTGATAGAGCTCTGCATCTTATGTCCATAGTTTGCATTCGGCTTAGGCCAGCTTCAACAGCTATCAACACGAGTTATGCTTAAAAGCAATTTAAACATTTTAGCTTTTCTTTGAAAATAAGCAAAAAAGGAGAAAGAAAAAGAGATGGAAATGTATAGCTTTGATACCAGCCCTTAACAAGGCAAACGGCAGACAGTCCCTCGATTATGTCCTCGAATCCAGCAATCTTCCGAAAAGCAGCCTAACCCTCCATTTCAATCCGATTCCCACCCCAATCAAGCATTATCCGACGATACCGAAAACCAGCTTCAGGACTCATAAGATCCCTAAAGAAGATAGAATTCCAACTATCAGCCGGCAGAATTCGGGTACTATAATACGTTAGTCCCAATATCCAAATCCAAATCCAAATCCAAAGCAAAGCAAAGCAAAGCAATGCATAGAAGAACATACTAAATATAAGAATAATAATTCCTCTCCTACCCCCATATATAATGCGACGTAACTCAACTCCCCCGGTCCTAATAAACCCGTCCTGCACTGCAAGATCGTCCCATAAACCGCATCAGGCTCTGTATCCATGATATTCTCATGAGAAGATGGAGGATACATCACCATATGGAATTGACTAGACGCAACCTGTCGCAGTATAAGAATTCCCTAGGTTACTTGCTTAGCAGCGAATAAATTCTCAACGAGATGGCTTAGGATGTTTCTCGGTGGTTGTGGGGTATTGGTATAATTTCCATTTAGATTTGAGGAACGCCGTTAGTTTAGATATTCGACTAAAATGCGGGATTTGGGAGGGCTTGGATCTGGGCAAGTCATATTTTGGATTAGAAGAATGATGTTGACGAATTTGATGTAGTATGAATTAGGCCTATAGGACGTTGCCAAGTTCCGTCTCAGGTTATACCTAGCTCAAACAAGTCCGTCCATTCTATTCATCCTTCGCCAAAGCCTCCCGTCTGCCAATACTTTGAGGGTCCAGATAAGGCCTCTCACCAAGACCAACAGCACGGTGCCCAGTGCGCGGGCCAAGGTTGTCATAGTCCCACGTTGCGGCGTGATACACCGAGCGGTTATCCCAAATAGCTACAGAACAGTTAGACATTGAAACAAATATGTCCAGGAAAGAAGACATACCAAGGTCATTGGGGTTCTGCCAGCGATTGCGAACCTGCAAATCGTGGTTCTCGACAATAAGAGTCACAAACCAGTCGAGGAGATGGCGGCTCTCCTCATCGGAGAGACCGTTAATCTTCTGGACGTGTACGCCCACGGCGAAGACACTCTTCCAGCCGGTGACAGGGTTGGTACGGATCACTGGGTGCACGGCACTAAGCTCCTCTCCGACATTCTCGGGTGCACCACGGGGACCGGGGTGGACGTTGAATTCGTGTTCTTTGGCAATTGCGTTGAAGCCTGGTTGGGCATATGTTGCAGTTAGGCCCTCCAGGAACTTCTGGTAGGGCTCGGAAAGACGGTCGTAAACTTCGTAGCCGGATGCCCATAGAGTATCTAGAATTTGGTCAGTTTTGACAAATTATTGGGTAAAGGAAATATAAATGGATCTCACCACCACCAGTCTTGGGCAATTCCGTGAGACGCAAAAGGGTATAGTCACTAGGAATAGGCTCAAATGTAATATCACTGTGCCACTCCTTCCGACCAGTCTGTTTGCGGTCCTTTCGGAAGTTGGTGTATAGCTTCTTTCGCTCGACAGAGCTGATCACACTAATCTCGTCATCCTTCACACTGTGATCCCGGCCCGAGTTAGCAATGGGGTGAATGTGCAGTCCAGATGTGCTTGGCTTGCCCGAGAGCTCGCCAAGCCGCTGAACAAGCTCCTTCTGCAGGTCATTGTCGAGACCATCTTGCTTGCGGAAGAAGACGACACCTCGCTGGGAGACTGGTGTTTTATGTCAATATTAGTTCACGTGGGTGGTTAGCGGTGTAACTTACTAGTAATGGCAAGTTCACGAAGTAGCTCATCGGAGTTGGGAGCGCGCAGGAAATCTTTCAAATTGGCATTGGGAAATTCACGTCCAATCACTGGGGTTACGTCAAAAGACTCAAAAGCGTCTAGAGCTCCGGTTGGCTTCAAAGGCTCGCGGGCGAGACCTTTCAGTGTAATCCTCTCATCGATGATGGGAACTACGGGTGTGGTAGTTTCGACTGTTGCGGATGCCATTGTTATAGTAATATTCCGAAGAGATGGAAGCTTTTGTGAGGTGTGTTGCACAATGAGTGCGAGAACAGCCTTTTATAATGTCGCACTTCGAGAAGTGGTGCCGGATACCCGTGTGCAACTACTACTTACTATAATGCCAGGCTTCATAGTTGCAACCCCGCAGATCTGGAACGTGGACGTTTGTCGCACAATCCATGTGGAATCACGTATTTGCTTATCTGATAAAAGTGTGTGGTCTGATATTCGCCATTTACCCCGGATATCAGGTCACTTCCCGCCATCGAAATCGCTTGGAATGAGACAATATAGACTGGAGGTTGCGCAACTAGGATGACAAATTGCATAACTATACAATATTCCATTGTAGGCGAATTGATCAAGCCATTCGTGATTGACCGGCTATCGGCAATTCTCATTGCTGATTCGCTATATTGTCCGATTTTGTTCGTATTGATCCAAGCACGCCATGTAGTGTCTGGCTCGTGTCCTCGCAATAGAAGTAGAAGTAGACATCACTTGAATCAAAGCATAATTCGGCTACTGTGGCACAATGACAGGCTACATTTGGCTTGTACGGCATAACCAAAGTATAATCCCTCTCTCTTAATTGCTCTATCGAATTGAAACCCGCAACCACCAATAATCAACGGATAAAATCGGGCTTTTAAGCATATTCACATGATAATTATCACTATTTCCATGCTCTGATCTTGCTCAATGCGCAAATCGGAAGTCGAGTCGCTTATTGCCGTCATCTTTAGTGGTTGCCAAGTAATGAGCCTTCTCGTTGTCGGTCATAGCGTTCCACTTCTTGTCACGGCTTGAATTGCGCCAGACATAATAGACCTTGGTCAATAGATAGATGAAGATGTTTGAGACGACAAGTCCTACTAGGACACGGTTACCTCTCCGATAGCGGGGGGCGTCATCTGCGTCAAGTTAGAACCCGTAGCTAAACATGGAAAAAGTGAAAAGAAATGACGAACCAGTGCGATAAATGTTAGATGCGATGATTCCAGAGGATTGGACACACATGTTATACATGGCAGCTGAGACCGTGCGAGATCGGACAGCATTTGAATTTCGAGAGTTCCAACCAACTTGGATGGCGTGTGCTGGGGAATGTTAGCAATTCTTGGATATGAGACTGTGGAAGGTAACTCACCATTTGGATAAGCCAGTAGAAGTGTCATCACCACCCAAACAGTCCATTTATTGACGGTGGTGATGTCCACAACATATAGATACACCACGAATGGGAGCGCCCATATTTGACCGATCATCGACACCAAAGTCAATTGTTTCGTGACCTCAGAGATGTACGTCAAGATCAGAATGAAGACGATGGAAAGGAATTCAGTGGGAATGGTTAGAAGATTGGTAACAAAAGTGCTGAAGCCGAGGCCTTTCAGCGTGAGCGTAAGATACTGCTTGGCTGTCGTCATTGGTGTTCCGAAAGTGAGCCCAATGATATACAAAGGCCAAAGGTCATAATCCCTGAGACTCTTCCACAGCAATTTTGGCGTGATGGGCTCGCGATTATGCATGGTGCCTTTGCTTGGATCATCACGAATCACTCGATTGACGATGATAGTCTCCTCACTGTTAGACATATTAGCAGGTGTCAGTTAAGAGTCCAGATCGTTGACTTGCCGCTCAGTAAACCACCCGGATTTCCCTCGAGCCCAATTTGCGGTTTGACATGGGCCAGGTGGCATCAGGATAAAAGCAGCGAGACCAAACAGAAGTGTCAATAGGCCCTAATACTGGTATTAGTGGCATCTAACATTGACAGGAGATGTATGCTAACCTCAAGCAAGAAAAGCCAGCGCCAGCCCGATTGGCCCTCTACGCCACGAAGGTGCAAGAGACCGAATGCCAGGAATCCAGCAAGAATATCTGCGATATTCATGGCCGTCCAAAAGAAACCCAGCCTTATAGATAGCTCGTGATGCTTGTAGAAATACGAGAGATACAGAATGACCTGTGTTCATATGAGCAAAGTCCATAGCCAGAACAAACTTGACTTACATCGGGAATAAATCCACCTTGCAAGATTCCAAGAAGAGCGCGACACACAAGGAATGAGGTTCGTCCATTCAGTGCATATTGTCCCATCGCAACAGCAGACCAAAGGACCATCTGGCTGGGAATCCAACGATCAGGTCCTATCCATTTGCTAACAAGCTGGGAAGGCAACTCGGCGCAGAGGAATGAAAGTTTGAAAACGGTATTTCCAAGATTGTAGTCTAGAAGAATAACTTTTATTAGCTTCGGTATCTCTTCAAACTTAGCATTGGGAGTTTACCATTGGTACTCATGTGCAGCTCAGGAAGCATGTTATCAGTCAAAGCCTGTTGAAGATTGGACCGATCCAACTCCAGCGCCATGAACATGAGACAAGTCCATATCATAATGCGTACATCTATCTTCCGAATCAACCTATATTCTTCGCCCCATGTCCACCGGGCAGACGGGTCGAATCGATGCAAGTTCTCCCAGTCGGCGCGGGGTTGGTATTCCTTCGCGATATCAGGGTCGTCAAAAACAGAAGGCTGGGTCGCAACTCCCTCAGCATTATAGCCTTTGCCTCGTTGGAACCAGAAGCGGCGTTCTTCATTCGGTTCACCCAAGGGCGGAATGTCGAGGCTGGTAGAAGAATTTGTCTCGTCCAGAACAGACGAGACGTATTCTCGGGGACCCTTCTTTGCGGAATATACGGTAGTCATGTTGATAATCCGGGGAAGAATGAGTAGTACCAAATGGACTTCTTTCGCTCAGGACGGAGGATACGCTCGATCGAGCGCAGATTGTCTCTCTTTTTATACTCTCCTCATTAGCGATATCACCTGTCGGTCTATCTTTCCTTAAAATATGCATATTTTCGTAGCGAGTAACTTGGCACTGAGTTGCATCATCATGCCAAATATTGAGTGATGTTTATCTCAAAAGTCTAGGGAGTCTTGTGAGGGGTCAAGAACTGCCAAGGGTGGTGGTGGAATGGCATCTTGGAGGCTAAAGATCGCATCATTCAGCTGATAGACTCTATCTCGCACTTAACCTCCAAGCAAAATAACTCACACTTGACTAAATTCCCGATGGAAAGGCACATGGTTATATGGCTTTCACTTACGGTTGCCACATTGTTTTTTCTTCTGGACGGTCAATTTGTCAGTAAACTCGTCAAAATTCTCACGTCGCGCTAGATTGCCCTTGAGTTACTTGAGCGACAACTCAGATTCAGAGAAACCGATTAGCAACAAAGATATGGTTTCTATGAGAATGCTGTGACAAATTCATATCAAAGACACTTCTCTCATGGATATTAGGAAGCTTCAATATGTGTAGAGTCAGAAGGACCTGGAGAATGTCACTGGCGGGCCTAGATGTGTAAAGCAGGTACACCCGACACAACACCGTCGACTAGTCCATCAAAAGTTAGGACACTAGCTCTGAATAAAGTATCTCATGCAGAGTACCGTCGGACTTCGAAGAGTTATTTGCCCAGTGAACGGAGTTCTGGCGCTTCGAGCTTTGCTTGAGAGAAGCCAAATCTCGAGCTGTTATAAGATAGTCGGCGTGGAAATTAGAGCGCTATGATATCCGTTGAGGTCCATACCATAATCTTTCTCATTTATCAATGTTGTCAAGGATCAACTGAAGAACTGGGCGCGAGCTCATGGCCTTGGGCTCCCCTCACATGACCACTCAGCCCTACAGACTTGAAACATCCCGCGCAAGGCAGATTAGTGACAGTGAGTGATAAAAAATAAAATAAAATGGTCCCTTAATCGAAATCGTGCGATACCACGACAATGCACAAGAAGCCATGTGTTGAAAGTCCCTAATAGGCAGAACCAAATATAAACAGCCCCTTTTTGGGCCATTTACCAGTGAGCGACACAATCCAATTTGCGGGATTTCTCATCCCCTAGCGTTGGCCGCCCATACACGCGGAATTTAAGCATTCCAAAATCGGTACGCCTCTGCCCCCAGCAGGACAGGGGTTTGGCCGTAAAACCCCGTGAGTGGCCGGTCAAGTGGGTAACCAACACAACTCCATCGCACAAGGGCTTTTAAGAGGATAGCCATTTTGGAATTTGACGTTTACCCCACTTGATGCCTCAGCTAGGACCAGTGATGCTGATCTCCGACCCTCCTCATGCCTCTATGGCATGAGCGAAACACCGTAGCTGTGGGGGTGGATATTTTTATCCACCAGTTTCAAAGGTCAGAACATGAAAGCTTATTGACATTTGGAATTGCTTTTGTTCTAAAGTGAATGATAAATTTCCCGAAATTCGCGTATAAGCAGTTTGACATCATTGTCTGGGGGTTCTATTTTGGTAAATCCTGTCATTAGCCGAAGTATGGCCGAGCCACTTAGCCACTTCTAGGAAGATGTTGAACGTTATTAACCTACACGTGAGAGTCGCTGCCGCAATTTTGTGGCAGTGAATTATGGTGAATGTTTGAAGGTAGCTATTCTTAGAATCCGGCGAGAATTGTCCGCTAATTCGTTTCAGGCAGTGCATAATTTGCATGAATCAGGATAGAACGAATGCATTCGCGGTAAAAATCCTCACAAATCGACGTGGAAAGGGGTCATAATTGAATACAAATCACTGTTATGACGATCAGCATATTGATGTACCGCACTAATCACGGCTTAGACCCCCAAATGGAGGGAGTGGAGGCTTGGTGCGGCCGCTAAAGCTGGCAATGACGCCCGTCAGAACGAAAAATCGCATAACATGATTGCCGACGGCCGACCATTTGCAGAAACATCCATGGGAGGCAGGAACCACAGTCTCTTTTCCCTTTTGTGGAAGTTATATTGCTTTACATCTAAATATATTGCACTTCCATAAACCAACAGTCAATTTGGCCCCCACGACGGCCACGGCTCCTAGCCGATGTAACACTCCAGATCCAGTATCTGTGGGCCATGCTAGATTGCCGTGGGACCATTTTGACGGCACCTATTTCCTTGTTCAGGGGTTATACCCCGAGAGGCTAAAACGAGATTGAGGATACAAGGGTCCCGGTTTTCCACCGGGAACATCACAGCCTGCAGAGACTGAAAGATAATGCATCCCATTTAGTCGAGGAAGGTGAATTTACCGGTCTTGTGCCTAAGCTCGGACAGTGGGGACGCGACTTAGGGCACGGAATGCCCCTATTCGCCAAGGATGGTCTCGCGTATATGCAAGTTGGACATCAAGTGGACCTCGCTGGGTGTGTTGAGCCTCTGGAGGTTCCTTAGCCCTCGAAACCTGCTGTAGATCACTCACTCTGAACCATTCCGGCGTTGATCGACCTCTCGGAAGCGATATGGACACCGCGCCCATTTACGACGTACATAAACCCGGCAGCACAGTCTAGCCAATAAGATCGATTGTTTAATGTTGGTTTCCATAACTCAGCCCTTATTGTTCAATGTTGGTAACAGTTGCGACGCTAGCTACAGGGTTAACGTAGTAATTGCTGCTAAAAGCAAAAATAACTACACAGCCTCGCGTAGTTCTGCAGACCTTACCGTGAAGATAGTAACGACAAGCTCTCTGTCAACGGGGCCATGTTTGATCGCCATCAAATCCGATCGCCCCACTGCCAAAGCTGACCTGGTTGTCCCGGCCTAAACCATACGGGTTATTTCATTCGGATTTTCTAATAGGTGAAACTGTGAAAGCCTGGGCGAAAGATGGAGACTCTCACCGCAACCATGTATCTCCGCTAATCATATATCTTCACTATTTGATAAATACGCCCGGTGGGGTGCAAACCAATGAGAATACCATTAGATGTGTAGCCGAACAGTCTGAGGCTCTGATCGCCTTCTAGTAAGAAGAAAATCCCCATCTTCAACCGAACTAAAATTCACCGGCCGTTGTTCTAACCTAATACATCCCTGTGGGCTGAAAGTCATAACCATCAGGCGTTCTTCGGGCCCATTCCTTCGGGTCCGTTTCAGGCGTTCTTCTCTTGACTGTTTGGTGATAGTTCGCTTTTGAATATTGGGGTCTGTTTAGCCCGTGGGTCTTCCTTTTTACGGGATCCTCCGACCATTAACCCCAGCTTATTTCTCTCTTATCATAAAGTCCACTCCCCTCGCTCTCTCTTCAGACTAAATCCTCCGATCCTTTCACATTTGAAGTTTCTACGTTCACCTCATTTTGGTTGACCCGAGTCACACAGTATACTTCGTGATTTGCACCAACATGTCTCCTCTCGGCAACCCTTATGACACACCTTTAACATCCTACAATTCTCGACCTTTTGATCCTTCCCAGATCCTAAACCGCGATCCTCAGGAAACGGAAATGTATATAAACGCCCAGACAAAAGCGCCCTCGCAATCTCCTTCAAATTCTAGTCGGGTCAGCAAAGCCTTAAAAGGCAAGAGAGTACATATTTGCGAGTACCCTGGATGTCCAAAGGTAATGAAGTAATTACCCGAGAACAGGATTGATAGGTCGCGGTATTAACTTAATCCAGGTTTTTACCAGAGCCGAACATCGCAGACGGCATGAGCTCAGCCACCAATCGAGGAAACAATATACTTGCACATATCCCGGGTGCGGAAAGGCCTTCCACCGTCCTGACTACTTGACCCAGCACATATCCCGACAGTGAGTATTCGCCCCGGTGTTCTATAATTGAACTAGCCAACTAATGACAACCACAGTTCGTCCTCGTCCCCCAGGGTCGGAAGATCTTGCGCGGAAAGCGACACATCATCTCGCCCATTAAGTATACAGGAGACGCAGTCGCAACCGATTCATTCGCCTCCCATGCCTTTCCAACTTGAGTCCAACAACTACTCTCGGACATGGGGAAGCATGGATTCTTCGATAACCTGTTCTCAGAACTCACCGAGTCAGGGCGACTCTCCAGTATCTGTCGATGGACACGCATCTCCTTACTCATTCACAAATGAGAGGTGCAGCTCACCAGTCTCGACCGAATCATATACCAACACCGACACTCAATATCCTGTCTCGGGTCTCCCTGTCGAGCTGGTGACTAGCATCGACCATTACCTTCGCAGCATTCTGAAGCCTGAGGCTTTCGCTTCGTCTCATCAGCAGCTGAACCCCACAATCTGGAACACGGATACAATTGATATCGATCCAATTTTGACTAAGCCAGAGAGCCCAGTGAGTTACACAACGCTTAGCTCACGCTTGAATCCTTGTACTGACTTTCTTCCAGCAGTTGTCACTTTATTCATGGCCTCCCGCAAACGGCTTATCATACGAGAACACCCAGATGAATCATTATCAGTCTACCCGTCATTGAGAATTCGCAGTACGCGGTTGCCAGTCGCTATCTTTTGTTGCATTTTAGCGTGTTTTTGATATATATTCGCTTTCCTTTATTGTGCTCTTCTAACCATCGAGGGGCAATGATGTTTTGACTTTCGGAATGTTCTTGGGACCTTCGTTTTCTTGTCTACTATGATACCACGGCAAAATTTGTTTCAAGACGAAAGCCGATACAACGAGTGCTTCAAACGTCTATACAAACAAGTTGTCTACTATGACCGTTATATTGCATGTGTTTTCTTATCATCTTCCTACTCTATGATACCCAAGAATCTAGACCCCCTTCAGCAGCCAGTCCGCAACAATATTGTAGTTCACACCTCGGTAATTTTGTTAAACGAGGAAATAAACCAAGTGCCTGGAATAAGTTTTCAGCATAGTCAAATCTGCAAGGCTTGGAGCCTTGCACGTGGAACCGATAGATTCATACAATCAATATCTACGGACATTGGGTTGCGACAATGACTGCGGACCGCAAAATCCCGTCACATGATGGCTGTTGGTTGCCTTCATTCCTGAAGCGACGAGCTTCGTATTCCTTGCGCATTTCCGCTATTGATTCCCTGACAGGCATGGAATCTTCTGTTGTATTCAATAGCGTCTGTCAATATTCACCAAGCTGGGGTATCTTAGTTAAATTGATGGATAGCATTGACTTGTTGTGGCCCAAATATTTGGTATCATGTCAGGGGCTCGGTGGCTGTACGTACAGTAGTTCGGCATCTGAGACCTGTTGTCTCAGGTTTCCGTACTTAGGTTTCTTCAAAACCTTACGGGGATGATCAGCTCAATAGCAGGCAAGAGACCAGGTAGGGTGTATTTAAGCATCTCTGTCGATCGATTTAACATGCTGACGCTGGGGAACCTAAAATTTAAGCTTGTACCTTAATTTTCACATCTCGGTCAACGTCCGAGAGGTGGTTGCCGATCCTCATCTGGGCATACATCATGGCTACATGCACTGACACTGCTTAAAATTTTGACCATTCAGGTGTTCCTATCTCGTTCCGTATAGCTACAAGCAAAATAAACATAATGTGGTCTCTTTTATGTTCTGCTATGTGTCTCATTATGTCGCTTCAGGCACTAGTGCCCTATTCAAGATGTCATAACTGCGTTTACAGTGCCACTGATGAAGCATTGGATATTTTCTGCACAAAAGCCTCGAAGCGAGTATACCGTTTCATGCATATTTTTGTCCTATTGTGGCCTTTGTTTACTACCTCTTTTTTTCCCATTCACGAGTGCTCAGCTTGTAATTGTTAGTAGTAACTTGGTGGTTTAATCATGTAGACTATGTAAAGGTGGGGGATATGGCCACCTATGTATTATCGACAATTCTTTCTCTATATAACAATGTATGGCCGCGAATAATGTCGGTCTGATTGATTCCAAATTATATACAGCCCCGCTCGCCTTCACGAGGTACTGTAACTCATCGTCATTTTTTTACAAACCACTTTCCATGACAGGCCCATCATAGACCTTTCGCGCACGGACAAAGTAGTACACAAGGCTGAGGATAATAGTTCCTACAGTTCCAACCACACTGAAGTTCATAGTATGAACAGTCACCACCCAGCTTGTTGGCCAGAAGGTAAAGAAGACAGCGATGGTCATGTAGATCAAAGCCCACACATTGACCAGGATACCCCAAATACCGGGCAGATGGAACGGACCCCAGACGAGCTTTGCGCCTGCGGTGTTGACGACAGCTGAGTCACTGCTGCGGTTGGAGCTGATACCGCCAGTACAACGCCGCCAGAGAAGAAGACTGCCGACGACCATATAGGATAAGTAAAGACCGGAGATGGACATCGAGCAGAGATCGTTGAATGCCACTGGGGAACCGATGTTAATAAGAGCCAGCAGACAAGCAATCACGGATGTGAGAAGCACGGAGTACAAGGGCACGGCTGATTTCTCGGTGACCTGCCAATGTTAGCTTGGTGTGCACTGCAGTAGGAGAAGATTTGGGTTGGGATGAGTACATACCTTACTCCACACTCTCCAACCGGGAATACCCCGGTCACGAGCAAAAGACCAGAATTGCCGGGATGTAGATGCTAGCATGCCAACTGAGGTGGTCGCACCCATGGTGGTCACAATGGAGGCCATTACGGCAGTACCAGCTACGGAGCCCGTTGCCTGTTGGAAAATAGCCATGAAGGGGTATCCCGTGGTTGATTTGAGAGCTGATTCAATATCACCAATGCAGAAGAGCATGGCGAGCAACATGCCGAATCCCATAGATCCATTGATCAGGACACTGAGCATGATCGAGCGCGGGACTGCGACTGAGGCGTTCGTAATTTCTTCGGACATCTGGAGACATGATCAAGTTAGTCCGGCTGCTACTTTTGTCTATAAGATAAGAAGGAACTCACATGAACAGCCGCATCACCACCGGCAAATGCAAAGATGCAACCGACCGTTCCAACAAAGAAGGAAAGTCCCTGAGATGGGAACCCTCCGAGGTTGAGGAAGTCAGTGAAGACTTCCTTGGCTGCGCCATGGTCGGCCATATAGGTCAAGGGAATGAGGATTGCGAAGAAACCCAGAATATGAAGGACCAGAATCATTCCCTCAAAACGGGGAAGGACCTTTCCTCCGACACTGTTGATGCCGACAGAAAAGACAACGACAGCCCAGTATAGTAGAGTTCCATGCCAATTCTTAGGATTGTAGCCACTGTTTGTCAAAGTGATCAAGCCTTGGATCAAGGTACCGACCAGGTAGCACGAGGTTGCGAATGTTGCCTGCCATCCGATAACTGTGAGCCAGCCTGTAGTTCATGTTAGAATCCAGTATCGACCATGCTCTTGCGCTCGTCAACCCACCTGTCAAGTAACTAAGTAGTTTCATCATAGATGGCGGTGCTAACATTGAACACCAATGGTACTGGCCTCCAGACGTCGGTGCCCTATGGAGAGTCAGTCTCCGATTTCTGCATGAAAAAAAAAAAAAAAAAAAAAAAAAGGTAGCGGTTGGCACATACATTGATACCAACTCGGAAAGAACCACAAATGTCGCTGCGACACCTGCCCACACGAAGAGAAATCCATATACTGCACCAGCCGGGCCACCACTGTGTAAATACCGTCAGTACTTGCGCTATCGATGGTTGCGATCAGTGTTTACTTTTGGTATGCTTGCAAGAAAAGCCTACGGAGTATATATTAGCCCACGTCAAGGATAGAGACATATCTTAAAAGTCAAGATCACTCACACGACAATTCCTTCCCAAGTAATCAGAATTGTACAACTGAAACCAAGCATGGACATCAATCCAAAGTTGCGCTGATTCAGTTAGTCCAGATCGCAATGCACATCCTCAAAAAATCCCACCTTCAAAACAGGACGTTTCCCCATCCGTGCCAGATTGGCATCATCCAGCTCCTTGCTGGTCGGAGGGCCGATCTCCTGCATACCTGAGGTCGACATTTGCTTCGAGTACTGAGACGGCATCCTTAGAAGGTGCCAGAGGAAAAGCAAAGACAGGTCACAAGTTCAGGTCTCTAAATGCAGGGAAAAATATTTATAAACCTGCAACGTGCCTGCATGTGGTGGGTAACGCCATCTTCACACGCTTCTACACGGCCAGGGGCCATGAAGAAGGCTAGCAAGGGCAAATACTACTAAATTGATTGGTTTCACAGTGGACTGAGCCGATGCAACATAGTTCTCATAGGGATGACCAGATGTGGAACGCCCAGAAACAATTGCATAAAGTGTTTGCGCATAGGCCAATTATGCTATGGAGCTCGGAGGCAACTGTGAGTTTCGACCCCGAAAAGTCTAAGCGGAAGACGCTAAATATGCACGCTAGATCCTTCGTCGCTGCTAGCGCCACCGGACAAGATGAGATCCTTGTCTCACTGTTGCAGTATTTTTGAATTCTAAATCGGCTTGTGATATTATGCTTTTTGGGATTTCCTTTACCAACAACTATGTATAGTGGGACGGTCTGGCCCCCGTTTCACGATCCATAGTTCATACTAAAAGTTAGTCGGCACTCGCGCCTCTTTAGTTCATTGTTGTAGCCCCTCTGTCACAGTCCAGGTCCGGGTCTCCACGATAATGTTAGACAGGCTCGACTGGCTTTCGGCGTCGTCGTCCGGTGCTGAGGTGACTAAAGTGTGGTTGGTTCCTTCGCGTGGTATGGAGACCAGCTCGTGGGTCTCGCTTCGAGTGTCTTGGATCCGGCGGGTGCCTTTGAATGTAGTCATGCCGTAGGTCTTGTGCTTGCTACCATAGCCATTAGAGCTCGACATTTCAAGACTCATCCCCGATGACCGTAGATTGTCCAGGAAAGGCTTGAACTGTGGGGAGCACGCCGTCACAATACTCAATGCTTGGGCCATTTGTGTAGAGACGGCGACAGTCCAGGTATCGAACGATGGGTCCGTCGACGAGAATGACTTGCTGGCGTAGACAAGTTGGCAAATAATCGCGACAATGACACTGTACAAGTAGCCACACTGTCAGTGATGCTCACCAAAGAAAAGAATATTGACCACATACACAATTCGAAGAAAAAAAACACTAAAAAGACTAGCCTTTCTGCGGAAGTCTGTCTGGATGCGAATGATGACCAGTAAGGCTTGAGCAATGATTCCAGCTTCTGATAAAATGTTTGTAATACCTAGATAGTTCCACCATGCGGTCTGTCGTCTTTAGCGATTTCCCTGAGAAACAGAGAGTGACCACATACCCGATCAAAGCAACTCCCATTTATATAGTCCCACGTCCGCGGTAGGTGACACTGAAACGAAGCCGTAATAATGCCAGTGATGGCCCAGAGTCCAATCAAAATTCCCAGCACAAGAGCAAAGCGACGGTCCAAGGACGCCGGTGTCAGGTTGCGAATAAATACCAACAGCGACAGTTTGGAACAACAAATGCTGGCAATGAACAGGATGATGGCGGCGAACTCAGACTAAGACCGTTTTTCACATTAGTATCTCTATGGAAGAAGCCAAAGAAGGTCTCATACCTTCATCATATTGTCCACCTTAGTCTCAGCCAGCATTTTGTAGTGCTGACCGAGGCCATTCGCAGTCGCCATAGACACCGCTATAGACTCCGCGGTACAAAAGACGATCGATGATGCGGCAAGTCCATCATCGAAGGTAAACTTGCGAAAGAAGAAATATTTTGTCCCCAGCCGGGTCAAGACACTCAGAATAGCCGTCACCAGCATAAACCAGGTCAAGACATTGACTGCGGGTGTCCAGGTATTCTTCAATTCGGGATGCATGACGCTTGTGGGAGGAACAGGGTAACCAAAGACGCCGTGCGCTGTTATCGCATATTGTATGAGGCTCTGAACATCCTTCGAACTGGAGTTCAGAGGTAGTCTCATAGAGTTCAATTATTCTGGGTCGCAGGCATAAACGCCATGTTCCAGCGGCTTATTGGCTTCGCAAGACAAGGCGCCGCATCACAAATCACAAGCGATGCAACCCTAGAACCCACAGGGGCTAAGAAAGTTAGACCGGGATATGATTGTTTGGGCTTTAGTGACTATCCACATTTCGACAAGTGTGTTTGTAGATTGAGGTTGTGAGATGGGGCCACGCGTATGTGCGAATTTTTTGGGGGGTCGCATCTAATCCCTGCACGATCGTGAAAAGGCTCTGAACCCTTTCCCTCCGATTAACGATCAAAGACCTTTCTCACACTTCTCGTCGCTTTATCTGGCCGTGCCCCTTGTCATTATTCTTCGCATGATTATTCCTGGTGTTTGTAGCTTTGGGATAACTGCATTGTTTGTTAAGGTGACTTCGAGTCTTAGCCAATTCCAGACTATAATAGGGGCAATTTCATTTAATTTACTAGAACCAATGTTTCGCCATGCAGATAATTTTGTAAACCCTACACGTTTTACCTAATTCAGAGCTTCTCCGGAGTAGGACCATCTAATTGTAATAAAACATCTTGTAAAAACATTTTTATAGATTTTATTAGTGTTATTATTCCTAACGCGCATTTATGTAAACTGTTAACCAAAGTTAGTTCGGTTTAATACTTACGCTGCCATCGCACCAATTTCGGCTGCTTGTTTTGCTTGCCGGGGTGCAGCTAAAATCGTTCACCTACAATTATTATTAGGCGACGTTAGGGGGACGCACCCTTTATGAAAGAGAAACCTTCCCTCTATTTGCTAATTGTCTTAGGGAAGGCGTAGAATTTATATTACTTATATGGCGCCTTAGACAAGATAGCCTTAACACATACCTGAAAAACGGCTTAAAAAACGGCGAACTGTTGACGGTACGATTGCCTTAACTGTATATGGGCAATATCAGGGTACATTCCTTGTACCAGGACCCTGATAATATACTTATTACGCCCTTTTTACGTCGATTAGGCAAGTGAAGGGAAGGTCCATTTAGCAAGTCCTTTCATTTTCTGTTTTACTATGAAAGTATTTCACTGATTCTGTGAATTCACTATCGGTGTGGTTGGTTCTCGAGGAAAACAACCCTAATAGCCTCTGTTCAACGGAAGTTACCTCAAGTCCTCCATGGCTATGTTCACAGAGGTACCGTAATCCCCTTCCGGTCAGATCATGTGCTAATGCAGAGCCCTAGTTTCCTCCTTGGCCTCCCCTTTTTTGTGTTTTCCTTTTCTTGTGTTCATTCCTCAAATCACATACTCCATGTCCATAGAATGTTTCCAATCGCTCGTTTGTTAGACCAGGACAGATTTTCCTCGTAGGAAATCAGTCAATCATCAGTGGGCTCATCTTTGACAATGGACACTTCAGCTTCAAAGTACTCGTCGGCGGGGGTAACGGTCTTGCAGCGCTTGGGAGCACGGGTGGTCAGAAGTGTCTCAGCAGAGTCGTCTTTGGCTTCGGCCTCGTCGGCGTTCTCGAGCTGGGGGACCTCAGGAGCCTTCCTGGCGGCATTGCGATTTGCAGGTGCACGACTCTTGGTCTTGGTGGGGGAAGCGGATGAATCCGGTCTTTCCTCGCCGAGAATCTTCTCGAGATGACGTTTGGCACGCAAATAGTTGCTACCAGCAGAGCCGGGCTTCATGTCAGCAAGGCGGGCGAGCTTCTCGGTGTCCAGCTGTGAACAATATCATGTTAGCGGATGTCAGACGAAATATATTCTAGAACTTACCTTAGTGCCATTGAAGCAGATGCTTGCGTAGAGAATGAGACGGGTATCAGCAGCACTCAGCTCAGTGAACCGGTCCTTGATGGGGGACTTCAAAGGGCTCGACATTGTGTCGGGTTGTTGTTGGTTTGTTCGTGAAAAGATGACGTGTGGTGTGTAATTCGGACTGGACCAACGTGCTTGGTTGTGTTGGGCGTAAATTAAATGAGATGAAAAAAAATGAGATAAAGTTGAATTTGTGAGTTGTCGAACTGTCAAACGTGAAATGAAACTCAATCGAGTTGCGTGCTGTACGTTACGCTGTGCGTTTGAGTGAATGCAAGTATTTTCATCGCCTCTGAAAAGTATTTATAGGCAGTCAGCATATGATCAGCTCTCAGGTTCACAAGAATTGCCTTTCTTTATCTACTTATTCGTTAGTGATCTATGACTTGACGTATATTGTATTACTTGCTTTGTTAGGAGATATATAGATCGGGAAAGAGATGGTCGAAACCCTTTGATATTAGGGACAAGACATCCAGCTTCTAAGTTAACAATCATACTATGAATACGTAGTTAGCTATCAATCGTAACTCTGGTTGTCTTTTCTTCTTCTTAATACTACTGGTAACCCTAGCTAACTATAAAGTTTATATGACTACCAGGCACCCCCCGTTGAGGGTACTTCAGTATTATATTTCAAAAACGCGCTCGAAAATCCTCGAAGATTATCAATAGTCTAAAATGAGGTTGGAACTCGGCCCTGCCCAAGCACTCGTCCTACACGTCTGGATAGGCGTGCGCGGCTCAAAGACTGTGTCATTTCTGCACCGAGTTGCTTTCTAGGGGAGCGCTTCCATGTATTTATCGTATCATGTACGTAAATCCTTAGCTTAGTACGTCCGTATACCCCAAGGGAGGTCATGGACACGGGCTTCGCCTGCATCCCGCGGACGTTACATAAAACAACAACAAGAAGTGCGCCATTATGAGGTAATATTATCTTGAGAAAACATATTTGGAAAGTGTATTGAATGGAAGGGATGCTTTTCTCGCCATTGAAGGCACGTTGTATGCCCTTGGCTCTCCTTCCTCGTCAACTATCAAGATTCCTGCAATAGAACAAACAGCCGACATTTACGCATCTTGGCAGCTCAGCAGATAACACCTATATAGACTCTCCATATAAGTTTGAAGCAGAAAAACAAAAATGTATTCACACATCCATGTCTATCCAAGAAACCGACGCCGACCATACGGCCCCTCTATACTAACATTATATCATATCAAACGTAAAGCGACAAATAATTGACCATTAGCGCTTGAACGGCAGATCATCATTCAAGCAAGCATCGGTCTTCTCGAAGTACCAGTGGTGAGCATGGAAGTCCGAGATCAACGGCGCACCAGTTCCAGAGTTTCCGTCCAAGCTGAGTACACCTTCAACGACGTCAATATCAGAGGCGGTAACAGTTGTGTTATCAGCAGACGTGATCCAGTATTCAGGGCTGATATGGGCGTAACCCATAGCAATCAAGGGCAGCTTGGGAACTGGGTCATCCTGGTGGGTGAAGCGGTAGTTGTTGTTTTGCGCAGTGATGAATTTCGCCAGGGTCGGGTTGGCCACACGGGGCGAAGCAAAGGCGTACAGTTTGGCTGACTCGTGACCCTTAGTACGGAGATCGGCGGCCGCAAGAGTTGCAACGGCTGCACCCAGGCTGTGGCCCACGATTACCAATTCATAGTCTGGGTTCTGGGACAGGGCATCTTCAAGCTGCGCGTTGACGTCCTCGCGGACGTTCGACCAGGAGCTCCAGAAGCCCAGTTCGGCGAAACAGCCGTCGCAGAGGTCGGGGTCGATGTAGGGGAATGAGGCATCAGCGAACCAGTTGCGGACTGAGTAGGAGCCGCGGAAGGCGAGGACAACTGCCTTGTTTGTGGTGTCTACTGCAATGTACCCAGTTGTATCGGTGGCTGTAGAGCTGGAGGTATGGGCGTTAGCACTGAAACTATGCATGTAGGTGGGATTTGCATACTTGGAAAAGTCATAGATGATTGTAGCACCGGCTTCCTCAACATCGGGGCAGTTTCCTGTCATACAGCTGACCTTGGTGCCGACTTGAGCAGTATAATCAGCTTGGCAGTATGACGCCGCAGCATACTGAGACCAGAACTTGAACTGGCTCAGTTCATCAGAGGGGACATCTGCTCATGTGTGAGGAATGTGATCATCATGCATAATGTAAGAGATTAATGGGACGTACCACGAGACTGCACAACACTCGGGAGGGCATCACCCAATGCAGCCACGGCGGACAGGATAGTCAAGGAAGAGAAACGCATGGTGAATCGAGTCAATGCCGGTACCTGAACGAACGAGACTGCAAAGCAACATCGCCTTAGGGAATGGTCCGCCTTATGTTCTCTTTAGTTTTGCGCAACCGGTGGATCCGCACAGTTCCTGCATGGGATTTACCCGATTCCACGGACCACAAAGCCCGTCTGGAACAGAAGAGCGTGGAGAATATATGCCATTTGACCTCACGGGGGACGATCCTCGGATTTCGGAGCCGTTCCTCGTACCGAGCAACGCGCACATGGTTAACGTGCCAGCGATACCGGTGTAGACCGTTTAGGACTCGATTGATAAACCGTGGACGTCAGTTCAGCTGAACCTCGGTATCCCGGAGATTATTCCAAAACCAGTCCATGATTCACAGTGTGCAGATCGCAAGCTTGATTGAGCCAGCGGAATACGCCGATGACGAACCGTTTGATCCACTCGATCGAGCTTGGCGATCGAAAAACCGTGGCCATCGGTGGGGTGGGTCGGTTTTCTTTACTCATTTTGGGCGAATGCTCCGTTGATATATGTAAGAGCACGTGAGACATCAGTGAAGATCGTGGGTTACTTGCATGTGCTTTTGCAGTTGTATACATTTGGGAGAGGAAGTTGATATTGAGGGTTAAGCTCTATCAACCTCGGGAGCCACTCGGCCCGGAATCTTGGAACTATGCTTGCCTTGGATATCAGGCCTCTTGAAGTTTCGTGGTTTTGATCTTTGCTAGGGACCCATCTGTTGACAAGTGAGCTTTTCGCCCTTACATATATGGATGGATACTCTGTTCGACAGGGGCAAAATATCCCTAGTTGTCTATGTGTAGGCAGCATTGACCGAAAGAAAACTGAAAGTCTCATAAGACGTCCTTGCTCTGTTCTCCTCGCATATTCACATTAAGCACCCGTCCTTGATACTTGAGTGCAAGTCACTGATTCCAACCCTCACACGGCGATAGCCAGCTCGGGAGTTTGGCTTTGCGCCGTTGTCCTTGGCCTTCAGGCCATCGACACTGGGGGATGCAACTCGCGAGTTGCCCGCGGCAGGGGTGGCCTTGGCGGAGGATGTCGAAGTGCGCTCAAGTGCGTATACCTCGACCATCCATTCATACCAGACCTTGCGGTCATCGGTTTGACGGTACATGGTAACGGTGATCTCGCCATTTTCAGGGACATTGAGAGGAGTCTGGGACAGAAGCATTAGTATAAAAACCAGACACATAACAAAAAGTGTATTGAAGCTCACCTTCAAGGGGAAATAGATAGGGAACCAGCTGATCATGTTTGCGCTCTTGGCATCCATAGTCACGGGATTGGTAGACAGCTCCACATCGCCGTAAAGCACTGTCTCAAAGTAACCGGCCAAACCATGGCATGCGCCTCGGTTCTGGGCGGGGAAGGACAGACGAGTCTGACGCACATTGTGTGCGTTCGAGATTGTTGACTGCATGGGGGACTGGGGAGGAATATGGAGGTTCGGGTGGGAGAAAGACCAGGCGGTCTGCACATTCGGAGTAGGGAATTCGGTAGCAGTGAATGATGCCGACGGGGTAGAGGCCCTGTTTCCATTGTTGGAGCTTGAGCTTTCAACACCAGTAGGCGAATCTGCGGTGGACAGGAAATCAATGGCGTGGAGCATCACAACGTATGGGGTCTCCGGAGCCGCTGGGTTGGAAACGGTCTGGTGCACAACATCGGCGTGCAATTTGGGAGCGGACACCGGGGTGAAGTGAGCGGAGTACGAGGCTGGAATGGAAATTCCATGTGTCGGATTGATGAGATCATTCACACCATCCAGACATTCGGGAGAAAGCTCATTGTCAGCGAAGGATCCAAGCAATTCCGATACAATAATGTCCACATGGGTGTGTGTCACACCCAGTCCCATGGATTCAGATGCCCGGCCCGGGTCGTTCGCCCCCTTCTTCGGGCTGTAGAGCAAAGAGTCCTCAATTCCCAAGGTATCTCCCACGGGCTCCTGAGTACCCTTGGTTTTCTGTCGGCGAACCAGAGGACCTTTCCAACTGCGCATGTCAGATTGGACCAGAGTGACCTTACCATCCCAGATTGTTTCGTTGTGGCGCTGCAGCAACACAAATGCATTCTGGTTCTTCTCCACGGCCCATAGATCAATTTCAACACCAGCTTCCGCACTAGCTTTAAGTGCCCTAGTGACCAGCGGTCCACGACCAGCACCCACAACAGCGAGAATTACCTTGCCATCTGGGTGAGATGTGGGCTTCTTCTGGTCTGCCCAATCCCTCAATGCCTTGGTGATCGCCTTTTCGTACCACTCATATTTAATAGGATCCTTTTCAAATACTTCATAGGTGATACTCTCCAGGTTGACAGTTAAGGGCTGCAAAGGTGCCTGCAAATAGTCCTGGTATCCCACACCAAACCTCTCAATGGCAGTGCGCGGGGGTTGGCGTTGTTGAAGGTTCCGAATATATGACAAATGGGGGGTTGGGTCGTTGTGTTTCTTGTTGGCCTGTGACAGACTTGGATAATCAGATCCAGACAGTCGAGACTGGCCGACGCCGGAGCCTTCGATGCCTTCGATGCCTTCGAGCCCAGGTATAGGGCCAACGCCGCAAAGAAGGATCCATGGCGCAGTTCGAAGTCGCATCATCTTGGCAATCAACGCCTGGTGGGATTTTGCCAGTACTGGGTATCCCTTCTGGTTCTTCAGGAACGAGGATGCGTCAATTGTGAGCAAGTGCACAGGTTCCGAGTGCCACCGGGACTGCACATATAGAGATGGCAGCTGCTTCGGCATCGCGAGAGCTATGGTCCACATCAGCTTTTGTTCATGGGGAAGGGTATATGGCTAATACTTACCAACAAATAGTCTCGTATGATACTTGCAAGTCTTTCGGATTGCGTCCCACGCGTCCCAGGTTCCAAATGGATCAACTTTAAGCGAAACGCCCTCATCTGGCTCCAAGTATTCCGCTCTAGCGAGCGGTGCCAGATCGCCCATAGTATCAACCTCAGCTTCTGGATTGTCAACCATCTGCAGCCAGATATGGAATTGAATATAGGGACCGAGGTTCAACGCATCCTGAACTGCACGCGCGTAGTAGATTACTCCCTCGGAATGCAATGCACCATGATGCAACTTCGGTCCAGGAATCAAGAGATATCCAATTCCACAGAATGCAGCGTACGCAACCTCAAGCATTAGAACTTGGCGAGATAAGTCGGCAATCAATGGGTCTGGCGAGCACAGATCAATCCAGCTGCTGGTCACACCAACTAGTTGACTGGTTGCATCGTTGGGAGTCAAGTAGGAGTCTGTTTTGGACAGTGGTGGAATCACCAGAGGCCGAGTGTTCTGAGTAGTAGCCATTGTCCCAATAGAATCGTAAGAAGGGGACTGCAAGCTGGCCAAGTAATTTGATAGCAGGCCCAGTACACGAGAATGGAAATGCGATGTCGTAATTGGGACAGTCATCATGTCATACTATATCATATCAAATTAGCATCCGAAGCAATGGGATTGAACGAGGGACTGACATTGCTCTCATGCACCTGTTGGATCACCTCAGATGTCACGGAGATCAGCCTGTTATGTTCATGGTGACCGACGCAGAACGCTGGTCCTGGATCTTCTGAGGGATTATAGCTTTCCATGTTGAGCGAGAAGTCTGGCGCAATGGTGGGGTGATTAAACTAGGGATGTGGCAGACTGGGAGCTTTTTACGAGCAACGGAGCGACTTCCCAACCTGTAATCAGACAGTTCTTGAGTGGTTCACACTATAATCTGTTTAGGTAGAGAAGCTCAGTCAGGAACAGGACATCAACAACCCAAAGATTATCGATCCCTGTGGGGAGCGTAGCAGAATATCTGAGGCGGTGAGTCTGATAGGCAGCTGTGGCGCTCGCCCGACCTTCCTATCGGATTTTTTTCTTCGCTATCTCAGCTCTTCCACCCGCCGAGTTTGCTCTTCAACACTCCTCGGCTTTTCACAATGACCATGACTGATAACCGCTCAGACTCCGAAGGCGGCTCCCGAGCCAAGCGCCAGAAGATGGACGCCGGCGACCCAAAGAACAACCCATACCTGGCTCACATGTACGAGAACGATGACTCCAGCAAGAATTCGTCCCTGGCAAAGTTCAAGCGACACCAGACGACTGCCGCGATGGCAAAGAAGGCCGAGGATGGCGAAATCAACCCCTTCAGTGGCCGTCCTTACTCCACCAAATACTTCTCGATCTTGAAGACTCGCCGTGACCTACCAGTCCATGCGCAGCGGTGAGTGATCCTAGAGAGCCATTCTGTAAGAAAGTACACTGACCCTCTTTTTCCAGTGATGAGTTCCTGCAAATGTATCAGCAATCGCAAATCCTGGTCTTCGTTGGTGAGACCGGTTCCGGAAAGACCACTCAGATCCCACAATTTGTCCTCTTCGATGACCTTCCCCAGACCCAAGGCAAGATGGTCGCTTGTACGCAGCCGCGTCGAGTTGCTGCCATGTCCGTCGCACAGCGTGTCGCAGCCGAGATGGATGTCAAGCTGGGTGAGGAAGTCGGTTACAGTATCCGTTTCGAGGACATGACCGGCCCTAAGACCATCATGAAGTACATGACTGATGGTATGCTGCTTCGTGAGGCCATGAACGACCACAACCTGTCGCGCTACAGCACAATCATGCTTGACGAGGCTCACGAAAGAACCATGGCCACTGATATTCTGATGGGTCTTCTGAAGGAAGTCGTGGGTCGTCGCCCCGACTTGAAGATCATCATCATGTCCGCCACTCTGGATGCGCAAAAGTTCCAGCGCTATTTCATGGACGCACCTCTTCTCGCAGTTCCCGGTCGTACCCACCCCGTCGAGATCTTCTACACCCCCGAGCCGGAGCAAGACTACGTTGAGGCCGCCGTTCGGACTGTGCTGCAGATTCACGCCACCGAGGGAGAGGGAGATATTCTTCTGTTCCTGACTGGTGAAGAAGAGATTGAAGATGCTTCCCGCAAGATTGCTATGGAAGGAGATGAGATGGTCAGAGAAGCTGATGCCGGCCCTATCAAGGTCTACCCGCTGTACGGTAGTCTTCCTCCTCATATGCAGCAACGCATCTTCGACCCTGCACCCCCTCCTCGTCGGCCCGGTGGCCGGCCTGGCCGCAAGGTCATTGTTTCCACCAACATTGCTGAAACCTCCCTGACCATCGATGGTATCGTGTATGTGGTGGACCCCGGTTTCTCCAAGCAGAAGATCTACAACCCCCGCATTCGTGTCGAGTCACTCCTGGTATCTCCCATCTCCAAGGCCTCCGCTCAACAACGTGCTGGTCGTGCTGGTCGTACTCGTCCCGGAAAGTGCTTCCGTCTCTACACCGAGGGCGCATTCAAGAAGGAGTTGATCGAATCCACATACCCCGAAATTCTCCGGTCAAACTTGTCCTCCACAGTTCTTGAACTGAAGAAGCTCGGCATCGATGATCTTGTCCACTTCGATTTGATGGACCCTCCTGCACCAGAGACTCTGATGAGAGCTTTGGAGGAGTTGAACTATCTTGCTTGTCTCGATGACGATGGAAACCTTACTCAACTGGGCCGCCTGGCATCCGAGTTCCCTCTCGACCCGGCGCTTGCCGTCATGCTCATCAGCTCTCCTGAGTTCTACTGCTCTAATGAAATCCTCTCCATCACAGCCCTCCTGTCTGTGCCCCAGGTCTTCGTCCGCCCCGCTGCTCAACGCAAGCGTGCCGACGAGATGAAGAACCTCTTCGCCCACCCCGACGGAGACCATCTGACCATGCTGAACGTTTATCACGCTTACCGGGGTGACGAGGCCCAGTCGAACCCCAAGCAGTGGTGCCACGATCACTTCCTCTCACTGCGATCCCTCCAGTCCGCCGATAACGTGCGCTCGCAACTGCTCCGCATCATGGAACGCGAGGATCTGGAGATGATCTCCACACCTTTCGAAGACAAGAAGTATTATGAGAACATCCGTCGCGCCCTGTGCGCCGGTTTCTTCATGCAGGTCGCTAAGAAGGACACCGGTGGCAAGAGCCAGTACCTCACCATCAAGGACAACCAGAACGTTCTCCTGCACCCGTCCACCGTGCTGGCCCACGAGGCCGAGTGGGTCCTCTACAACGAGTTCGTCCTCACAACGAAGAACTATATCCGTACCGTGACCGCGGTCAAGCCCGAGTGGCTCTTAGTAAGTCTTCCCATCAAATCTTCCCACCACATGTTCATTTTACTGACTGTTCTTATTCAGGACATTGCTCCTACATACTACGACATTAACAGCTTCCCCAAGGGTGACATCCGCTCTGCCCTCACCCGGGCTTCCGAGCGTCTCATTCGCAAGGAGAAGATGCGCGCCGAAAAGCGTCGCTAGACAATTTGCTTTATATTCTCAGCCTAAAATCATGGACGATATGCTTTCGTTTTGCGCCGTTCTGCTTTCTCTTATGATGCCAATGCATTGAATAAAACGCTTGTTATCTTGTGCTATATCACGCTCTGTGGCTGTTCCCCCTGTTATATGCTCTCTGAGACCTTTCTAGATCTGCAGTTGTACAAATAGATCGATACACATTCTGAGATTCTAAGATTTGATATGTTACATACAGAACCTAGCGACGATCTGAGAAGGGAGAAGAATGAGGGATCTACCTAATGTTCTTAAATTTCAGTTGTATGATGCACTGCGCCGTCAATGTCCTTAGGATGCGGGAGATACATTGGTGTTTTGCCCAAATTACTCCTGTGGCTCTATTCAAACAAGGGTAATCATTTAATATACAAGAAGGTCTCACTGAATAGGTTCAAGATTCAGTTCCTGGCTGGAAGTCTGTGTATCCCAATGCTTTCCAAGTAAACACTGTTTATGCCTCAGTGGGAGTAGGGATTGTTGAGTCTGCAACAGCCGTCTTTGCAGATGCCCTGGTAGCGCGTTTGTTTTGCCTCGTCTTACGTTTAGGGGGTATCTGAGGAGACAAGGTAGACATCGATCTGTCAAGCGTGATAGAGCCCGCGGTTCGAGTGAATTTGTGGTTTATGGGAAGAGTTTTCGGTGTCGAGATGTTGATGGGAGGGTTGGTCTCGCTGGAGGCGGGGATAGGGTTCGGGGGTTCACCCTTCGAATCGGAAGAAGAGGAGCCATTTGTAGAGGAGTCGGAGATGTGGTGTTTGCGGAGTTCAAAAACGAGCTCGCGGAGTTGCGCAACCTCAGTTTTGAGGGTGGAGATGTCTTCGGCATGCGTGTTCCCGGTAGACTTAGAATTCTTTCCTCTGCCGTGTCCGAGGGCGGCGGACATGGCATTGTCTGCGTGCTGTTCGGCCATTCTGGCATTTTGGTGGGCGATGGTGGTCTCTGAGGGGATTTCAAGTTGGCTTAGATATTCACCAAATGTGTTGCCGAAGTCGTAGCACTTTTGCCACACAGGACGGTTGATGTTTTCCTTTGGTGTTGACTTGGCAGCTGCAAACCATCGTTTGAGATCATGATTGACGAAAGGTGCCATATCCGCCTGCCGTGATAGGAGTTTGGGATCAAATCCACTGTGGATTGCAGCCTTTATCAATTCATTTGATGCATCGAGTCGATCGCACGAATCGCAGAGGCCGACCATTCTTCCTAGTAATCGCTCGACAGAATCAATACGATGATCTGTTGACGACACGAGGTAGGTCACGGCTCTCTTCAACACATTGGTGCCCTTCTCCCAGTCTCGGCGAATACTGTAAAAGCGAAGGTATGTGAAAAGAGTCTCCCAACTATCAAAGAAACCCCCACTCCGTGCAGCCTGGAGCCAAGCGTCGGCTCGTTGGGGTTGATCAAAACGTAATGCCGCACCAATCAAGCTGGCATAGATGACAGGGTTGGTGCTGTTCAACGAGGGAACAATAATTTCTAGCCCATTGACCTTTCGGTGCTTGTAAGTGCCTCTACTCCCCAAGTTCACAGAATATCCTTCTCCGCCGAGCATCTTCAAGAACAAGTCAAAGTCCTTAAGGTTCTTTGACTTCTTGAAGAAAGATATGATCGTAATCACGAGGGAAGGGTTGAGGTAGAATCGGTTCGGTAATAATGTTCGCAGAAGCAGCTCAACCAAGTCATTTTGACGGGTCCGTGTGAACGCCATGATCATGAGTCGGAAAGCCGTGGGGCGTTCTGGATCTCTTGAACTCAAGATATTATTAGATAGCCGTAAAAGCAATTCCTGAAGCGACATCTCCTGGCTGGTGTAACTGTGGATATCGTTGGTGAGCTCTGAGTCAAGGATCTCGCGCTCTCTTTGCATTTCGCCCAATTGACTCGCAGCATAGTCCTTGGTGATATCGCTGAAAGCCGCGTCTCTTTGTGTCTTCAATGCAACCATGCGGTGTCGAATGGTATTCAATTCCTCAAGGAGCTGGGAAACATTGACCTGGGGAGTCTCGAAGTCCGCCGCGTAATTCATCGAGACGCCGGAATAGCGATGGGCAATGGCAGGCCGTAGCAACATTCGAATAGCAAACTGCCTCAAGGCAAGTTTTTGTATAGCCTTGAGACGAAGATCATCTTCAAGAACCCAGCTAGGCAATGTCTCCTGCGCCACAAAGATCTCGCTCTCGTCCGTCTCGTCGACGTTCTGATCGTCCTCTTCCAAAACGGGCGAATTTTCTAACATGCGAGCATTCGCGGCATTCAATCGTCTTCGCTCAGTATGGAAAGATCTCAGAGAACGATTCAAGCCCGGCGGGGATTGAAGTCCGGACGGGAATCGTGAAACAGGGCCAAATCCCCTCACTTGCATTAAACGATTGAGGCCTCGATTCTCCCTTCCAGATTGTAGCGATGCCAAAATCCGTTGTTCCTCATCCACCAATTCGCTCACTTCCGCCTTGACCGCGGCAATCTTTTCGTCCCAGTCATGTCGGCGTCGATCCTTCACGCTGGCATCGGCAAGGGCGGCGGCGGCGAAGATGCTGGTGTATAATGCAGTGACAGAGTTACCAATTCGGAGCTTTCTTCTACTGGCAGCGGTAGCCGATCTCGAAGTGACACCATTGGCCGTGGTGCTCAAACACCCGACGCAGCGGCAGGACGACTGCTTCGAGACAGCGCGGGACCACAACCCCTGCATTCTCAGGGCATCGCTAGCAAACAATTGCTTAGTATAAGTCAGCGAATATCAATGGATTGGACTCCTCTCGGAGCCCGGTCGGCAGCAGGAGGTATATGGCGATGAACGGGGAAACATGCGATGCGGAAATAATCGTGCAATCCGCAAATATCGGGATCCGGTGCAAACACTGCAAACAAGCTAAGACCTCCCCCGGCCGCATCTGAACACCGTTGGATGTTTGTAGTTAATCTAGATCTGTACTATTTTTTGAACGAGTCTCCTTTTCTTACGGTTATACAGTACAATGGTACACAAGCTACTCGGTTTCGCCGCCGGGCTACTCGCGTTGAGCTCCGCTGCCAATGCCCATGGCTCGCATTCAGACGACAAAGCTCCTTCCGATGATTGGGCCACGAGACACATGATGGGTAAGACAGTGCTGGGACTATGATTTCGGATCTGGAATCTGCATTCTGACATGGCATTCTGTAGAGGAACATCACATCGAAGGCTTCGACGCTCCCTCGTTCTTTATCGTGCACGACTACGATTCATCCGGGTTCTGGACACATGACGAAGTCCGCAAGACATATGGTATCGACGATGAATCCAATTCCGATAAAAGTGAAGCCCGGAAGCAAGATGCCGTGAAGGCGGTGTTTGATATCTTCGATCCTGGAAACACTGGGTTCATTACCAAGGAGGACTGGCTACACGGCATCGCCGCTGGTAAACGGTTGCCCGATGTCGGGTTTGGACCTGGACACCATGGCGACATGGAATATGAATATGAGATTCACCATTTCGAGAAGTTCCACGGCGACGATACTACCGAGGAGGATTTGGTTCACCCACAGGACATTGAGCATTTCCGCAGGCACGACGAGGAAGAAGATGCTGCCCTCCGCCTGGAAAAGCTGGAGGCCATGCAGATTGTCTTGAACAATATTCCTCAGAAATTCCGCCGGAATTTCTAGGTTAGCTAGATAACTTCTTTTCTTGTTGATGTACATATACACGTTCACATACGGATTGAAACGATTTGAGGCCAGGACTCATCAAAATGCCCGTACAAAAGCTAGAAAAGACATCTCGTAGACCTACGGATGGTTAATTTGGGAGACTATCTCAGGTCGCTGTGGATTGCATCTTTCCTTGGGCGATCGTCCTTCATGGAATTAGCCATGATGAAATTGGCCACATAGATCAAGGACCAAAGCGATGGGGATCTTGAATTTCAAGCAATATAAAAATAACTAACCAGCCAATATGACGTAGACCCGCCGAAAAATAATGATGTACGAAATCGAGACTCATGAAAGAGAACGCCGAAGTAGAGTATTGAGACGCTAAAGCTCAGAAAAGAGGGAAATAAAGAGTCGAGATAGACCGAGCTCAGTACCGGAGCAGTCAACGCCCATGCCGAACAAAGGAAATGATGGAGTGAACACCCCAGATGAACGAGAACGACGCTCGTCTCGTCTAGGGGAGAGATTGGGTAAACTTGGATATTGCAAGTGGCAGGCTGGAGTTCGGGTTGTTCGATAAGGGAAGAATCAGATATGCATAGGTTTTTCACCTATATTGATGTGTTTCACTTCACCTCTTTTCAAACCCAATAAAGCCTCCAGAGAGGATCACACTCAGTAATCCGCCGCATACCCTAACCTGTCATTTGAATCGACAACCCTGTAGCAAAATGATGAGCATGAATCTAATCAAATGGCGTATTCATATCCACATACGAATATTGTTTCGTCAAAGTTCCCTCTCCACCCTTGGACAGATCAATGTTAAAGACGTAAAAGTTGCCATCGCTAGTCACAACCATGACTTGAGGAGTATTGCTACTCATAGCAACCACACTCCTGATCGGCCCAGAGTTTGCATTTCCAGCAGGACCCTGGTTTACACGGGGCAGCTTAATCCAGGCAAAATCGCGTGCTGGCTCCCACATCTCACTCACTCCCTTGGGAAGATAGCCGCCCATCCTGGCTGCAACCGCACCGCCGACATTTTGAGAAGTCCGACGTAGCATCCCCATCAGTGTACCGTTATGCTTTCGCGATGCATCAGAGCCAGCATCCCCGCCCATCTCATCATCTTCTGGGGAATAGCCATAAGGCGGAGAAGATTGGTCACGGCCCGTGGGAGAGTGTGATGAAGATCCATCAGATGATGGTCCTTGCTGAGTCAACTTGAAAATGTGAACGGTGTCGGTGGATGATGAGACACATAAAAGAGTGGAGGTGGTGTTGAAGGACATGCTGTAGATTCGTGATGGCATGGAGCCTCGTCGGAATTGATACAGCTTGTGGCCATCTGGAACGGAAAACACGCGAATGATAGTTCCTTTATCAGATGCAGTGGCCAACAACGTTCCGTCACTGTTCAGCGCAATAAGGGCCAAAGGAGAACGATGCGCCTCGATTACGTTGATAGCTTCTAGCTTGACTGCGTCGAAAATGAGAACATCACCTGTCGTGGGAGCAATATGCGTTGTTCCGGGTGGAGCATGAGCTGGTGGGTTTGCAGCTGCATGTGCCTTTTGTGGAAGAGGGTAGGCCATGTAGCAATTTTCCGACGATGGCGCAAGGGCACAAATGGCTGTTAAATTGTCAGTAAACCCGGAAAAAGGAACGTGACAGTAAATCCCCTTACCGTTAGGGTTTGGCGATGTATCGATGGTAGACAAAAGCTTCATAGTCTGAATATCATAAAGATAAATTTGATCCTCAAGGACAATAACAAGTCGTTTCCGGTTCAGCTTCACTGCTAAGACCGTTGTTGGAAATGTCAATTCGCATATTGTGCATTGTCGCTGCCGGTGGTTAGTCCAATGTCTATCAAAATGCCATCATCACAGGCTAGTAAACGAGAGCATTTCCGCGTACCTTAGTGTTTTGAATTTGCAAGCGCCTTGGAGACAAGATCAGAGCCACGAGAGAAGTCGAGAACAACATCTCAATAACGGCAATATTGCCCTCCTTAGCTTCATAGCTCTTGGCAAAGGGTTCAGTAGTGAATATCTGAAACCCCTTTGATGTTGCTAAAACCGCGGTCAACAACAATCCCCAAAGTAAACAGTGCAGGCCCAGTCCGCCCCGGAAAAATACTCACCCACAGCCAGGTAGCTGTAGTCCTGGTTAAAGGTCACGAAATTCATGGCCATATTGACAGAAGATAGCAGGTTGGTGGAAGTCAATAAGATACAGGCAACCTTCGGAGCGTCGGAGATACCCCGCTTAGGGCGAGGTCGAGCGATGTGGGCTGAACCAGCAACTCTTTGCCCGTCACTGGCTCCGTAACATCTCTTGAAATGAGAACTAACTGAGAAGCTTTGTAAGACGAGGCGGTGAAGAGTGAATCTGATATCCGAGAAGTGCTGGACTCAAAGTCACAAGCGAGAGGTTTGCGCTTGGGCCACACCTTGATTGTCCACCGCCTACGCACTCCCAAGGTTATCGCCTGGACTTCACTCCGGACTGAGACTGAGGCTGCAGTGAGGTATGTTATTTTATTCTGCGAATAGGTGAAAAAGTGAAATTCTGTTGCTGACTTTTTGTCTTCACTAGGCAAACGAGCGGTTCTTACCTAGCTACCTCCCATGTGACGTAGATAAGCCACTGTGATCAGGCTTCCATCCTTCGTTCTTCTATCGAGACACTGCAACGGCGACCGACGACCATAAAACTAGACATATGAGCTGTGGCTCGCTGTGATCTCATGTGGAGACGTGGGAAAATGGACAAGAGCTTCTGTGAACCCCAAATCTGCCCTCCATGTCCCCGCCGTAAACAGTGAGTTGTGGGTGGCGTGTCCATTGCTACCAGATCTAGGTGGCCTGCATACTACGAAGTGGCTGTATATGATAGAAACGGTCCCTTTGAAAGGGCCCTAGGTGAGGAGAGGTGGTCGAAAGGCAGGCATGAGTGGTATCCGACTCGATAAATTGGTTGACTTGGATGAGATTTGCAGGAGAGCCATCTTCTCAAGGATCTCTTACATCCCCCACCAAACGAAAAAGGAACGAAGCTCGCAATGACTTGAATGCTTCAAAAGAAAGGGGGCCATAAGTCATTTATGCATACTTGGTTTTGAGGATCCGGCGGTATAGACTTGCCGGAAGCCCTTACGCAACTTTTTTAGGGTTGATATCATTCGATGTCATGTATCCGGTGTGGTGCAATTAGTCAAAGCGGTCTGTTGCATTAACAAGGCATCATCGCAGTTCTCATTGCAATGTATGGTAGCCCGATGGCGTTTGCTAATTCTATGATAAGCGCTTGAAACAACTGCGCCCGAATCGTGGAAATTGACTGCTACATCGCACGCCCAATCCCTGCATTTCAATCACGGACAACAACATGCATAGATCCCAATCGGCGGTGTAGGAGGCCGACAGAAAGCCCTGTCTGTATACTGCAGGGAAATCGAAGCAGAGACGCCCTGCCCTATCTACCCAGCCTACATTGCTGTCCCTATGCCCTACAATCATGTACCAGCACCCCCGGAACACCCAAGACAAACCCAACCAGGGTTACCAGGCCACGGGCCTCACCAGCTACGTGTTAACAATGGAACTCTACTATTTCAAGGTAATTATCGAAGGGTTTGATATCGGCCCATGTGCCGAAAGAAAAATACCTCGCAAGCGACGGCGAAAACAAGGTACGGCAGCTACCCGCCTCACACGACATCGTGGTCCAGGGATTTGCCGAGGGGGCCCCGATTAGGTCGTTGTTCTATATTCCCGGTGGAGGGTTGAGTCGGGAAGGTTTCACGTATATGGTTGATCTTCGGTACGGAGTTTGTATATAAGTGTAGGACCTGTATCAAATGAACTAGGCAGTAGTAACCGCTAGGCAACGTAAATTCGCATCCCACTAAGTTCTTCAGGCTGCGATCTAAAGTAGTTTCAGTGCTCGCTGGCTGATGAGAAGATGTGTGCATAGCTAGCTCCACATCTGTGGTTCACCATGTGGCACCACTAAGGTATGAGGGTATGAGATCAAACCAGAAGAGGTGGCAAAGACGCAAACGAAACATCCTGACCGGGGAACAGGTGACAGCCAACGCGTCCTGTTAGTATCGAGTTCAAGGCGCGGGCGCGCAAGGCCGATCATTCTGTTTCCGCCCGTTGATGTGCAGTTCCTGCACGTCCCGGCTGGTGGAGTTCCACCCGGGCGCTTTCCGGCAGGTTGGGAGTCCACTCTATCGCCTAAAGTTGAGAGAAATGGAAAGAAAATAGAAGAAAAGAGAAGAAAAGAAAGCCGAGGAAGGCTCGATCGGGTCGAGATAGGCATACAGTCTATCACAGCAGTGCAGTACTTCCAACCCTGATATCGGGCCCGTTCTATCCAGCTAGTTACACGCACATGAGCAAAGCAGAACTAGCGAGCGTTGTGAAGTAGCCAAGGCTTCTCGTTTACAGTCGGCAAGGGTTAACTTGTGCCGAGATGTCTAGGGGAAGGCCTATAAAGGATCAAGGCAAGATCAGCAAAACCGGATTGCGCCTGACACCTTGTCGGTTCAGGAAATTATGTATCTGCTAGCCAATGAGGGTCGCAGAGGGGTGAAATGGCAAGCGATACGCGAAAGATAATGGTGCGACCTTGCACGGTATGCTTCGAGGTACATCGGCATGTTTTAGGCAGCGTCAGGTAGCAGATTTGCTGTTTCGGCTCTTGGGCAAACTTGTCGTCTGTACTACAGTCTACAGATATGCCCAGGTGATCTTGGATTTGATGTTGACCGATTTGGGCGGTTGTTTACGATTGGGCTTGGGATGTATATCGCATTGGATACTCTCCACTCGAGTGGAGCCCAGTGGCGATCCGGGGTTAGTTCCCTGTGCGTCTCTGTACTTTTGTGTGTTTTTGATGATCTCTGATATGAACAGGGAATGCATTGTTCGAGAGTTCGAATATATGTTGCGATGACGAGTAATTTCGATGTATCTCAAGAGGCAAAGAGATCCCCGTTCACATCTAAGTATGATGTATCAGGACTCTGCTATCTCTCAAATTGACTTTTGGACTTTCCATGGACACGAGATGCTGGCTCAACCTCTGGCTGGTGGGGGTTTGCTACTCCGAAGGGAGAGAGGAGCGGGGTTTCATATCCTCCTATCTCGACGTATTTCTTTGGCGTAAGTTAAGGCGTACTTTCAAGGGTGCAAGTGGAGTTGGACTAGAGCCTGAAACCCCTCCCCCAGACGCACAGACTGGACTGGACCGAGACATATATCAAAGAATCTCAGCGTCATCCAAACCTACTTTGTGCGATGATTGGATGCGCCGAACCACAGTCGCCCGTGGATGCCCCAATAGACTTTCATAGTGCGCCCGGGGGGAAGAAGTGGAAAGTGGTCAGAATCCCTGTGGGTGTATTCTCCTCCAGATGTACTCCGTACATTCCGGAAAGTAATTTGATATTGAAGTGGAGTGGGTGGAACCACGGGCGGGACTCTGGGGGAATGACGATAAGTGATGATGATGAGAGTAATATAGACATTGTTGTAGTCTTCTAGACACTCTAGGGTGGTGTGAGATCTTGTCACACTTATCTCCCTCTTTTTATCTCCTCTCTCATTCCTCTTCCCCCTTGCTCCTCTCGTATGTCCCCCTTCTTTTCTTCTTATCTCCTCATTTCCCTGTTTATTTTCTAACCACTTCGCCCCAGTTGTGATCATCGTGTTTGATCCACATCACCTGAAACCCATCAAATTCGGGCGCAAACGATGTGATAGCTGTTGAAGCTGCCAAAGTTGTTATAGCCCAACCCATCGTGATTGTGACTCTGTGTTCAAAGTAGTGGGACAGCCGACCTGATGGCGACCGTGCTTGTCCAGCAGCATTCGCTGCACCATTCGACCCCTCCTTCCTCCCCTCTTCCCTCAACCTTGACTGTCAACCGACGACCGAGTCCCATCCCGAACAAACATATCCCAGTATGCCCACCGGGCCCAGCTCCATCGACTCCTTCTCAACCGGCATCTCCCGTGGCTCGGTCTGATCAGCCTTCATCGTTATTGTATCCCCCAGATGAACGACTCCGCATTGGACGGGCTCCGTCTCCTGCCGTGTATGCTATCGAGGCATCGAAGTTGGCCGCTGCAATGGACCACCAGGCTTCGCAACCCTTGCCCGACCCATCGCAGATGTTCCCTTGGCTACATGGCCTTCACCCCGACAACCACCTGCAAATAGGCTTCTTTCAAAGTCGCAAACGTCACTCGCGCCGATCACCAAAATGCTGGCGGGGCCTGACTGTGGTCAAACTGGGGGGTGATCTGTCGAGGTCGCGTATCAAAGGCGCCGTCAGCCCTAATGAAGTGATCGCACCTTCCTCCCGGTTCTTGATGGCCGATCCGCAGGAGGGTTTCTCCGTACGCAACTTCCATATTCAGACGGCCAAGCTGGCCGCCATGTCCGATATTGTCTTGTATGCCGAGGATGACAACAGCCAGGCTGCTCTTGTTGCACTGGCAGATCAGTTTGCGACGGCGCAGCATGCTTGGAGATTGAAGATGGATCCCTTGCAAGAGAGACCAACCTACAACACCTTCATTGTTGCCAGTTAGTCACAAAATTCGTGTATACCAGAGCCCAGCTGACATACCAGCCCCATTTTCGGAACTCGAGAAAGAACACCCAGAGATCGTAGCTGTCGATTCGAAAGGTCAATCAACTGACCGGACGATGGATTTTGGTGAGTCACGAAACAAACGAATACAAATATTTTGCCTGACAAATATGCAGGCCACTGGGAACGACGGGAAATGTGTAACATGTCCCGAGCATCGGAGATCTCGGCCAATGTTTGGTTGGGATCTACCCCAGAGTTCATACCAATGTCTGGGGCACCACTACTCAAAGAGGAAACATATGACTTGTTTATCGAAGCAACCGACCTAGCCAACATCCCCGGTCCCCGCTATCTAGCCAAGCTCGACAGACAACTTGAGACCGGCCCTCAGCGCATGGAATTCCCATCATCAGGATCTCTTGTCCTCCCATCAGGCAACACCCGTGAGGTCGAGGATATTGTCAACACTATCAGGTGGATCTACTATCTCGCGCACCCAGAAACTCCGGCGGGTGAGCATGACACCGACAGCGACGTCGCAATGGCCAGCTCAAGCGGGAAACAACGCAAGATCTTAATCCACTGTGGCGATGGATATACCGAAACCTCTCTATTGGCAGTGGCCTACTTCATGTTCGCAGAAGGCGTGCCCGCGCACGAAGCGTGGCTCAGACTACACTGCGACAAGAAGCGAAACTTCTTTGCCTACCCGACAGACGTTGCATTCCTATGCCATATTCAGGAACGCCTCTTGCAGGAAAGTCCAGCGGCTCAGGCCCATGCTACGGACATCGCAGGAACCTGTTACCCAAATTGGTTTCATCATATGGACGGCTCCTTCCCTAGCCGCATCTTGCCGTATCTGTACCTTGGCAATTTGACTCACGCCAACAACCCGGAGCTTCTTTGGGAGCTTGGTATCAGACGTGTGCTCAGCATTGGCGAGGCTGTTAATTGGTCGGATGAGGACCGTGCCACCTGGGGTCGGGATAATCTGATGTACATTGACAATGTCCAGGATAATGGCATTGATCCGTTGTGTCAGGAGTATGATCGTTGCTTAGATTTCATCGGTATGTTTGGGAATCCCTTAGCACCCGGCTTTCAGTTTACTGACCTATTTACAGAAAAAGGCAAGCGTGAGGGTACCGCTACATTGGTCCACTGTCGAGTTGGCGTTTCAAGATCTGCCAGTATCTGCATTGCCGAGGTCATGGCCTGCAAAAAGCTTTCTTTCCCAAGGGCATAGTAAGTTCTAACAAAGTTGTTAGCATTGATTGACCATGCTAATACTCCCCAAGCTGCTACGTTCGAGCAAGAAGACTCAACGTCATCATCCAACCCCACCTACGCTTTGTGTAAGAAATCCCTTCGATCGTTCCGATTACCATATCTAACGAGCTACAGTTACGAGCTTCTTCAATGGGAAGAGCACCAATTGAGAAAGCGAAACGAGCCCGTGAAACGAGAACTCGAATGGCAAACCGTCACTCGCGAGATCGCTCTTCTCAACAAGCCCTATTCAAGGAGCTAAGAATAACCAGAATCTCGAAGTTCGAAGCTGGTTCTCGGCTCCATTTACCCCAGGTTCAACACCAGACACGGACCTGGTTCTACTCTAATTTTTCTGGTTGCCTCTCGCTATGAGAGGCAACATGATACAATGAATTTTAACGACTACACGAACTAGGGATGTTTCAAATTGGATCTTGGCGCAAGGCGTTTTGAAGATCTGATTGAAATGGGAATGAATTGCAATGACAATGTTTGAATATTGCAATGTTTTAACCTTGTCTCTGTTCGCAACGATCTTTCTTTCTTTCTTTCTTTTTTTTTCTTCAGCCACCTTTGAATTTGTTTTATTTACTATTTATGTCTGTTTGTTTATCCCTATTTCCCACACTCTGCTATTCATTTGTGTTCTTACTTGCCGGCTTCAACCGGAGCTTGCACCTTGCCGTCTTCTCTTTCTTCCCATATCATTTTCCCAGCATTTTCACCCACGATTTGCCCTTCAAAGAGTATCATTCTCATATTGTTATGCCAAGTCTGAAACGCAGCTCATAAGATAGTTGTCCAGTTTACTCCCAAGATTAGCATATTCATCGGATTTGATATGTCCTTGCACCGCTGTGCTCTGTCTGTATTTCTTTGTCCATTGTTCTTTTCCTTATTCCATCTCTGTCCTATTCTCCAATGCTCTTGGCATATGTGTTATCTAGGATGTGACACGGATATACCGTCGTCGAAAGCTCGGCGATCGCAGGCGTCTCTGCTAGTTATCCTAATTCTATCCATTCTGTTCGAGCATACACTGTGTGTCTTTCCCTGCAACGATTACCGAAGAGGTTTCCTAACTCTTCTTATTATCTTTATTCATGTATTACGTTCTCGTTTAAGACCAGCAAAAGAACTGAGATAAGTTGTCAAAATAATAATACCCACACAAGACATAGCATAGTTTACCAAGCCCAGACCTGTCGACCCCTCGGACACTCTTAGTTTTAGTCATAGAAATGCAGACATCTGGGCCAGGTACGTGCACTCTGTACTCGTAAATCATAAAGAAAATAGATACAATGCAATGTAACAGCATGACCTGACACCACCCCCTTCCCCTCTACTCAAACACTCGAGCACCCACAAGCACCAACACTCAACACCGCTCAAACACCCGATACAAACCCTTCAAATCAGCAACCTCAACAACACCACGCAACAACCGTGACGTGGCAACCAGTCGAGCCCGCACAGCCGGGAAAAGAACGTACTCCAACATCCGAATGATCTGCGTCCGGCGCGCCCGAATAAATGCATTTGCATCCAGCTCGGACGAGGGCGAGGACGATCCATCGGTTACAACCGGCTCAGTCGTGGGGTCTGCAGGTGCAGGCGCAGGTGCAGGTGCAGGCCCAGATGCAGACCCTGATGCATCTGCATCCCCCGCAAGAACGGGAAGTTGCTCAGGCGTATAGAAAGCCGCAAGCTCACGCAAAAACGACCGGAAACACCCCTCCTCACTAGTCCAGTCGACGTACGGTCCAAGACGGAGTAGGAAGCGAGGTAGTTTCGACAGGGCGGGCACATACCCCTTCAACAGCAGGGGTATCGAGAGAAGGTGGCCCTCCGAACTGATCTGCATAGAGAAATACTCATTTAGCATTTCGCGGCGTTCGACGAGAGTGCGGGCGATCATGTCCGGTGCATTTGCGAAGATGATATCTGCGTCTTTCTGAGTTGAGTCTTGGGTTGAGTGTTCTTGTCTTTCTTCATCTGCAGCGATTTTGAGGAGGTCTGTCAACTTTGGTGCTGGGGCTAGTTTTATTGTGCCGAAATTGCCGAAGTCTGTTAGGCCGATTTGGTAGAAGAGTTCGTTGCTTGTTAGGCCGTAGTCTATTAGGTAGAGTTTTACGCCGGACTGGATTGCTGCAAGGCGGCGCTGTTCGTCGACTAAGCCGACGTAGGTGTGTGTTGCGAACATTTCTGTTAGGGTGTTGTGCATTTCGGCGCGGACGTTTGCTCGGAGGGCTTTTATTGAGGATAGGGCTATGCGGAGGGGTTGGCGGTCTGTTGTTGTGTATTGGAGGCCTTCCTCGAGGAGGGAGGAGGTTTGGTTGTCGGTTTCTGGGGCGCTGGGATTGGATGGGTCTCGCGGCGAGGGTGCTAGCATTGCTGTGATTTTGCGGACTTTGGAGTCTGTTCGGATGAGGTTGTTTTCGTAGGGCTTTTTGGTTGTTGCTGGTGTCTTGGGTGTTGCTCCTTTTGTTGTATCTGTTCCATCTTTGGGCTCATTTCTGTCATCCTGTAGGGACTGGATGGTTGGCACGGTAGGCAGAAGACTTTGGGTTAGGAATGTCCGACTTGAGTCCACCTCCGCGAGCTTGGATCGGATGTCGGTGCAGACAAGCTCGATGATTTCGTCTTCGTTCAAGAAGTTGACCTCGCGCTTTGTTGGATGTACATTGACATCGACACGGTTGGGTTCAATCTCGAGATCAAGGTAGACGAAAGGGTGACCACCCTTGGGTAAAAATGCCGAATATGTCTGTTCGACTGCGCGCTTGAAAGCTGTTGACTCGACTGCACGGTGGTTGATGAAAAGCAGAATTACTGTCTTCTTGACATGATAGTTGGCATTGGTAGCAAAGCCAGATGATCGAAAGCCAAACTTCTTGTCTTCGGAATTGAATTCAACAACCTCGTTCGCGACGGCACTGCCGTGGATCTGGCGGATCCGGTCGACAGTATTGGCGCTAGCTGGCGTGGAAATACTCACGCCAGAATCACCGTGTTTGCGGCATGAGAATGCAACTCCAGAGCAATGGACAGCATATCGGCCAACCACATCAAGGATTTTGGCATACTCTTCACTCGCTGAGCGGAAGGCTCTGCGTCGAGTAGGAACATTATAAAATAGATCCTCAACCTTGGTAAACGTCAGTTTGAGATCTCAAATGACACTCTATTGACTTACTGTGATCTGAGTCCCTCCCCGTCCAGCCGTTACCTTGGGTGCCGCATTCTGTCCCGGCTTCGCAGGAATCAGCTTCCCATCTCCGTAATGCGCTCGCCACGCACAGCTAGAACCAGCTGTCTTTGTCGTGACAGTTAGATGTGCGATGTGACTGATACTGGCCAGTGCTTCACCGCGGAATCCATATGTTCCGATAGAGGAGAGATCCTCAAACTCCTTCAGCTTGGATGTGGTAAATCTTTCGCAAAGAATGGGAAGATCATCTCGCTGCATGTTGTCAGACTTGCTAACATTGTGCCTGGGCCCTTCCAACTTACATCAATGCCATGGCCATTATCGGTAATTTGAAGTAGTTTCAGGCCTCCGTCCTTGACTAGGACTTCAATGGAGGTGGAGCCAGCGTCGACTGCATTTTCAATCAGCTCCTTCAGCGCATGCATTGGTGCGACAATAATCTCTCCAGCCGCGATCTTGTTCACAACATCAGGGTCCAGAGCCTGCAGGTAAAGTCAATATCTGCTCTATAGACGGGATTGACACGCGTTGCCTTACCTTAATCTTCTTCGGTTTGGGGGCCCCTTGAGTCCCGGTCTCTTCGGCCGGGCGTTTGGTGCCGCGCTGCTCAATGGTCTCTGTATCCAACTGGTCTTCCATCGTGAACTCTGAGATCTCCAGAAGGGAATGAAGAGTGATGGTTGAGGCGCGTTGGACTGGTCAAGATCCGATAAGGCGATAAGGCGATAAGTCGCTGATATCATCGTGTTGGACCGCGCCTTCGTAACCAACACTCGTCTTAACCCTGTCTTTTGTTGCTCTTATGTCCTAAACGCCTTATTTCAGCTCCAACGGGGCTTGTCTTTTGACGCACATTATGGCCCCCGCAAAGATGCCCCTTCGAGCGGACGAAGAGATGGGAAAGAAGGATGACGATCACCGTCCCCCGGGCGAAGCGCGCTTTCTACCTCTGCGACATCGAAATATTACTAGATCTCGTCGTGTTCTCTTCGCCTTGCTTGGATTATTCCTTTTTTATGAGTTCTTCAAGCACATGCCAACAGACTTAGCACCCGCTGCTGATCGATACAACCCTTCGGCTGCAAAGTTACGACAGGAGACACTTGCGCAATTGGTTGGTTCAGAGCAACCACGCCCAGCGCCTAAGACAGAGACTGAGCCCAAGCCCAAGGTATTAGAGCCAGAGGGCAAGGGTGTGTTTTACGATGGCGATGTCAAGTTCTACGAGTTGGCGCAGTCTCTCCCTCGCAAGAAGTACCCGAAAGACACAGCCAGCCGGGTAGTTATGTTTGCCGCATCGAGTCTACGCAGCGTGTCAGATATGTTGCCTCTTGCGTGTCGGATGGCAGGTCAGCGCCTGAACTACGTCCATTTCGTTCTAATGGGCAAAGAGGAAATCTCGATTCCAGCAATTAAACAGGTTAATGGCATAAGAGATAATGAATGCCCGCTGGTATGGCATGGTATGATATTTGATACCTCATATTTGAGAGCAACTTGCTAATAGCCTGTAACTGAACAGATGGTCGGCCAGACCATGCGCCTCACTCCAGCGATTTCCGGATGGAAGGATCCGTCGTGGGAGGCTTACGACTCCTCCAGGCGTATATTCGCCCAGAGGTTATAATCACACAAGGCAGGAGTTTAGAAGACGACTTCTTTTTGAAAGGCGTGCAGACTCATTCTCGTGAGATTGGCACTCCTCACATTGGTCTTACCTCTGCAGCAAAGGATCTTCTGTGGATAGCATTCCTGGATTCCACAGCTCTTCAATGTAAGAAACGTCTCCGCATTTATCTGCCAGTGTCTGACACCGAACTTGGAAGGCTAACAATATGTGCTATAGCATGGAATGAGCTACAGATTGAAATGGTTGTCCACGCACCGTCTCAGTCATCTGGGTCTGTGATTAGACTTGTGGAGTCATTGAATGCAGCTGATTATCTGGGGTCTGTCCCCAGACTGACGATTGAGCTTCCTTCACTGGTGGATCCGCAGTTGCTCCAGTTCCTCCAACATTTGGATGGGCTCACCCAGCTTGCAGATCGTATCACTCTTCGGCGACGCATTCAGCCGCATTTCATGGATCCCGTAGAGTCTTCGCTCCGCACAGTGGAATCATTCTACCCGCGAGATCCAAACGTCACCCATTTGCTTATGCTATCACCGCAGACAGAGCTAGCGCCGTCGTTCTATCATTACCTAAAGTACGCTGCGTTGAACTACAAACAGTCTGCCCATGCCAAGCGCGTGTTCTCCAAAATGATCGGAGTTGCACTGGAGTTGCCCTCTTCCAAACCCACTACTGGCAGCGAGTCATTCACTCCACCGGTCATGAGCAGTACAAACCGAGATCAGTTCCTCTCCTCGTTCCTCTGGCAGGCCCCAAATAGTAACGCAGCTTTGTACTTCGGAAACGCATGGGCCGAGTTCCATACTTTCTTGTCTAATCGTCTGTCGACGCCAGAATCCGCCAAGGCCTCTCATGAAAAGTTGATATCGGAAAAGTATCCCGCCTTCATGGAATATTTGCTTGAGATGATTCGCGCCAAGGGGTATTACCTCCTTTATCCCTCATTCCCAAGTACCAAAACAGCTCCCATTGCGACGGTGCACAATGAGCTATACCAACCACCAGAAGAATTTGCTCATAGTGCGAGTCTCTCTAACTCCGATAATAAGGACATTCAAGATATTGATGATCCTACGAAACCGCTTTCGGGCGACTTTACCGCTGGACTGCGGTCTGTTGAGAAACCCTTGAACCGCGCATCAACCATCATGCCTCTCCTTGAGCTTTTCTCAGCCGGTCTTCCGGATCTTGATGTTCTGCCTCTGCTTGCATATGATGGCGAAGACATGACAAAAGCTGCATACAATGAACAGACGGAAGAATATGCCAAGCAGTTTCGGATTCACTACGGAGCTTGTACTGATGATACTGATCCTTCGGAGGAGTTGTTTTGCTTTGGAGAGTCTCTGGGTGCGATCTGAGCAGGACCTGCGTAGCCTTTTGGTGCAAATTTCTTACATATTCAGAAAAACCAGAGTATATATAAAAAATCTATTCTGCCATCGTTTCCTCATAAATAACAAATATTCCAACATCTTAGCAGAAAGAAAGCTGTAGAATTGCCGCAAAACAATGACGAGGGCTTGGCGCTTATATAATCCGGAGCTCGGTCTGGTGCAGCTCTCTGCTCTCCATCCATCACCAGCTTACAATCCACTTGTGTTACTTGTTACTTGCAGAATTCCATCTACTTCTGCTTCGTAACGTTTTCTGCGATCTCTCCTTTGGTTCCTCCTCTCGTCCTACCCTTTCAATTTTCCCCGACCTGGTCGCCAGCTACCTTGAAGAATGGCGAACGAGGGCGAACGGCCAACCTCCGCCGACAAGGGCAAGGGCAAGGTTGATGATGTTCGCGAACTCAACGGCAAAAATACCGAAAATGGCGAGAAAGCGCCAGTAGATGGAAAGAAGAAGGACGAAGAATCTCCAGATGGTACGTTGCGATAACAGTCCCAATGATCAAGGTCCCGGACTCTGTGAAGGATCCATGCCAGCACTGGACGCACATGCTGACTCTTGCATTTTATAGAGGAACTCAGCGAAGAGGATCAGCAATTGAAGAGTGAACTTGAGATGCTTGTTGAGCGGTTAAAGGTAAGGCTACTCTCCTCTTCATCCGCATGGCAATGACGTTAATCATCTTTTCCGCATGCAATAGGAGACAGATACCTCGCTTTACGGACCTGCACTGGACGCGATTAAGAACTTCATCAAGACCTCCACATCATCCATGACAGCTGTCCCCAAGCCTCTCAAATTCCTCCGACCGCACTACGATGACCTTGCAGGGCTATATGAGAAATGGGTCGCGGGCCCCGTGAAGGTTGGTTCTGTTGTATCCTCGTTTGGATTCAAGATCTAATCATCTCATCTCTAGAACTCGTTGGCCGATATGCTATCGGTCCTCGGAATGACGTACGGAGACGAGGAGAAGCTGGAGACCATCAAATACCGTCTCTTGGCCAAGTCGGAGGACCTTGGCTCCTGGGGTCACGAATATGTCCGTCACCTCGCACTTGAAATCGGACAAGAATACCAGAACCGCTTGAACTCAGAGAACGATACCCAGGATCTAGTGGACCTTGCATTGTCACTGGTGCCATATTTCTTGAGTCACAATGCTGAAGCCGATGCGGTCGATCTCATGAGCGAGTTGGAAATCATCGAAGACATTCCCCAATTCGTTGACGAGAACACATATGCTCGTGTCTGCTTGTATATGGTCAGCATGGTCAACCTGCTCACTTACCCTGAAGACCAGCAGTTCCTCCGAACCGCCCACGAAATCTATGTCCGCTACAACAAGCTCTCTCAAGCAATCGTGCTCGCTATTCGGTTGAACGACACCGACCTCATCAAGAGTGACATCAACGCTACCTCCGACAAGGCTCTGAAGAAGCAAATGGCTTTCCTTGTCGCCCGCCAGCAGATTTGGCTTGACCTCCCGGCTGAGGATGAAGAGGGAGAGGCTCTTGCCGACTGTCTCAACAACACCTCCATCCCCAGACACTTCAAGTCCCTGGGCAAGGAACTTAACATCCTGGAACCCAAGATGCCTGAGGATATCTACAAGACACATCTGGAGAGCAGCCGCGGAGCAGGACTCACCAACCTCGATTCCGCACGACACAATCTCGCCAGCGCATTCGTAAACTCGTTTGCCAATGCTGGCTTTGGTAACGATAAGATGATGCTCGTGGAAGGGGACAAGGGCCCGTGGGTGTGGAAGACCAAGGACGATGGTATGCTTTCCACAACGGCTTCGCTGGGTATGCTGCTGCATCGTGATGTTGAGGACGGCTTGGACAAGATCGACAAGTTCACCTACGCAACGGAAGACCAGGTCAAGGCTGGTGCTCTGCTCGCTATTGGTATCTTGAACTCTGGTGTCCGACTTGACTCTGACCCTGCTCTTGCTCTCTTGAGTGACCCTGACAACCTTGAGTCAAAGAGCACCCCAATGAAGGTTGCGTCTATTATGGGACTTGGGCTGGCTTATGCTGGCTCTAACAAGGAGGAGCTCCTCGAGGTTCTTCTTCCCATCGTGGAGGATGCCTCACTAGACATGCAGCTGTCCGCCATGGCAGCAGTCTCGCTTGGCTTGATCTTTGTTGGCTCCTCGAATCACCAGGTCAGTGAGGCGATCGCCACCACCCTAATGGATGAGGAGCGCCAGAAGCAGCTCAAGGACAAGTGGACGAGGTTCATGGCTCTTGGTTTGGCACTTCTGTACTTCGGTCGCCAGGAGGAAGTTGATGTTATCCTTGACATCCTCAAGGCGGTTGACCACCCAATGGCCAAGCCCACTTCAGTTCTTGCCTCGGTGTGCGCTTGGGCGGGTACCGGCACAGTGCTGAAGCTGCAAGAGCTTCTCCACATCTGTAATGATATCATTGAAGAGAAGGAGGAGAACAAGGGTGATGAACTTGTCCAGTCATACGCTGTCCTCGGTCTATCGCTCATTGCCATGGGCGAGGACGTCGGACAGGACATGATTCTCCGCCAGTTCGGTCACCTAATGCACTATGGCTCCAGCAACATCCGTCGGGCGGTTCCTCTCGCCATGGGTTTGATCAGCCCTAGCAACCCACAGATGAAGGTTTACGACACACTGTCCCGGTACAGTCACGATAACGACAACGACGTTGCCATCAATGCCATCTTTGCCATGGGTCTCTGTGGTGCTGGTACCAACAACGCCCGTCTTGCACAGCTCCTCCGGCAATTGGCCAGCTACTACCACCGCGACCAGAACTCACTATTCATGGTTCGCATCGCCCAGGGTCTCCTCCACATGGGTAAGGGAACAATGACTCTCAACCCCTTCCACACCGACCGCCAGGTCCTCTCTCGTGTTTCGGCAGCCGGTTTGCTCACTGTGCTCGTGTCGCTCATTGACGCCAAGCAATTCATCCTCGGTGACCACCACTACCTGCTCTACTTCCTCATTACCGCCATGTTCCCCCGATTCCTTATTACCCTCGACGAGGACCTTCAGCCCCTCACCGTCAACGTCCGCGTTGGTCAGGCTGTGGATGTGGTCGGCCAGGCAGGTCGCCCAAAGACTATCACCGGATGGCAGACCCAGAGCACGCCTGTGCTCCTGTCTCACGGTGAGAGAGCCGAGCTGGAGGATGAGCAATACATTCCTCTCAGCAGCACTCTCGAAGGCTTGGTTATTCTGCGCAAGGTACGTTTTGGTCCTAGTTTCACCGCGCCATTTATATCCGACAATACTGACTTACCTTCTAGAACCCGGACTGGGAAAGCCCTGAGTAAGCTAAACTAGATATTCCCGATTTACATCAATTGCTCGCAACCAGCGAGGCTCGTATAGTGATCGGGTTGTCGTTGGACCTAATGTATTCAGAACAATGAAGAATAGCATGATTTGTTTTACAATTGTATTGGTTTGGCGGCTTGGACTGCTATAAATGTTCGGAGTATGTTAGACAGGCATATCTCAGGCCTTCATGGGCTATGTTCGAGTACCTAGAGACATGATACTTGATACAGTTACATCCCACTCAAGTCTATTTAAACGAAATTACAAGTAGCACACTCATCACCGTATAAACCATCGCATAAAGCCAAGCAGCATGCAGAGCTATCAAGGTTCTCATCCCAGATAGGAAATAGGGCTTAGGGCTTGGCTCTTATCAACTTTTTCCTCCGCCGCATCGCAGCTGTTTGACCAGCCCCAAAGTTCAAGTCAACGAATCAGTTTCTGGAAATCGGAAGGGAAGAAAAAGCCTCTTTGCTTCCTCGCAACCATGAAGCTCGATGCCAAGGCCATTCGCTACCTCACCTCTGAGGATTTCAAAGTTCTTGCGGCGGTACTTATCGGCCCCTCCTCTTTCGAGTACCCCGCGATGTCTATCTTTATAGACGACACGCATATGTTCTATGCTAACTGCAGAGATAATATTAGGTTGAAGCCGGAAGTCGTAACCATGAGGTCGTTCCTACGCCGTTGATCTCGCAGCTTTCGGGCCTCCGAGGTGGCAGCGGTGTCAACCGCGCAATCTCGAACCTCGCAAAGACGAACTTGATCGCCAAAGTGAAGAATGCCAAATGTACGATACACTACCATATATTCGTATCTTTGCAGCGCTAACCCGGCTGTGACAATGCAGATGACGGATACCGACTCGCGTACGGAGGATTGGACTATCTCGCGTTGAACGCGCACCAGAAGCAAAAAGTCGTCTACTCAGTCGGCAACCAAGTTGGTGTTGGAAAGGAATCAGACATTATCGTGGTGGCACACAGCAGCGGAGCGCAACGCATTCTCAAAATCCACCGTCTCGGCCGTATCTCTTTCCGAACCGTTAAGACGAACCGCGACTACCTACGACACCGACACACAAGCTCATGGATGTACATGTCGAGATTGGCAGCGATGAAGGAATTTGCATTCATGAAAGCCCTACGCGAGAACGGATTCTCGGTCCCCGAGCCCATCGCCCAGAACCGACACACCATCGTTATGAGTTTGATTGATGCTTTCCCGCTGCGTCAGATTTCCAGAGTGCCCGAACCGGCTGCGCTATACTCTGAGCTTATGGACATGATCTTGGAGCTTGCCCGATTCGGTTTGATTCACGGTGATTTCAACGAGTTCAACATTCTTATCAAGGAAGAACAAGACCCTAGTGCGAAGGGCAAGGCACCTGCTACTGAAGAGGAAGAAGATGAGAATCTCCGGCTGGTCCCGGTTCTTATTGATTTCCCGCAGATGGTTTCCATTGACCATACCAACGCTGAGATGTACTTTGACCGTGATGTTGAATGTATCAAGCGGTACTTCAAGCGCAAGTTCCACTTCGTCAGTGATATCCCAGGTCCTTCTTTTGCCGATGCTAGAAAGAAGCTCCTCAAGAACCCTGGTAAGCGTCTGGATGTCGAAGTTGAAGCCTCAGGCTTCTCACGGAAGATGGCCCGTGAGCTCGAAGCGTACATGAAAGACGTTGGAGCCACCGGTGATGGAGAAGGTAGGGATGATGAAGATGAGGATGATGAGGAAGAAGAGGAGTCAGTATCTGAGGAAGAGGAAGCAGATGACACTCCCGAGAACAAGGATTCGGGAGATATCGACGACAACACCAAGCGGTTAGAAGAACTTCGAGTCTCGGAGTCATCGGCGCAGTAAAGGGAAAATGACCGGGCTTTTTAATGACCATTTACGATGAATCAAGCATGTAATATAGGTTTTGAGCTTTCCTGTTAACATTGAATGAATATCTGGCATCTCTGAGCCACTTGCCAGTGCATCTCAACCTCTTTATTCTCGATAGCCTCGTAACATAAAAGCAGAAGAATTGATGGGTTCTTTGCATACCATGTTTGTAGAGGTGATTCCCTCCCCCGATTAGGAAGGTGGGTACCCATATACTTGGTGCTCACGTGATTAGCTCGGACCTGCGCAGTTTTGATGCGCAGTCCGGAGACGCCTCCAACGACAATCGCTCAACCCCAACACGATGGTGCGCCTAAGCAGTCTCAAACAAAAGCTCAAGAGCAAGGTCGTCCCAAAACTTCTCCAGGAGCAGGCCAGCCCCCGAGAATCGACCATCCCGCCAAGGGCAAGCCGATCTACCTGTACGTCCATCCAAAATCTCCAAGAGTCCCTATATCGACACCGGAATGCCCCAAACACACCCAGAAACCCCAGAAGTGTCAATTGAACACGACTACCCTCAACCGACCAAAAACATCGGGCTAATAACTCCTTCCAAACAGTCCCCAATTCCGCATCGCTCTCATCCGCACCCCCAAACTCTCCCCTTACTACGCTCAATTCCGCGTCCCCCTCGCCTTCAATAAGTTTGATCTCCGCGATTACCTCCAGAACCTCTACGGCGTCGGCGTCCACGGTATCCGCAGTTACGTGCAGCAACAACCCATCACACGTATCACCCGCGATGGAAAGGGTTACGGCCCATGGCGCCGGCCTAAGTCGCAGAAGCGCATGACCGTCGAGCTGCGTGAGCCTTTCGTGTGGCCCGAGGAGCCGAAGGATTTCACCCCGTATGTTGCAGCCACCCCTGTCACTGTTACTTTTTGCCTTTCTTTCTCTTGCGTTTTATTGTGGCATCTGTCGAGAGAGAGACTCTATGCACCAATGTCTTTCTTTTGAGACCTGATATAAACAAATCGAGAACTATCGACTAACACCATTCCGCCAATAGATGGGAAAAGGAAGGCTGGGAAACCGCCGAGAAATGGCAAATCGACCAACAAGAAAAGGACAACCCTAAGCCGAACAAGGGCCAAGAGCCCGACCAGGAACTGCGCGATGCCTACGCCAAGCAGGCTAAGGATCTCCTTGAGAACAACGAGAAATGGAGGCCGACTTGGAAGGGTCTTGGCTTGGACAAGGTTGAGAAGACTGGCGAGTTCATTTTGAAGAATTCGTTGCCTGAGTGGTATACTACGCACCGGAAGAGCCGCGGTAGGCGGTAAATGGTTTGTATTTGATTGTTTTCTCTGCATTATTCTCCATCCGTCTTGTGGGGACATTGGTGTTTTTCTTGTGGTCTGGCCTTTGTTGTTTTGGCTGGGTCTTTGTACTATACTCAAGGTAGACTGTATACATTTTGACTGTGGCGTCTTATTTGTTGTGTCTTGTGTTCTGCTTTATACTGTAGTGGTGTGGAGAGGGTGTTTGTAGGGTCTGGACTATAGTGGAGATGCGATATATTGAGTGAGATATGGACAGAAAGAATTATTGACAGGCATTAACGCATCAGAAAGGAGAAGCCGATTAGGTACAAATCGCTGTGGCCGTGATTGCCACTATCACGCTATGCAAAACGAAGGTATAGAAGATCAAATATGCTAGACAAAAGGAAACAGACACGCGCTGAACTGATAGAGAGAACGGTCTACAGTCGGCTCTCGAGCAAGTTCATGTGGTGCTGGCCGGGCCATTGAGCATCGGGCCAGATGGTGCGCAGTCCCTCCCAAATATGTCTGTAACCAATTGTTAGAATATGAGTTGGATATGAGGATATAATGACTTACCGAACATAGATGATTTCCAGCTCTTTGGTCACTTCTTGCGGAACATCCTTGACGTCCTTGCGATTGTGATCCGGCAGCAACACGGTCTTGACGCCGGCGCGATGAGCACCAATCAGCTTCTCCTTGATGCCGCCAACGGGCATGACCCGACCACGCAGAGAGATCTCGCCGGTCATAGCGATCTGCGGTGGGACCGGCTTGTTGGTGAATAAGGAGATCAATGCAACAGTGTGGGCCAGACCAGCGGAAGGCCCATCCTTGGGAATGGCACCTGAAGGGCAGTGAACGTGCAGGCTGCGGCTCTTCATAATATCCTCATTGGGGTCGTGGGTGAGCCCCAGCTCGAAAGAGTGTGCCTTGACCCACGTCAAGGCTACCTCGACAGACTCCTTGAGCACGTCACCCAGCTTGCCGGTCAGCTGAACGCGTCCGTTGCCAGGCATGTCAGCCACCTCGATGAAGAGGATACTGCCCTGGCCGCCAGTGGAGTATGCGACGAGTCCCGTGACGACACCGGGACGGCCGTGCTTCTCGGCAATCTCTTCCTCGAAGCGCTCAATTCCCAGGATGTCCTCCAAGTCTTCAACTGATACGACAGGGTTGTAATCGTCCACGCGGTCAGAATCATTGGCATCGGCATACTGAACTGCCTTGTGACGGCAGATGGAGCCAAGTTCCCGCTCCAAGTTGCGGACTCCCGATTCACGAGTGTACGCCGTGATAGTCTTGTCAATTACCTCGTCAGACATATTGACCTGGCCCTCGGTGAGACCGTTCGTACGAATCTGCTTGGGGATCAGGTGCTGCTTGGCGATGTGTCTCTTTTCGACTGTAGTGTAACCGGACAGGGAAATCGTCTCCATACGATCCAGTAGAGGTGCAGGGATGGTATCCAAGGAGTTTGCCGTGGCAAGGAAGAGAACCTTGCTCAGATCAATGGGAATGTTGATATAGTGATCGGTGAAAGTGTGGTTCTGCTCGGGATCCAAAACCTCTAGCATGGCAGCGGACGGGTCACCTTGGAAGTTGGCGCCGCCAACCTTGTCGATTTCATCAAGGAGGATGACAGGGTTGGCAACACCAACCTTCTTCAGACCGTTCACAACCAAGCCAGGCATGGCTGCAACGTACGTGCGCCGGTGACCACGGATTTCCGCCTCGTCTCGGACACCACCGAGGGAGATACGGTGGAACTTGCGACCAAGGGAGGCAGCAACGGACCGCGCAAGACTAGTCTTACCAGTTCCAGGGGGCCCAACCAGAAGCAGGATGGGAGATTTGTCAGTCATACGCTTGGACTTGAGAATCTGAAGCCGGGTCTCGAGCGCAACCCGATCAGACTCTGATAGGAGGGGAACATCCTTCTCAACATCACCAACCGCTGAGACATCCAGATCCCGAGAGAGTCCTGAAATCTGGCGTTCAACATCCTGGTTAGTGGACTGCTTGAGCCGCAATACAGCCAGGTATTCAAGCAGTCTCTTCTTGATACGCTCCAGGCCGTAGTGGTCTTCGTCGAGCTGTTTCCTGGCTCGCTTCAATGTGTCGGGTCCAAGCTGATCCTCTGTGACCTTAGTCCATGGAATCTCAGACAGGTTCTCCAGGTAGGTCCGACATACACCGTACTCGGCGTTGGCAGGGTTCATCTTACGCAGACGCTTCAACTCCTTGTCTGCTACCTTTCGGGCTTCGGGGCTAAGCTCCGCATCATTCAATTTCTGCTGCAACTCGTCAACCTCATTGGGTTCCTTGTCTTCGTCGTTGCCGCGCGCACTGGCAGGCCCAGGAGGTGTGAGACCGGAGAGACCCGACATTGCGCGTTTTGCAAGCAATTCACGCTCACGGGGATCAATCTGACTGATATCCATGCCCGAGGACGGGAATGAGGTCGAGCTAACCGAGGTCACTCTGACACTGCTCTTAATATGCTGAGCCTGCCTGGTGAGAATCCCAACGACCCTCTCCAGGCGTTCTCTCACATCCAACGATGAGAGGATGCGCAACTTCTCCTCGAAGCTTGCATCAGAGACATCTGCCATGAAATCCGCAAGCTTCCCTGCCTGCGTCAATTCCGTCTTTGATATATAGAGTTCAAACTTCCGAGCAACAAGCGGTGAGAGGCGAGATGAAGCCGCCGACAGCAACGATGAAAGACGCAAGAGTGTGAGAAGCTCTCTAGAGAGTTGTCTCAGTTGTTGGAATAGATCGGCGACTTCCGCGTCGCCTTGGCCCGAGTCTAATGATATGGAGGTTAGCCGTATTCTCTTCGCCGTCTATGACACCCTTACTGCTTTCATCATGAAGAAGGACGTCTGCTTCAAAGTATGGCCGGTCTCGGATAACTCTCTTTATCGAGAATCGTTGTGACCCCTGGACGAGCAGGAAGGGCTCGGAGTAAGCCCGGCGCTGAACTCCGATGACCTTGCCAACCACACCGTATCGGAAGAGGTCCTCCTTTCTCGCCTGGCCTGCATCGATAGAGTCGTATTCGTCCTTCCGCTCTAAATCAGAGTCCCCTCCCTCGAGGAGCTGCTGTCCATCGCGGCTTAGGAACGGGGAGCTGAGCGGAACACATCCGAAGGTGATGCTGTTGGCATCTCGTTTCGATGGCTTGTCCACCAATGAGGACAGGAGATTGGCGAGATCGGGTCGATTGGAGACAGGAATGCGGAGAGTCACTCCGGGTAAAAGGACCGAGCCCTTGACGAGGGGAACGAGGGGAATCTTGATGGTTCTTGAGTCGGATCCCATCTTGTACCGAGATGGATTGGGTGGCAAAGACGCGGATCCAGTAAGTAGAAGGATAAGATATCAGTGAGAAGAGAGAGAGAGAGGAGGAAGAATGGGGTAAATTGGGGGGATGTGGGGAGAGGGTTTTAAAGAGGAGGAGGTTCCAGAAGCGCGTGGATGGCAAGTCCGGGGCAGATGAGGAGAGTCGCATGTCTCTCAGTCTCCACGTCCCGGGGCCGAGGTAGTACGTCAGTCTGCAGATCAAGATCTGATTAGAGATGGTAATTAACATATCTTATTTGCTGTATTACTCCTGTACTTTATTCCTACTTCGCATCTCTATATCTTCTTTCTGTCTTCTTTTTTTTGTCTTGTGATTATCTTGCATTGTATTGC